AATTTCGAAGGATACAACTGAATCTTATGGATAACATGATTTTGGACCGGATAATTCATGACAATCCAGGTTTCATACCAATCGAAAACATCCCTTATGGCTGCTGACAAGCTTTAAAAAGGGCCCATTGAATGCCAGAGTTTCTCCACTAAGGTTATTGAAACTGTCATATTTTCTTTGCCTCGGTCCGACCCTATCATCATATTCGGTTTAAAAATGCTACAGCTCAAGCTAGTTCTTATGTATACAGATGGTAAAGGAAGAGTTTTGTTGTATGAGAGTGTCAACTTATACACAAAATTGACTGAAAAATAGTTAACATGTCTTGATATGGTGGCGTGCCTTTTAGAACAACCAATGTTTTCTCTTGGCCTTATGCTGAACTGGAGCAGCTACACTCAGAAAGGAAGATCATAATCAGTGTCATCAAGCACCCACAATTTCGTTACATTACCAAAGCATAAAACAAACCTTGAATATCGTATAAAGAGTTATAATGCACCTCTGACCAGAAACTTAACCATAACTCTGCACAATTGCAAAAATAAAGAGTCACAACTTTGTAAAACTGCATTTGTCATATGTCACTTCAGATCAAATAGCGATATGTGAAAGTGAAAGGAAACTTTTTTTGTAATCCCACCACGCTTAGGTGCTTGGTATTGAGGTATAATTTCAATGAAACAAGTGTCTCTAAAGGATGTCAGTAGGCATATCTTTGCTGCAAACTGCACAAAGGGAGATGCAAAGGAAATATAGTTAAAAAGGAAAGGAAAATTACTGGCTATTTCTCATAGCACTGGTCCAAGTGCCCAAAAACAAAAGAGTCTTTATGTGGTTACGTTACATGGCGTCTCAGGAAATACAAAGTATTTCGAATGATGTGAACATTGAGACAAAAAGGAAACTTACCCTATCTGCCGCAGCTTGTAAGGTAATATGGTCTCCCCATTCTCCAAGTCTGTCATTTTAACTAATTATAAGTGTGAAACAGAACTTTCTCAAACAAACAAAGTATAGCTTAGAAGCCTAATGAGAAAAGAATATGTTTGTGCAACATACTTTCCCATCCTCTTGTAATATCGTTTGTATTTCATCGGAACATAACTTTCATACATAGAGCGACAGTCTTTGAGCTGCAACAAGAAGAAAAAAGAGCAACTAGGAAATGAGACACGAAGAGAGATGTGTGCACTTAATTTTCAAATAGATATCATTCCCGCAAAAGAATAAGTCCAACTGCTACATGGATTAATAATAACCATAAAACACAATCACATAGATGGTTGCCTTTGTTCATCGCTCAGAACTCATAAGACACTTTACCTGTTTAACAACTTCTCTCCTAACTTGCTTGTGGTACTCTGGAGATCGGTATAACTGGTCAGAAACTGCTCGGAACTGAAAAGACACTCACAATTATCAATAGATATCAAACCGAGTAGAGGGAGAGAGAGAACATAATGAGATGAAGAAGATTGTTTTAAATGTAAACTCCATTCACCTGGCAGTTTCCATCACCAGAGACTTTCAACTCACACAAACCGTAAACATTTAACCTACACAAACAATTAAACTTAAGAATTAACAATCAAAATCTGAAAGAAAGCATCCTACGGGATTACTCTAAGCTTGTCTTTCTAGGAGTAAACATAATACAATAATTACACTAACATATTCACAATAGACTGAGCGTCCTAGATATATTGAGCAAAGGGGAAAAAGTGAGCATCAAAAATACCTTTGAAGAAGGCGTTGGTGATCCAAGGTGGCATCATTTAAGTTGGGAATATAACAATTTATTCGTGGAACATGCTGCAACCCAAGAACGTATATAAATATATATAGAGGTAGTCAGGGAGAGAGAACTAAGCATGTACAAAGGATTTCTCATTCTGTACAAAAAATTCTCTACCAATAATACTATATTCCTTGTGAAGGGGAGAAATAAAATGAGGATACGGAGGGACTCAAACATAACTTACAGGGACAGGAGCAAGATTTGAGAGGCGTCTGCCGACTGCACCGTCTAGTTTAGAGTACTCTTCAGATAACATAAGAGCAATCATCCGATCATCTTCGGTATCATTTTTACTGCTCCTAGAGGTTGAACTCGAAGAGTCTCCCATGTTTTAAAGCTCGCTCCTTACTAGTTGCTTCAAGAGGTGCAACTGTATGAGTTGAATTGTTCAATTATTGAGTTATGACATAGCCTAATATGTGTTCTTCATGAGGAAAAATTGATTTAAGAGATGATTAATATATCAACACAATATCACGGTGCCGCAAGAAGATGACACAGAGCGTGAAAAAGGGGGCGCAAGGATAAAAGAGAACGGAAAGCAAAGTGTACATGTACATAACAAGGGGTGAAAGAGGCCGAAATAAATGAATCGATTGGATCTGGGAATGCGCCAATCATCGGGACGATCGGATCTAAAACAGATGGAAAGAATAAGGATTCTAAAGAGCAGAAAAGTTGAAACCTTTCGGGGCAAAGGAGACAGGAAGAGAAGCAAGCAGATGCCGGCGATCGTTTCTTTGACGGCCTCAAGGTTGGTCCAAAGTTGGGCTTTTTTCACCACTTAATTAAAGACAATGGCAGTTGGTACTTGGTTGGCGGGTATATTGACCTTCTTACGGCACTCCAGCAAAACCGCGTTCTTTTGTTCCACCCGTAAGTCAAACTCCCTTCTTTTTTATAGGCGTCAAGTTCATTCCACTTTCTAATCCCAAAAAAAGTAACTTCATGATTTTATCCAACAATAACGTTCGACAAATCACAAGTCAATATGATTTCTTTGCAAAATAAACCTCTTTTTTTCCCTTGTACTTTACTATTTTCGTTAATGCTCCCAAGTCTTCCTTAGTTCCTTTCTTTCTTAATTTACAAAAACATTTGGATCCAGGTCATACATTTCAGTACCCAACCCTTCTCTTCTTGTTGTGCATTTCCCTGGATGTCAAATTGATAAGTTCCTTAGGTATGGCTGCTCCACTACTTTTTAAAGCGGCAACCAAATCAGGGAATATGTTCCTGTCGTCCTCATTCACAAACAAAATGGCAGTGCCCTTCTCTCCCATCCTAGAGGCCCTGCCAATTACATGTATGTACTCCTTGATGGTACTAGGCATGTCAAACACTATCACCTGCCTTACCACCAAGAGGTCAACTCCTCGGCCTAGAACTCCTGTAGATACAAGAACAGGCACATCTCCACCCAAAAACGATCCCATTACATCTCTCCTCTCCTTCATTGGCTTCTCCCCATGGATCGATAGAGCTTTTACCCCCGTGACAACAGTTATAGCATTAGCCAGGAGATCTGCTCCAACTCTCGAACTCACATAAACAACAGCGGGGGGCTTGAAATGGTTTTGACTTTTGAGTATATCAAACAGCTTCTGTTTCTTTTGCTTTGCATCAACCCAGATAGCCAATTGGTTGACAGCCTTGTTAGGTTTGTTGGGATTACCTATGGATACCAAAATGATTTCCTTCGCTAGAGACCCTCCCACCTTCTCCACCTCTCTTGAGACTGTCGCAGAGAACAGCAAGACCTGTGGTTGTGACAAGGCCTGAAATATCTGCATCACCAGATCCCTGAAGCCTCTCTGAAGCATGCAGTCAACTTCATCCAGCACAAACGTCATGATGTTATCTAGTTCAATGGCGTGCTTTACTAGAAGGTCCACAACCCGGCCTGGGGTACCAATGATCAATTCAACACCTTGCTGAATGCGGTAGAGTTGTCCAGACATGGGATCACCACCTACAACAAGTGCAGTCTTAAATGGCAGTCCCTTTCCGAGCATTTTTGCCTGATTTTCAATTTGGACACAGAGCTCTCTAGTTGGAGCCAAAACCATAGCCAAGGGGTTCCTCTGGTCTGACGGATGCTCAGAGCGATACGTTGTACAACGAGAAATAATAGGAACAAGAAAGAAGCTGTTTTCCCGGAGCCGGTGTCGGCTGAGGCGAGCAGACTATAGCCGCTCAAAGCAGCTGGGATCGCTTGCATCTGGATAGGAGTGGGAAAGTCATAGCCAGCCGTTTCTAAGTTGAGAAGAAGCTTAGGAGGAAGCCCACATGAAGTGAAAGTTAAGACAGGTGGAGGGACTGCTGCTTCTTGTCCTTGGACATGAATATCAAGCTTTCTTCTAAGCAGTTGAGCATCGGGGAAAGAAGATCCTGGGTCTCTAACATAGAAGCACTCATCTGTGGCAGGAAACACTGTAGCGTTGTCAACCCTTCTCAGGAGTGTTTGCTTACACTCGAGGCTGCAGACGTCATCATTGGTCTCGTCACAAATGTACTCACCATAACGACTGCAGATAACACATTTAGGCTCCCCGGGAAGAGGGGCTCTTTGATCTATAGACTTTTGTTTGACAACATCTACAACAACGAGAATAGAAAAAATGACGGATGAGTAAGCTCTGTGGAGGTTTAAAGGAACTCAATAAAACCGTATCAAACAGAAGAAGATGGATCAGGTCTCAGTTCTCAGTCAGAAAAGGAGAGGCGATGCAAGAGTTACGAATTACTATTAGGTACACAGACTAACCAGAGTTGTGCGGGACGCAGCCTTCTTCGTTCATTATTCAGAGACCCCAGCTTCTGTAAATCGACATGCACAAGATGAATCAGCAAAACATCGACGACGAAAGGAAAATACCTAAAACATGGAACCAGAGCTCCCGTGTAACAAGATATCAATCTCAATGCTGCAACTGAAAGAAAAGTAGAATCAAATCATCAAGGAGAGATATATAACCAGTATATTCGCAAACAGAAGGATTTTTCGATCGAAAGGTGGATTGATCAATCGTAAGGGGGCGAGAGGAAGAGGAAGAAGAAGAAGATGCACAAGACAATTGGGCCCGGAAGGATATAGGACATCTAAATGGGCTTTTACTGAGCCACAAACAATTATGTTCGGTTCGTTCTTACATAAAATCTTGCACTATTAAATTCCCAAAATATACATAGATTTCCAAAACTTTCCCAATGGTCGATGATCTCAATATGGGCCAGAGTTATGCCTCCTGTTGCATGGAATTATTCCAAAGATGCTCAGTTTTCACTTTCCATCATCAGAGAGAAGAAGAAGCCTGTAGAGTATCTGTACCGCAGTACAGAGGACGAATAGACAACCTCGTCAAATAAGATTTGAGTGTGGGTAGCTGCTGCGAGCAGGAGAAGAGAGGAAGGATTAGGAAAAGGTCACCGCTGTTGAAACTTAAGTTGATGCAATCAGATTGAGACCGACGTATGTACCTGATTAAAATGCTGCCCTTGTAGATATTTAGGCAAATATTATTCTCCTCTCTTATGTTCTATTCTATGAAGAAAACTTCACAGCAGACACAAGTGCTGAGGAGTCTCTCTTCTTTTAACACATCCTACAAGCAAGAGAAACTGAGAAGGGGGAACTAATATTTGATAAGGGCAGGAAGTGATGCATGAAGTTCTGACAAGCACTGGAACATCCAGTTCAGTAACTGTTCTCTTGGTAGCTCCAACAGAAGTTCCGCCTGCACATATCATGTAAAGCCCTTAAGTTCATCTTAAGCGTGGCCTGAAATAGATTATGCAATCACCACTAAACTACTCATAAAGTACCATTATTTGATCTCCTTCGTATATCAAGGAGCTTCGGTAAACGTCACAAGTCATGGAATCTGTGATCAGCTTGAACACCTTCTTACTCATATTTGTTTTCATGACAACCATCTTGCCTGATGCATAAATTCTGTTTACTCCAAGATCAGCCGCCATGCGTCTCACATACAGCTTCTTTAAAATGATCTCCATGGAGTAAGGCTCTTTCCCATATTGGCGACGCAGGTTCTCTGTGAATTGCATTAGACTCCACATATCTTTCTCCGCTGCTTTTTCAGCTTCATTAATGATCTCCATCGGATTTTCCAGGTAATTTACATACTCCGAGGGTAGCCGGGGATTTATATTTATGTCAATCTGGAAAACAGAGCAAAAAGAGGAATTAGAAAGGCATTAATTGCTACAGTTCGAGGCATAACAACTGCATTGAAATTTGAAGTTCTCCAGTTACTCCTGCACAAGTAACAGACCTAATAACTATCATATTCAGCCTTCATAATACACATGGAAACATTCTGATCTTGTGTCATTTTTAATCTAAAGCAGCACCTTTCGTTGAAATGGAACATACCTTCACTAGGTCATATGGAACCGAAAAAATACGGAGTTCCTCCACCTAGAAACAACCAACAAGATTGACTCACAAGTCAATAACCAAGCCTAATTTTAAAAAGGATAAATAAAAGGCTCATCAGTGACATGATCAGTGAGAATGTAGAAGAAGACTTTAATCATAATATACCTTGGACAGACTCTCAAAAAGCATTTCAAAGAAGAGATCGATACCGACATTTCCAACATCCCCGTCTGTTGTTCTCCAAAGATTGTCCCAAAACCTCTTATACCCATATCCCTCTCTGCAAGTTGGAAACCTTGTCCAAGTTCACGGCACTCTTCAAGAGCGCTAAGCCTTTCCTGCATAGTCAGCTTATACATTAAATGCCAATGTCTGCCAAGGAAATAGAACAAATAAAGTCACCTCCAATACCAGTGCTTGATCAGAGAGCAGCGATTTATCGGGATAAAATAGGTAGGCATGAGCTTCTTTATCTGCCCGACCAACCCTTCCACGCAACTGTTGACCGCAACAAGAGGTAGATATCTAAGAAGCTACTCACCATTTGTTGTGAAAGATAACTACAATAGAAATGACGCAAAATAAATCAAACAAGTAACTTTGGCACCTGGTACAACTGAGCGAGCCCAAATTGTTGAACATCCTGAATGATTATGGTATTTGCATTTTGAATATCAAGTCCGCTTTCAACAATATTAGTACATATGAGGATTTTGATCTTTCCTTGCGCAAATCTCTCCATGGTTTCCTCTAGTTGTTTCGAGTATTGCTGTGAATACATCCATGTAGCAGGATAGCAACAACAGTGCTTAGGAGGATTCCATGAATGAAATGTTCTATATCGTATGAATGAGCATCCAAGTGTCTAGTACCGCTAAGAAAGGGCACAACATACCTTTCCATGTGCCATAGCGATGTCAATATCTGGAAATGCTTCTTCTAGAAAATCCATCACTTCTTCTAGTCCTGATAAGGAAGAATAAAGTGGTAAATCAATAATGGAAAAATGTAAAGGCTGACAATGAGAAAAAATATTCCATGGTCAAGAAGTTTCTGATTCTACCCGTCTCTAAGTTACGACCAAGAGCAAAGGTAGTCATATTAAGATATAACATAGAGAAAGAAAAATCTTATTATGCATTCTACCTTTAATGCGAGGCAAGACATAGAAAACTTGGCCACCACGATCCAGCTCATTTTTTATTGCTTCTATCACCTTTTCCTTACGGAATGACGAAAGATGGGTTTTTATTGGAATCCTCTCCGGAGGCGGTGTGGAGATTAAACTAAAACAAAGAGGAAACAAAGGCTCATTAGTCTCATCAAATTCTATCAGTGAGCATATAATCTGAAACACATCATGTCGCAACCTGGCATCCCGGAATCCAGTCAAAGCTAAGTACAGTGTCCTTGGTATGGGTGTTGCGGATAATGTAAGCACATCCACCGATGTTTTGAAAGATGCTATCTTTTCTTTCTGCTTGACCCCAAATCTCTGTTAAGTGAATAAAGATTATCATCAACTAATCCAAGAATCATTCAGAGATGGTGGCATAAACAGCTTGTATTCAAAGTTAGAACAGAACCTGTTCCTCATCAACCACAAGGAGGCCTAAATTACTGTACACAACACGGCTCCCGAGAAGTGAGTGAGTACCCACAATGATATTCAGATGTCCACTTTTTATCATTTCCAGATACTCCTCCTTTTCTGCTTTGGTCTGCACGAAGATGTGACAATGGTCAATTCCAGGCAAAACTATGAACAACTTACACTCAGCAGACAGCAGAGGGTTTCTTTATATGTAACCCATAACCACTAAAGTTTAAAACAAAATCGAGTTTTCTGCATCGCCTTTACCGGTTGGCATCTAGGCAAATTCATAGAAGAAATTTGTCTCAGAAACAGTGATCAATACCTGAAACCGACTTAAAAGGCCCACTTTGATTTGTGGATACAAGGAAAACCGCTCTGAGATAACATCGTAATGTTGCTTGGCCAATACAATTGTCGGTGCTAAAACCATAGCTTGTTTTCCAGCTGAGACTACACAAAAGATGGCTCGTAAAGCAACCTCTGTTTTACCAAACCCAACATCTCCACAGATCAATCGGTCCATAGGTGTTTCTCTCTCTGTCAAATCCTTCTCAACATCCAGGAAAGCCTGCAAGGAAAACTCAGCTTGAGTAAAAGAATATGAATTATGAAAACTAAAAGATAGCAGCAACACCTGCTTCTGGTCAGGTGTAGCGTTATAAGGAAATTGAGCCGCAAAATCAGCCATGATGGGATTTTTTGGATAGGGATATCTCTTCTGTCTAAGCCTATGAAGATATAGCTCCATCAAGTCAACGACCATTTTCTGAATTGCTACTTTTCCTTTGGTCTTTCTTCTTTCCCAAACACTAGTGTCGCTCAGCCGACTCAAAGTCCGAGGCCGTTTGGTCTCATTTGGACTGGAACAGAACATAGGATGACATCAACATACAGCCAGGGAGGTTTTAAATGTACAAGAGGAAGATAGCCATAAAAAACTGTGAGCTGAAGATAAAAAGAAAATAGTGAGACGTACAGATTGTAACGGTAGAGCAAACGCGAGGCCTGTTTGAGGGGAAGCTTGGCCATGCCATCAGCATACTCTATAAAGACATATTCGAGGGGCTCTGAGGAATCCTTGGGGACATCAAACTTTATCCCAACAAAACGCCCAATGCCTACTTTCTTGTGCACCACATAATCACCGGAAAGGAGACTGTAAGGGTCAACCTTGTAGCTAAAACCACCGGAAGCAGCAGCCTCTGTACCTTGCCTAATTCCTTTGAGCTTCTGCAGACCCCTCTCTTGTTGTTCCTTGACCATCTGAATGTACTTCTCGGTCTCCTCAGAGTCCATGGCCGGCCTAGCAGTGTCTCTCTTGCCGATGTCACGCCGAATCCTCTCGTTGAGGAGGGAAATTGAGTCGCTTTCCGCTAATTCCGGCTTCTCTCTCCATCTGGTAGGTTTTGCGGCAGTAGCGGAGAGAGAGGAAACAGCGACCAACGGAAGAAGAGATGATGACTTTCGGGTGAAGCGCCTGGGCCTGAGAGAGAAGAGCCTCCGTGGCGGAGGAAAGGAGCAAAGCTTGAAGACGAGAGGTATAGTGATCGGGTCGGGATTTGGGAGCAAAGATGTCATCTTTAACAAGAACCCCAGAGGTTTAGGAGAAGGGGATAATGAAGAGAGAGAGAGAGTGAAGGAGAGATGCTTAGCTTTAGCTTTAGCTTAAGGGGTGGTTTACACTTTCTTTACAGGAGCACACATTTTAGGATTTGCGTGGTTGAGTTTAATTTATACATCCCTTCGCAAGTCCCTCTGCTTGGAGCTTCGATTATACAAATTGATCAAATTCTTTTTGAAGCCTTACAAATCAATTAAGATAATGTTCCCAAGATTACAGAAGAATATTCAAATATACAATCTTTATCTTCTCTGATGCACTTGTTTTGGGGACACTTGAAACATGCTGATGCCATATTCTACACTATCGGTAAACAGATTGTTCCCTTTATTCTCCGATGAATTATGAATGCTACACATACGAGTTCTTATTGGCTTAAACATAGTATATCATGCCAACTTCAATGAGGCTGATGTGAGGAATGTTGAGTGCGACAGCTGGCCCTCTGCAGTTCTTCCTCAGGAAAGAATAGCCGATATCAATCGTCATCTTCTTCAACCAGGACGAGGATTTCCTCGATTTCACATATGAGTGGCCCATTATATATGCAACACCCGCCTCTTTCGCCCGTATCAGATCCATTAGTTCTTCCCTCACAGAGGACTCCATCCCAGCACTTGACGGCGTTAACTGAAACCTCACATGCCGCCTCCTCACTTGCCCTTGCGGATACTCATCCTCGTACACTGAACGCAAACTCTGCAGAGTCATGGATTTACTGCTTTGTATCGTGGGGTCAGCAAAATCAATCTCCTCTACCTCTGAAACCGTCAGGATTGAGTTAGAGAGACTCTTCTGGCTGCTTAAAACGGCCATTCTCCCATCATAAGATTGAGACTCAGAAGCCGAGGATTGGAGGTCGCTTGCTTCCATCTGGATGAACTCCGCTATGCTCTGTACAAGCTGATTCTCAAAGTCCCCGTCTTCCCGTTGAATGTCCTTGTACCCGTACCTCACTATGCACCTGTACATACGATACGGCTTCGGGCAAACACGACCAATGAGGAAGCGTTCCTCAGGGGAAACATGAGGCACTGGAACTGATTTCACACAAACAAACACCACGACTTTATGGAATGCCGGGAGGTTGGTGACAAAGTGAGAGAAAATTGCAGGAACTCCAGTTGCAAGTTCTGAGTATACGAGTCCTATTCCAGGCACGCGGACAATACCAAGACTAGGTCCTAATCCCAGCAACCACTTCAATGAAACTTTGTTATGAAGATCAAAGCTGTATTTCCTGCGGGTGCCATAGTGCCACACATACATGGCGATCATAAATATGAACGTGAGCACAAAAGGCACCCAACCACCCTGGGGAACTTTCATGAGCGCTGCTGAGAGGTACACACCTTCAATTATCCATAGAGTCCCAAGAAACAAAGCCGCCAGAACACAACTCTTCTGCCAAACCACGACTATGACAAGAGCCATGAAAAACGTTGTGATGAACATTACCATCATGCATGCTATTCCTGTGAGTAATTAGAGAACCACCATCAAACAATCAGATCCTGGAGAGGGAAAAATAGTTTCCAATGATATAAAGTTTACCGTAGGCATTTCCAATCAAAGTTGTGTCTCGAAAGCCTATAGTTATTGCAAGAGTAAGGATCATCAGGATCCAGTTGATCTCCGGGATGTAGATCTGTCCATATGTATGTTTCCAAGTATGGACTACTTTGATGCGTGGGAAGCACCCAAGGGCATGGCATTGCTTGACTATTGAGAACGTAGCGGTTATCACAGCCTGACTGCCAACAATGGCTGCAAGTGTGGCAATGACAAAGACAGGCCAGAAAACAGGGTCTACATAAAGGACCAGGATCATATAAGATTGTCATTATCACAAGGAAATAAGAGAATATTAAACACTGGTGTTAGAGTAAACGAACCTGGGACTGAATCGTAAAAACTGTTAGGAATAGACCCGAGGTTCTTTGACAAGAAAGCTGCCTGGCCCATGTATTGTACCACCAGACAGGGGTACACGACAACGGCGAAAGCAAGCTGCACAAAACAAAAAGAAGTAGAATTTAAGAAACAAAGCTGCGCAACCACCATGGACTTATGTTGAAGGATAACTACCAAGGCTGTAGAGAAGTCACAGATAAAATAACTGATGTACTGATGTACTGATACACCACTAGACAGGTAACCTGTGCTTACTCTGATTGAGACCGAGGTGAAATGGCCAAGATTTGCAAAGATAGCTTCAGTACCTGACAAGACAGCGATAATCACTTTAGCGAACCAGCTCATAAGACCATTCACTACAGGATTCAAAACAAACAGAAAATAAATAATATAATGGTTATGTCTTGATCCAGAACCAGAATTACCTGTTACAGAAAGAAGAATCCCTCCAAGAGATATCCATCCATCTTGACCAGTCACTCTGAAGAATTTGATGATATAAAGCGGGGAAATTGCACGTATTATCTTTGGATTCCAGTGTAAGATGTTGTATAAACCGATGAAGAGTATTGAAATAAGCCAGATGATCACAATTGGTGCAAACATGAAAGCCACCCTGTGAGTACCACAGTGTTGCAAAGCAAACAGTCCGACCAATATGACACAGGCAAGTACCAGAAGTTCACCTGCAGTAGATTAAGAGAAGACCTTCAGATATCCCACCGAAACAAAACACCAAAACAAAAGAAAGTCCACAAGATGTAATCAAACAAGAAGCAAAAGTTGATACAAGCAGGTGGTGGGAGTAACACGCATTAGATACCATCAGTCAATTTCTTATCTGTAGCTTGCAAGCCTGAGATGGACGACAGAACTGAAAGGAAGCAGGAGTGAGACAGTCAGATATTGACCACAAAAAGAAACATACGGATGAATGGAAAAAGAAGAATGCTCACGAAGAAGGTGGGTCGTTTCAACTACAAGTAACAGACAATGACACAAACTCCAACTTTGAATATAATATGTAGGAGGCAGGCAGGCATACTTTACCTGATATAGCTGGGGTCAGAACCCCGTCTCCTATGACCATAGCAGCTCCAAAAAGTACAAGAAGCAGCAAAGCGGTCCTCAGCCTTTTGTGCTTTTCAAGAAATCTTCTGAAGGGGGATGAAGTTCCAGTATCCGTGGAAGGACCAAACTTGTAAGCTGAGAGCTCCTCATCAGCAGCTTGCTGGTTAGGAAGTAAGCTAAGCTTGGCATGCCTACAAAGCAGCGAATAGAGAGCAAATGTTCCGCCTAGAGACGCAAAAAAAGAAAAAGATTGTATCATCCCGAGGCTCCTAGAAATTGGAACAAGACGAAAGATATAAGTTGAACACAGGAGGTTCTCGTTTCATAGTGCACCTTCTCCGTTGTCATCGGCACTCAGTAATACAAGAAGGTATTTGAGAAGGGGAAAGAGCGTGAGGGTCCAGAAAATCAAAGAGAAAGCACCAAAAACGGCTTCCTCGTTGTGATGCTTGTGCAACTTTCCAATAAATGTGCAAGGGAAGACATAAAGAGGAGATGTACTGAGGTCACCATAGACTACACCAAAGCTCTGGTAGGCCAAAATCAAGTTACTCATCCACGACAGCTGAAAGGAACGGATATCAACAATTCAGTAAGTCTGAAAACAGAGCAGTAGAAGAACCCCAGCTGGGCTGGTTCTACATACCGTAAGCACAAGCATAAGAAAACTAGGGTCTTTATTTATTTAGATTAAAAGACAAGAAGAAGAAAGAAAGAAATGAAAGCACAAGCCAAAGATGCTATGAACAGTTCAAGTGGGCATAAAGGAGCTAACTTGTGAAGGATTTCGACGGGGAGAGACTCCAGATTCCGCCACCGCCATCTCAGGTTGTCGATACAAAGATCAATTGAGCGAATCAGGTTGGAGCTCTTCAAACGAAACCCATCTTATCTCTCTAATGATTCTCTACTACTATATTAGTGTTTGTCTCTGTCTCCCATCAAAATATCCACCTTAATTAAACTAATTAATTAATTGATACTCTCAACGCGGGAACCTTTGTATCTTTTTCTCTCATCCACTCACTCCTTTCTCTCTCTCAGCTCCGATTAGCAAGTTTCCTCGATAAGTGAAACTGACAGTCTAATAATACTCAACAGTCACGTTTTTCCGTCCTCGGGTTGGCCCCACCTTTGTTGTTGACTCGTCGTCAGGCCCATAATAGGAAATTGATCTTTTAACAGTTCGAATCATGGGCTCTCCTAAAAGCCCATCATACATCTTGTTACTAATAAACAGTCATTATATCTTATCTTAAAATTATAAGGCCCGTTTATGCAAATCGTGATGAGGTACTATAGTATGCGAGAAACAGTCGCTTACTCGCTTTGGTGGGAGAGTCGAGAGACCATGGACCCAGAGGCTCTCTCTGCCTTGTCTTGTCAACATTGTTGCATTAAGTGATATCCATATTGGTCTTATTCAAAGAGAAGAATGTCATCGTTTAACTCCTTCATATTGGGTCGTTCGTGCCCTAACAACCCAAGCAGCTTCCCTTGAAAACTTGTTCAACCGCTCATGGGGAGCTTCCTTGTCTTTTCTTTTTCCCTATGTGGTGGTCTCTTTGTATTGAACCGTATTGGTATATTTGGCACTGTGTAACGTATATGTACCAATAGATAACAGTCTAACAGTATGTATAAGTAGCTGTATGTATCGCCTCTTCTATGAAACTATGATATACACAAATAAAATACAACCTTTTTCAAAATTGTGACACTTTTGTTGTCAGAGCGAGTTTAAAGTCCAATCTCGGAAATTGTGGTTTATTTAATAAGCACATCTCGGGGTCATTAATAATTTTAAGTTAGTAGTATTTTTATCATTATGAAAAGTAAGTGGTTTAGGGTTTTAGGCCATGACATTTCTGTCTTTAATTTACTGCAAGAATAAGATAGGAATAAAAAAACATGTGTCGAATATATAGTTAACATAGAGATCCAAGATCTAGAAAGAAAATATTTAGAGAGTGTTTGATGAGATAAGGAGGAGCTGTATAGTTTATCGAGAGAGGTAATGGGAAGATTATCTGTGCAGCAAGGTAGCTTTAGAGAGGATGTGCCTTTCGAATACGAGAAGTTAGGGAGATAATATGCTTTGGAATATTCGGGAAATGGAAGCATATGTAATCCAAAAAATTAATATCAAAGATTAGAGATGAGGTGTGTGAATCAATCAACATTGATGGCTAAATTTATTCGATTTCCATTTAGAGAGAGAGAAGGCCCACCAGGAGCCCAAGAGGGAGGGAGCCAACCAGGAAAGAGAGGAGGAATATCCAAAAGGGATAATTTTGATTTTGACTGTTATTAGGAATGATGACGTGGCGATCCAAAGAATATTCCAAGATCCCATCATCTTCTTCTTCTTTCTCCTTCTTCTTTTTAAGCAAATCCCCCAAATCCCATCTCTGAACCCATCCCTCCCTCTCCTCACATCATCAATCTCACAGGAAAGAAAGAAGAAGAGCCTTTTTTTTCTTCTTACATTAGAAATATGTCTCTTAAAGCCATTCATGTCTCGAAAGTGCCAAGCCTCGACCACTTCCCTGAGAACCCGTCGCTCCTCTGCTCCTCTCGCAAAGCGAATAATAAGTTTGTGGTGGTTGGACATAGAGGGCACGGCATGAACATGACGCAGTCGCCGGATCTAAGGTTTTCTGCTCTCAAGGAAAACTCCATCCTCTCCTTCAACGCCGCTTCAAAATTCTCTCTAGACTTTATCGAATTCGATGTTCAGGTAAACTTATTTCTTTCAATCCTCTCGTCGGTCTCGGTTCGCCGCATTCGAACTTCGATCGGCTTCTGTTTTTTTTTTTAATTTGATTCCTCCACGTGACCGCCGGCAATACCACGTGGGGGTTTAATTAGTTGACGTTTTTTCCAAAAAAAAGAACTTCTTTTAATGAAATATAAGAAAAGATCTGATCTGATCTCTAATTTTTTTATTGATCGCGCAGGTCACCAGAGATGGCTGCCCAGTCATTTTCCACGACGACTTCATCTACTCCGAGGAACAGGGAGTGGTGTACGAGAGGAGGGTCACGGATGTTTGCTTGTCGGAGTTCTTGTCCTACGGGCCACAGAGGGATACAGGCAAGACAGGAAAGCCTTTGCTGAGAAAGTCAAAGGAAGGGAAGATCCTCAAGTGGAGCGTCGAAAGCGACGACCCTCTCTGTACTCTCCAAGAGGCTTTTGAGAAAGTAGAGAAGCCAAACCTCGGTTTCAACATCGAGCTCAAGCTTGACGACAACCTCTTCTATTCCTCCGATCACCTCTCCCGTCTTCTCCTCCCAATCTTGCAGGTGGTGTCTGATATCGGAAAGGACAGACCCATCATCTTCTCCAGCTTCCATCCTGATGCCGCCCTTCTTGTCAGGAAGTTGCAGACCACCTACCCCGTAAGTTGATGAAACCCCAGAAGCTACACTCTTTCCACTTTAATCCATCATCTTAATTATGATCCAAATTCAATTACAGGTATTCTTCTTGACAAACGGAGGAACTGAGATGTACTACGACACGAGAAGGAATTCGCTTGAGGAAGCAATCAAACTATGTTTAGAAGGAGGCCTTCAAGGGATTGTCTCGGAGGTGAAGGGAGTATTCCGCAACCCCGCTGCTGTCAACAAGATAAAAGAATCCAAGCTCTCTCTGATGACCTACGGAAAGCTCAACAATGTCGCGGAGGCTGTTTACATGCAGCATTTGATGGGAATAGAGGGAGTCATAGTTGATCATGTGGAGGAGATAACAGAGGCCGTGAGAGAGATGATGAAGCCATCCAATAGAGATGCTGATGAGCCAAAGCCTAACTTCTCTGAGAGGGAGCTCTCTTTTCTTCTCAAGCTCATTCCTGAGTTGATACAACACTAAAACCAACTCTTATCTCGTTTAGTTAGGATCTCTAGTTTCCCAAAATTGTGATAGTGTTTGTTTAGGGGAAATTTGACAATGTGGGTGATTCATGAGATGAAAAGCCCAAATGTTATGGAATATAACTGTTTGCATACGGGCTATGAAAATTGTGTAAAGGTATTCAAAAAGGGAAAGTGGGGACTTGCGAGAGGAGGCCATGCTGCAGGTGATAGTGGAGACGGGGCAAGAGGGGTCTGTAAGGATCCTCCTCCCTTCTCTGCTTCACAAACTTTATGCATCTCTCGACCTCTTTCTTCACCTCTGCGTACACCTCCTTTGCCTTGTCTCTGTCTCTCAACTCTTCTGCTCCCGTCTTTATCTCCTTCCCAAAGTAATAATAGTATCTCCCTGGCCACTTTGGTATCACTCCTGGCATGTGGAAGTCTTGGTTCCCCTCTTCTCCTTCCAGGCTTCCCCTTTAGAACACCAACCATGTCAAAATGTCACCCACCATCATCCAGTTCTACAATTAATATTCTCTACTTAATTCCATTCACATTACCTAACCTCTGGGCCTTCCGCTGTCACTCTTTTTAGCACCTCTTTCACCAACGGAACCTTTATCTGGTCATTGTAGTCTACAACCACCTGCATTCGTTAGACACAGTTACACGGACTATATATTACACATGACATGGATGCAAAGTCTGCTCACTCTTAAAAAATCATCTTCGCCAACCCCACAAAAGGGCACAATTTTGGCTCCAAATTTGGCCGCTGCTCTCACAAACTCTGCTTTCTCTGGCCACATCAACTTGTATTCTTCTCCCTGTTAATAAGTAAATCGTGATAACTTGTATTCACTACCACAGGTAACAATGATAGCAGCAATACAACACAAGGGTTGCATCCTGATATATATGTAACAACCAATATTCACATGTCCAATGTATCTGCTGCCATATATGATACCCCACTCCGGAAAACCAACGAGTATATAACTACTCACCTTACGGTGTAGAGCTTCACGGATGCCTCCTGGGAACAACAGAATATGGGATTTAGCAGACAAGAGATTATGGAGGTGCGTGCCCGAGATGGGGACCGACCCCATCATCCTGAGCATGTCGTAAACAGACACATCAGGTAACAATCCATCTCTCAGTCTCGTAAACATCATGGGATGCACAAGAGGCCGCAAATTGATGTTCCTCTCGTGAACAAATTGACCTGGGAGTGATATTTTGTCACTCGCCAGTAGCATGTGATTGCCCACCAACAGTACAGGTCCTTCCGATGGTATTCCCCCAAGACCCCTCACCACTTTCCCATCTTCTGTAGTCGACAGAAATACAGGTCCCATGATCACCTCAAGAAGCCTATTTCGTCACAAAAAAATATATCAAGATCAATCGAACTGTTTCTTTTCTACTTTAGTACTAATACAAGCCCTTTTAGAACATAATTTGTATGTTTAGTAACCTGTTGACCCCATAACTTTTGTTAAATTCAGAGATGGTTGGTGGGATGTAGTCGGAGACGTAATCCTGGCGAGACCCACGCCGGTAAAAAGAAGTGGCTTTTATGATACTGACCAGATCAATACCGTCCTCCTGTCATACCCGAAAGCAAAAGGGAGATGTAGTATGAAGTATCTCAGAATACATTTTTGAATGAGATGAAATTTCGTGTTTGGCAGTTGTATTCAAATAAAAGACGCAGAGTGGAGAGAACCAAGATAGATATACCAGGAAAAGGCAATGCCCGTTGTCTTTGAATGAGCGGACTTCACATTTAGGCAGTTTTTTCCGAAGTCGTTTGCCTTCAAATTTACTGGGTAGTATTTGGTCATTTCCACTGTAATTGATAAACAAGTTAGCTTAACCTACTTGCTATACTCCCTTGGAATTTTCAATGACTATTACCACGAACCTGGACAGAATTAGAGTCTGCGCTTGTACTAGATGTAGATGTGCATTGGCAAAAATAGCAGCGGCATCAAGCAACTTGAGCTTCCACAGAAGTGTTTCTCTCCGAAATGTATCAGCTAGGATCTGCATAGTCAGATTCTTAACCATATTTGACAGCACTGGAAAAATAACGACCTACCCCATAAATGAGTTTGTCACCTACAGAAGTTAATGTCGATGTTATCACCAAATCTTGATAAATGTTTGCAGCTGTTTCCATCTCCGGAAGTCCCCTGACCCAGTGAGCAACCATCCTTTTTAAAGGGCCACCTTAAAATTCCAATAGAGCTTTTATGCAGCTATGAAATTAAAAACCATGTCTTATATCACCAAGACTCACAGGTTAATGCATAAAAGTATACACTTGAACTTGATCGGAGTTTCCAAAGATGCTTTTACCATTGTGTGGTGTTGTTTAAAACTAACGGGAGGGCGCATTTGTTTGTCAGAGTTCCAAAATCTGTGAATAGGTAAATCAAATCTAACCTGGAATCAAGCTTAACACGGAAGGAAATGCAAGATCAAATTGGTCTGGCAAGGCTTTAACCAGGGGAGCAAGATGTTGCAGCAAAGAATTCCCATATGATGTAGCTGCAAATGCAAGAATACTCTTTAGATCAATCTAGACGACGTGGTGAGACTTCTATTCAATGTATAAGGACATGAAATTGTGATAGAGATATGATGAACTAAGCAGCCACTAGGCTGAGATTGATTGATCAAAGTTTAACACCTACAAATGATAAAGTCCTACTAAATAAGACAGGATCAACGTCACCTGGGTTTGAAAGAATCAAGAGCAGATCAATTTCAGGGTTACAGGCAGCAACAGCGAGTGCTATGCAGGCGCCGAGAGATTCTCCAACAAGATATATGGGTTTCCCGGGTGATCGTTGATTTTCAGATTTGACAGTTCTTTCAACCATGGCGACTAGATCTAAAGCATCCAAGGTTATAGATAAAGAATGAGGCCAACAGTTGCAAACAATAATCTAAAACAGTGGAAAGGGATGCAATAGAGGAAATACCTGTGAATGAAGTGCGATTGCTCGCTGGTATGTGCAAGCACCAGATATCAAACATCCTAGAAAGAGCAAACAAATAGCTCAGCAGAATCAACCACCGGTATTAGAAAGAAAAACAGAAACGTCCTTTGAGGGGGCACTCACTGTCCAAGTTTATGGTGCTGCCTTATTAGCCCGAGTCCATTTCCGTCGATACCTACGCCAGGTCATATATCTGAATTTGAGAAGCAATTGCACATTTCCGTCGATACCGAGCTAACTCAATTAATCGGGACTAACCAGGTAGGAACAGAAGCAGCGGGGCGCCGTCACATGGATCCTTGCTTTTTTCGAGGGGAGAGAACCAGCGAGACGGGCTGTTGTCTTCCGGTCTGATGAAATCCTTAGCCGCCTCGAGGTATTCCCAGAAGCCCTTAACGAATGGCTGCTCGTAGTCCACAAGCCTCGAGCTAAAAGCGGTGACAGAAGCGGAGAATCGGCGTGCCGGTGGTAGGGTTACACCAAGAGGTTGCTTGTGCTTCTCTCCGTTGCATAATCCGACGGCAGAGAGCATGTGAAATCCGGTGGCCGCCATGGGAAAGAAGAAGCTAGTAGTAGCTGAGGTGGTGCGTCCATGGAGGAGAATTTAAACGAACATTTTGCTTTCTTTTCTTTTCCCTTTTCCAGCCGAAACGAAGATCTCATGACTTAACGGTCTCTCTCTCTCCAGTTGTCTTGCTGTTTTCATTTTCAACGAGGAAAATGTGTGACGTTTGAAGCCCCCTTCTCAGTTCTCACACAGCAAGCAGTTGATATCGTATATAGCTAAACCACATACATACATACACCACATGGCCAAGAGACAAGAGGCCCAAGAATTAATTATTTTGACGGGCTTTCAGTTTGGCCCATGAGTGACTCCATTTGTCCACAAGAAAGCGAGTATATTAACAGACTCAAATCTGGCGCCTAACACGTTTTGCCGGTTTTGGTTTCCATTGACATCTACAAGACTACAACCAAGGAGGATACTCGTCAGTTTTTTTCTCTTTCTCCTTTACATTTTGTATAATTCCGAGTCTAATCGATATGCATTGAAGGAACCCGATTCTGTAATTTGATCTTTTTATATAGGGTAGCCATTTTCGTTTCTGGGTTTTCTTTGTAAAAGCCAGAATTGCTCTCGAGTTATTTGATCTGATTTTGCTGTTGAATCTCAGGACGGCCTATGATTTGACTCTAACAGACAGTAGCTGGATGAAAGACACATTTCAAGTTGTTAGTGGAAAGACTTCAAGATCATGGGAAAGACTTGATGCGTGCAGGTGTTCTCTCTCATTCTTTCGAATAGGAGGCCAAAGTTAAGGGAATTGTCTACGGTGCACCTGCTCTTGTTACTTTCCGCATCCCCACCTAGATTGCTCTACAGGTTTTACATTCATAAGCTTTCTTCATTACTCATGTATCGTTTCCTAATTGTCAAGATTCTTATGTAGATTTATTGACATGTAATTCTCTCTGCCAGTGCCACACTCACACCCATTTTACACTTGTATTTTGTATACTAGGGACACCATGTACTGGATAATGTGACTTAGCTCTATAACCCACTATTCATCTTTCAAATGAATCTATATTCTGGCCCGCTTGACTGATTTGAAAATATATAAGCTCGGCCAGTTTCATCGTGTAGAGAAACGGTCAAAAGCAAGCCTTTCGAGCTGAAGACGGAACATGGAAGAAAAAGTAAAAGATGAAACTAATCAACTTTCAAAAAATGTGCAGTGATCAAGTTAGAATCAGGCTGAGTGACTCAAATCTTTTCATCATTGTCCTGGTTATCTTTTTTCTTTTTTTTGTTATAAGAAAAAATGCTAACGTAAGAGACCCTTTGTTCTTCGTCATTGTTTAAGCCTTTGCTTCAGCAGGAGTGATGGCAGCCGCTGGAGCAACACCACCAGTGGTTGGGCTGAAAGAAAAGAGAGTTTCCATTAGCGGTTGAGAAGGAGAACCTCTGAAACAGAATAGCTGCAAAAGAAGGGACTTACAGGCCAACAAAGACTTTGAAAGCATCGTAGATACCCCACTGTGCTCCCGTCAATGTTCCTATCATCACAATTCGTAGAGGGAGCCCTCTTGTGAATAGACCCAACAGCCCTATCTTCTTCACAGCCTGTTGAAAGGATCATGGTTAGAACACTAAACACTAGTGGTAATATCACAAGTTGCATTTTATTACAGAAAGAAATAGAGGGACTTACATCTCCAACAGTTGCTCCTCTGGCGTTGTTGAGGAAGGACACTAAATTATCAGCAGGATGAGAGACTATAGCACAGAAGACGCCAGCAACGTAACCTCCTGCGAAACTCACCCCTAGTTGTAGACCCTTGCTGCACTGGTCCTTTGGCCTCGGAATTGCATACTTGTAGATCATCTCCACAATGGTCTCAAAAGAAGCAAACTTCATCATTGTGTCTGTTACAAAGGTAGAGTTTCTTATCACATTTTGCAACTAAAAGAGCCACTAAAGCATTTTATGAGGCCAAATCATACTATGCGAAAGTTGCAAAGCTGAGGCCACAACTTACAAGGAATCTGACGTCCCCAGAGTGGACCAATTCCCTTGTACAAACTGAAAGAAGAAGAAAAGAAGAAGATATCAGGCACAATGGCTGCTAGTCCTAAGACGAGTGAGAAAGTAAACGGGAACACAAAAGCTTACCCTCCAAGACCTTCAGACTTGATAAACTTGGGAAATCCATCAGACATTCCCCTGGCAAATCCAGGCTGTGTCTGAACACGGACCTTGACAGCTTCAAAAGGGCAAAGGGCAACATCAGCAATAATCTCAGCAGAAGCAGAACCAGCAAGGTAGATGAGGGTTTTGTACTTGGCAGTGTAGTCAGGTCCAGCAAGGTCAGAGTAGTACTTCTTGAAAAACTCGTAGAAACCAAACTTGCAGGCACCCTGAGCACTGTAACCAAGCAAAGTAGGGACCCATCCACGGAAGAAGCCCCTGGCTCCTTGTTCTTTCAGCAAAACTCCAAAGCCGGAGGAAATGCTCTTGTACTTTGCAGGATCAATCTGAAATTGTGAATGTTATGACTTTGGGTTTGAGCAAGGCGATCGATAGAAAGTGCATGAGTGAGAAAACTAACGCCTATGATTAATACATGTCGAGTAAGATGCAGATACAAGACAAGATGACAAACCAACAGAGTTATTGGATCTAGATGGAAAAATCAGATCAAGGAAGAACAAGACTATATATAGTTGGGAGTGAATGTGAGGAGGAATAAATAGTACCTGCATATTGCACTTGACAAGATCGAGAGGAGTAACGGTCATGTGAGTGAGACCACAGCTGAGGATCCCACCGAAGGTACAGGCGGCGTAGAAGGCCGGGGAGTACATCTCGATACCCTTTCCGGGCTCAGTGGGGGACGCGATAAGAAAATTCTTCTGAGAGAGCATCGTCGGCGGCGAAGGAGATTTGGGGTTGGAGTTGTTGAGCATCTGGTCGAGAAGAAGAGACCTGGCGGAGGACGAGGAGGAGGAGGAGGAGTAGAGGAAGCTGGGAATCAAGGAATGCTTTGGAGACTCCATAGCCGGTCCCGAAACGAGGAGAGAGTGAGAGAGCACAGTGAAAACCCTCGGAATTGGGAATGTGAGTGTGACGGAAACAAGGGATATTCTCCATTATGCCACATATGACATTAAGGCCCATGGGCTTTTTCTATGACCCATTTATGTGGCAAGGTTAAGAAGAAGACTTAAATGCGGTCGGATCTCACAACAATAAAATGCTTATACAATGGCCAATATGCCTATGGGCAGAGGCATTAAGACAGCTGCTTCAACAAACAGTACCTTGTCTCTCAATTCATACAACCAACTGCCTCTTGTTGTTCCCGCGCAGTTTCAAATATATATTCATACATTTCGCCATTAACCATTAGCTATTTAATTCATGCAATGATCACTAGCTATCTGACTATTGTTATATATATATAAAATAATTGGCTACTGTTTTTTCTTCACTCGACTTTACCGTCAAATTTTGTTAATCACATCGCACATTGGAACGACCATTATCTATTTGAGTATCTCTGATATCGATTGCTTATTCATTCCTCTAGTGAAGTTAATTGCATAAGCATCCACTAAATGTGAAAATGTTGACCATACACCTAATGCCACGTATTATGCAGTTTGCATATTATTGCTAAATCAAACAAATTATATCTATGAGTAGGTGGCCACGTTTTTTCGATTTACCATTTCCTAACACCCCCTCAACCTCCTAAGGGTTCACTAATATAATTTGTAGTTGTCACGTTTTCCAAAACAAAAAAAAAAACTTTGGTTAAAACGACTAGTATATATGTGCTAAACCAAGAGTTTGAATTATTATTAAGCAGATTCATATTTTGGAAAATAACAGAGAAGTCGAATGATCGTTCGATTCTTTCCTTCTATAAACAATTAACATCCGAAACTGAGTTCACTCCGGAGCCGTCTGATCCTTTTAGCTTGGGGTCTTGACCGTCCATTTTGGCGCCTTGCCTCATACGATACACGTCTTGCTACAGAGCTTTGGAGCTTGGCCGGCTTTGTCTCAAGCAATCGGGATCCCCTGTCAACTGGTATATAATTAAGCCACTTCTCAATCTCCTCTCTGCAAGATCCATTTATTTTTTTATTCATGCATTTGGCCTTGACTCTGTTTTGCTTTTGTTTCCGTGGATTCTACGGATCATTGCAGGTTTGCGCACTAAAAAAGTATACTCTATATATTATTTGTCGAAATCACAACAGCCATTCTCTGAGTTCTAGCAAGCTTCACAATCGTCTTCTCAGAGCTTATTGAGTAATGGCGGCTTCAATGCAGTTCTACGGAGTTCAAACACCAGAACTTGCCTTAAACTCAAAAGCGATTGAGTTTGGCTCAAAGGGGCTGAATTTCTCAGCACTCGTGTCCTCTGCTCGTGTATTCTCTAGAAACGTAGATCATGCTTGTAAGAACATCGCTCTGAGAGTTACTTGTGAAGCCGGAAGAGTGGAGCTGCTAGAAAGAAAAAGCTCGGAGACTTTCAAGTTAAACAGAACTGAGAAAAAAATGACCTGTGTAATGAAATTTGGTGGCTCATCAGTGGCATCAGCAGAAAGGATGAAACAAGTTGCCAAACTCATACTCAGCTTCCCAGACGAGAAGCCTGTTGTTGTGCTATCAGCAATGGCGAAGACCACCAATAAGCTTTTGATGGTAAGAAAAAAAGTGAACTGCTTTAATTTGCACTTTTTACCTTGTTTCTTCTGTTATAAAACTCCGAGTCTGTTGTTTTCATTAGGCTGGAGAGAAGGCTGTTTGTTGCGGTGTCACCAACGTTGACACTATTGAAGAGTTGAGCTATATAAAGGAACTCCATATAAGGTTTTTTTTTTTAATTGAAAACAAAATAAACAAGACATTTATTGTATCTTTCATATGTATATATATCAACTCTAATTTACTTTATTCTCATGGTTGAAAATCAAATTTTACTATGTCTAGGACTGCTCATGAGCTGGGAGTGGAAACAGCAGTTATTGCAGAACACTTAGAAGGACTGGAACAGCTTCTGAAAGGCATCGCAATGATGAAAGAATTAACTTTACGCTCAAGAGATTACTTGGTTTCATTTGGAGAATGCATGTCCACAAGGCTATTTGCTGCGTACTTGAACAAAATTGGGCACAAAGCACGACAGGTATATATATGTTACCTTGATCACCTTATCGATTGTTTCATTACTTGATGATGAGTTTTTGTTTTGGCAGTATGATGCATTTGAGATTGGGATTATCACCACAGATGACTTCACTAATGCTGATATTCTTGAGGCAACATACCCGGCGGTTTCAAAAAAGTTACTTGGTGACTGGAGCAAGGAAAATGCAGTCCCCATTGTCACAGGCTTCCTTGGAAAGGTATATAAATAACACGATTATGCATGAGTCTCTTGCATGCCCAGCTGTGGCATTATTAGAATTTCGAAAACAAAAAGCTTCACTTTGTGTAGGGATGGAGATCTTGTGCTGTAACTACGCTTGGTAGAGGAGGTAGCGATTTGACTGCAACAACGATCGGGAAGGCTTTAGGTTTGCGGGAGATCCAGGTACCAATATCGGGGGTTATTTTCTATCGATGAAGATACGGGGGATTCATGTAAACATAGAGTATACTCTACTGTCATGTGGTGCAGGTTTGGAAAGATGTGGATGGAGTTTTGACTTGTGATCCAAACATTTACTGCGGAGCTCAACCTGTTCCACACTTGACATTTGATGAGGCTGCTGAACTTGCTTACTTTGGTGCCCAGGTAAACAACCTCATAAAAAAAAAACACTTGTTGTACCAAAAGACCAAAGGATTTACCTCTTCCATTGTAGGTGTTGCATCCACTTTCCATGCGCCCAGCAAGAGAAGGTAACATTCCTGTAAGGGTTAAGAACTCTTACAATCCCACTGCTCCAGGAACTGTCATCACCAGATCAAGAGACATGAGCAAGGTACGTGAAGTCAAATTGCATCAGTATTAATTACCCTTTTTTTATGTCACAATAACATCACCATGCCCTCTTCTTCCTCGTTATCTTCTCCTAGGCTGTATTGACCAGCATCGTTCTGAAACGTAATGTTACCATGTTAGACATCACTAGCACCCGTATGCTCGGCCAATATGGTTTCCTTGCCAAGGTAACCAACTTAACTCGAATTGATGACAATATATTCACTTTCCCGCCCTCCGAGCTCACACTCTCTCTCTCTCTCTCTCTCCAGGTGTTTTCCACATTTGAAAAGTTGGGCATATCTGTGGATGTTGTTGCAACCAGCGAAGTTAGCATTTCTTTGACATTGGATCCTTCAAAGTTCTGTAGCAGAGAATTAATTCAACAGGTAAGCTTGTGACTTTGTATCTGTGTTGTTTTCTTTGAGAGAACTTTCAGGCTACCACTTGCTCTTGGAGCACAGAAATTCAAATCAAGACTCATCTTGTTTTCTATAATTCTTGGCCATGTGACAGGAGCTTGATCAGGTGGTGGAGGAACTTGAGAAGATTGCTATTGTAAATCTGCTTCGACACAGATCAATCATCTCTCTCATCGGAAATGTTCAGAGATCATCATTCATATTAGAGAAGGTTAGTTAACTCTCTGCTTTGGTTTGTATGATTCAATATATAGATAGTCATACTAACTTAACAATGACCAACAAACAGGGCTTCCGAGTTCTTCGAACCAATGGGATTAATGTCCAGATGATCTCCCAAGGAGCATCTAAGGTCAAACCTCTTTCAACTTCCTTGGCTATATATATGATTCTGTACAACAAGGTTTACCCCTTGAATAGACACTCGTCTGACTATTTGATGATATCAGGTAAACATCTCACTGATAGTGAATGACGATGAGGCGGAGCATTGTGTGAAGGCTCTCCACTCGGCCTTCTTTGAGACAGGCACTTGTGAAGCAGTGTCAGAACGCCCGACTGGCTACATCGCTGCCTCTTCGCGAAACCTCTAGGTGCAACCTGCAAGGTCTGAAAGTACTAGTTTGATGTTATGATTCTGGTCAGACTGGTATTAGGAAACAAAACTCCCATTCTCCTTGTGTAATATAATGTAATCTCATGGGAGATGTACTGGAAAATCAATAAGTTTTCCTATTTGAATATATGATTTAGGACTGTTACAACATCTGTTAAGGTTACAAAATCTATATCCCAAGACCAAAAGAAAACCCTAAAAAACCCATAAAACAATCACCTAACAAGCTCATAAAACAATCATAACCTTAGACCATCTCCAATGGGGAGAAAATTGAGCTCTCATGAGAGGCTCTCTCATCAATTGTGAAAAAAAAAAAATCAGAAAGGATTTATTTTGAGAGAGCTGTTTCTCTTAAGAGAACTTTTGGTGGTGAAGAGAGACGTACACGTGTCCGTTTCTCTGCAAATTTTCTTCACTTTCATCTTTGATCTCTCTGCAAATTTTCTTCACTTCCAGCTCCGACGATTGAGAGTAGAATTGAAGCTAATTTCCTTTAATCATTCCAAATTTTGCAAACTAATTTCTTCACTTTCATCTTTGATCTCTGTGGAAAAAAAACTAATTTGAGTTTTTGGAATTAACTTGTTAAATTTTTCTCTGCAGTGGAAACTGTCGGTTGGGCTTCTGATCGGTTTGTCTGATCGGTTTGCAACCGATCGGATCTCTTTAGTAGATTTTTGCAATTTTGCCGCTCGGTTTCGTCGATCGGTTGTAAACCGATCGGATTGTAACTTTTGCTCCGCAACTCCGTTTCAGACAAACTCACCACCGTTGGAAAGCTAATTCAATTTCCTACAACTTTCATGAAGGACTCGAAAGCTAAATAACAGGGGAGAGTCTTCATATGATGTGATCGTTCAAGAACTTCATTTGGAGCCATCATCTAGATCGAGTGTAGACCGATCTGTTTGTAACTTTTGATACGCTACTCCGTTTGACACGAAATCACCACCATTAGAAAGCTGATTCAATTCTCTATAACTTTCATGAAGGGCTCCAAAGCTGAATCACAAGGTATAGGCTTCGTATGATGTGATCTTTGATCTTCATCTTTGATCTTCATTTCTTGAAACACCTTTGTTTACACATTTTTGCACAATTTGCCTCCAATTTCCTTGAATAACTCCAAGTTTCACTCCAACACTCAGTTTGATGTTTCAGAATTACTACAAGTTGAAGGAAACCAAACTTCACAAGTCGATTTATCGTATCGTTTTTTTTTTTTCAAATTTATTTTCAAATGTATGAAATTATTGTATCTTTAATATGTTATGAATTGTAATATTTTTCAGATTTATGAAATAAAATAATTTAAAAAATAATTTAATTTTTTCCTGAGAATCCCACGAAGAGAGCCTACCATTGGACTTTGCAAAATTAACAAAATCTCTCATCTCATAAATTTGAAAATTTTAATCTTAAAAAAATGGTGAGAGCCCATGGAGCTCTCACCATTGGAGATGCTCTTAAAAGCCAATAAAACAATCATCACCTAACAAGCCCATAAAATAATCATCACATGAAAAGCCAATTAAACAATCATCACCTAGAAAGCCCATAAAACAATAACCTAACAAGCCCATAATCTTTTATATATTTTGAAATTAGCAAAAAAAATAACAATAACGAACCTAGTGAAATCGATTAACAACCAAACAGAACAGACAATATCGTGATCTGATATAACTTTTGACGCATATCTATATAACAAAATAATAAGTTTCAAATTCCAAAGAATGAAGAAGAAAGCAGCCGTTGACTGTTGTTTGAAAGTGAAAGAAGACAAGGAGGTAGATGCTCTCATGCTTGTCACGCGTTAAGCTATTATATATCCCATAATATAGTCTTTTACTTTTACAACGTAACATGTTACTCGTTTCCCATGTATATATATGTTTTGAACTAGATCTCTTCTCTCTAGTAACGTAATTAATGTCTTTGTTGTTTCCGTTGAATATTACAAATTATTTGACCAAAACCGCTAGACATCTCTATAGTCTATAAGTTCTAATTATTATTTTATTTTTTACATACGTTCTTATATTTTTATACTAATAATTAATGGAACTAAGTATCCCTCCTCGGCTACATTTACTTTTTTAAAAAAAGAAATGGTTTGTTAATTATTCTCATCTCAACTAAAAAAAACACGTATTTATATATTTGTAGTATTAACAAAACTACAAAATCTCGTCCTTGTAAAACTATGACAATCGATATATAGAAGGAGAGAGAGAGAGGTGGATATATGAAGGACAAAGTGCGTAGCCGACGGTCAACGGGGGGATAACGTCAGCGAGATGAGGCAATCAAAGGAGCAAAGCCTGAAAAAGTAAAGCCGTCTTGTCGGTTACTCCTTTAACTTAACGGCCCCATCTTCTTCTTCTTCTTTTTATTGTAGCTCTAGAGAGATTGATAGTTTTTTCTTTTCTTTTCTTTTTCTATTGTGCAAAGAGATAGAGAATTTTTCTGATTAATATTGCTTCTCTTCTTTTCTTAAAGCTGCTCATTCTCATAGTTACCATTTTACTCTTCTTTCTTTTTTTTTTGAACCAAACCCTTCTTTCTTTAAGTAAAAAATAATACTATATTTAAAATATTTAAAAAGGTAAACACACAAAAAGAATGCGTGGAACATCTTAAAAAAGGAACACCAATTCTATTTGTTACACCAAAGAATGGAAATAAGGAAAAAAAAAAAAAAAGAGAATTAGGATTACGTATATTAACAAAAAGTCGAGAATCAGTTGGAGTGCAAAGGCAAAAGTCTTCTTAATTCTTTTACCAAAAAAAAAAAAAAAAAAGTCTTCTTAATATTAATCTCTTGTTTATATATACTACTTTAATTTAAACCATATAGTGTATATATATACATATAAATCCTGTAGTTATTATTAAATGAGGATTCCATATATAAGAAAGAAGCTAAGGGATTAATTGGGTTTAGGTCTGTTTAAGCGAAAAAGATAAAAAAAAGGTTCAGGGTAGGGGGAGGCGAGGCGGCTCGCGTGGGGCACAAAACTCTGTTTCATCTCTTCTTCTTTTTTTTTTTTTAAATTGTCGTTTGCTTCCTAATTCTTCTTTTATTTACCACTTTTTTGCCAATGCCCCTCTCTTCCTCCCAATGGTCAATCACCCTCTCTCTTATTTTCTAATTTAAATCCGTTTGGTTCATTTGTGTGTATCCCATTCCTTTATCACTGATTTTATGTACCCTATTTTCTTTTCATTTTTTTGTCCCTCCTATATATTACAACTATATATACAACATTTTATTTACACTGTCCATACTTCAAATATATACTAAACACATCTGCATGTGCATATTCAGTTTGAACGTTGTTTTAGTACTAATTATCTATACTATTAATTGGGAATCACTAAATATTAAATAACCTTAAAAAAGGTAAAATATTACATAAGATGCCATTGGTTTTTAGTGTTTTTAAATAAATTCATTAAGGGTACAATAGAAATCACAAAATCAATATATTTAAATAAGAAAATAGTAAAATTCTTTTATTTACTTATTAGTTTCCAAAAAATTAAACTCAATTCTCTCTCTTATTAATTATGGACGAAAATTTAAAATTAATTTCTAAAAAATTGTTAACCAATGAGAATTGAAAACCTAAGATTTGATATCTAAACCAATCCTAATAAATTGTTCTATATCAAAAATAAAATAAAAATAATATTATTTTAATTCAAAATTAAAAATACTATCGTTTAAAAATTTTTATCAATGGAGGATTGTAAAATTGAATTTAAAATTTCGTAAACAATTAAATACAAATATTTTAAGATTCAGTTTTGTTATAATATTTTACAAATTTTGAAATATAAAACAAAATTTTATTTCACAATATCTAAAAAACTACATTAGATATAACAAATATTTATATTTACTATAAAATAAACTTAAATAATAATATATTTAAGGTAATTATCAGTATGACCTTCATTTAGAGCAAGTTTCGGAAATATCTAAATAATAGATTGTACATATTAATTTCGAAATATTTTGTGTTTTTTTTTTCTTTTCAACCGGATCTTCCTTAAATAAATCCATAATATATTGCACACAATTTTCGAAATAATGTAAACTAATTATATGTTTTGCATTCAAAACAAATTATGCAGCAATAGCAGATCCATTTTATAGATGTATCCGAAACTTTTATTATTAGTTCAAAAATCAAATTAATTATAATTAAACAATGAAAAGAAGAATATGCAAAATTTAGCTAAGGAAAGAAACATTAATAAATTTGTTAAAATATATTTGTAACTTTAACAACATACATATTAAACCGCAAAACTCACAGTATATATTGTATGGTATTTAAAGGTAAGCAACAAGAATTTGGAACATGATTTTAATGGAATGAAATGAGAATAGAAATTACGAGACGGGATGGGAGGGGAACATAAATTAAAAATCAAACTAAATATCCAACTGGTATGAGTTCGGGTTATGAGCACTATATAAAATAATTTTGTTGACACATAACCATGTACGTACATTTTCAGTTACACATATTCTCTTTATGACAGATACGGGACTATAATATTTTTTATTTCATGTATACGAGACGGGTTATGGGACGAAGCATTTATGACAGATAGAAGACATGATAGGTTTTCCGTTCTAAAATAGTTACGCCTAGCTAATATACATGAAATAACTCAAACTAAAACCGAATCCATATCTTATTTAACACCTGTAATCAAACTGTTAGAAATATTTTGATTAGTTTAGAAAATAAAAAAAATAACATCACTTAACTTTTGCAACTAAATTATATCTTAATTTTATATTAAATATATTTGTGCACGTACGTGTATATCCGGATCTTAAAATATAATTATGCACTAACGCAATTGAATTTCGTTCATTACTTTAACTTTATAATATTTATACTATTACGAAGTTTACTAACACACCAAAATAATTTATATTTTTAAAATCTATATAACATTTTCTATAAAAATATCTATGTACGTGCATGTGGATCCAGATCTAATACACTAAAATATATATTATAAAAACAATAAAATAATTTATACTGAATTACAATTTGTTTGAATTTTTTTTTAAAAATATGAAACCCCGCACGTACGTGCGGGTCATGATCTAGTACTATATATAAAAGTTTTAACAATATTTTATTTTGTTTTTGTTTCTCTTTCTTCGTTTGAAGGTTTGAATAAACGTTCGATTGTGAAAGAAAAAACAATATTTTTATAACAGAAAGTTTTCCGAAGGAGGAGTCTTGGAATGATATATAGTACGTAGTTATAACTTTGGTAGGTGGTGTCGATAGGCATCAGATTAAAACTATTTTCTAAGACTTTTGTTATTCAGTTCTTTTTGTTACAGAATTATAACTAAGCAAAAAAAGCCTAGAACATTTCCTAGATTATGCACATATACGTAGTGGTAACTAATAATCAGTTGGAATAAAAAAAAATTAATAATAATAATCAGTTGGAATATTCAAATCTTGTGAAGCGCGTTAATTATTAGGTGGCAGTGAGGAATAAATGTACGTAGTTTATGAAATGTGTATATATCAGTGCGATAACAAACAATAACAAGTGAAATCTTATGTTGTGAACAGACAAAAACGTGTGGTCGACAAAAAAAAGATAGAGGGCCATGCACCTGCATGCAGAACAACATATCGACGTATATCTCGATGAAAATAAATACTTTAATCTTTTGGTGAAATTAATAATAAGATACTAGTTAGTGTTAAATTAAATATAGATACGAGTGGGATTGCAGTTTGCATGGGCTTAGGGTTATATACAAATTATAAATGAGAATATTTAGGGGAATACGTGAGCACTCCCACAATACCCTCACCGCCTTTTCGCCGCGACACCGACATGCGACATCTTTTCTTTTGCCTTCTTTTTTGTTCTTACGTTTTCCATTTAAATTTTTTTTTTTTTTTGGTAAACAGGTGAAAATTTTCCATTTAAAATTTCAATACTAACTAAAGCTTTTTGGAATTTTATATGCATTAACACATATATAAGATATGTGTACTTAATTATAAGCCTTACTTATACATCTCATAACATATATATACAGCTACACCACGCGCATACATAGGCACAGATGTGCACCTTTCTGTGTATGACAGATATAATATATGAGCCAGCCGTATATATACATAATTATATAACCCATGGGGACATATCTTGGTCGTTGGAATCAGACTCGGACCATTATACTTCGAAGATGGTCGAGAATTTGTAACTCTCTAAAGCTTATTTTAGGGTTTAGTTCGAATCCCACCTTTTTCTGCTATCGGCTTTGTTTCACTGTAAGAGGTAAAAAAGAAAAAAGAAAAAAAGAAGAAGCTAATTAAATTTAAAAATATTAAATGGAGATATATTTATAACAAAGCAAGACATTAATATTGTGCATAGAGAGACATACACACAGATATAAGATATTTATAAATAGCAAAGACCAGATAAAGCTGAAAAGATAGCATCACGCTCGTATTCTTTTTATTTTTATTTGATTTCAATTTATATATTTTGTTGTACTAATTAATACATAGGTCAGAGGGCTCTCGTTTCCTGCCATCTAACCCTACCCGTCCGATCGATCAATTTTTCTTCTTTCTTTTTTTCCCGATCTCTTTTTTTAAAATATATATATATATATATATATATATATATATATATATATATGATCTTTTTCTTTCGATCGCTGGACTGTGAGATTTCCATTCACAACTCACAAGCACGTACCTATGATTATGAATGCGATGTCCAGGCTTGTGGTAGCTAAAATGTTCATACTTTTTTTAAAGAAGAAAATCATATGTTATTGATAATTATAAAACGAAAGCTTTTAAAGTTTTGTATAATGGTAACTTTAAAAATTTCATGTATCACCAGCCCCTGGTTTTCCTCTGTACAGCTTTTTATTTCTGAGATATACTGTATTTATTTAAACTTTAAAGAATAAATAAATAAAAAATTCAAAAAAAAAAAAAAGAGCTAGATCAATATAAAAAGGAATAAGGAATGTACAAAGTTTCAAGGTTCAGGCGTTGAATACGAACTTTGGAAATTTTCAAAGTACCCTTAATCAAAAGCATGTATACTGCTACTCGAAAGGGGTATACCGGACATATCAGAGTTGGTAGAAAAGATAAAACATGGTATGACAAGTGTTTACGTAAGTCTTCTGAAGGAAAACTAGATTAAAAACAAAAAAACAAAATCAAAAATCAAAAGTAAAGCGATCCGACAACCACAATCCGACAAGATTATTCATCTTTTACGAGTTTTCATGCAAAGATTTTATTTCCAGAAAAGAAATACATGAGTTTAAACACTAAAAGAAGTAACTTTCTTTTTCAGCCAGAGGGAGCATAACTGTACGGACTTCTCTTACTATATTCACTATACATATAAAATCTTCTCTTTCATCAATCCTTAGCTTTAAATATGATTTTAAGATTTAATTTATTGTGGAGCTCAAACCTGAGACACAAAAAAAGGCATTTCGTATCTAAAGGACACAAGCGTGGAAGCCAAAAGCATGTCACAATAACTTTGTAAACTTTCAACTTTTTTTCAGGCTTTTTTCTATGCAATTCAAGTTTTATTAAGGTTATAATTAAACCCATGCTAAATTAATCATGGGTCGTGTTCTTATAAATTATGTGCACACCATATAATTCGAGAGTCATACATTTAATTACACGTCTAGCCACATATATATTTACAGTATAAGTGGGATGCTATTAATCTGGATCAGAAACATAAGATTCTGGAAAACGTAATTCCATGTATACAACGTGGAAAATATGGTTTTAAAAAATATTATTATCATGTATCTGAAAATAAGAGGTGGATGAAAATACTAAGAAAGAAAAAGAGAGAATTAAGTGGTAAGAAAATTAATGGTGAGAGCGGTAAGAGCCGACAAGAAGGACAGACGGAGCCGTCTATGACCAACAACTCCATTCTGATAAAAGTCTGTTCTTCTTCTCCAAAGCCTTTTTTTTTTTTTTTTTTTTCTAATTGTAACTATCATCGGTGTATCATCACCGATTACTATTAAATTTTGTTGTTTTCAACTGCAATCACTATCTTGATGTCATCGGTTTTAATTCATATGTTTTGTAGTTACTTTTTTTTTTTTTTTTTTTTAAAGAAGAAGTAAATATATATAGGTCATGTTGTTATTATACACAAATAATAAAAACATGTAATAAAGAAAGAAACAATAATAATTAGAGCAAAACAGAGGTGTAGTACTAGTAGCCTAGTAGGCCTCTATAAATACTCTGCATGGCTCTCACTCTCTCCTCACCCAAAAACTTGAGCCAATCTCTCTCTTTCTCTCTTACTCGTCTTGAATTTATTCTGGTTCAACGAAAGTGAAAAAAAGAAAGAAAAGAGAGATCGAAAATGCAGTACCAGACAGAGTCGTGGGGATCATACAAGATGAACAGCTTAGCATTCGGCGGTTTGGGGATGGTGGCTGACACTGGTCTGCTTCGCATAGAGTCTCTGGCGGCTGAGAGCGCGGTGGTGATCTTCAGCGTGAGCACGTGCTGCATGTGCCACGCCGTGAAGGGTCTCTTCCGAGGAATGGGCGTCAGCCCCGCCGTCCACGAGCTCGACCTCCACCCCTACGGCGGCGACATCCAGCGAGCCCTCATTCGTCTTCTCGGCTGCTCCGGCTCCTCTTCTCCAGGGTCTCTTCCGGTCGTCTTCATCGGCGGCAAACTGGTTGGAGCTATGGACAGAGTCATGGCTTCTCACATCAACGGCTCTCTCGTTCCTCTTCTCAAAGACGCCGGAGCTCTCTGGCTCTGATCCCTCCCTCTGCTTTCTTTTTCTTTGTTTTTAAAGTTTTTTTCTAAGAGAATGTGGTGGAGGAAGATTAGGAAACTAGTCAATGCTGTAATGGCAGGTTTTAGGTTATAGTTTGTAATTAGAGAGAGAGTTGTTTTAAGCTCACCTTTCTCTGTCTCCCTCGCTCTTCTTCATCTCTTAATCTTCTCAATGCTCTCATTAAATCATATACACTTTGCATCTTTATTAATGTCTCCTGGATCCCTTAAAGCCTTTTAAATCTCAATATGTAATCAAAGCCAGTTCCTGTTTTTTGATCACACTAATTTACATGTAAGGGACTTGTTTAGATCAAATGATATATGCCAAGTTCACAAGTTCGCTACTTTTTTTGTCGATCATCTTAAATTATGCCCTACTCTCTCTAATCTATACAAAGCACATACTCTATGAGTGAGATAGGTGAAGCTTGAAGCTCTGAAGAGACTTGGGTTTGAAGATGTTACTTAGCAAATACCCCATTGTTGTTTCTTGCGAAGGCCTGCTTGCACCAAGAACAGAGCAATCCTCCTTCTTCTTCACCTTCAGCTTGCTCACTCCTATCTGTTGTCTGATTGACTCCACGATTTTTGATTCAACCGGGTTTCCAGTCACGTCTGTAACGTAGAAAGTGTCTTTAGCCTTACCCTCTCGCGTTGAGATCTCTGCTCTCACAATGGTTAAGCTGTTCTCTCGGAATGTTCTGGTTATGTCTGAGAGGAGACCAACACGGTCTTCTGCTGATAATTCCAGCTCTAAACCCTGAAAGTATGTTTCATATGCATAATCTGTCTTAAGTATATCAGCCAAGACAGAGAGATGTCACATTTCTAATTGGTTACCTCGGATGCTCTCCTCTCAATGGCTGCTTCCAGACATTGTATGACACGTTCTTGCTCCGCTTCTGAGTTTATGGGAAGTCCATCCACATGACGGATGTAAAATTCCTGCAGCACAACACTCATATTATTGTTAGAAAAGAGATCCCAACAGAGAGTTTTACAAATAAAACACCGTTGAATAGTTAGTTACCTGATAAGCCTCCACTGGTTCTGTACTGACCATGCCATGGAACACTACATACTGCATATCAGTCAAAGTACAGACTACGTCAAACACAAGCTTTGGTCTATCTTTGGACCTCATGGTAACAACGGTATAATCCTTCTCAATGTTCATTAGTGTGACACTGGGCCTTGACGCCGATGTCTTGGCTCTCTTGACTCCCTCGTAGTCCCTATCATCAAACATGATCTGATGCAACCGTCTCTCCCTGTGTGTATCAGAACAAGAGAAAACTGTTTTCGCAGCTCTTGAACCGCTGTTTGTCCTAACTACATTGCAAAGCAGCTCCTTAATGGTGGAAAGGCGAATCGGGTCAGTAATGGCTGAATTAGTTGAATTGTCCGTGACATGAATAACCGCTGCAGCTCTGGTGTTGTGAGTCCATATCTCAGCGTTCACAACGTTGCAGTGAAGGTCTGTGAGAACAGCAGATACTTCAGACAAGAGACCGGGTCTGTCAGTTCCAGCGAGCTCAATCGCTGTGTATTCGTCAGTGGGCATTACACCAACTGAGCTTCTCAAAGGTGGAATGAACCAGCCAGCGTTGCTCTCTATCCTCTGCGCAATGATTTCAACAATCGTTTTACACAAAAAGAAGAAAAACCTGTTGAATTGATCCCAAGTTAGACACGGCCGGAAAGACAAAAAGTGACTACATAACATACCCTTTGGATATAGTCAAGGACTTGTGTGTCTCTGATCTTATTGCCATCTTGGTCGATGACTTTGAAGACGTCCATGAACCAACCTCCATCGGAAGAGATGTAAGCTTTCTTGATCACAAGATTCATATCAGTGAGCACTTGCACTACTTCCAACAGAGTGCCATGTTTGTTGACACTATCAACCTTTTTAACACCACAAACAAACAAATCCCATCAAACAGGGAACTCTGTTTCTTTGGAACACAACCACTTGAACAATTTGAAGAGGCAGATTTTTATACCTGAATAACAGTGGCATCGTCGCTTGCGTTGTTGTCTATTACAACTCTGTTGTATCCATGAAACATACATAAAACAGAAAATTCATAAACAAAGATGAAACTTTTAGCAGCTGAAAGAAAACCTTACAAGGGTAGTATTATAGAGGCTTAACAAAGGGAGACCAAAACAGAAGAGAAAAAACAATAAAGTACCTGGGAGGATTCATTCTCCTGATGAGCTTGGCATATTCATCATCATCCATGGTTGTAGTATGTATCTCCTTGTTGATTTGGGTGCAGCAGAAGAGAGTTGGAAAGTGTGAGTCCTCCAATTTTTGTGGAAAATTAATCCCAAAAGAGAGAGGGAGAGGGAAGGTGAAGGAGGATAAAATGGTAGGCCAGAACCGAACCCTTTTTCATTAGGCCCGTTTTGATGCCCCTAGGATCAAGCACGTGCCACTAAAGATTCTTAGAGATGACGAGGCACGAGCACAGCAACTTTAGATTCTGTTATTGTTCGAATACTACCAAAAGTCGGTAGCTCTGGTGAAGATTGGGGGTCAAATTGATGATCAAAAAGGGATATATTCTCCATCTCAAGATTTGGTATTTCCTACTAGTATAAGAGATCTGAGGTAAGACTCTCTGTAACGTTCACAGCTGCATGACCAAGTGTAACAATTTGATTCTTTTTTTAGATAATGATCTCCTTACTTATGGTTTAATAATAATTGGCAGAGAAACAAGGAGAGTGGCAAAAAAAGCATAACGTCCTCATGTCATGTGGGTTGCAAAAAGGAGGCAAAGTAGAGCAAGCAAAGCATTTTTAGATTTTATTTTGTTGCGGATTCCATTTCCACCCACTTGAAAAATTGACATCTCACAATGATTTTGTGTCCTAATTAGTCTTTTTTATTTAGTTAGGGACATTGTCACATTACTCTTTCATTAAGTCAACCAAGACACGGTTCTTTCAAAAATCCACTACCCCCACCTAGAATCTTTTGTGTTACCTACCCAGACCCTTTTTTGTTCTCTTTTAATTGGTCCAACTAAATAAATCAATGGTACCTAAGAAAGCATCCTTAGGTAGGAGGAATTGCTTTCATTCTCACTCTTGTGTCTTCTTGATCAATGGACTAATAATAACAAGTTCCTATATATTACCAAAAAGAATGAAACATAAACGAAAGAAAGAGTACCTGATGTGTGTGGAGCTCCCTTTATGCTACAAATCATTCATTGATAACCAACCATGTATAAAATTATAAACCAGCAACACGAGGAGATAAGTTTGTAGCAAAGTGAAATTGGGAAGCTTGGAGATGGATGGGTATGGATAATCATCATGCCTGAAAAAACAAAGCAGGTCCTCCATTACAAAACAAGTAGAGAGAGATGGTTGTGGGGAAGAAGTAGCTTCCGCCGCCGGGAAGTTGGAAAGCTGCAAAAGAGTTCATATTAGTCAAATGGATCTTCGGGCTGAGTTGGGCTTTTTACTAAAGAAAAATAGGCTTTTTAATATTCGTTGATAATATATAACAAAAATACAACATCGTTATCAATTTAAAAGAGGAAGGTAAAGGAACGTGGATCATGTGATTAGTTAGGCAGGCATTTGCTCTTTGTTTCGTCGTTTTGGTAACACACAGACAGACAGAGAAGACTTGTGGTAAAGAAGAGCTTTTCCAGCTTCTTATTAGAATGGCGATCTAATCAAATCAAATCACTCCCTCCCTTAATTAATTAGTCAATTGTTGATTCTCATCTGCTGAATTTGGGAAAATGGAAAATCCGGCCAAGAGAGTGTTGATGACATCCAACGGCGACCTGGTTTCCCGAAACATCGCTTTCCATCTAGCCAAACACGGTTGCAAGTGAGTCTCTCTCTCTCAGTATTGCCTTCTTTCACTCTCCTCCTCGCCTCCTATGTTATGTATGTCTTTCTTCTAGCCTCAATTTGGTGTCTATAGTTGGACTTAGAAATGCAATCTGTACTTGTGTTAGGTTGGTAATGATGGGAAATGAGTCTTCTCTAAGGAGCATTGTAGACAAGATTAGAGATTCCATTGAGGGAGCCTTCCCTGTCGATGTGATTGCACTCGACATGGAATCTGATTCTGAAGATGCTTTCCACGCCGCTGTCCAAAAGGCATGGACCTGTTCCGGCTATTTCGATGCTTTTCTCAACTCTTATTCCTACCAAGGTTTTTCTATTCACTACCCTTTGATGCTGCTCTTCTGTTGATCATTCCTTTCTTCATCATCTTTCTTTCTTTCTTGCAGGAAAGATGCAGGACATTCTTCAAGTTTCTCAAGATGAGTTCAACAGAATCTCAAAGATCAATCTCACCGCTCCATGGTTTCTCTTGAAGGCTGTAGCCACAAGGATGAAACACCATGGATCAGGAGGCTCCATTGTCTTCATGGCCACTATCGCCAGCGGTGAGAGGGTGCTTTACCCTGGAGCTGATGCCTACGCTACTACCTCTGCCGCCATTCATCAGCTTGTTCGGGTATATACATGCATCCTCTCTCCTAATTTAACACATCTCGTAACCCTACCGTTTGTTCATGATTGGGTTTCCAGGCATCAGCCATGAGTCTAGGGAAGCACAAGATACGGGTCAACATGATCTCTAGAGGGCTGCATCTGGATGATGAATATCCAGCTTCTGTCGGAAGAGACCGAGCGCAGAAGCTGGTCAAGGACGCTGCACCCCTCGGCCAGTGGCTCAACCCGGACACAGACCTCTACTCCACTGTTATTTACTTGATCAGCGATGGCTCACGCTTCATGACAGGCACCACTGTCTTGGTGGATGGAGCGCAGTCCCTTACGCGACCCCGTCTCAAATCCTACATGTGATCAAAACATAGTATTATAATTCTATGTTGTGTGTGTTTACTGTAAAAAGTGAACATGAATCAAGTTTGAATAACTTTGGAGGGATGAATAATCCATCCATCGAAGCAAAGCAATGATTATATACTTTTGACAAATATAGAAGAAAGCAAATAGCCAAAATAGTCAACAATCTCAACATGATTCGAGCCCACTGTTTATTTGAACAATCAACTTTGGTAGGTGAACCTCAAATACACGTGATAGGGATATTATCTTCTTAACCTTGCTATATACCAAATTGTTAAGCAAATAAGAAAAGAATGATTACCCTCAGAGATCTAGATGCTTGAAATTTGAATCCATTGCACCAAAAGTTGAAAGTCCAAGGAGTTGCATATATATATAATAATGTAAATGAGAATGATGAAGCCGCCACACCTTTTTTACTAATTTCCACCAAACTCTTTTCTTTGATGGATCCGCTAATGTAGCCATTTTCAATATATCTCACTTTCTCTGGCATCTTCGCTGCCGTCTACGTCTCTCTCTTTCTCTCCCTTCCCTCCTTGCCTTTCGACGGCGCATGTGTGTACCTTCTTTCAAGTTCCCACCATAAACGCATAAGGAGTTAAGAAATGGAGGATAGGAGGTGTCAGGTGTTGTTTCCATGTTCATCATCGGCTGATCCTCGCTTGACAGAGTATCATGGGGTTGACAACTCGGCAGAGTGTGCAGATCAGCCGACATCATCATCGTTGTCACAGCAGAACATGAACACAAACGAAGAAGAGAAACCCAAGAGTAAGAAGAAGAAGAAGAAAGAGAGAGAAGCGAGGTACGCCTTTCAGACAAGAAGCCAGGTTGATATTCTGGATGATGGATACAGGTGGAGGAAGTACGGCCAGAAAGCTGTGAAGAACAATCCATTCCCCAGGTACCTAATGAGTGATATGCTTACTATGCTGATAAAATAAAAGACTCATAAATGTAAATACGTATAGGAGCTATTATAAGTGCACAGAAGAAGGATGCAGAGTGAAGAAGCAAGTGCAGAGGCTAGGGGGAGACGAAGGAGTGGTGGTGACCACATACCAAGGTGTGCATACACATCCCGTTGATAAACCCTCAGATAATTTCAACCACATCTTGACCCAAATGCACATCTTCCCTCCCTTTTCTTGAGTTACTTATTTTTGATATAAGGGGGAGGAATGGGAATGTCATTTACTTACCAAAAAACGCTGGGCAAGAATGTTGCTCAAGTGTTCATCAGAACTTTACTTAAAAACAAGTAAAAATATCTATCTATAAAGCCTAAACACTAATCCTTATCTTTGGGTTCCTTAATAGAATGCATCATCTCCTTTGGTGACTTGGTCTCGGCTGCCCTGAAATCGAAAGAAAACATCATCAAATCGAACTGTTTTACGTTCGATCTGTCTGTCAATAAAAGAAGAAATGAGTGACTCTTGTGCTTTCTCAAATTACCAAACCTAAAGAAAGAAGCAATGCTTCTCGCTGAGTCTATCATCATCTACAAAAAAACTTGTTATGTATCCCAATTCCCAACCGACCGATTATTCCAAAACTAGTGAGACAAGCTATGGAATATGGATGGTGAGGAGACAAAATCGAAACCTTCAAAATAAACACATTCGTCAATGGGAAAGATGATGAGAGAGAGAGAAAGCTAACTTGGAGGTTTCTTCTTGGATCCAATTGCGAATATGCTTCACGTTCCGCTTGGAAACGGAGGCCGATTGCTTCACGTCGCCCTTCAGGAGGATCACCACCGCGCTAACGCCGGCCACCGTCAATATGAAGTTGGTCAGCCCCATCCCCCACCAATTTATCAAAATATCAAAAATCAAACACAGACAGACAGAGAGAGATTTCATTCAGTTTTGTTATTATTTTGCTGGGCCCATTAGCCTCTCGATGGGCTCCTGTACTTAATGTTAAATCAGCCCAACTTGTACAAAAATGAATTAAGAACTAATGACCAAGTCATCTGGAATATTATTATTATGTCGACGTAAGCAAATAATAAAGCATCGTCATAATAATATACCTTTGGACCATTTAACACAAAAGCAAATATACAACAGAATATGTTATCACATAACAGTCAGAATCTCCTCAAAAGATATGCTTTCTTCTTTTTCTATTCAAGACTGTTTCATGGAGAAACACACATTTCTTTTCTTCTTCTTTTACTTGTGATTAGAAAGCGATGAATATTTGATCTTGGTTGATAACTGATAAATGTTGTCTTTGTCCATGTTAATGAAGTAAATCGCTGCGACTGTTTTTCTTTTTTGTTTTCTTAAATGACTCATGTTTTTGTGGATAACATTGTTGCCTTCTGCCGCCGCCACACAAAGATAATGTTATTCGCTTGTGTTTATTTATAATATCTCTGACGAATAATCTTATTCACATTCTTGATTTTTTTTATTTTTTAATAAAATTATCCACCTTTTCTTCACTCTTTTTAAAAGATGCCACTGATGAATCCCTTATACGAAAAAGGTTAGTTACAAAAAAAAAAAAAAAAACCGGATAAAATCGATGGTTCCTTATTCTTTTGAATTATAAACACTTTGATTCGCAAATTTTAATTAATCCGTTCAAGAGAAAAGTATTGTAACCGTACCAATTAATGATCCATAATTTGATTCCGTCCGTGACCATAAACGATCTCCTCTCCCAAATAGAGTTGATCTTCATCTTAGTAGGTAATTTGAATTGAAAATATGTTTTGTAATGACTGATTGTAGAGTTTTGCGCCATCCATTATTATTATCTCATAAAACTTATAGAATTAAATATCTATATAATTACAAGGTATATCTCATAAAGTGTCTACGAGATATTTCTCATAAATCGTACGTATCAGCTTTCTACTGCGGAAGATTGATAATTAATAAGGAGTGTAACTATTGATTATTGAACCTTGATTACATGTATAACATATATTTGAAATTTTAAAATTAGATGTGTCGTCGTGGCTACTTGAGCATGAAAGTTGAGATCTCGTCATCAAAATGTTATGCTTCTGAGTGATATTATTACAAGAGGAAGGACCACGCGTCTTTGATACCTCTCTATCTTTCTGCATGTCTTCGTCACAATATAATCAACGAAACACAGTAGTATAAATGAATCCATGAAACACCACATATCTCGGGGCAAAAAAAGAAGTGGTAATTGATATCATGGAGATGAACAGAAGAAGATCAAGAGGGTTCATGATAGCTAAGCTAATGCCCTTTTGCAAAGCTGTGAAATCTCCAACTCCTTCACAAGACCTTTATAATAATGTTCATTACACTTCTTCCACTACGACTTCCTACGCTCGTCAACCTGGTTTCAACAACTACGTAACTGCCACTTCGCCTATCCCTCCTAAAGTTAGCTTCCTCCTTCAACCATGTAAGTAACCTTTCTTTTATATACAACTACTTAATAAGCTAATTGATTATAGCTATCTATCTTTCATATATATATATACACGTGTATAATTAGTAACTGGCAGCCGTGGCTCCTGAGGGTAAGGATATGGAAAAGAAGCTGACCATGATGGCTGAGAAGCTGATCGGCAGAGGGATTAACGGTGTGAACGAGTGCGTTGACGCTAGAGCCGCTTCTTATATCTCTTCGGTTCGAGAAAGGTTTAAGGCGGACCATTGTGATCAGAAACTGACGACTGTTATTAGCTTAGATGATGAAGATTGACCATTAGGATTTAAGTGGAGTTACGTAAGTCATAATTATGTACTGCTCTACGTTACTTCAAGATAAGGTATTAATGGGAATTCAAGCTTTTATTTGGGGTCTGTAATAAGTAGGCGAGGTTGTAAGTTACTTTCTAAATATACTCTTTACTTAAAACCAAAAAATAAAATTCAAGTAATGGCAAACTTAATTATTGTATGACAATACATATATTAAGATCAGCTGAGAGGTTGTAATTAAACGCGCTTAGTTATCCTAATAATTAAATTAGCCCATGCTGCATACATGTTACATGGTTCATAAAAATGGTTATTAATTCCACAAGGAAACCAGAGAAGGGGCCATGACGTGTGGGGGAAGGTAGGGTTAAACTAGGCGGCGTAGATGTGGATGTGAAGGGCGATGAGGGAGATGGTGATGAAGGCGAAGAAGAGGAGAGTGTGGATGACAATGGAGGGGCCGCTTGTCTGAAACCCACCGAACTCAACCGCTTTGCTCTTTCCGGGCAGCTGAAACAGAACTCCAGGGCTCAACAGGATGAAGAAAATTACCGACATTAGCACCGGTCCCCAGTCCAACCCCATCTTTGCTTTCTGTTTCTTCTCTACATATGTCTCTCTCTATATATACATCTACCACTTTATGTGCTTATATTTATAAGGGTTTCTTTGAGAAGTAGTACGTTTTCAGAACTTAATTAGAAAAGCAGTACAATTACTATTCAATATTAGCAGGAACTTAATTAATGTATGCCTGCATGTGAGAATGAATATAATTATCATCTTGATGTCACGATTAATTAAAGAATATGTGGCTTGGGCTGGACAAAAGTGGAGGGTTCTTCTCAAGTTTGTACGATGAAGGAAAGAACTATTCTCTGTCGACTGATCATTTTAAATAACATCTATTATATGTATAAAACTTAAATTTCAATATTTTGATAGTACTTTGCTTGTTTTAAAGACCAAGCATATGATTCTCCTCTTCAGGCATTTCAATTCATAAGCTCAAATATAACACGTACGTATATGCTAAATTAATTTAATGCCAACTATAACACGTTACGTTTACGTTCTTGCTCCACTTATAAGTTTATGGGAATACAATTGTCCATCCGCATGACGGATGCAAAATTCCTGCAACATATATATAAGTCATATATATGCTGAAGTAATTTTAAAACGTAAATCGCAAAAAAATATATAATCACAAAAATAAACACAAAATCAGACTAATTAATGCCATAATTTTATGATGCACTAACGCGGTTACCCAATCAAATCAGGTAGTAATGAAATGGGGATAAGATCCACATGAGGAAAGCAAAAGAATCGAAACCAAACCAATAAACCGCAATCAAGTATCAAACACTTTTTAACTTTATGTAAAGTTTATATACATAGCCACTAAATGTGGTCTGTTAAAGAAGCCACATACATATATCTATCCAACAAGAAAAGAAGATACCAATCAAGTCTCAATCTGCCTTCTTTTGTCATCCTTAAATAATCTCAATAGTTCCTGAATTTTTAAAAAGTAGTAAAGTACACACCTATAGTCACACGTTCATACATATACCAAGTGCATTATATATAAAATGTTGCTCTAAGTAGTTCTCTGCTGACACCTAATAAGACGATCGAATCTTTTTGGAGCTCTAATTGAGGTAGATATGGGAGGAGCGGACTGGGGGCCGGTGGCTGTTGCGGTGGTGCTGTTCGTAGTGTTATCGCCGGGGCTTCTCTTTCAGTTGCCAGCGAGGAGGCGAGTGTTGGAGTGCGGCAACATGACCACAAGCGGCATCTCAATATTGGTTCACGCCATTCTCTTCTTTGCTATAATCACGATTTTGGTCATCGCCATTCAAATTCACATTCACATCTAACGTATCTTTACTTTAATCACCTGCTTATGTTTGTAGTATATATCCTTGCTAATATTGTTAGATATACATCTCTCATGTGTTTGTTTTGTTGTTGTTTCCTATTAAGATAAAAGTTTACAAGTAAACTTGTGAAACTTCCCAAAAAGAACTGCCTGAAGAAAATCAAAAATAGAGTGAGAGTACTAGCTAGTACTGGTAGTAATTAAAATACTTGAGAAGAAATAAATGTTTGGTTTGCCTCGTTATGTAGTATATTATAGTATATTATGTTATGTTCCCACGATTCATTAAAGAAAAATAATTAAAACTAAAGATTGCATTCGTATCAGCAGCATTTATGGCGGATGATTGCGATTATTAATGCGTGTAAAACGTGTTTGATTTTGTTTCTTTTTAACTTTCTTTGTCGAAACGAATCATTGCCGTAAATAATCAATATTTGGTTAGAGGGAGCAATCACTCTAGTCAATTCGCGCGTGTAAGCAATCGCAAATTCGCAATAATCGGTGTTTCTTGACATGTAGATTTGTTATGAAATCCCTAATATATACAGTATATATATACACTTACAAAATAAACCATGATCTCACAATCGATAAGGAAACCAAAAATATAGAAAGTAATGACAGAACGAGGCTAAAAAATATTAAATGCATCACCAGATCAATTATATGTGGCTGCATATATATGGGATTTATTTTATATCGTCGATCAAACGCAACCTGTGTTGCAAGACATATTTGTTCTCTCTATTCAGAAAATATCTAAATTAATAAAAAAGCTACTACTAGTAAAAATTAGTAAACATTGGTGGTGATCAACTGAGTGAGATTTTCTTTAAGAATTATAATAATTAATTAAGAACTAGAGAGATCATGAGTCATGACCAACGGGGTGGACAAGGCCAAGTTGAATCCTTTTTTTTTTTTAAACATTTGTTTTATGACAGTGTTAATTTTTTCCTTTTTGTCGGCTAGTATAATCAATTTGTTTTTTTTTTCTTTGTCGGCTAGTATACTAATTTTTTTTAGTTATCCGATTTAAATTCAACTTTCTAATTAAGACCTGTAAAAATGTTTTGAATAAAATACTAGTATAATGGGAAATATATCGTTTTATGTTTTGTCTACTTACAGCTTACTATACTAAAACATTTTTTTAAAAAATATTAAAACCTGATTAACTTACTTTTTTTTGTTAAAAAAAACCTGATTAACTTACGTAAGTCTTGTTACAAGACTCTTGTGAAAGATTAAGAAGGAATCTTGAATACAGTATGTATCATCAACAGACAAATTAAAAAGCTTGATCATAGTTGACAAAAAAAAAAAAAAGGCAGCATCTGAAAGAAAAATGGCGAGGACGACGCGAGAAAGAGTGAAATCGTTCATAAACAATAGATGGCTTGTGTTTGTTGCGGCCATGTGGATTCAGTCTTGCGCTGGCATCGGTTACTTGTTCGGCAGCATCTCTCCTGTCATCAAGAGCTCCCTCAACTACAACCAGAAGCAGCTCTCCAGGCTCGGTGTCGCCAAAGATCTCGGCGATAGTGTCGGCTTCCTCGCTGGTACTCTCTCCGAGATCTTGCCTCTCTGGGCCGCTCTTCTTGTCGGCTCTCTCCAGAACCTTGTCGGCTATGGCTGGGTTTGGCTTATCGTCACCGGTCGAGCTCCCATTCTTCCCTTATGGGCTGTGAGTTTCCCCTTTATTTATACTCTTTTTCCTCCAACCTTTCGGATCCATCTGATTCTATTTGAGGACTTTCTTTCTACTAAAGTTTGCTTTTTTCTGTTTGGAGAATCTCCCAAAGTTTGCTTTTTTTTATAAGGTTGTTGTTTGATGAAATGGCTGTCAAATCTGTGAGAGATCCTTCTGTAGCTTGGAAATTTAGTTCCTTCACTGTTTCAAACGAGTTGACTAAAAGTAGAAATTTCAGGAGGATACTATTATCTGTCTAGTGTCTACTAAGAAACTTTCTGGTTGTGAAACTGCAATATATATGAATATCTCCTGGGATCCACTTTGGTCTTTGCTCGACGTTCCTTTTACAAGCAATTCATCTACATCATCTGAATCTTTGTCATCTTTCAGATGTGTATCCTCATTTTTGTTGGGAACAACGGGGAGACCTACTTCAACACCGCTACATTAGTATCTGGTGTTCAGAACTTTCCCAAGAGTCGTGGTCCTGTGGTCGGTATTCTCAAGGGGTTTGCTGGGCTCGGCGGTGCCATTCTCTCCCAGGTATACACGATGATCCACTCCTCTGACCGTGCATCACTCATCTTCATGGTTGCTGTTGCCCCATCAGTTGTTGTTGTTCCTCTCATGTTCTTCATCAGACCCGTCGGTGGTCACAGGCAGATCCGTTCTTCCGATGCCACCAGCTTCACCATCATCTATGCCGTCTGCATTCTACTTGCTGCCTATCTCATGGCAGTGATGCTTGTTGAAGATTTCATTGATCTTAGCCATTCAATCATCACTGCTTTCACCATTGTCTTGTTTGCAATTCTTCTTGTACCCATCTTCATACCAATCGCAACGAGTTGCTTCACAGCATCAACCAACCCGTGTGACACGCTCGAAGAACCTCTCGTTGGAAATCAGCAAAGCCAGGATCCAGGACAGTCCACCACCCCTGACCATGGTCCTGAGCTTATACTGAGCGAAGTGGAAGACGAGAAACCAAAAGAAGTAGATTTGCTTCCTGCATTGGAGAGACATAAGAGAATTGCTCAGTTGCAAGCAAAGCTGATGCAAGCAGCTGCAAAGGGTGCTGTTCGGGTCAAGAGACGGAGGGGGCCTCACAGAGGCGAAGATTTTACTTTAACTCAGGCACTCGTGAAAGCCGATTTCTGGCTCATTTTCTTCTCCCTCTTGCTCGGTTCTGGTTCGGGTCTAACGGTAATAGATAACCTTGGGCAGATGAGTCAGTCTCTCGGTTACGATAACACTCACGTTTTTGTGTCCATGATTAGCATTTGGAACTTCCTTGGACGCATTGGTGGCGGATATTTCTCCGAACTCATCGTCAGGTATGATACTGTCCCTTAAGAAGGACAATGACATTTGGCTGTGAAATTGATTGTGGTTCGAAATGATTTGCAGGGACTATGCGTACCCAAGACCGGTTGCTATAGCAGTGGCTCAGCTTGTAATGTCAGTAGGACACATCTTCTTTGCATACGGATGGCCTGGAGCTATGCATATCGGCACACTATTGATTGGACTCGGCTATGGTGCTCACTGGGCCATCGTCCCAGCCACTGCCTCTGAGCTCTTTGGTCTAAAGAAGTTTGGAGCTTTATACAATTTCCTGACGCTGGCCAACCCAGCAGGGTCATTAGTCTTTTCGGGTCTAATCGCAAGTTCCATTTATGACCGCGAAGCAGAGAGGCAAGCACAAGGATCCTTGTTCAATCCTGACGACGTCCTGAGATGCCGGGGTTCCATCTGTTACTTCTTGACGTCACTGATAATGTCTGGATTCTGCCTCATTGCAGCCGCCTTGAGTATGATTCTTGTGCAACGTACCAAATCGGTTTACACAAATCTCTACGGCAAAACCCGCAGCTGATTTTAAGATACCATATTACGAAAATATCCCACCAAGAAAAAAGCTGGGTTCTTTGAGTTTCATACCTATGATTGTGTTCATCACCTTATTCTTTGGCTTGGTCTTCCACTTCCCCATACATGTGTATTTGTTTATGTAACGATTTTTTGTCCGGTGTTGTGTATGGATTTTGGATTTACATTTGTAATAATTATCTTCACATTATTCATATTCTCCAGCTACAAGGTGTCTGTCTTGTGTTTAGATGTCAAACAAAGACCTAATCTGTGCCTGTATCTGTTTTAAGTGCCAGAAGCCATAAGATCTTGGCGCAGGGGAGAATCGTTGTCCTCAACCACCATCCAAGGCAATATAGGTCCCTGTACAAACCAACCACGCGGATGCGTTAAGGTCCTTGGATGGATGAAGCACAGAATGTTAGGTAATCTATTACCTTCCCTTGCCGTATGACCTTGGGATATGGTCCTGTCATATCCACGATGGTTGACGGTTCAGCCACTCGTACACCTCCATCTACCAGAAAATCCAGACCCTGTAAAAGGAAAACGAAACTGAGAGTAGAGCAAGGAAAGAGCTTCTTTAGTCACTGAGAGTGGGTGACAGCTATAAATACCTCTGGTCCATAGATCTCACCGATTGCGGTTGGGTCAATCATCCATTCATTTTCTTTTGGCCCTTTCACACTGTCATTATTAACCACACCAAAACATTACAACTATAGACAAAACTTGGTTGAAGAGTCCACAATCTTACAATAGTGATGAGATAAAGAAGATATAAACCTTGTGGAAATCAGTGGGGAATCCATCTCGTGCAGAATAGCTTGGCAGAGAGGGTCATCAGATATGCGGACACCCACGTTTTTCCTAGATGCATATTTCACACTTGTGGTGCCATACCCTACACATTGTTTGGGTAATTCTTTGCTAGCAGTCAAGATGAAGGTGTACTGTTGAAACAAATGGCAAAGAATGGATATGAGAAAGTGTACTGTTGGGATATTGCGAATATGTTGAGTATCCATAATAGCCCTTATCATCATCAGTGGGAGATAGAGTAGAAGAGAAGAAAGAAGAAGAGTCACTCACAGGACCAGGTAAGCATTGCTTGACAGCTCGAAAAACGTTAGCATGACCATGACCATCACCACGAGGAAAGCCCATAGTAAAGGTGTCAATATCCCGTAAGGAACGGCATAAGATGCTAAGTGGCTGCATAAGTTGACAAGGCAAACCCAAAGAAGAAGATACTTGATATGGAATATCGAAACCTATGGAAGAAGCAAGTTCGAATGAGGAAAGCAGAAGTAGTGTTCCTTGATTTTTACCTTGGAGGATTCAATCTTTTTAATCCTAAGAAAGAGAGACCACGCGGGTTACAAGGATTGGAATTAAAATGGAAAAGATGGAGAGATAGCTGCTAACCTTCGGAGACGCTCAACAGCCGAATGGTTTTTACAATCACAAACAATGGCATACCTACAGAATGAAGAAGAGAATGAGATAGATGTGAGAGGAAGAAGAAGCAAAGAGAGGAAGAGAGCTTTACACAGTATCAGTGGGAATAACACCAACAGCTCCTTGCTTGAGAAGCTCAATGACAGGTTGGAGTTTCCAGGAATCAGCACCAAAAGGATCGACCTCAATATACACCAATTCCCCCTCCTTGGTGAAACGAGGAGTAGAGTATTTGAGACGCTTAGGGCTTCTCTTGGCCGCCAACGCAACGATGGTGTGTCTCCGTGGAGCGAAAGAGGCAATTCTGGGAAGCGTCCGGTGCGTCATCGGGGAAGGAAGAAGGCGCATCGGCATCGGCATACCACCGCCGGCGTGAAGTTTGGCCACCGCCATATCTCAATTTGTTGTTGTTGAAGTCCTTTGGGCTCAATTTGGGCTCGCTCTGTTATTATTATCACAAAGAGACGCATAATGTACCTCAAACGACACCGTTTGCATCAAAATTAATTACACAGTTTACGCTTTGAAAAGACGTCACACAGCACTCAATCGTCAGTCATTTCCTCGTTATCTCCTCCACGGCGACGGTGAAAGAATGCCTGGAATTCGAGGTCCCTCCGAATACTCGCAGGAACCACCTCGTCACCCTTCTCTCAAGGTCAACGCCAAGGCAAGCTTCTTCGACCCAATCGAATCTACTGCTGCGATCGATGCCTTTTTCTACTTTACTCATCTAAATATTTTGGGTTGATCCAGGAACCTTTCAACGCTGAGCCTCCCCGCTCGGCCTTAGTCTCATCCTATGTCACTCCCGTCGACCTTTTCTACAAGCGAAATCATGGTCCCATACCCATTGTTGATCATCTTCAAAGGTCTCTCTTTCTCTCTCTCTCGGTCTTCTATCTTCAATTTTGCCACTTTCCCTCATTTCTTTTGCCAAACCAGCTACTCCGTCACCCTTACGGGATTGATCCAGAACCCGACAAAGCTCTTTATCAAAGACATCAGGTAGCTTTTATTATATGCCTCTCTCTCTCTCTCTTTCAAAAATTCTCCAGAAATCCTATCTTGTATCTCTATCAAGCACCACTACTGTTTCCTCCTCCTCAACTTGCAGGTCCCTCCCTAAGTACAATGTTACTGCTACTCTACAGGTTTGTTTCTCATTCATTCATTCTGCCCTCCCTTTTTATTCTTCTACCTTCACTTTTCTCCACAGTCACTTTTGTACCAATGCAGTGTGCCGGTAACAGAAGGACTGCCATGAGCAAAGTTAGGAATGTTAGAGGTGTTGGATGGGATGTTTCCGCTATTGGCAACGGTTCGTCTGTCTTTTCCACATTCCCATGCTTTTTATACATACTTGCCTTCAAGTAGATATCAAAGAATTTGCCTTTCAGCTGTCTGGGGTGGGGCCAAATTGGCCGATGTTCTTGAGCTTGTGGGGATACCAAAGCTGACTGCTTCTACCTATTTAGGAGGCAGGCATGTTGAGTTCGTCAGTGTTGATCGCTGTAAGGTAGATATATAAATAAATTGACCTTTTTTTTTTTATGCTTTGTTATGAATTCACATGAAAAAGTCTGTGCTCTTTCTATATCTCTAGGAGGAAAATGGGGGCCCTTATAAGGCCTCAATCCCTCTAAGTCAAGCCACTAATCCTGAAGCGGATGTTCTACTCGCTTATGAGATGAATGGAGAGGTTTGCTGTTTTTCTCTTAAATTAGTCTCACTTGTGTTTAAATCATCACACTTGTTCGACATGTGAGCTTGAGCGAGTACTCGGAAATGTGCTTATGTGTTAAAAAACGTGTTTCTTCTGTGAAGACCCTCAACAGGGATCATGGATTTCCGTTAAGGGTGGTTGTCCCTGGTGTGATTGGTGCTCGTTCCGTCAAATGGCTTGATTCCATTAATGTCATCGCTGAAGAAAGCCAGGTCTCAACAAAAGTTTCCGGCTTTTACCCTGTTTTTAGCAATCAGAAACTGTTCTAACATTTAAGAGACTTGGATCAAAATGTGGTGTAGGGATTCTTCATGCAAAAAGATTACAAAATGTTCCCACCCTCTGTCAATTGGGATAATATCAACTGGTCCTCAAGGAGGCCGCAAATGGATTTCCCTGTTCAGGTAAATACAAGTTTACCCTCTTTCTTACAGAATACTTGACTCTGTAAATTTAGGATCTTCCAATTTTCTTGCGAAGTTCATAATTCTGTTTTCTTCCATGAAAACAGTTGATGATGGTTTTCTTATTGAATCCATTGATCATTTTTCTACTGGTATCTTGAAATTGGACCAGTTGACTTATGAATTTGATCAGATAGTAGAATTTGTAATTGAACATAAGTTTCAGTTGAGTCTTGTTTTTTGATGGTTAACAGAGTGCTATCTGCTCTGTGGAGGACGTGCAAATGGTGAAGCCTGGAAAGGTTAGAAAGCCGAATTCACTACCTAATCTGATCTGACCAATGTAGGAAAGAAAGAGCTAATTCAATTTTAATTCCGTATTTGCAGGTAAGCATCAAAGGATACGCTGTTTCAGGAGGTGGACGTGGGATAGAGCGAGTGGACATATCCCTGGATGGTGGCAAAAACTGGGTGGAAGCTTCTAGAACGCAGAAACCAGGAAAGCATTACATCTCAGAACACAACTCCAGCGACAAATGGGCATGGGTGTTGTTTGAAGCCACCATTGATGTTTCAGAGACTACGGAAGTCATCGCCAAAGCGGTAAAGCCTCAACATTTTGCTCAGCTAATATGAATGGATTTTGACAAGAGTTAATAGAAAACTGTGGAAATGGTCAGGTCGATTCGGCGGCGAATGTTCAACCGGAAAATGTGGAGTCGGTGTGGAACCTAAGAGGGGTTCTCAACACTTCGTGGCACCGTGTCCTTCTCCGGCTTGGCCACTCTAACTTGTAGACCAAGTTACCACTACGCGTCTGTTCTCTCTTTACCTTTTCTTTCAAACTAAAACTTTCTTGAATATGCTTGTGGATTTGTGGGAGCAAAGTTGGGGTTTATAGTTAAATAAAATGAGAAAACCCATCTGTTGTCATATGGTGAATTATTATATGCTAGAACTGTGTTATCCATTATTATATATAGATAAAATCATATGGCTGAGCAAATTTCTCAATAATTTATTTTATACTCATTGATTGCTTCACGCTCCACCTTCTCTATTAGTCATGTTTATTTGATCTAACTTTCTTCTTAATCATTGTCACGTTTGAATTAATATGCCAAAACACTTGTCCTCCGTTAGTAACTTATATTTGACGGAAAAGTTTTAAATTTTCTTTTAATCCGAGTTATATCATCTCGAGAAGACGAGATTGGCTTGTTATAGTGATAATTCATGTTTTAGCTAGCTGCTCCATGTGTTTGATAATCGTGGCGATGGCCTTTGGTTTAATTTTCGCTCCCAAGCCTTCCTTACTAAAAATAACTTCATAAAGTAGTGTGATTTAATGTCACATCTCGTGTTTTTACCTATTTTGTTCATTGTCTACTCTCTTTTCTCGACTATGCAACTTCTATTTTTATGCTCATCCTCCCATTCTTATTTTATTAGAGTAGATATATTCGCCATCACCGGCACCGCAATTTTCGCGTTAGTCTATACAAATTAATAAAACTGATTTTTATTAGGATATGATCTCGAAGAACTATTTTAATTCACACACTTGTCGAATATTGAACGTAATGTTACAACCTAAATTACTTTATCATTCGATGAAATAATATACTCTGGAAGATTGAAGAAGCAAGAGGATTATTTAAAAAAAAAAAAAAGAGAGAGAGAAAGATTGGGTGGTAAAAAATAATGGAAAGTAACTATAAATTATTGAGGAAAGTCTTTGAAAATAGGAGTATTTTATACATAAGAAATAAAGCATATACTAATTTATTATATATGAATGGGATCCATATTGAAGATGATGAACTCAAGCTCGTGCGTCAAATATCTATTGACCATTTCCTCCTGCCTCCTTTGTCGTTTTGAAGCTCATCAACAATGGAAGCTTCAACTCTCATTCTTCTTCTAATCATTGTGCTGTTGCTTGTCTCTGCGGGAAAACATGTGATATATCCTTGCCGCAACTCTATACCGAAAACATACCCGGTTATCGGATGCTTAATTTCATTCTATACCAACCGCAACCGGTTACTGGATTGGTATACAGAGCTCCTAAACGAATCCCCGAGTAGGACGGTAGTCATTCGCCGCTTAGCTTCCCGGAGAACCGTAGTGACGGCGAACCCCTTGAACGTGGAGTATATCCTCAGAACAAACTTCGACAACTATCCCAAAGGCAAACCCTTTACGGAGATCCTCGGAGATTTTCTCGGCAAGGGAATCTTTAACGTTGACGGAAACCTCTGGTTAAAGCAGAGGAGACTTGCTACTCACGATTTCACCCCAAAGTCGCTGAGAGAATACGTCACCGTTTTGAGAAACGAGTTCGAGAAGGAGCTCTTAGCATTTCTAAACGCAGCTGCGGAAGATTCACAACCCTTCGATCTTCAGGAGCTTCTCCGTAGGTTCACTTTCAATATTGTATGCATTGTTTTCCTCGGGATCGACCGTTGCTCTTTAAACCCGTCGTCGCCTGTTTCTGAGTTCGACCGAGCGTTCCAGACAGCTTCTGCGGTTAGCGCTGGACGCGGTTCCGCACCGCTGTCTTTTGTGTGGAAGTTTAAGAGACTGGTAGGTTTTGGATCTGAAAAAGAGCTCAGAAACGCTATCGGACAAGTTCATAGCTGCGTCGATGAGATCATTCGGGAGAAGAAGAGGAGGCCTGCCAACCAAGACTTTCTGTCGCGGTTGATCGTCGCCGGAGAAAGCGACGAGACAGTGAGGGATATGGTAATAAGTATCATAATGGCGGGGAGGGATACCACATCGGCGGTAGCCACACGGCTGTTTTGGTTGATCACCGGTCACGAGGAAACCGAGCACGATCTGGTTAGTGAAATCCGATCGGTTAAGGAGATAACCGGGGGGTTTGATTACGAATCATTGAAGAAACTGAGTTTGTTGAAAGCGTGTTTGTGTGAAGTGATGCGATTGTATCCTCCGGTGCCGTGGGACTCCAAACACGCCTTAACCGATGACCGGTTACCAGACGGTACGTTGGTGCGTGCAGGAGACCGGGTAACGTATTTTCCATATGGTATGGGGAGAATGGAGGAGCTTTGGGGGGGAGATTGGGATGAGTTTAAACCAAACCGGTGGGTTGATGAGTCGTCCTATGATAAAACCTGCAGCAGAGTTTTGAAAAAGGTGAATCCGTTCAAGTTTCCGGTTTTCCAAGCCGGCCCAAGGGTTTGTCTCGGAGAAGAGATGGCGTACGTGCAGATGAAGTACGTTGTGGCTTCCATACTTGACCGGTTTGAGATCGAACCGATCCCTACGGATAAACCGGGTTTTGTGGCGATGCTCACGGCTCACATGGCTGGTGGGATGCAAGTCCGCGTTCGACGGAGAGATCCTTCTCTTTCTCCTTGAATATACAACAAAGTCATGGATCATGGCTTTCTTTTTTGTGTAAAACGTCTCCATGATCATTAATCATACCCAAATCTGTTTTCTGCTTTGGGTAAACAACCCAACTTTATTTTTATTTTTTTAACCTTCAAGTCATAAATGTCTCTACTAAATTTTGAGATTTGAAGAAAAATCAATCAACATCAGTCTACTTATTATACTTTGTTTGAAAAATGACCAATTTTGCATTTGTTATCATCTTGGGATGATAACTATATTAAAAGTTCAACGTGAGAGAACAATCCTTGGTCTTTTTCTATCCATAATAATACGTACGCTATTATTATTCTACAAGACTAGATCGAGCCAATCGAAAGTCAATACGTGGAATTTAGAACAAAGTAACATGCAATCTACAAAAGAAATTGAAAACGTCAAATATTTATCTTTCTTATATTTTGTCGCATATGATGCACGAGCTACAAACCAAAGTAAAAAAAAAAACTCTTGAAGCTTGAGTAACAATGCTTCACTTAGAAAAAAACCTCAAGGACCGTATGGCAGCATCTGGACCTGACTTGTAGTTAAAAGTAATGAATTCATGAACTTCTTGGCCCATCTTATCCGCCTGCTGGCTTCCGGTTCAAGTAACGTATGGCAGCATCTTCCACCCTGCAAGAGAATCCTCAGTGAGTGTAAGAGAAGTGATAAAAAGCAGAGTAGCAGAGAGTATTACCATGGCTGGTTGAAGAACTCTGATCGCCCTTCTTTCTCAGCGTTTCGTCTTGCTTCTCCTGCTACAAGCTTCAGATCTTTGGTCTGAGATTCGATTAAGGCATTGGTGAATTCCACCGGTGACTGGCTAAACCCCAAGAAAAACGCTCGTCTCCTTCTGTGCTCGTGGATTTTCCTTAAGGCTCCGCATATGGCTTCATCACATGCCTCAATCTCTTTGTTCTTCTCTGCATTAGCCAGCAGATTGGAAAGCTCCCTATGGACCGGTAGCGGTATGTCCACTAGCACATCGTAACATGCTGAGATGGCTGGATTGTTCCCCGAAAGCTTGATCTTGTGTACAAGAGAAATGGGAGGCGGAGGTGATAGGTGCTGAGATATCTTATGAGAGAGCATAGTGAATTTCATCTTCTCTTCCCCAAAAACTCTGTGGAGAGCAGCATCACAGTTAAAGAAAGAAGGGTCGTTAGGGTTTTGCAGTTTCCTGGCTTTCACGTAATGCCAGATTGCCGCAATGATCCTTGGGCGAGTGTCAACCTCAATGCCCAAAACTTGCATCAAAGCAGGAGAAGTCTTGAATTTTTCAGGGACGTAATTCATCTCCAACAGTATCTTAGCTGCAAATTCCTGACACCCTATCCTCTTGATCTCAAACCCTTCCTGAGGAGCAGGGGATCGAGCATTCTCCCATTCAATCAGATGGTTCTCAGGATACAGGCTCTCGTCCAGGGATATCTTTAGCGTTTTTAAGAAAGACGAGAACTTGGGATAAAGAGGGTTTGAACTCTGAACTAATCCACCAGCGTGGTCAGGATCCAGGATCCTGCCGAAAATCTTAAGAGTCCAAGTGGGCGGGTCATTCCCAGGGATCTGGTTAGAAAAGGTGTTGAAAACGTAGATCCTAAGGGTTTTGAGTATGGAGGGAGGGTTTTTAAGGGAGTCTTGGATGTCAACTTTCTTTCTAAAGAGAGCTGCATCAACCCGAGACTCGAACTCAAGAAGCTGTGTGTAGAGAGCAGACTCGGGCAAGACGGCTGCAACGCGCTCCTGCAAGGACTTGTTGTGTTTCTTTTTCCGGGAAGCTGGAGTCAACTCTAGACTACTAGGAAGAACACCAACACCAGGAGGTCCTCCAACGGGCGGTCTAGGTGGTGGGAACCTTTTAAAATTGAAAGTGGAACTTCCAGGAGATGAACCCAAAGCACCAATCCCTTGGCCTTGAGAGAGCTGAAACTGAGGTTGAAAGTTAGGCGGCGCCATGTGTGAGTGAGCAAACGTTCCAAAAGGTGAAGGCAGAGAGCTTTGAGGCTTTAGTGCATTATTGAAGTCGTTATTCCCAGACATTGGTGATCACAAAAAAAATTGAACAGAATCCCAATTGGTGTCTCTTTCAACACTAGTTACTCAGTACAATTATGGCTAGAACCTCTAAATCACAACACAATCCCTACCGAATTTTGCCCTTTCTAAACCCTAATTTAGTGTAGGAGGAGAGAGCCCTAATCCCCGAATTCTAAGAATAAGATATAGAACAAACTCTTCTCAAAATACAGCAGAAGACGCATACTCTAAACTCCAGAAGAAAGAAAACAATTCGATTCCCTTATTCATCTTCGTTTCTTCGTCGAAATACTTCTCTAGAAGAAAATAAAAAAGAAAGACACAGCGGACCTATCAATGCCCACCCGAATTCTTTAACCGGGTCAAAACCCAACCCATTCATGAAAGGCCCAACGGCCATGGTCCATAATTAGATGGATCAAAATTGCTTATCGGCATAGAGTTGGGTTTTAAAAGAATCTCTCAATGGATTCGGACATTACTCTCTAATTCCATGATTATAGGAAAAAATCAAATAGAATCTTATCCAAATTATTAAAAAAAAAACTCTTAAATCTACACCAATTTATTTCCAGATACATATTGTATCACTTTTGTCCCATTTCTCAGTTAGTTCTGTAAACAATGATATTGATCATGACAAAAAAAACCTAAGATCATGACAACTTTTTCTCCCTTTTTTCTTTTCCAAATTATTTAGTCAATATATCATTTTTTTAAAATCAATAATATATCATCTTTTTAGAAAGTTTTACAATAATTGTTGACAAATTATAAACAAACACATCTACATCTTAGCAAATTCTATAATATTATTGTTATTAATTACAATGATTATGCTCAACAAATTAAAACCTTACAGATATATAGATTAATGCAATAATTTACAATAAAACACTAAGAATATTGTTCATCACCGGTCCAAGTCACCTTAACTTTGGGACCAGTTGGACCATTTTGACCAAGCACTTCTAAAGGAATTTTGTTTATGAGTTTTCGCAAACCTTTCCGTAAAAAGATCGGCAAAATCTTAGCTACAGAGTTGAGAAACTTGTCAATGTTGTAATGGACTCGAGGTCCCCATTTCCTAAAATAGTTCAGCCACGGTGGCTCAACCACGCCCGGCCCCGCAATCACTTCATATCCAATACTTGCGTCAAAGAATTTGTCGCTTCTTGCCATGTCGTTCCTTATTCCACTTTTGCCGCCGCCTTGCAGCACGACTCCAGGTTTGGAGAACATTGCATGGCCATGGAGAGACGAATATACTACTGGTTTGTTTCCACCTTGCACGAACTCTAGATCGCATGCATCCACTAAAGTTCCTCCACTGTGTTCAGAAAAGTAAACACGCCATAACTCACCATTGAAGTTGCTGATGCGCAATGTAACATGTTCCCAGTCTCCAACATGCTCGCCAATATTTCCTAGAGACATGCTCTTGATGAATAAAAATTTCAAATGTGCATTTCCGTTATAGGGGAAGAATAGCCATACAACAATATCTGTGAAAGTAGCTCCAAACATCGGTTTGATGTGTAGATACACCTTAGTGCTCCCTAAATCTCCCCTCTTGACCTTTTCTTTTGCCTTTTTATCAACTACATAATCTAACCAAAATAAGTCATCATCGCAGCCACCTTGTGGAAGGTTTGAACCATTTGGATGTATCAGGACGGGGTTGGATTCGTTTCCTTTCTGGTATAGCAACGCACCATTAGCGAAAACCCAATCGACAGAGGAAGGAAGAAAATCTTCTTTTGGGTGTAAATATATCCAAGGAGAATATGTTTGAAACAATACTCTAGTTTGGTTTTCGCTTGGCATGCTCGACAAGTCAAATTTTGTATTTTTCAAGCAGAATAAAGGAGGAGGGAGAAATTTTAGGTTTTTGAAACTAAATGTCCCTGTGTACACACCTGTTGCTTCTACTCCTCTGGTGGCTGGTCTCAAACTAGAAATAGTCATATCTTTTATCCTCCATACCCATGTATCAGCTTCACTTTTTTCTGTAAGATCAGATCGAACGCAGTTTATAGAATCTTGTCCCAAAGAAGGCTTCATAGGAGAAGTAGTAACATATAGACCCACCGCTTGATACCCATTAGGACATAGGGGCTGCCAAAAATATGCTGGCCCATCTTGTTTAATAATCTGTAATGTAGTGTTTCCAACTTCAGTGTAGTCGACTGGTGGTCTTAAATTACTTCCGGATACGTCTTTTGCAACAAGAATCCAACCGAAAAGCTGTCGGTTGTTGGGTTGTGCATAGAAGCCAAGTTTTAAAAAGTTACGAGGAAGAGTAGTAGGTTCGAAGATGCTGACTCCCATGTTATTCGGCCCTCCTTCGTAAGTTCTCCACACTCTGTGTGATGTTGAGTTTGAGATAGAGAGTTGAGCAACCTCAAGACCTCCCAAATCAATGCTTCTTTTGCCAAAATTTCCACCATCGGAAGGCATACTAGGCAAAAGACTAGGAAATTCAAACGTTGTTTCCACCGGTAAACCATTAGACAAAAGATATGGATATTTGAAAGTATATCCTAAAGAATTTACATTGGAACTGTTAGTTAAAAGGTTACTTCCAGTTTCAGCCCATGACAATTGCTTAACAAATAAAACAACAAAAAACAATAGAGATTTGAGGTAGGTTTCAATCAAGAATTGCATTTTCTTAGGTTAGTTAATCATTTTAAGATTAGGTGAGCAACCTTCATTCCCTACATATATAAATTATAATTCTATGACAGAAAAGGAACACATGAAACAGTTGATGACTACAAAAAAACAATTATGCAAAAAACCAACTAATGATAAAAGAAAAAAATGTTGCATATTTTCAATATGAAAAGAAATCTGTAATTAACCTAGAAATACAATGGATGTAAATACTTTTACAAAATTTCCAAATTTATTCGATAATCTTAAAAAAATCTGAATGTATTATATTTTTGTGATAGTCAAAGAAACATGACATCATAGATGGCTACGAGGAGATTCTGAATTTGGTTTTTAGAGGAGATTAATTTGTTTCTTAAATAAGTAATCACATCAGAATTTTTTTTTTTACTTATTACTTTTCAGGCACACCATATATAATGTGGGAAAATTAAGACAAGATATCCATATAATTATTATTTCTTCTTTTTTTTTTTCTTTCAAGATTTTGGTCTGAATATAAACACCTCAACATTGTTTGTGCTAATTTGATTTTTTTTTTTTTTTTTTTTGAATCAGTAGTCATCTTAATTAAAAGTGTTCTGAGTCCTTTTTAAAAAACGGATTGCACTTATGCCAATTTCTATCTTTAATCTGATATGTAACAAAATAAAAATGTAACCAATTGTAATAAATTGTTTATCTTAATCAATTAGACACGAATGAATGAAAAATTAGTCATCAGCGGTCCAAGACCTTTTGACTTTGGGTCCAGTGGGACCATCTTCTTCAAGCACTTCACGAGGAATTTTGTAAATCAGTTTTCTGAATTTTTTCCGCAAAAGTCCCGGCAATGACTTTGCGATACCATCAAGGTTCTTCTGAATGTCATGTCGGACAAATGGTCCCCATTTCCTAAAATAGTTGAGCCACGGTGGCTCCTCAATGCCCGGTCCTGCAACCAGCTCATAAGCAACACCTGCGTCAAAGAATTTGTCACTTCTTGCCATGTCGTTCCTTATGCCGTTTCCGCCATCGCCCTGCAACACAAGTCCTGGTCTCGAGAACATTGCGTGTCCGTGAAGCGACGAGTAGCTCACAAGTTTGTTTCCACCTTGAAACTCAAGGTCGCATGCCTCCACTAAAGTTCCCCCACTGTGCTCAGAGAAGTATGCGCGCCATAACTCTCCGTTGAAGTTGCTGATGCGCAACGTAATATGTTCCCAGTCTCCAATATGTTCGCCGATATTCCCCAGCCACAGGCTCTTGATGAATAAAAACTTGAGGCGGGCATTGCCGTTGAAAGGGTAGAATATCCACACGACAATGTCAGTGAACGTGCCTCCAAACATTGGTTTGATGTGTAGATACACTTTCGTGTTTCCTAAGTCTCCCCTCTTAACCCATTCCTTTGCGTTCTTATCCACCGGATAATCTAACCAGAATAAACCATCATCCGAACCGCCTTGCGGAAGGTTTGAACCGTCCGGTTGCACAGGGACGGGGTTGGATTCGTTGCCTTTTTGGAATAACAGGGCACCATTAGAGAAAAACCAATTGACAGAGGAAGGAAGAAAATCTTCATCTGGATGCAAATATATCCAAGGAGAATACGATTGAAACAAAACGCTAGTTTGATTACGGCTTGGCATGCTAGACAAGTCAAATTTTGTGTTTTTCAAGCAGAACAGAGGAGGAGGAGGAGGGACGTTTAGTGGCTGGCAGCTGAATGTCCCTGTGTGCACACCTGTTGCTTCTGTTCCTCTGTTGGCCGGTCTCAAACTAGAAATAGTCATTTCGTTTGTCCCCCAAACCCATGTATCGGTTTCACTCTGTTCCGTGAGATCGGATCGAACGCAGCTTATGGATTCTTGACTTAACGAGGGCATCAGAGGAGAAGTAGTGACATATAGACCAACCGCTTGATACCCATCGGGACATAGGGGCTGCCAAAAATAAGCAGCCCCGTCTTGGTTGATATTCATTGATGTAGTGTTTATGACTTCAACGTAGCCAACGGGTGGCCTCAAGCTATTTCCAGAGACGTCTCTTGCAGCAAGAACCCAGCCGAAAAGCAGACGGTTGTTGGGTTGCGCATAGAAGCCAAGAGTGAAAAAGCTGGGAGGAAGATTGATAGGTTGGAAGATAGTGAGTCCCATGCTGTTGGGCCCTCCCTCGTATGTCCTCCATACTCTCTGTGATGTTGAGGTTGAGATGGAGACTTGGATCACCTCAAGACCTCCCAGATCTATCCTTCCTTTCCCAAAATTTCCACCACCCGAAGGGATAACAGGTAAAGCAGATGGAAACGTGAAGGCCGTCTCCACAGGTAAGCTTGTAGACAAAAGAAATGGATCCGCAGATCGGCTCTCTGTGGAATTCACATCGGAGTTGCCTTGTGCTTGGATCCAACACACATGGTTAACTATTAAAATAACAAGAAAACAGAAACGTTGAAAGGCTTTTCCAATAGATGATTGCATTCTACTCTCTTTTTAGATAATAATAGATTGCAACATTTAGGATTTAGGTACCCTTCAACCTCTATATCCTCCAAGATAGAACAGATACTATTATAGATTTTTAGTCAAAGAGAGTGTTTTAGTAAGGAATATGTAAAATGGGAAGATTAAATGCAGTCAGACATATTTATAGATGTTTTAAATTTGTCCGTTTATTTTGGGATAATCTAAGAAGTAACATCATTTTATGGTAACCATCTAATTCTAGCATCAAATGTTCAACTTCTTTATGTAAGTTTATCTGGCAAAAACAAAATATATCATTTACGAATAGCAAGGGGTTTGAATATATATTTTTATTTTTGGATCAGTGTTGACTTTGTTTATAGAAGACAAATGTAAGTTTTTAATATCTGACTTTTAATACATTAAGTGACTCTATGCATGATCTTAACTAGACATTTAAAAATCTAAGTTTAATAGTTTAATTACAACTTTTCATAATATCTGATTCTCAATCTCTTTTTGAAATAGATCCTATAGTTAATTACGTCTAATATTTGTCTCAATCTAAAGTTTTATACAATAATCTGGGGAAACTTTTATAATACTGAACTTTTGTTTTATTATCTTATTGAGATTTGTACATAAATGTGTTTTCCTACGTCCGAAAAGTAAATGTTATAGGATTTTCACCCTTATTACATAATAGTATTTTTAAAATGTTGGAGGTGAGTATCCATTGGCTAACATATATGATTTTTTTTAAAAGTATTTTTAGTATTTTTTTTTTTAGAACGTTGAGACGAACACCATCGTTCTAAAAAAGATCTAAGAAAGCACATTACAATCAGTTAACTAAAATCTGACGACTAGTATTTACATTCCAATTTGATTACTCAAACTCGGTTTCCCAATAAACATTCCATCGGAGATTCCGCATCTTTCCGTTGATCCTTTACAAATTATCTTATGAAAATAATGCATTACAACTGTCATAAGCATTATTATGACCTGAACAGGGAACAACATTGTTCGATCCTTTGGAAAACAACAATAAAGGACAAATTAAGAAACATAATGTATAGTAATTTAAGATGAAGTTTTTTTTTTTGTTTTCTTTTTTGTCTTCTTTAGCGTTGGACGTCAATGGGGGCATGACTACTCATCATATTCCGTCGCCGATCAGTGAAGCTACTACATGAAACCAAACGCGGAACGCAGCGACCATGAGCAGACGATCTCACTCTCTTGAATTTTTGCTGTCTTTCTTTGTTGTTATTATAAGGAGTGGCCGGCGCAGAGGATCTAGCAGGTGTTCTTATCCAGAGACATGCTCTTGCTTTGCCTTCTGCCACACAATCTTCTTCCTCTTCATCCTCGTCTTGTGTCTCTTTGAAAAGTTCGAGGAGTCTCTTCTTGTTATCGGTAGGAGACGGTTCTTCTTCTTCATGGGTTTTCTCCTCTCCTTGAGGAGTTTGGTCACAGAATTTGTGATGCACCGGTGTTGTTCCTCGCGACGGAGTAAATTCTGTAGTAAACTCAAATTAGTTTTCCCCTGTACGTAAATTCATTGTTAATTTAAAAAAAAAAGATTTACAAAAATCGAAAAAACAAACGTACCACCATCAACGCTCATGAAATCATCATCACAGTCGGAATCAAGCCACCCCCGTGAATCGAAAAATATCATTTCCTCTTTACTACCTAAAGAAATTAGTCCAAATCATTTTTATTATATTTTGGTAACGTACCGCAAAGAAGAGGATACTAATTTTAAAATTGTAGGTTCATGAGTGAATGTAGTATACTTATAGTTGCACACCTAAATATACGGTTGTAAATTTCTAGCAATACATTTTGTAAGAGCATGCAAATATTAACATAATTAAAGAAAAATAAGCAAATAATGGAAGTAGCTAGCAACTTGAAGTGTGGTCCATGACACATCTCTCGCTAACTGTCTATATAAGCGTTGAAGACATTCTAACCTATATCGTACGCCACCGTTGTCCACCATGTGCTGCTAAATGCTACTGTAGCAGATATATAGATAGAAGACCCGGTTGCACATTCACCCATGTTTCATTTATTTATGATCACCATATATGATAAGTCACAACAATTTTATGACTTAATATATATGTATACGATTTTGTAATTCAACAGTACTAATACTTCTTTTGTGCCTACATCTTGATTGGGTCTGAAGAAGCTAACGACTTTACATTTGTCGGCACTAAAGCAACCAATAGATTACAGCCATCAAATTACTGTATATATACTAGTATTCGTTAATTAAACATTTTTAATTATTATTGTTTGTAGACAAAACAAAAATAAAAAAAAACGCCGATATGAAAACTAAATCAAACGCAAAGAATAGTTATGATCGTATTATAATGATCAAATAAAATACCTGAATCCCGGCGACCGGAATCTATGGGAGGGATCCCGTTGACGGTGGAGGAAGTGATCATGACGTCAGTCTTGAGAGGTGAAGTGGTGTCGGGTTTAGAGATGAAAGCGGCAAGCTTAACGACGGAATCAGAGGCGGAGGAGCTCTTGCTTTGAGAAGAGGAGACACACGAACCCATATGATGATGATGATGATCTGAAAGAGAGAGAGAAAGAGAGGGAAGATATGGGTTTAGAGAATCTAAAAGGCATAGAGAAATGGAAGACGAAGAAGCAAAGATGGGATCAGGAAAGAGAGAGTGTTAATTTGTTGAATCAACTTCAAAGTGAAGTAAATGGAGCACAAAAGGGAGCAGTTTCCGATTCGGTAAGTGTCTTAATTGTCTCTTCAGTGAATTCATATTTAGGTTATGGCTTCCTATTGGTCCTAACCATCATATTGTGGACCCCCCTTTTCTAATCTAATCTTCCTAATTTTCTTTTGTCATTTTGATGATGTTGCGTTTCATGCTCTATCGCATCTAATTGGAAATATCTAGATTTTTTTTTTAAGTTAATAAATTCATCAAGTTTTGTTTTATATTAAAGGGATATGACCAATAAATTCCATAATTAAAAGGAAGAAAAAAGATCATTAGTTCCTTGATCCACAAAAAAAAAAAAAAAAGAGATAATTGGGCCAACTGTTTTGGGTGGTATATAAATGGGCCCAGCACATTATAATACGATCCATTAAAATTCGAGAGAAGTCTCTGAAATTGCAAAAAATCACCCCAACAAAATAATTATGACGATAACTCCACGTCAACATAATGGCTGATGCCACGTCATGACGCATTGTTGAGGTAAGGGCATCATCAATGGGGGATCATGTGAGGGTGTTCTTAGAGAGAATAAAATGTTAAAATAATGTAAGATCATGTGTTTAGATCTTTTGTTTAGAAGTTGATTAGTGGGAGAACATGTGTAAGATCTTAAGACTTAATAATATAATAATCTAAATTAAATTAAGATTTTACAATTATTAAAACATTTAAAAATGAAAATACAATACTAAATATTTATGAAAAAAACATTAAAAATATAAATAACAATAAACAAACAAACATATTACTTAATAAAAGCACAAAAACATTTTATCTAATTAATACATAGTTTATTGTCCAAATTTATTCCAAATATGTTGAATCAAATCCTCTTTTAATTGGTGATGTGCTTGTCTATCACGAATTCTTGTATGCCCATCACCTAAACCTTCAAGATTTGTAGCCATATTTACTGAAAACGTAAGATCCCGAGGTATTTCGGTTTCATCTTCTTGTCGGAATTCATTTTCGTCATAGAGAGTGTATGAATCTCGCTCATCTTCGACAATCATATTATGGAGTATGAGACAAGCTCTCATAATATATGCTATTTTACCTTTCGACCATAAAAGAGATGGATTTTTAATCATGGCGAATCTAGATTGCAGGACTCCAAATGCACGCTCAACATCTTTTCGTGCACCTTCTTGACGTTCAGCAAACAAACTATGTTCCGGGTGTTGTGGTTTTGGGATGGATTTAACAAATGTCGCCCATTCGGGGTAAATGCCATCCGTCAGATAGTAACCCAAATTATACTCCCTTCCGTTGACATAGTACGTCACTTCGGGAGCTCGACCGTAAATAATGTCATTAAAAACTGGAGATTGATCAAGAACATTTAAATCGTTACAAGTACCTGGCGCTCCAAAAAATGCGTGCCATATCCAGAGATCTTGTGAAGCTACCGCCTCCAAAACAATTGTTGGTTTACTGGTGCCTCGTGAATACATTCCTTTCCAAGCAGTTGGGCAATTCTTCCACTTCCAATGCATACAGTCGATGCTGCCAACCATCCCGGGAAAACCCCGCTTTTCTCCATAAAAGAGTAGCCTTCGGAGATCCTCTTGTGTGGGTCGCCGTAGGTATTCAGTGCCAAACAAGTCCACTATTCCGACGACGAAATGTTCCAAACATTCACGAGCAGTCGATTCACCAATACGTAAATATTCGTCAACCGAGTCCGACCCAGTCCCATATGCTAATAGCCGAATTGCTGCAGTACATTGTACTAGCGGTGATACACCATTTCGGAACCTTGCATCCTTTTTTGGTTGAAAATATGGAAGATTTTCACTAAGACGATTCACAATACGCAAGAACAATGACTTGTTCATTCGAAACCGTCTGCGAAATTGCCTATCCAAATAAGTCGGATTATCACTAAAATAATCGTTCCACAAACGTTCATGCCCTTCTTCCCGTTTTCTATCGATATATGTACGTTTCTTCCTCTCGGCCTGAATTTCCTCTTCCGCCGGAATTTCCTCTTCAGCAGCTTGAAATTGAGCTTGAAATTGAGCTTGAAAAAATTGGTTAAAACTATCATTATTCGGATCATAATGGTAGTGAAAATTATTGGAAGAAGAAGCCATAAAAACTTGGGAGAGATTAAACTTGGAATTTGTAGATAGAGAAAATAAACTTGGAATTTGTGGATAGAAAGAGAAAGAAATGTTTTCTTGGTTTGTTTTATGAAAGAAGTGTATGTTTGATGGAATACAATCTTCTGCTCGTTTTAAATATTTATAGAGAGTTGCAAGTTAGTGTGAACTTTGGTCTTTCATACATCCATAACGTCAAGTTGATACATGAAGACAAACACATGTGAACTTTGGTCTTTCATACAAACAAAAGCCTGTGACTCTTTAAAACATACAAAACAAATGCACGTGAGTCTGGCTTTAAAACTGTGCCTACAATCATACATTATGCTGAACTTGCCGACTCTAATTTACTTAATAAACATGATGAGTGCCACTACCAAAACACTCATACTGAAGCAAAAAGCAACTACCAATTCAGGGGCCAAGTTGAACAATGGTTTCTTCTCACCTAACTCAGTAACAAGCCTCTCCAGTTTCACCAACCTCTGATCTGAATGGTTTTGGTCTTCCTTGAACTTCATCAGTTCTGTCTCATAATCAGGTTTTGTTGGTTCAGCATCACAGCTCCACAGACTCCTCTTCACAGTCTCAGGTTGCAGATGATAGTAACTGCTATCTTCCTCCTCTTCAGAACTGTAGTCTAATGGGCTGTTTATCCCATAGTCATAGATATCATCAAGTCCCATGTCTTATTCAACCTGAAACCAAATAACAGAAAGCAAACAGAATGAAGAATGCAATCAGATAATCAGCTTGCCAAAGCTCATTAAACATGAGATATATAAACCAAAGCAATCAGGATTTAGGATGCAATAAGAATGCAATAAGAGAACAAGTTGAACAAGATTCATAAACACATAACCAAAAAACAGAAACATAGCCGATTCATTAAGACATAACCAAAAAACAGAAACATAGCCGATTCATTAAGAGAACAAGTTGAACAAGATTCATAAACACATAACCAAAAAACAGAAACATAGCCGATTCATTAAACATAACCAAAAAACAGAAACATAAACTTATCATCTAAACATAACCAAAAAACAGAAACATAAACTTATCATCTAGTGTTTATTCTAAGTTAAAAAAAGTTCAGCAACTAGCTTCTTCTTTACAACTTTGTCTTCTTCATCCAGATTTTCTTTCTTGGCAATTAGACTGTCAAGAATGGACAGCTTTTGGAGTTCTTTCATTCCCTCCAAATCCTTCTGTTTTAGCTCAAACATTTTACTAAACTCAGCAGATGGTGAAGCAGATGCATCAGATGGTGATGCAGATGCTGAGGCCTTCTCTTTACCTTTGGTCTTCCTTAATTTTTTCATTGCCTTTATGCCAGGAGGCCTACTCTCGTGCTCACCTACTACAGAGCCTGAAGATGGTGCAGCATCATTGGCTTTGCGTTTGTTAGAACTGGTTGACTTAGGAGTGGGGTTCATAGCCTCCAGGTTTAGCCATTTTTGTTCATAGCGAAGAACATTCCAAGCATACTCCAAAGCAAACTTCTTCTTGTAAATATTAGTGTAGATTTGGTGAGCATTCTGCAGAATATCCTCTTCATTCATGCCACTAGCTTTCTCATCATATGCCTCTGCATAAGTTCCACAGAACCTACTCACTGCTCTACTGATTTTTTGCCATCTTTGTCTACAAAGATCATGGCGTCTTGGCTCAGCACCACCAAGTACATGAGTACTTGATGCGTAATAATCTCCTATCCGCTTCCAAAAGGACCCTCCCTTTTGATCATTCCCAACTATTGGATCTTTAGAGGTGTTTAACCAGCCGCTTATTAAGACTAAGTCATCTTGTGTGGACCATATCCTTCTCTCCCTACGTTGTTCTGCTGTCTCTTCTGGTTGACTAGGAGGTTGACTCGGCTGTGACCTAGTTTGTGAACTAAAAGGAGGGATTTGGGAGGAACCAATGTTTGCATTGCGATCAAAGCCATCATATGGGAAGTTAAGAAGGCTGAAGTAGGATTGAGACTGACTATTATTTGGAGTATTATTTGGTTCCATAGCATTCAGAGGAAGAGAGATTATTGGCTAGAAGATAATCTGAGGAAGAGAGACTATTGGCTTGAAGAGAGATTATTGGATCAGAGATTATTGGCTAAAGTAGGTTAAGAAAGAAGAAAGTAAGATAGATGAGAGAAGAGAAGTAAAAGGTATGAGAGATTTAGTATTGGCTTGGATGTAATATAGAGAAGTTAAGAAGCTCATTAAAGTGTAGTGTTGTTAAAGACTTTTAATTCTAAATAACCATTACCTACTTCAGTCACTTCAGAAGTAAATGAAGGTCATTGAGTGTTTTTTATAAGTAAACCGATCAAGTTTGGTTGTGTTAATGCATTGAACTCAACTAGAATATCCTAAGAATTCATATCATCTAGCAATTCAGTTTTGTTAAAGCATTAAGGGTTAGGTTTCATATAAATCGGTTTTAAAAGTTTTTAAAGTTTTAAGACTATTAAGTTTTGGTTTAAAGCAGTCACTAGTTTTGTGTCAAAGCTCAAACAGTAAAAAGCACTTCAGTTTAATGTTTCAAATACTCAAATTATCCGATTAGTACACTAATTTCAGAAACTAAAATTATCAGATTAACAAGCAATCTATTTTCATCAAACCAACTTATCAGATTAGAACACTCATCAAACCAACTTTCATCAATCTACATTCATCAAACCAACTTTCATCAATCTCTATACAAAGGCTTGTTTTAGTATGACTTACCGTTTACTTTGGGGTGAAGGCTTTTTTGTTGTTGCTTATCCGGTTGAACTCTCACCCTAGTTACCTCAGCTTCGAAGATCCTCAGAAACATTGGAAAACAGGAAGTTATTGTTGAGCAAAGCAAAATTGATCTCAACTCATTGTCAAAATCCAAACTTCAAAAGCACAAAAAACAAAAAGAGATCCGTTTAGATCCCTCAAGAGCATCAGAGAAACCATAGAATCAATTAAGCTGTTGAAACCATAGATTCTTCATCCGTTGCTTCAATTCCAATTAAATCCAAAACGTTTCAAATCCAACAAAACTCAAGAGACATATCTGATTTCTTTGGCAGCGTAAATAGAGTTAAAAATCAACTAAAATCTAAGCTAGATTCACATGGAAGAAAGAGATCGCAAGCAATAATGAGAAAGCCAAAGCACAAAAGGCCAAGTTCAGAAACAGAGGGGACTACCTTGTCTATTTCGCCGGAGATGAGATTTGGGAGACAGAGGAGACGAGGATACAAAGGCGTAAGGAAAGGATTTCGACTTCGACTTCAAATCGCCGGACCTATGAATCGACAAAGAATCCATTTTTAGCGGATGAAATTCACAAAACTATGTACAGATCGATTTCTACATGGAAGAGATCTCGATTTTGGTGTTTTAATGGCCGGAAAACACACCTTAATCGGAGAAGATGATGACCAGGAAGCTATCGCCGCTTTGGAGAGGAAGAAGCAAAACCCTAGTCGCGATTTCGTTTTTTGGAGAAATGAAAATGTTTTCTCCTTTGCAAAAAAACGGATCCAATCACGGGCTGACACGTAGACAGGAACAAGGCTTAAAACAGATCTCGGGCTAGATCACTTCCTTCTGATCCAAGCCCACTATTCTTTTTTCCTCAATTTTAATATTACTAAGCACATGGGCCTAGTTCCCCCAATGCAGATGGCCTAATTTGGTGGAGGAGAGATCAGATCATCCGGGTTTGACCCAGCAGCTGCCGGATCCCTTGAAGATGGTGGTGTCGCCGAAAATAGCTCCGTCGATGCTGTCATCGGACTTCGCAAATCTAGCGGCGGAGGCCAATCGGATGATCGATTTGGGCGCCAACTGGCTTCACATGGACATTATGGTACCTACGTTTTTTTTATATGTAGCATGAATAATGAATCTCTGAATTCAGGTCAAAACTTGAAATAGTCTGATTAAATCGTACATAAGACTCTGTGATTTTGGGAATCATGATTCCTTTTAAGAAAATGGAAACTAGTTGTTGTTTTTGCTTCTTGAGTCTTGTGTTCCTTTTCCTAATCTGTTAGTCTGATTCATCTTTTGATGATGACAAAGAAACTAGTATCTGCTCTTACAAGGACCTGATTCATCTTTGCTTGTTTCATACTTATGGTCCTGTTACTCCATTTGCAGGACGGGTACACATTAACTGCCTTACCTTTGGATTCTTTCTTATTACCATCCTACCGGTTCAAACCCAGCTAGTAGTAACATTTTTTTGTTTCAAGATAGTTGGTATAACTCTGTGTTGTTCCCGCAGGCATTTTGTCCCGAATCTAACGATTGGTGCTCCTGTCATCGAGAGTTTGCGAAAGCACACAAAGTAACACTCTCCTTCCCTTTAAGCTATCCTCTTAGCATCATGTTCAAGTTTAGTCATGTCTGAACCTAAAACTTTATCATAGTGCATATCTTGATTGCCACCTTATGGTGACGAACCCCATGGATTACGTGGAACACATGGCTAAAGCTGGTGCTTCTGGTTTCACATTCCACGTCGAGGTGGCCAAAGGTATATTAGCTAGCACCTTTCCAGACTATCCTCATCTTTTATGGTTTTGACTTGAATTTCTTAATCAGAGAATTGGCAACAACTTGTCGAGAAGATTAAGTCTGCTGGGATGAGGCCAGCTGTGGCTCTAAAGCCTGGAACACCTGTTGAACTAGTCTATCCTCTGGTATGACTTTGATCTTCTGTTTGGCATTATGCTTGTTCCACGGTGCGTTCAGGTTATCATGCTTGGTCTATGACAGGTTGAAGGAACAACTCCGGTTGAAATGGTTCTTGTGATGACTGTAGAACCTGGATTTGGAGGCCAGAAGTTTATGCCTAACATGATGGGCAAGGTTATGTTGGGTCTTAACTCTATTAAAAAATTGTTCCAGCTCTGGAGATCTAATGCCATTTCATAATCTCAGTGCCATATTTTGATATTCGTGTTTGTGAACGTGGTAGGTCCGGGCATTGAGGCACAAATACCCAACACTTGATATTCAGGTAAGGCCTCTCCTTCTATAGAGTGTCAGTGTTTGATCTTTCCTCCATCTAAATGTCATCCTGGATCAGGTGGATGGCGGCTTAGGCCCTTCGACGATCGACACAGCGGCTGCAGCAGGCGCCAACTGTATCGTCGCCGGAAGTTCAGTGTTTGGAGCCCCGAAGCCAGGGGATGTCATCTCCCTTCTGAGGACCAGTGTTGAGAAAGCCCAACCCACCACTTGAGAGACTACCCATTTATAAATGTAAGATGAAAATCGATATATATCTTTCCAAAGCCTTTTATAAGTCTTTTAGCTAATAGTTTTTGTATTTTTCCTTTCAAATGGAAGCTGCACGTGGTGGCGGTGGTGCTGAGACGGCGTTGTATTCTCATCGGAATATGGTACCTCTTCGTTTCTCTCAGGATTAAAAAGCTGGTCCTTAATGTTTTAAAGTCATCTCGTGAATCGTGATATATAGTCTTGGTTCCAAGAACTGTATAACGTCATTTTGAGTTATTAATTCCCTTGCACAGAGACTATTTCATAGGAATTGGGTACCAAGGGTAGTGTGCAATGTATAATTAATAAATGTATTACGTGCAGTCATTTTAGAATGGTTAAAATTATGAATACAACATAACATAATCCATTGTTAAGTAGTAATTTTGTAGTTACCTCTCGTAAGATTCCCTTGTTTTTATTTTTGGGGTCAACTTAGGGATTTATTGCAAGATGGACCTAAGAGTACTTAGCCTTTTAGCACCTTGTCGTTGCTTTGTATGGCATGTCTTTTCAGTTTCTTGATAATGTTTTTCTGTTTTTCCCCGACTATCAATTCCCAAATCATTCTCCACACACTATGTTTTGGATTTTTACATGACCGAGCCATCGGATCTTAGAAGTTTTTGTATAATTTTTTTGGATTTGTTGGCTTAAAGCCTTTCAAGTATACTTATCACGTTTCCCAAAACGTTGATTCAATTTTAGAATGATCTTGGCCGAAGACAATAATACTAAAGTATGTTGTCATTATGTCAAAAGTCCAAATTGGTTTCAACTACAATGTGAACTGATGATCAGGTCTCTCAACCAATATTACTAGACGTTTTTGAACTTGTGGTTATTACTCTGCAAGATACTGTAGATACAAATTAATAAAATTTAGGTTTGAATCAATTCTGAAAGTCTAGATCTCCGTACTCAAATAAACTATTGCACATGCTTTTGAGACCCGATAGAAATCTTTTATCATAAAGAGAAAGATACATAGGCCACGACTCGGAGATGATACCCCAACAAGAAACTAAAAAGTGGGTCCTAACTCGGCCTAAAACTTGTTCCGAAAGAATACAATCTTCTTAGGACAAAGTGAGTTTGTACCATTTTCGATTCACTTAGCTTGGACTTTGCACTTTGTCAATGTTGTTCAGTTTACGAAGAACAGGTCCCAAGCACGAGAAGAAGTCCTTTATATAATTATATTTTTTTACTTTGGGATTCATAGCCACCCCTCTTGTCGATAAACCTCCACGGCTCTTTTTTTTTTTTTTTTTTGCTTTCCACTTGAAATATCATTAACCAATAGTATGGTTTATGACTTTTTTGGTAAGTAACCATTCTAATCTACTGTTTGAATTCAACAAGTATCTAAGTGGTGGGGAATGTTGAGTCTTTGCTCCCCAAGTTCGAATATCCGTTGAGAAAGGTTGATTTACGTGTAAACAAATATTATCAATTGTTGATTTCAAACTAAGAGAGATTATGGTTCAAGGCCTTGAACTTTCTTTACACAAAAGAAGAAAAATAATGGCAGTCATGTGTACACTGTCTTATTAATACAGGTTTATTTTTACCTAACAATTAACATAAAGACATTTTTAAGAAGATAAGGAGAAATTATCCCTTATATTTTATTCAATAAAATGATAAAACTTATCTTTCCATGATTCCCCTTTGGCCAATATATACATACATGCATTAGACTGGAAAGTGGGGAGCTCTAGAAGTCGACATGGCTGGTTCAGTTAGTAAGCAGCACATGGCAAGTCTTGTACTGATCTTGCTCTTCATCTCCTTATCATCTCTCTCTCCAACTTCAACTTCACACAGCTGTGACCCTGTACAAGAAGAAGAAGAAGCCTCCTCCTTCGGTTACGTTTGCCACTCAAACCTCCAAAAGTGCCATACTTTCGCCATTCTCATAGCCAAATCCCCCTTCCATTCTATCTCCAACCTGAGTTACCATCTGGGTCTCGACGCAGACGAGTTTGTTCCCCAAGGTCAGTTACTGTTGATCCCAATTGAGTGCAGGTGTAATGGAAGCATCTACGAGGCCAATCTCATTAAAACTTGCGTTAAAGGAGACACCTTTCGCTCTGTCTCTCAGTCTCTGCAAGGCTTGACCACGTGCCTGTGAGAGCCAACACTTTTTTTCCAACTTTGTCTTATTCAAATTACTGAAATTTATTTCTGGTTATCGATTCAGTCTGCTGTTTTCACTGCAGATCTATCAGAGAGAAGAACCTAGATATTTCCGAGGACAAGATTGGCGACAACGTTAAGCTGCGTTTGGCGATCAGGTGCTCTTGTCCACAAGAAGGCGTTTCAAACGCTAGTTTTCTCATGACGTATCCGGTGGGAGTCCACGACAGCGTTACAAGCCTGGCGGTTAGGTTCAACACAACAGAGGATGCCATTGTCTCTGCAAACAACAAATCTGGTGTCGTTCCACTCAAGCCTGCTCTCATCCCTCTTGATCACAAACCCCGGAACGTAACCACCGAGAATCGCCAGAAAAGAAAACCATCCAAGAAGAAACGGTCAAAGATGAAGCTCATGATCACTGTGAGCAGCGCGATTGCTGGAGTTTTTGGTCTTGTCACTCTCATGGTGTTTGGTTACTTACATTGGAAGAAAGAGACGCGTATGAAAACGCAAACGCAAAAGTGGATTAGCAACAAAGATCCCGAGACGCGGCAGCTGAGTCTAAGCATCCGAACCACGAGTGACAAGAAAATCTCGTTTGAAGGGTCACAGGACGGTTCCATCTTGGATTCTCACAACACTGTCGGTACCACAACGCCGCGAAAACCTGTTCTGGAGATTTACGCGTTTGAAGATTTAGAGAAGGCCACTGAGAATTTCAGTTCAAGCAATCACATCAAAGGTTCGGTTTATTTCGGTTCGCTCAAAGGCAAAGACTTGGCTATAATGCAAGTCAGTGCAGATGCAGTGAAAAGGTTCGATTTCGGGCTTCTGAACGATCAGTCACACTACTATAACCACAATCTGATTAGGGTTCTTGGGACATGTTTTAGAGAGATCGATCAGGATTCTTATCTGGTTTTCGAGTATGCGAAGAATGGGTCCCTGTGGGATTGGATTCAGAACAAATTGGCCATCAAGAATCAATTCATCGAGTCTTGTTACTGTTTCTTGGCATGGAAACAGAGGATCAAGATATGTCACGATGTCGCCATCGCGTTAAAGTATATGCATCGGATCAACTATGTCCACGGCAACATCAAGAGCAGGAACATCTTCTTGAACGAAGATCTCAGAGGTAAAGTCGGAAACTTTGGGATGTCAAAGTGCTTAACCAACGAATTAACGGAAGAGAACCTTATAGAAGGTTCCCTGTCTCCAGCTTCTGACGTATTCGCTTATGGGATTATCGTAATGGAGGTTTTGTCTGGACAAACCCCAGAGATGTTGCTTGGATTGCAAGAACAAGAGACAACATCCCTTGGGATACAAGAAACTTGTGTTTCCGAATGGAACAGATTGAGAAGTGTTCTCGGGGACAAGGAAAAGCTGAGGGAAGTGATGGACAGCACATTGGGGGAGAGCTATTCGGTTGATTCCGCATTTGACCTCGCAAGTATTGCAAGAGATTGTACTGCAGAAGAAGCCGAGTCAAGGCCGAGCGCGGCTGAGATAGCAGAGAGGGTTTCAAGATTGGTGGACGACGATGAAGACGAAGAAGATGAAGCAGTAACAGAGAGAGAGAGTACCTTAATTTCAGAGAGTTCATACAAGCCTTTGGTAAAGAAGAGTAGTATAATAGATTAAAATGATATTTGTAACTATATATGAAGGTTATTGCATCATGACCCTAAACTCGTCAAAGTTAATAATTCCATCCCTATTAAGATCGAATTGTGAAATCATAACCTCGCAATCCTTGAGACTTTTGGACTCACCCAACAAACTAAGCATCCTCTTCAAACTTTTAGGTGTGATGCCTTCACTCTCTTCATACAACTTGAAAGCTTCCTTGAGGTCCTTCTCCTTGTCTGCCTCATCTCCTTCTTCCACCAACTTCACGAATTCCTCGAGCTCCAACGATTTATCAGTGGACTCAGGATTAGGATTTGTAGTATCTTGATCAGGTACTGCACGTTTGCCAGACTTAATAGCTTCGACGCATCTTTCGATGGTAGAAAGGGATACCTTCCCTTGGTGGCTCTTGTCAAAGCAGCTAAAGACCCGTTGATAGTCGTCACGTTTGTTAACGTTCTCACTCTTCATGGAAGATGAAGAAGAAGACTTGAGAGAAGAGAAAATGATTATAGTTTGATGAAGACTAATATCTCTTAACTTTGGCACAATATATATATAGAAGATGGAGGAGAGACGTTTGGAAAACGTTGAAATGTAAGAGCAACCATGTATATTCATTCATTGTGGACCATACTTTTGTTTTAACACACGAGGACGAACTTGGTAATTTGTTTACGGCGCTAGCTACAAAGAAGAAACGCTTTGTTCCCGCGGCTTCTATGTTGACAAGTTTCTATTTCTGTTTTTTTCATGAACAAGAGTAAGTTCATCGTTATTTCGTTATTTACTAATATGCGACGACGAAGATTCCGTTGACTTTGAATAGTCTTCGCTTCATGTGAATATATATTATCTTGCTTTATACAACTTTTATATTCTAGTGTGTTTTTTTGGGTGGTTAACAATGGTTGACAATTCCGGTCGTTAGTTGGGCCTGAGATAAGAGAGGTTTGGGCCATATGGACTTAATAATAAACGTGGTTCAATGTAGTCCATTCGAGGGCAACAAATAAGAAGCGGACATGTGGTCAGTGGCAATTCCGTGGTTTCGAAGGTAAAGGAGTGGCAATTAATAAAGAAAGAAAGAAAAGAGAGTGCCAGCTGTCTCCCTTAAACCTCGGCCCTCCGTCTCCGTTCAAACCCCTCTCTCTTTAAGCTCTCTCTCTCTCTCTGTGTGGCCATTCTTTTCTCTTTCTCTCTGAATCCGCCGCCACGCCTTCACCATGGCTTGGCTGAGCCGCGTCAGAGGAGTTGTGCCGGTAACAAGGCTCGCAGCGATGCGTCGATCGTTTGGATCAGCGGCCGCCTTGGAGTTTGACTACTACTCCGATGACGAGTACTTGTACGGAGATGATGGCCGTTGCGCGGAGCCGAGGCTTGGGTTGGATGGATCGGGGCCGGATAGAGGAGTGCAGTGGGTGCTCATGGGAGCCCCTGGAGCTTGGAGGCACGTCTTCGCCGAGAGGCTCTCCAAGCTTCTTGAAGTTCCTCACATTTCCATGGGATCCCTTGTCCGTCAAGAACTCAACCCTAGATCTTCTCTCTACAAGGAGGTACTGTTTGTCGTCTCCTCTTTGAATTGAATTGATTCGCGTTCTCTTTCCCTTTTTATCTTATGCTTTTCTTTATCCGTTGAAAATCTTATGAATTGATTTTGATTCATAAGCTGTTTTGATTAGAGATAATTGGCTAGATTATGATCACCTAATGTAAATTCTTGCTGTTTATAGAGTTTGATTCCAAAGTGCTTTAAATGAAGCACAGTTTTGGCACATTAATGTTGTTGACAAATTACGTAGCTTAGCCTAAATAGGTAATCAAAGAAACTTGTATAGAGAGAAACTTGTATAGAGAGAAACTTGTATAGGGGTTTGTGGTTTGTAATGTTTTTTTTATTCGTTAAACTAATCAAAATTTATGGTTTAATTATAGATTGCAAGTGCTGTAAATGAACGAAAGCTTGTTCCAAAGAGTGTTGTGTTTGCGTTGCTATCAAAGAGGCTCGAAGAAGGCTATCTTAGGGGGGAAACTGGTTTCATCCTTCATGGCATTCCCCGCACTCGTTTTCAAGCCGTGAGTTTCTTTTCAAACAGTGTTTTGAATCTGCGAAGCTCTTATTACACACAAACACATTTAATAGAGATCCTCAATTCAATTGTGTTTTAGTGATTCCTCAAGTTGTTGTTCTGAATGTTTTGCAGGAAACTCTTGATCAAATCGCTCAGATTGACCTTGTTGTCAATCTCAAATGCTCTGAAGAGCATCTGTTAAACCAAAATACTCTAAACGAAACCGCTCTGCCTCGGCAAGAGTTCCTCGGCTCTATGTTACACTCACCTGTTGCAATCAATGCTCGGAGGGAGACTCTCGGTGTCTACGCACAGGAGGTACTTTTCTGGTTTATGATCAATGTCTTTGTTATTTATCTAGTTTACAAGGTGGTTTCAGCTGAATTTTGTTGTGTGGTGATTCAATCAGGTGAAGCCCCTGGAAGAATACTATAGGAAGCAGAGGAAACTTATAGACTTTCATGTTGGCGGTGCCACATCAGCAGAAACATGGCAGGGCTTGTTGGCAGCTTTACATCTGAAGCAGGTGAATTTGCCGACTTCACAGAAGCTGACTTTGTGATGATGAACTACACAGTCATACGGCAAAGGCTAGAGTTAAATCCTCTTGAGCTTTGCTTTATAAATTTTGATCTTTTTCTTTCATTTTATGGGTCTTTTTTTGTTTTGTTTTCAAAATCTGTAATTCAAGTTTTGCGAGAGATCCAAAGTGATGAGGATGATACACTAGAGCTTGTAATGAGTCTATTATATATACAACAAAGATTTTTCATCTATGAAAAGTCGTTCCTATTTCACAATAAGACTGACATGATTTGCTTCTCTTGCAAAAACCTCGTGCACGTCGCTGCGTTACATGTTCAATCTGCGTGTTATTCAAATTGTATATATGTCAAGCTCAAACTTCAGTACTGTTACTACTGTCTTCATTCTATACATTGGCAACACCAAAAACAACGAACTGACAGAAGATTTTTGACACGAGACATTTACAACCAGTCACAAGTGGAAACTGAAAGACAAAACACATCAATGTCTGATCATTCGCCGTTCATCCAACACTCCCTGAGAAGTTGATACCTGACTATCTCATCTGAACCACCATTATTGATCTTCTTAGAACCTTCTTGTTGAAGAACAACAACAGCCAACGGTGAACTCAGCTCATCAAGCTCGTCATCGCTTGTGTACGCTTTTCTTGTAATTGAAGACCTGATTCTGCTTAACTCCGGCGCTTGAGGCTGTCCAAAGTCTCCAATGATGGTGGAGATTGAAGTCCGTGAAGGTGGAGAGTACACTGGAGGAGGTGCAGTGCACGGATAGCTTGTGATCATACTCTTCTCAGCTTCCTCCTACAAGGGCCATCACGTTTCCGTTAGCAAAATTAGCTGCTTAGCCTTACATCCATCATTAAAAAAATGGTCTCACCTCGGATTCAAGAGATTTAAGTACAGCATCAGGAACTGGGTCAGGGCAAAATTCATCTGGCACAAAATTATTCAACACTCTCTTGATCAACGGGGAACCAAACATCGGGCAAACCTTCACAATGACAAGATATATATTATATCAAGTCAAAGAAAGAAGACTAGATAAAAAGTGTTGTGAGTTCTGTGTTGCATTTGCACCTCTTTTCTCACAGAACTGTTGAGGAGCATATCTTTTGGAAGCATCATTAGATCGCTTAACGCCTTGAGAAGATTGAATGTCTTGAACGATCTATCAACATAGCTATTCTCATCGCTGCTGTCATCATCTTCGTCATCAATGCCAAATAGATCAGTGAGCCACCTTGACCAGTTTCCTATCTGTTTGAAATTAGAAATGCATGAGCTTTACAGAGACTACAATATAATAAGCCTTGCCAAGGTATTGAGTTGAGTACACTGACCGAGTTTTTCAGCTGGGCACCAGAACCAAAACTTGATGTTGTAGAAGGAATTGGCAAGACTCTCAAGTCTGCAATGGGATCAGATACAGGGTCTGTTGGGAAATTGTCATCAGAATCACGAAGGATAGCATTGAACATAGCAACATCTAGCCGAGCCACGCACTGTTCCATTATCTGCGTTACAAAACGTGGACATTCGTTTGTGAATCAAGAGTAAGGTCCAAAAGTGACAAACTCAAAAGGAGAAATGTTTACCAGACGCGCAGGAACGGGTAAGCAGCCACATTCATGCCCACTACCTCGCAGAGGGCATAAACGTTCGTGTGCCTCCCTGAATGCCTTTTTCCAAAGCTCTAATGAGAAATCACCTTGTTCTTGGTTCATAGAACTCGGCGTCTTACCAAAATTTTTCTTTGATGCAGAGCCATTGGCTTTATCAAACTCTCTAGTTGATGCTGCTGAAGACTGCATACGCGGTGTCAAAGTCTGCAACCAAAGGAAAAGAACATGTGTATTATAATTGGTTCAGAGAATGAAAAGATGAAACAGGGAGAACAGAGCAACATTACCTGCCACCAAATTGATTCTACTACACGTGAGAAGATCCAAGCTTCGACCTTCTCAAGCGCTGTTATGAAAGTTACAGGGTCATCCCAGGCACCAAAACTCTCAATGTCCTTTTTGCTCAAAGGGGAATCTTTCCACTTCAAGGACGATCGTTTTTCAGTTTCTCTTTCAACCTTCTGTTTCCTTGGTCCAGGACCAGCCGAAACAGGCAGTTCTTCTTCTGCACTAGTATCACTAATGATTGTCCTCAGAACGATAGTGTTTGACAACCAAAATGTCAATCTGCAATCAACGGACAACATTTTTTTGAAACTCTGAGAAAGTTTACTCAGAATAGTAATTATGCAAAGAAGAATATTACTATACCTGGGGACATCGTTTCCACACGCTTTGGCAACAAGAACTAACCCGGAGACAGCACTTTTAGCTGCATTGGCTCTTCTTGAGAGATGGGTTTCTCTACAAGCATGAAGATACAGCCTCAAAAGACGTCTAGAAGGTGCATGGACTTTACTTGATGAACTTCCATGCTCTGCAACCACGGAGTAGAGAGCTGCTTCAATGGCTGCAGCCTCACGTAACTCACCCTCAAGCTTCTGTACTCTACTTTCCAAGTTCTTGATTTTGTTCTCCAAAGTTGTGTCGTATGTAGACTTTGGATACACCTTAGCTTCTTTTCTATCACTGGATAAACTCAACCGGCTATTGCTCCGGTTAATATCCAGGGATGATCGAACAGACTTCACCTTTCTTGATTTCTCAACTGTACTCTCTGGTTCCTGATCACTGATCAAACCTTGACTATTCTCAGAGGCTCGAGGCGAAGTCTCAGAGAGATTGTCAATCTGTAAAGGCATAGACTTGGTATCTCCGTTATTTTGCTGACTGTTACTTACCAGCTTAGAGCTCTCACTGGTATCAGTTCTAAACACATTAGCACACTCCTCCAGCCCAGACACAGAAGTGTTGGGTGCAGAATCAGGAATGTCCCCCGGGAGATAAAACACAGAAGATAGATCTACTGACATGGAACGTGATGGAATCTGGTCAGAAATTTCTCCTTGTCTGGTCTCTGACACTGATTGTGATCTCTCGTGGCCATTTCCTCTGGGATCCTTGTTTATTCTCTCATGTTCTTCCTGAAAATAAGACATGAAAGCATTGAGAAACATTTCATCTTGATAATTTTTGAAAAGAATATCATCGAGATATTGCCATCTCTTACCTCTTCGGTTCGCACAGAAAAACCACCATTAGACTCTAAAGTAGAAGATGAGACTGTCAAGGATGAGTGGGAGGAAATGTCGTCGTCTGTGATGGAAGCAATCTCAGCTTCCTTATAGTATTCCTCATTCATCAAGGCAGAAACAGACTCACCGCCATTCTTGGTTTCATCCTTGAAGCTGTTGATAGATGAAGAAGAACTGGCCCTGCGTCTACCAACGGGTTGAATAGTGAGGTACAGAACAGGCTGAGTGGCATTGCGGTAGCTTCTTTTACTGTTCATTTGAGCAGTTAAGCTGAAACTTTCTTTGACAATACCATAAACGGCCAAATCTATGGTGGCAGTTGCCAAAAGCTGGTGTGTTTTCTCTCTGCGAGGCTCGTATAAGTTGAGCTCTAAGACGTTCTTGAAGAAGAGATCACCACCACCTTTGTTCCGAGCAGAGGCATCTTTCAACAAGGTGAGGGGAAGCTTAAATGATTCGTTGAACTCGATTTTGCCTTCACCAATGACGGAACCAAGAGAAGGAGCAACAACAGTAGTGGTACCGGAATTGCGGTCACCATTCTCCCATTGGATAACAACAGAGCGAAGGGATCGAAGGGACTGAGAAGGAGGCCAAGGCTTGATGTCATGAATGTGGATCAAATAATCAACTTGTACAGGTGAGCATCTTCTGTTGTTCTTTGAGCTTAAACCCAAAACCATTTTGCCTACGAATAATAGCAAGTCCTGAATCAGCAGTCTAAGAATGCAAAGCAAACATTTTTAACGGAACAGGAAAGCTTTGTCTCTAACCTAAGAAGAATTCAACTTTTATATAATCTGAAACAGCGAAACCGTCAAATGCATGAACAAGAAAGCAGCTACATGTAAGTAAAAATATCTCCTAAATTGGTCTTCCATACACATTATTGATTCGATTGATCAACAAGATCCAAAATCAAGAAGAAGAAGAAGAAAAAAAAAAGCTAACTTTGAAAGCTCATTCATTCGCTCATACTATTAGTGGCTTATTACATCAGATCCAAGCAAGTTAAAAGGAAAACCCAACAGATATTAGAGAGCCAAAAAAAAGCAGTGAGAGATTCAATGTAATGCACAGCATTTGGAGAACCAACACACTATAAGAAGATAAGAAGTCGTCAAATTAATGTGAGAGAGAGAGAGAATGAATACCCAACAATTTCTGGGAATGTGAAATGTTTGTCTCGATTCTTCTTCCTTTGGGTTTTAGACAAGACTGATATTTCCGATTTTATTTCCTGTTTTCATTGCTTTTTGTTGTTTTCTTCTTTGTGTGCGTTTTGGTTAATCAGAAGATGTGAGCCACTGACACAGAATGAAGAATCTTTACTATAGAGATTTTGATTAAATCATGATGCCATAAAGAAAAAAAAAAGAGAGAAGAAATCAGAATAAAAAAAGGAGTTTGATCGTGCAAAGCTCAAAACGGCGACGTTATAGTGATCTTCTGGTCCTGACTAAAAAAGTGAACACCGACGCGCTTTTTAATGGTCACAACTTTCGCTAGATTGCCTGTGTCTCCGTCACCAATGCGAGTGGGCAAATATTAAGTGATACCATTACTACGTCTTCAATATTGTTATTGCTCAAAGTTTAGATATATGTACATGTTTTTTTATATCTTTTTGCCGACAAATTATACAGCTTATTATATTACCTACATTTCTTTATCAGTGATCAATTTTATAAATTAAATGCATTCAATTTTAAATATAAGATTTGTGGTTGGTGAAGACGGTTTTATTTTTAAATTTTGTTGCAGAGATGGACCGAGTTTTCGAGTAAACTACTATCTATCTATGAATTTTAAAATAAGTTTGAAAGCACTGTCAATTTGGATTGCTGAGATAAGCTTATCATTATATATATACATAGAAATTTCCTCTTTAAGAAATATCATTGAATTATTCTTTGTGCAACAAGTACAAAAAAAGATTAGAGTAATGGGGTTGTAACAAATTTACCAAACACATCAATTTCACTATAATGTAAATTATTGGTAAACAAATTGACTCATCTCCTACCTCTCCCTAACCTTTGTTTTCAAGCTTGGAAAGTTCTCTTCAACTACAAAAGCCAATTACATATGTAGATTTTTTTTTTTATTTGGTTAATTCCCCATCCCAACTCGAATATATATAAACATCATAACTATTGGAATTCTTTTAAGGCCGTTCTTGGGCCCTTTGAAGGGCCTTCCGACACTCCTCATAATCAATTTTCTTGCAGTTGAAGAAGATCCCCAAATCAAACATTCAAAAAACAAATCTTGGCAATGAATAAAGAGTCTTTTAGGTAGCGTAAAAAGACTGAATACTTGTTCAGCTAGTGATGGATAGAAATGATGAATCAGGCTTCGGTGATCTCTTTCTCTTTGGACTTGCACATGTCCTCTGCTGACTTCACAAACTTCTTCGTCAACTCATCTACCTGTTCACACAAAGGCCATTTTCAATATCTCAAGTAGGAACCATATTTGCAGAAAGATCATACAAGGACACTCACTTCCTTCTCCAGTCTTTTCACTTCATCCTTTGGTAGGCTCGAGCCTGCTTTCTTTATCGTGTCCAGTGCCTGACCAAAAAAATTGTCTCTGATCATTAGATTTTTATGGAGACAGTTTACAACAAAAAGCTTCTATGGTTGTGCACTACTACACATTCAGACTACCTTTTGCCTCGCTCTTCTTATGCTTTGTTTGACAACTTCACTGGACTTTGTTACAATCTTGCACATTGCCTGGAGTTCATTATAGACAGGGTCAAGGCTCAACCTCATTGACTAAACAGTAAACACAATCACACATGACTTGGCTGCTTTACCTGAATATGCTCCTTGGTCAATCTGCACACGAAATAAAAACATAAAGGGGACGAAGTCAATTTCGTTTGTGTGAGAAACAATGGAATTCGACAGAGAAGATCAAATATTGTTTCGTACGCTGGGATAGATGCGACCAGTCGTTGGCCATCCAGTTTTGGGTTTAATCCTAATGGGGACGCGACTATTGCTTTCTCAAGTTCTTTGACCGTCTGCAGAAACAAACAAAGTGTCAATGGTGGCTTGTTGGAGAAAAATCACACTCTAATGTAGTCCAAGTTTTTTGTAAAGTAAAAAGAGAAAGCATAATACATCGGGATCATAAGGATTGACAGAGAGAGTCTTAGGATCCAAGACAGAGACCAAAGCTAAGTGATTGAGTGGCATCTTTACTCCCCCCGTTTCAACAACAATATGATCAAGCATTCCTGCACACACAGAGAGGGATTAATCCTAAACCCGAGAGAAACAGGTGAGTGTATAAGTACCTGGTGCTGCTCTTCCGGTTCTTAATTTAGTTAAATCCCGGGATAATGCATCGATGGCTGCTTCCATTTGAGAAGAGGCTGCTGCTTTCACGGTAGGGCCGATATCTGGAGCTGCGTCGACCATCCCAGTTGCTGAATCGTCCTCTGAGGAAGAAGAAAAAGTCAGAAATGCATAATCAAAAATAAACAAAACAGTTTGATAGCAACTGCAAACGAGTACAAGAAGAATCTATCAATCCCGCCCATTACTTGCAAAGTCATTAATAATTGAGGAATAAACAACATACTTGATTTTTTGCCTTTGGCGAAGCCTCGACGAGTATCTCTGAGGAAATCCGGCATGGACACATCGAATTGCAAATCCCGGCCTACCATCATCAGATTGGGTGAAGAAATGATGGAGAAATCACGAGATTGAACAACAACAACGGAGCTTCTTCTGAGAAACCCAATCGCGTTACGACTAGATAGAGCTCGTCTCACCAACATAGCCATCATCCCAAAAGACTTCAACTTTCTGAGGTTTAAGAAAGACACAACAAGAGTACCTTGCTTGATTCGGTGCTAAAACCCTCGACTTCGAATCGACGACTCAAACAAAAAGTTTTTTTTTTTAATTGAGAAATGACCAAAGTAGCCCTCCGCATATGAGGAGGATGCCTTCCTTCTAAAACCCTTTATTGTACAGCTCCCTCCTACATCTTCCCATTTCCACCGCCGCCGTCGCTTCCGGCACTGTCACCGGCAACCAACCGGTGAGTCATCTCTCTCCGCCCCCTCCGATAATTCGTTGCAGACTTCTCCTATGAATCTGTATAACTGAAATCACATTCTCAGTTTTGTTTTATTTTTTTTGTCTTGCAAGTTTTAAAACAACAGTGAAGAACGATGGCTACTCAGGCTGCTGCTGCTGCCTCATTCAAGGGAAACTTGAAGGTAAAATGATGGCTTCTTCCTTCCATTTCCATCTTTTTTATCGGTTTTTAGCCAAACCACCTTAGATTACCGTCAACACTGAGCGATTCCCACATTTAGGTCTTCTTCTACGTGTTATTTCATTTTCTACTTAATCATTTGGAGCTCCCTGAACACTGATCACTTCCCATTGCATCTATTCTCCATTCTGGTGATACCAAATTCAGAGAGTGTCACACCTATGCTATGCAATTTAGTAAATGAGTAGATGCTACAAACTTATTCGAAAATGGACCCTTTCTATTTTAAAAAAAAACTTGTATCCTTTATTTTACTATGTTTTGTTGATCTTGAGTATGTTTTGTCGATTCTTTGTGCAGAAAGCTGTGGCAGGTATAAAGCGTATCAATCTCGACGGTCTTCGTTGGCGTGTTTTTGATGCCAGAGGCCAGGTTTTCTTTCTTCTCCTCTCTTCCAATCTACTCTCTTTATTACCCACCTACCACTTTCTTCTTCTTAAGCTTGGTCAGTTCCATTACTTCCGCATGTTTTATCATGAGAATACTCTCATATATGACCACGATGGTATACATGATAATTTATTTTAACAGTTTTCCAGATTTGATGCCTTATCTTATTAAATCCTTAATAACATCTTGGTTGTGTCTTTGTATTAAATCTGAATGGCTTGGATTTGAACCTTTCGTTTAACTTGTCTACTGTAGGTTCTTGGTAGACTAGCTTCCCAGATATCAACCGTGCTTCAAGCCAAAGATAAGCCTACTTATTGTCCAAACCGCGACGATGGCGATATTTGTATTGTTCTCAATGCTAAGGAAATTGGCTTCACTGGAAGAAAGCTCACTGACAAATTCTACCGTTGGCATACTGGGCAAGTTGCACACTTATTATTGCTTTTGTGAATATTCAGCCGCAACAAGGGATTTATCACATCTTTTATGGCCAGTATCTCCCATTTTCTTCTACTTTATTAATCTATCAATCACTGTTTACAGGTACATTGGACACCTCAAGGAACGGAGTCTCAAAGATCAGATGGCCAAAGATCCCACAGAGGTCATACGTAAGGCTGTCTGGCGCATGCTTCCAAGTAACAATTTGCGTGATGTGAGTACACTATTAAGTGAAACATTTTCTAATCACCTGAACCCTCAGTTTTTTAGACCCCCCCCCCCCCCCCCATACCTTGGCTTTACTCTTACTTGTTGAAATCCATCATGAGTTGTGTGGAATGAGATTCTTGGTGTCCTATATCTTGGAGAGATTCTTGGTATCTCCTCACAAATCGGTCTTCTCGAATGAGATATACCCTTGTTTTGCAAATGATTTAGATTCGGAAGGAAGATTGTTCTGAACTCTTGGTTTTACCATTTTGTTATTTGTTGCTTACCCTTTATCTTTGGTGGGAAAAGTGGCTTGTTTGTACTGATACATTCTCGCTTCTCAGCTCCTAAATGAATTGCTCGCATAGTTTAGGATGTGTTGCTTAAAACAAGAATGTTCTGAGGTTTTGTTGCTTTGTGTGGGTATAGGACAGGGATCGGAAGCTGAGGATATTTGAAGGCGGTGAGCATCCTTTTGGGGACAAGCCACTTGAGCCATTTGTGATGCCGCCTCGTAGAGTGAGAGAGATGCGACCGCGCGCAAGGCGAGCAATGATCCGTGCGCAGAAGAAGGCAGAGCAGGCAGAAAATGAGGGAACAGAGGTAAAGAAAGGAAAGAAGAGGACCCCCTCTCAAGTAACTGCGTAGAGGAATCACTTCAGAGGAAGCTAGTGATGTGACTCGTCTTATTATCTGTAAGCAACGTTCATAATGCAGGCGTGGATAAGCTTTTAAGGCTTTCTTGTTTATTGAGTATCAGACAATAAACCTGTTTATGGATCTCAGACACTGTATCACAAATGAAGCCAAAACCATCTTCCTTAAACATGGATCTGTTTCTGGTTATCTTTCAGTTTTCTTCGTTGCAAAAACAGAGCAATCTCACGCCAGACACTCTGCATGATTACAGAATGGTCGCTTGCTTTTCTCTTCTTGTTGAGAATTTTATTGTTGGAAAATGTGTAAATGCATCAAGCGTGTGAAATTTGTGAATAAGACAGAAGATTTCATTAGAGTGGCAATAGTAACATCCTCGGTTTGTTTCTTTTCTTCACCAACAACAATCCAAAACATCTAAACCTACGAAGAAACACACAACAACAAAAGAATACAAAAGATTGTTGTACCTTCATCTGGGAAAAAAGTACTCTCGCTCTTAGTTAACTTTGGTATATTTCCTATCTTTACACAAGATGTGCCATTCTTGGAGCACTGCTGCCTGAAGCGCCATGTGCTCTGTTTCTTCTGCTGTCAGCTTAGAGAATGTTCCTTTTTCCTTCTCTTTTTTCTTCTTCTTCTCTTCCTTGTCCTTTCCCTCTTCTTTCTCCTTTTTCTCTTTTACTTCTTCTTCATCATCATCATCTTCTTCTTCTTCTTCCTCGTTTTCTGATTCCTCCTCTATCTTTGGAGTCTTCTTCGGCTGAGCTGCCTTCAACAAAGCTATCCTCTCCATCGAGATCTTCAGCTTCTCGGCCGCGGTTGCCTTCACTTCGTCCTCTGGCATGTACTCAACTCCCCCGTCAGTTAGATCATCGCACCATCCCTGAAGATCCGACTCTATTTGTTTTGTGATTGATGCTTCTGATGCTCTAACCACGAACTTGCACATCATGGTGGTTGTCTCGTCACCCAGATCCATGTTCCTGCTCACTTCACTAGCCCCAAAGATCATCATGCCCACAAAACCTCCATGCCACGTTTTTGCAGCGTAACAAAGCTGTAGTGACATAAAGTTAGGGGTTTATCAGACCATCAATCCAGTTAAGGAACAAGAAGAAAAACAAAACCACAGTTCACCTGAAAGCCAGCAACTGTGCGGATAATGTGGGAACAGACTCTGTGGAATGGCTTGGAGGATAATGATTTGAGTCCGCTTAAAAATGGTGAAGCCCCATACTGTTGTGCGGCGGTCGCCATGAAGCCGCTTCCTTCATACATATATGTGCCAGTGTACTCTGCAACAGCTGGCAAGCTAGGCCACAAACGAAAGAACTCGACTGGTGAGATTTTGTGCGGGAGAAGAAGCTCAGTCAGTGGGATCTTGTAAGGCTGACATCTTAAGATCACAGGCTCTCCGAGTTCTGCTTTTGAACCTCTCTTCTGCTTCATGATCTGTGGATCCTCTTCTATGTAGTCACCGTCATACTCTCCCCTAGCACCACGGAATGGATAGTAGAGGACTTGAACCCAGAAACCACATCTTTCAAATTGGGACACACCAACGGTGACACTGCATTGTACAGGATCCTACAAGAGTAAAACACAGAGTGGATGATAATACAGCCAACATATATGAAACCGATTGTTCTGAAGAACAGAAATGGTTTCCAACTGACCAGACTTATGATATTAGAGAACTATATAGAGATGGGAGTAGACTGAAATGCAACCTGTGAGACAAGATTGCGCAACTGCCGTACTGCTTGAGGAGAACCATCCATGAAGTATAGGGCACCAGATAATCCAACCCGTATATCCACACGATTCAGTTCAAGTTCTGTCAAATTAATAATCTGAAAGGTAAAACAAAGTATAGGAAGGAGTTGAGACGCTAAAACTTACAAACTAAAACTGTATTCAAGTAACTGCAGGATGATACACTAGAATATATACCAACCTTCAAGTGCAGAGTGACCCTTCCATCATTTGTATCTGCTAAATGGTAAGCTTCAATATAGCAAGGATCACTGCTTCCGGTCAAAGGACATGCTGTGGGAGGAACCTTGATAGAAGTCGAGTCGACCCCTTTTGTAAGGAAGAGAGTCAACTCAGTGGGCTTCGGCCTCCAAAGCTCTAGAATAGCCTTGTGAATTAGACCTTCTAATTTTCTGTCTTGGGCAGCTGATGGTTCGTAAAACTGAACAGTAAGCTTATGGTGGCTAAACGGGTAATCTCCTCTTGTCTCACTGACTCCAGCCCACCTGGAAAATAATAGGTTGTGTCAGTTTCAATCCAGAAATGCAGTAAAACTCACACAATAAAAGGATTACAAGCCAAGGAGAAATCTCACTTTCTTTCAGGAAGATTTGAAACATATTTGATCCTCTGCAATATTAAACGGGTTTGATGTTTGCTAACTGTATCTGCAGCAGCATGGTTCCTATACTCCTCAAGCTCTTTGGTTAATAATTGGCCAGCTCTTGCATGACGTGATCCCATCCTCTGGGCGCATAATAAGACTGCCTGAACATCTTGTAGCCTATTCGATGTAGTAGCAGCGGCATCCAAGTTGAAGAGAACCTTATGTATGTTTGCTATGATAATATTCAATGGATCATCGGGGTCATCAGCTAAAAGTGGATCTAGACCTTCTAGATCAATATGTTCTGCGATTGTCCATATAAGACGCCCGAGGATTCTTGGGGTATTTACCTGCCAAATTGAGAACAAGATTTTTATAAGACATTGACCACGTTTCAGTCCACAGGCAATAGTTCCTCCACATTTTAGTATCAAATAGTACTTAAGAAAGCCTAACTAAAATTCTTCGAGGAAAATTGCCAAGGGTTACTTCTAACTTTCAGCTGAGGCTTAATTACCTCTTGGAGATCCTTAACAAGCTCACGTTGCAAGTTCTGCAATCGCGTCTCATTTAATATTTGATCCTGGGAAGCACCGTCTTTAAGCCTCTTCACTCCTCCACGGGTATCATAGATATGGCATAGCCTAACAAGCAATTTCAAATAGCAATCTATAGCGTACGTCCTGCCATCACAATCCCATTTGACACAAGGCCTACAAACTTCCACAACCTCAAGGGCTGGTTCTGTCCAGTTCAGAGCACCATAACCAGTGCCATATGCTAGCGCACCAATCACTCTGCTCTCCATACCCGAGTTTTTTTGTTCAGGCAAAGGTAGAGACAACTGGAAGCAGCTTTCCACAAGCATTGCCACCAGCTCTTCCCGAAATAAGCTTTTACTGGTAACACTATTGAGATCATCTTTAATCCTTGCATCTTCAAAGAGAGAAATAATATCTGTCCCAGGCAGAGGCTTCTGACCTCTTCGGGCACTTTCTCTGGCAAAAAGGTGAACACATAGAGCTGTCCGGCAGATACATGCTAATGCGTGCATCCTGTCCGATTCTGCTCTCAAGTTCCTCACCATAAGCAGGAGTCTTCTAAACAAAGAAACCTTCGTAACAAATTCCAAAAGGAATGATTCAGAATCATAGGCCACAGCATCAAGACAAATGAACACAACCAATCGATAGATTCATTAAAGATCGAATGAAGTACAAAAAACGACATACCTGCATATGCAGATCAAGCAAGTGCAGGTTCGTGACTACGGCCCTGACTATACTCTCTCTAGCAGAGGAAAATTCTTGGCGGTCCCAGAGTGTTAAAATTGCAATAATGGACTGTGAAGCCCACTCTGGCTTCCCTCCGGCAACATCAGCCAGGTAGAGCATGTTAATTCCCACTTCAAAAATCAAAGCTGGATCCAAAGAGGAAGCCAAGAATGGCGCCAAATGGGTAACCAAATCTGAGACGCCAACCAGCTTCTCGGCGTTGGAGTCCACAATGGTGGCATTAGCTGCAGCAGCAGCGGAGGAAGCCTTGGAAAGCTGTCTTATCACTTCGACACTACCGGAAGCAACAGCTTTGACAGCAAAGACAAGAGGGAAAACAGTGGCTCTGAAGGTTTCGACAGGAAGGACTAAAGACCTAGCCATCAAAGCGCTCCTCTTTTTCCATACAATGTCAACCATAGAAGAGACCCATTTGGACCTGATGGCGAGGGAATTCTCGCTGTCAACGAGCTTGTCCCCAGCAAGACGGCTCATCCGCTTGGAGTCGAACTCCTGGAAGAGTCTGCCGACGGACTCAAAGGCAACCTTGGAGACAGCGTCGGATTTGTCGAGCATGTTCTGGCCGATCCGAGCCCACCAGTTGGAGACCTTGTCGAGGAGACCCACATTGTTCTCGCACAGTGTAACGAGATCATCACGCGCGAGTATGCAGCCAAGCGTCTCGGTAATGGAAAAACGAAGGTTGTCAGATGGAGAATCGAAGCAGGAAGCAATCTCAGAGCTGCAATCAGAGATGAGTTTAGGAAGCGAGAAGGAGGGGAGAGCAGCGAGGATAGAGACAGCAGCGGCGGTGACATCCGGGTCCGGGAAATGAAGATCCGTTTTGACACCTGAGCAAACGGTGTCCCAAAGATCTGGAGTGAGTCGGGTAGATCGGATGAGATCGAATGCGAGCTTCTTACAAACAGCTGATGCCGGAGAAGCAACAATCTCCTCCACAGCAGACTTAGCGATCACAGAGATATCTCTTCCGGCGGCGGATTGCTGCAGCGCCTGAAGAAGCGCCGATGACTGGCGAAGCGCGTCATTAGAACGGAGGTCCGCCTGGATCTGGGCAAAAAGAATGTCCATAACCGGATCGAATTAACTGAAATTCGAGATCCAAGGCGAGGAATCTGAGCTAGCTAGCTTTGCTGTCAATCTGTGTACGGATGCGACATGGAACTGGAACAAATAACTGGATCAAATCATCAAACTGAAGAAGAAGAAGAAGAAGAAATGGTGGTAAGCTTTTTCGAAGGAAGAAAACAGCGTGGCGTTTTTGCTATTTGAGCTTTCACAGCGTGCCGTGTTGAGCTATCCTTAGACCCAATAAAAGCCCATTACAAAGTTAATAGGGCTTTACATTATAAGCCCAGGATACTTTCCGAAATATTTGCATTCGATTTAAAATGGAGGGGTCAGATGGACGGTCCAGATTGAGTCCAGCGCGGTAGCAAAACGGCGTTAGGCGCAGCAGCATTCGTAAGGGACGGACGGACGGACACCAGAGAAGAGAGGGTAGAGAGCGATTTTGTTCTCTCTCTAATTCTCGGTCGTCTTCTTCGTCTTCACTCTAGGGTTTTACTCTATCTTCTTCTTCTTCTTCTTCTTCTTCTTCTTCTACAGCAATCTCTATCGTTCTTCTGTCTCTGCTCGAGAAGATTTACGCTTCTGCCTCGGTTCTCTTGCTTCCGCTTCGGTTCGATCGCTTGCTCAGTATTTCTAGTCGGTTAGTTCCGAATTCCTTTCTCTATGCATATTGAGTGTTTGTTTACTGCCCTAAGAATTGAATTGCTTTCAGGTTTTCATAGTTAGGGTTTTCAGGTTTTGCTTTCTCAAAAAATCGATACTTAATGTTTTGATTTGTGCAGGTTCGCACTTGGGTGGGCGATATGACTGTGAGGAACGGTGGTTTCCCAGGAGATTACTATCGTAACAGCTTTGACACTCCTGGTGGCTGTGATGATAGCCCTAATGCTTCCGAAGATGAAACTTTTGGTGGCCCGAGAATGGTTTTACCCTTGTCTGACTTGTCATCATCGGAAAGAAAAAAGTTGATTCGTACGCTTCGTCAGGAGCTGGAACAAATACGCTCCTTTCGAAAGAATGTTGTGGACCTTCGTGTATCTAAGACCAGTACACCTGTGAGTAATAATATGTCTCGACCCAAGAGTTTTGGAATGGCACGATGCTCTGCTGGTCCTGGAAAAAGGGTGCTCCCCTTTACAGCAACCAAACCAGAGCCAGTCACCACTTCTACAATGCTTCGGATGAAGCAATGTGAGACCCTCCTCAAACGATTGATGTCCCAACAGCATTGTTGGCTCTTTAATGCCCCTGTCGATGTGGTCAAGCTCAACATTCCTGATTATTTCACTATTATCAAACATCCTATGGATTTAGGAACTGTAAAGAGCAAGTTAACTTCCGGCACTTATTCAACCCCATCAGAGTTTTCTGCTGATGTCCGTCTTACTTTCCGCAATGCAATGACTTATAACCCCTCAGATAACAATGTTTATCATTACGCTGATACTCTCAGCAAGTTTTTTGAAGTGAGGTGGAAAACTATCAATAAGAAGTCATCCGGAAACAAATCTGAACCAAGTAACTTGGGTACTCTTGCTCACAAAGATATTGCAATGCCTGAGCCTCTGGCTAAGAAGAGAAAGATGAATGCTGTCAACCATGACAGCCTCTTAGAGCCTGCTAAACGGGTTATGACAGATGAGGATAGAGTTAAGCTTGGCAGAGATTTGGGGTCCTTGACAGAATTCCCGGTACAGATAATAAATTTCCTGAGAGATCACAACTCCAAGGAAGGGAGATCTGGAGATGATGAGATAGAGATTGACATTAATGATCTCAGTCATGATGCCTTGTTCCAGTTGCGGGATCTCTTTGATGAGTTTTTGCGAGAAAATCAAAAGAAATATGTAAACGGTGAACCCTGTGAGTTAGAGGTAATCCCCTCCTTCTATATCTCATTCTTGATCTATTTGTTAACATGACTGACAAACAGCGAAAACTTTCCTTGATGTAGCTTTTAGATGGGTCAGGGCCAGGAAATTCATTGACGCAACACTGTGGTGGTTAGCATACATTTAATTTGTTGTTTGAGCAAATTCTCATGGCTCTATGATTAAGCTGTCATTTCATTCTCGTTACCTGCAGGGAGCGAAATGGAGGACGAGGATGTTGACATTGGTAATTATGAGCACCCTAGATCTCACATCCCATCTGTCAGGACAGAAAAAGGTATGGCGTTAGAGGACTCCTGTGGTTTGTTTAATCTTGTTACATTATATTAGTCTTTTTCTCTATAGAGCTTTTGTAGATGTTTGATTGTTGCAGTTTTTATATGTTCTTAACCCTCGGAACCATATTAATTCCCTCTTGTCAGAAGTGGCCATCCGTCTAGAACACTCAATGTTACTTCTGTAGTTTTTTTGGAGTGGAACTTACTGTTCTTATTCAAATGACCTTGCTGATAGCAACTCATATTACACACCTAGTTTGATAGTGATACACCTGTTACATTTTCTGCTTGTTGTACTCCCAGGTCGCTGTTTGCTATTTTCTTTAGTGATCATATTATCTCTAATCCGTGATTACTCCTCTTTTGGTGCATGTAACTGATTAGGCTCTAGTAGCTCGGAGAGTGTACCAGATGATCCTAAAACCACAAGATTATTGAGTTCATCAAAGGTAAACATCATTGTTGGATCATAATTGATAATATTTATGCCTCTACAAAGGTCTTAGATACCTTGACACAATTTGGATATGGGCAAGCAAGATTGGGTGGGACCAGACCAACAGTCAAGAAATGATTGTCTTGGTCACAATACAAAGCCTGATATTTTCTTAATACCTCACAGATGGCTTAGCCTAGTCTTAAATTTAGTCAGGCACTATTGATTCTGATTGTTATTTCATTTTCCGTTGATACAGATGTCTGAAAGTATGGATTCAGAATCTCCCTTGGATGGAGCTACAAGCAGTTCCCCAAGGAGAAAACGTGAGCGGAATTTAATTTTGGTGCAAAAAGATGTTAAGTTCTGTTGATTTTAATTTTTGACCGTTGGTTTTCGTATTCCCTTTCTAAAAGCAGATTCCGTCGGCGGATTGAATCAACTGGAAGATGCATCCAAAGAGAAGCTAAGTCTTATTGAGGGGGCAAATGGTCATCAAGATGGTAAGCTCAGGAGTGTAGCAGAAAAATGTCTGTGCTCTAATATCTGGCGGTGGCATCTCACTCTTGACCCATTAATAATTTAGGCAATAGTGCTCCGAATGAGAAGCAATTACCTCCAGAAAAGCGTTACAGGGCTGCTATATTGAAAGATCGATTTGCGGATATAATCTTGAAGGCTAAAGAGATAACTCTTAATCAGGTTAGCTGTGTTTGTGGAACTGTGCGCTGTTATATCTGTTTAGCCCTCCCTCGACTTTCAAAATTATTTCCTGAAAAAATTGGTATGTGTGAGATCAGAATGAGAAACGAGACCCAGAGAAAGTGCGACGTGAGAAGGAAGAACTCGAATTGCAAAAGAAGAAAGGTATTCTTGATTTGCTGGTTCCAGTTTTGTGATTGATGATATATAGCAAGTAGTATATATAAGTTTGTTCATAAACTTATCTCCTTAATGTTTTTTGCACCAGAAAAAGCACGGTTACAAGCAGAAGCCAAGGAAGCTGAAGAAGCTCGTAGAAAAGCTGAGGCAGAAGCTGCAGCTGAAGCTGCGGCTGAGGCTAAGAGGAAACTGGAATTTGAAAGAAAAGCAGCCCGGCAAGCATTGCTTGAGGTAAATCAAAATAGCTGCCTTGTATCAGTTTGGTTATATTTACTGCAATATATATTGATTATTGCCATGGCTGAATGGTCACCAGATGGAGAAGTCGGTTGAAATAAATGAGAACACAAGGTTTCTCAAGGACCTAGAACTGCTTAAAACGGTTAACACGGACCAGTTTAGAAATCTAAGAGATGTTGGCTCTGACTCTGATGGGTTGGGTGTTTTTGGGTTTGGGGGAAGCAATCCTCTAGAGCAGTTGGGGCTATTTATGAAACGTGATGAGGATGAAGATGAGGCCGACCTGCTTGCGTTTCCAGATCCCGGCAATGAAGTAGAAGAGGGTGAAATCGACTGAGATTCATGAGTGTGTTACTGTGTTATGTCTTGGGTAGTAGCAGTCAAGTGTACATGAATCAGAGAGTTGTAAAAAATGATAGTTTAGATTGATATTTAACCAATGCGATGGCTTTTTATCCGAGTAAACAAACACTAACACTTAATCTCGTGAGTCTGAATTTTGGTTAATTCAATAAAACAGCACCGAGAGGGAGAGGAAGAGGGAGCATGTCTCAGAGTTGTTTCTATAGATTTACACTCAAGTTTGGTATAGAGCCTCTAGTACATGTGAAATTGTTGCATCCAAACAATTAATGTTACCTACAAGGAAATCGTGTTACAATCAGTTTTTAGGTAATTTGCATTTGGAGTTAGGTAGAGTGCCCTTTTGAATATGATAGATTAGTTTGGCCAGTCCCCCAATAGGTGCTATGATCATCAGCACAAGCCCAAGAATGATGCAAAACTGCAAAAAAAAATTAAGAAAAGATTTACCTTAAGTATTAGCTGCTATATTGTCATATTTAGCTTTCGATATACCACAGGGAGGACTACAACTTACCCAGTTTATACACCATGACAGACTAAATCTCTTTGGTTTCTTTAGGATCAGCCACATGATGCATGGGATCTGAAAGATAACATCATTATATTTTGTTTGTTTGATCTTTTCTTATATCAACAGCAGTTTAGGAGCAATAATCCGCTTACAAAGTATGTAGTCGGCGCGAACACAAACCCCCCGAAAAATGACAGCAACGCGCTGTAATACGGTAAACCGACCGCTATTCCCATCGTGGCGGCTGCCAGATAGAGGTAAGTTAATCAATCATCAATGCTACTCCTCTGAAAAAAGAATGTGAATTTAGTTTCTTGGTATGCAAATCACAGAGACTTACCCACAAAAGTCCATCGGATGGTAAACCGTAGAACTGTTGTTGGACTGAAGTGCCATTTCTTTATCATTACAGATTCGATCATGTCAAACACGGGCATTGCGTACACCTAGGAGGACAAGCAGAGTTTAAGGCGGGGTGAAGTAGGAGTTTTTCTCTACTAATGAGGGCGTTTTCTGGTGTACCTGGTAGCTTCCCAAGAGGTGTATGACCACAAACATGTTGGCCACAATGACAAGTGCCTTTGGTTTTGTAAGTGATTCGAGGATGTTTTCTTCAACATTGTTACCAAAAGTCTGGAACCCTACAAGTGCCACAGGGAAGTAGCAGAAAGCTACAATGATATAGGCTACAACGGCTCCCTTCCACATGGGTCGTTTTGATGGATTTTCTGGTGTTGATGGGATCGTTGCTTGAATTTCTAAAACAACGTTATGACCTGCGTACGCAAAAGCCATCTCCCCTAGTGCACTTAAGAAGTCTAACGGCACGGAGGTTGTTCTTTTTTTATAGCCGTACTCCACACTCCCCGTGGTGGCACCCTTCCTCAGCGAGGCTACCCAAGCAATTGTGGAATAGCTGTGCATTGGAAACAAACATTTGAGAGTTTTCTTCTCTTCTTCTTCTTCATGTTATATGTTATGTTTTCTTTCACAAGATAAAAAAAAAGGCAAAAGGAGTTACCTGACAGACATGACAGCAGCTACCAAGGAGACACCAGAAATGGAGTTGAAGTTCTTAAGAAGGGAGAGCACGAACTGGGAAGAGGCAAAGATCATAATGAAGTGTTGAATTCTTATCTTTGTGCACTTGTCATCTCCCACAGCAAGGTCATGTACATTCTTCAGGGATTTACCTCCAGTCACCATATAGACTATGCACACACTGATTTCAACAAGTAGTTGTAGCGGCACGATGATGTACAAACCAAGTTTTTACCAAAGGCTGCCTGGCCCAGCTCATGGTACCTATCGAACCGTCGCCCTTCAAACATCTCGTGCATCTCAATCATTTGCCAGAGGGTGTATAACGTGATCACCCATGACAGGATCAACACCACAACTCCAGGTCCCCTGAACATCATTGGTAAAGTCTATATATCAAATGAATTGGTGTATTTGAAACTTCAGTTGGCAGATTTGAGAAAGATATATACCATCCAAGCTCTGACATGGCGTAAGGAAGACCGAGAACACCAGCACCAACAATGGCAGTGACGTTGTGGAAAGCTGAATAATACCAATTGGCATTTCGTGATGCTGTGATTGGAAGCCAATCTTCCAGATCAAAGGATTGGTCCTGTAATTCCAAATTTATCATCTTACAACACATTAATTAAAGCATCAAAAGGGGAACCAAACTCTTTCAAGAACAAAGTTTTTTCTATGTAACAAAAACATGATGATTGTGATGAAAAGCATATATATACCTCCACAAGATGTTGGTCTTGGATATGATCTGGGATTCCCTTCATTGCAAACTTAGGAATGTTGTGACTTGTGAGGCAATCTTTCTACTTCTTTTTTTTCTTCTGCGGTTCCAAAAGTTGCGAGCAAGAGAGACAGAGAATGAAAGTTGACCTTGACCTCACTGAGGTTTATTAGCATATGATGATCTGTTCCTCTGATATTTGTTTTTGATTGAAATTACCTGGCAATTCTGTGCTGTTGTTCAATTCGTATTAAAAATGGTCGTTGATTGGGATACATGTTCATAATGACAACCCCCATTGGTTACGCTATTGTATATTGATTTTATGTCACTATTGGACAATTTCTGGGATTCTTGGACCCTTTTTCTTTTTCTTTTTTTTCGGGTCCTTTTTGCAGTTTGTGTTTGGGTCAATGAGAATATGTGGGAATTCTATCTGGGATATATATTCATTTATCATAGATTATGCTAATTACTTATGAAAATTATTGATTCGATTAAAGTTTTTAGTAGTCTGATATGTCTCTTGTCTTTGCTTTTTACTCTGCAGATTTTGTCTTTATATAATTAAAGAAAGAAAAAAGTTTTTATTAGTCAAATTAGAGTTCAATCCCGCACAGGTTTACAAAGTATAAGAAATATCTCCAAGTCAATGATAGAAAAGATCAAAGATTAAATCAAAGTATGATTAACAGTTTAGTGGCTGTAAAAGAACGATGACTAAGTCAGATTGGACTTCTTACGAAATACATACGCGCATTCGTTAGCCCAATAAATTCATGTGCGTCAACATGTTTTCAATGTCCATTTCATACAAAATTTATATGAAGTTTCAATCAACTTTCAAAAATACTAATTTGCAATTTTTTTTTAGAAAATTTCCAAAATATCAAATTTCAGACTTCTGCATGCATACATAATCCTTTCTTACGATTCAGATTCCATTATTTCAAAAGAGAACTTTATTATTATTTAACATCAATCACTCCAGACTGCTTGGTGCTAGAAACGAAAACTGCAGGTACTTTAACTACTAAGTAGTACATTAGAAGACCAAACTAAATACAAATGAACCGAACCGAACCTATACTGTTTCTTTCGGTTCTCTCACTTCTCAGTCCGGTTTTGTTCCACACCCAATAACCGGGTTTATACCAAGACCGTAGCCGGCGTTTTCACTGACAAAGCTGAAGCACCAAAGCAGAAGTAATGGCTCTTCAATCTACTCCTCACCGAACCCTGCTTCTCGCTTAACTTACTTTTCACCGGCTCAGACAGTTTCAATCCAGATGGTCCGGCTATGCTCGTATCAATCAACACTCCCTTCTGTTTAAGATCAACCATGCTCGAAGTTGAAGAAGTGGAAGACGAGTGGATGGATATTTTCGAGAATGAGCTAGAACGCGACCGCACCGACCCAAACCGTTTCTTCTTGGCTCTTGGACTAGACTGGTTGCTTCTTACCGCTAACGTTCTTTTATTATTATTAGGCAGATCAAGGGACGAAGTGCTGCTTTTTGAGAATCTCTGACGGAGAGGGACAGGAGTGTCTTGCGTCTCAAGTGTTGTCGAAATGATGCTAATCTCAGAATTGTTCTTGGAATGGCCAGGTTGTTTCTTGACTCGCGGCCAGTGGAAAACGCTCTTCAGTCTCTCTGTTGTAGAGTTAACAGAAGCGTTTCTGCATTTCTTGAGATGATGATTCTCATCCATCACGTTTAGATGACCAATCTCAATGGAACAGGAGCTGGATCTCACGTGTCTAGGGATCAAAACAGCAGTCTTGTCAGGCGCAACTCCAAGTCTGGTGCTTAGGAACATCTCAGCGTCCGATGTCTTGAAACGAGCTCCTGGGCTGTAAAAGTTTCCTCTGTCCTTCAAGTGAGACGCGACCACACTTGTAATGCTTTGATCACGACAACTGAGCATCCCCCCGGCTGATACCAGCCGTCGGAACAGGAGATCAGACGTTGGAGACAGCGGCTTCTGCCTGATCAGATCAAGCGGAGTCATACCAGCGTTGTCGCGAATGTTAATATCAATCGATTTCACAGACATAAGCATCTCAACAAACTCCAGTGGAACATTCCCTGAGATGGCCAAGTGAAGAGCCGTGCGTCCCTCGTTGTTCCTATAATTCACAAAATCGCCTTGGGACCTTGAGGCAGCGGAAGTGATCAGACGATTCATGAGCTCAGTGTGCTTGTCAAGCCTCTCGAACGCTGGAGTCTGGAAACCGGAGATTCCAGCGTGAAGGAAAGTGTCTCCGGCGTTGTTTCTGGCGGAGATCAAAGATGGAGAAGCCGAGACCAGAACGTCCACAAGATCAGCGTGGCCACGGTAAGCTGCCACGTGCAAAGCCGTGTTCCCTTGGTTATCCACAGCGTCGACCAAACCGTATGAAGCCACAAGCTCTCTAACCACCTGCATCATAATCACCAAGATCCAAAATTTTGTTTTACCTATCGATTGGTAATTTAGTTGAAAAGGAGTTATAGCTGTGGCCGGAGACACTTACCTGAGTTTTTCCTTTTCCGGCGGCTGCGTGGAGGATTGTGGAGCCCTGTTTGTCTCGGAAGGCCAAGACATTTTCAACAGAGCAATCAGAGAGAAGTTCTTTGAGAAGGATCATATTGCCTCCTCTAGAAGCAGAGTGCACCGCTCTGTTCTTCATCTCCCATTGTAAGCCGCCGGAATCTCTCCGGTTTGCTGCTCGATGCCACCGGTTCCGAACCTCGGACTAACCGCAAAATCATAAATGACACGGAAAACGTCGTCGTTTCTGCTCCTTGCAGCTGCGTAGAGTATATCAGTGACGCCGTACTCTCCTTCGCCGAACACGAGCAGAGGATATCTCTCCAGGAGATCGTGAACAAACGCTAGATCGCCGGCGGAGGCTGCCGTGTACATCAGCCAGCCACCGTAGCCAGACCGGATAAGGGTGTTCCTCTTGGATCCCGGCGAGCCGCCTTCGTCGCAGGCGGCGAGAAGTTTTCTGGCGACGCGTGATCTGCAGGCGGCGACGTCGTGGAACTGGGATTCATCGTCCCAGACAGTCTCGAGGCGGCGAATTCTGCGGAGGGAAGTGAGTTTCATGAGGTTATTGGAGTCGATTCGGAGAAGTTCACGGACTAAATCGTACTGGCTGTTGGCAGCAGCATAATCAATGGGAGTAGCGTACCACCACTGATCGCCGGTGCTCTCCCAACGGAGAGGAAAGTAGGTCGGAGGCATAGAAATTGTGTTGTGGAAAACTGAAAAAAGAGTTGCAGAAGAAAAGATAGGGGATAAAGCGATTTCTTGGTGATCAAGGAACAAGCCCTCCTCCTCTTTTATTTTTTCTTTGAATATAATTTAACATTAAATTCAAAAAAAAAAAAAAAAAATGAAGAAGAAGAATATCTGTGGAAATTAAACAAATTAGCAGAGGCACATGGGTCTATTTAATCAGACTAAACAAAACTCCCCAAGTTATATGTAACCGAACTTGGAAAATCTGGTGACTTCATTACACGAATTAAATACCAAATTTCAAGGAATAATTGAAATAAAATCTTAGATCTTTTTTATTTGAATGAATGTTTAACTAACATTAGGGAGAAAAAAAATGCTTTTAAAATTTACAGAATAATATTTGTAAGGAAAAATTGAATTAAATAAATGTGGAAGAGATAGTGGTGGGAAATGCCTAATTATTTCTCTATAAAGTGAAAGGAGGTGATTGTTTGTAATGATGGAGACACATGGAGAAAAGTGGCCTTTTCAGGCATAGGGAATAAATGTATATCAAGAACTCGTTTAGTAGTATATCAAAAGTTGAAACTACTTTTTTCGAGGTAATCGAATTGAGTGTTGGTGGATTATCCAAAGCAAGTCGTATCATCAAGTCTTTTAATTGGATATCGAAGAATTTTTTAATATGACATCTTCTGAGATTATAAATTCAAAAATTCGTTACTCGTCTTTATTTTCTGAGATTTATTGGATAATTTATATCCGTTAGAATAGCAGCAGTGTTGAATTTTTCCAACTACAACAAAACTTATTATAAATCCATTAAAAATGAAAGCAAAATAAAAGAAAAGGAAACATGAACAATCGAAATTTCTGGGAATACCGTTGCGCTTATAGAAATAATATAGGTAAGAGTTTATTTAGACATCAAATAAGGATAGCTTTAAACAACTATTAGACAGCTTAACAATGTTAATGTGACAAGGGGGATGGCCAACTACACCCAACCAATGTCCCATTACATTATACTAGTAAAGAGACTATAAGGACAAATTCTGATCCGCGATTTAAAATGTTCGCCCTCGTGGTCTCTATCAATCATGGCCATAGATTTGGATAATTATATCATTACACATATCTAAATATCATTGCTTAAGTTAGCATACATACAATAGTTAAGAAAAGAAATAAAACATGCAGAAAACAAAACAAACAAAGCAAGATATGGTTAAGGTGTCAAAAGAGGAAAATAAGCATGTGAGTTGTGAGCAGAGAAAAAGTTAGCTTTATTTTTTGTTATACCCACAAAAGCATGTGATGAGTGGTGTCTCCTTTTCAAACTCTTAACCTTTCATGGGCATGGGAGGATATAACCATAAAGCAATAAGTAGCAGCACTTGTCAGATACAATAATATCATAGAGAGAAAACTATAATTTAAGCCAATAAGACCTAAAACAAAACCGATTCAAACTGATACTTATCCTAACTAGTATTAACAAATTGTAACTGAGCAAGTCACAGGACAAGTAACAATCAAAGCAAAGAAGAGCAATAATGGAAGAACAAAAGGGAGATTAATGATGCAACCTTTGCTTTACCTTTCTTTTGAAGGTATCAAACCCCACAAAGAGATAGACAACAAGAGTTGGTATCCACCTAGAGAATAGTGATGCAACATCAATGAGCTAGGTCCCATGTAATGCTATTACAGTAAACAATAAATCTGATTGTTAAATGAATCAGGTGCACCTGCAGTATCTTAAGAACCGACCAACTCATCTCCTCTATCCGGAGAGAGGATTTGTGTTACACTTGTTGGACATACATACAATTCGGTTTAAACAAGAGCCAAGAGTTTAACTCACAGAAGCAGCAAGTTCTTGGGTTCACTAATAAAGAGTCTTAAGGATCAACAACTTACAAGAGCATAATGCTACTGACTCTGAAAAGTATCTTAACTGAAAGAATCTTCTTAGAGCAGGCATGATAAACCTATTTAAGGCTCCAAATTTTCAAAGAGAATGATGCCGAGAAAAGATGAAGCAGCAATTTCTTGGATATACTAAGAGTCTGAGAACATACAAGATCATAATGCTTTGGAAATGTAATCTAACTGGAAGAATCTACTTATTAGCAAGCATAGTTCCAATTTGTTGGCTCAACGCATTATAGCAAATTCTAATAAAACCGCAACATGGAGAGAGTTGAGTGACAAGAGGAAAGAGCAGAGAGAGTGAAAACATCATCTTACATCTCTCAGTTCTGGCCTTGATAGAGTTGTTCTCCTTGATTTAGCTCGTTGTGTCGAGCTTGACAAAACGTTTGAGATCATCATAGGGAAGAGTCTCGACGTTCTTCCTCCTAAGTTCACTGAGCGCGGTCGCTTATCGAGCAAATGCCAGAGCCAATCAGGGTAATCAGAGTCAGGCAAGATCTTGGGATCGGATCCATCTTTGAGAGTATTGGCACCAACAACGGTGGTGGATTTGATCTCTTTGGTCAAGGTGGAACCTTAGGAGCATCGCTGGCTCCACCCTCCTTTGCCACCTTTCTTGGCTTTACTAGCTGCTGCTGCAAACGTTCTCCGGGCAACATCCTTGGATGATCCCTTTATCAATCCAATACGGTTCATCTCCTCCTACAGATTTTATATAGCAAACCAAAACAGAGCAATTGTTAATCATAACTTTACATTTCGTGTTTCAGAAGAAATTAGGTTAGATGCCCGGCTAATTGAACCACATCCAGAAAATGTATATATATGCAAGTAAAAAATTCGAACAAGAGCGAGGAAAATTAGGTTTGTGAATCGACGGCAGAGAAGCATTTGGGAAAGAAAGAGAGAAAACTTACGTCCAAGAGCTCACGACTGAAGAAGAAGAAGCTTACTGGCGAGCGGCGGAGCGGAAGAAGACCAACAAAACCAACAACACTTTTGTTTCTCACTTAGAAGTTTTAAACCGGCCAAAGCTTTTTGGGTTGGGCCGGAATTTAGATAAAAGGGCATGAGATAACATAAATAAGTTTTTCCGAACTTGTTATGGATAAAAAAAGTCAACGATGGAGAATGAGTGGACTTTGCGAACACGTTGCCGTGTTTTTGATGGCGAAAACCCATGAATGTTTCTGTAACAGCTGTAAAAATTCAGCTCATCAATTTCAATATATATAAGAGATATACAGTAGCTCTTATATTCATTATCAATTATTTTGAGTTGGAATCTCATATTTCAAAATAGTATTAAAACGAGTTCATGTTTAAAAGTTTTATCAGTACATCGCAAAATTTATCTGCATCTTGTATACTCATAGGTTAGTTTGAGATCATCAGTATACACGAGTAGAACTTGAAAACAGAATAAGGAAATAAATTCAACCAAAGTAAAGCAAATAATATTAGAAGCCGAAAGCCATGACACTAATCATTAATGTTGTGGTGATAAACAGCGGGCAAGTGGGGAAAGTGGCGGCGTTTGGAGGTGGTGGAAGCGTCTTGGGTTCACCAAAGTGACCAGTTGGTGATGGTGAAGGAGCCATTGGAGGAGGAGGAGGAGTGCGTTTCTCGTCGTTCCCACCATAGGACGACTCGGCCACCATAATCAACATTGCCAAGATGAGAACACATATAGCTAAGCTGAAAGCTCTCATTGCTGCGATATTTGATCTCCTCTCTTTCTCTTAATTTGTCATTCTCCTCCTTTTTAGTTAGTTGATACAGTGGGATCATCGCAAAGGGAATAGTACTTATGGATATAATAAAGGTCAACGAGGGAGAATGAGTCTTAATTAGCTTGTTACGTTAGTGGCTAACCATCTATTTTAAGTAACATAAAGTGATCTCCAACAATATATATATTTTTTTGGAACAACTATAAAAGATATATGTATATCCAAAAGACAAAGTGATAATTACTTATAAGTTCCAATCCAAGAACAAGTGATAATTGATGAACTGATCTATGTTGTCTGTATATTATTATTTTAGGTTTCTATTAGTTCATTCCCAACATTAAAAAATGGAGTATAAATACTCCTCTGAAAAGAGAAAAAGACATAATCAAATAGTCATTTATATACCAAATAGGAATGCATATTGTATTAAAAAAAAAAATAGAATGGATAGAATAATTTGCCTTGTCTATAGACTAATCAAATCATGCTTTTTTTTTGCTTTGCGGGTGCAAAATAAGAGTAATCATGTTAAGAAGCTTTTGTTGAGATCATGTAAATTGGTGATTGGCAAATAAAGTAATTATGAGGAGAATAATTAAAACGCTGGCAAGTCGCGGAGTTTTGGACGTATGTATGTAAAATGGTTGCCGGAGTCCATGGCAGCCGAAATTGGGCGATTCAAAGAGAGAATCTTTTGATTTTTATTCAAATTCCACGATCTCAAATTTTAAATTATAATTGATTAGTCACAAGTGGCAGTTCTTCGTGGTCGCCACTACCTAATCATAACCATTTGGGTTTATAGAAGAACAAGGTCACGCATCGCCATGGATCAATCATCCTCCATGCATTGACTTTTTTTTCACTTAGATCGGGGCAAAAAAGTATGCAACTTTAGTTAGGGTTTGAAATTCGATAAATCGAGCGATGCGGTGGGATTTGATCACGGCGATTGTGGCTGCGCTGGTGGTGTCCGGTTTGGCGGATGAATCGGGTCAAAGGGCACCGTATCGGATCCACACGCTGTTCTCGGTGGAGTGCCAGAACTACTTCGATTGGCAGACGGTTGGTTTGATGCACAGCTTCTTGAAATCCGGACAACCCGGTCCGATTACCCGGTTATTGAGCTGTACCGATGATCAGAAGAAGAATTACAGAGGCATGAATCTCGCTCCCACTTTCGAAGTTCCCTCTTGGAGCAGACATCCTAAGACCGGTGACTGGTAAACCCCCAACACCATTACTTACTCTACTCTCTTGTCTTTCTCCTTTTTTTTTGGCTCGGAAACTTGTTGTGTGGAACATTAGGGCCAGACAGAACCGCGTTGTTTGTGTCTTTGCATCTGTTTTGCTTGCTCACTTTTGAGTTGGATCAATTAGGGCCAATTTTGGTTTAATCCTTAGTACTCGTCGCTAGTATTGGAATCTTGGTGATGGGTTTGTGGTCTTAAATTTAAAACTAGGGGTTATTTGATGCATTTATTGAATTAACTCTAGGTACCCAGCAATAAACAAACCAGTTGGAGTTCTTTACTGGCTTCAACACAGTGAAGATGCCAAGCATGTGGATTGGGTCGTTATTCTTGATGCTGACATGATCATTCGAGGTCCTATCATCCCTTGGCAACTCGGTGCTGAAAGGGGAAGACCCTTTGCCGCCCATTACGGGTATATTCCTACCTCTTCTTCAGTCAAACCTATATCTTTAATCCTTTCTTTCATTGTTCCTCACACCTTATTTCTATATCATTTAGCTACTTGGTGGGCTGCGATAACCTCCTTGTGCGGTTGCACACAAAGCATCCTGAACTCTGTGACAAAGTTGGCGGTCTTCTCGCTATGCATATCGACGATCTTCGGGTCCTGGCCCCTCTCTGGCTGTCAAAGACCGAAGATGTTCGCCAAGATACAGCTCACTGGTCCACCAATCTTACCGGAGATATTTACGGCAAAGGTTGGATCAGTGAGATGTATGGTTACTCCTTCGGTGCTGCAGAAGTAAAGTCACCGCCTTCCTTAATTCTCTTCTCATGCTCTGACAATTACAGTCTTCAGTTCGTCTGATTTCGATTATAAAACTTTTTGATTTTGTTTTGATCCACAGGCAGGACTTAAGCACAAGATTAACGACGACTTGATGATATATCCTGGGTATGTTCCACGAGAAGGTGTTGAGCCTATTCTTATGCATTACGGTTTACCTTTTTCCATTGGGAACTGGTCATTCACTAAACTGGACCACCACGAAGACAATATAGTCTACGACTGCAATCGTCTCTTCCCCGAGCCTCCATATCCAAGAGAGGTTAGCTTAACAAGTTCTCAACTCCATTTCATGTATCTCTAATGGGGGCAATTACTGACAAAACAATTTTCGTTTAATAGGTGAAAATAATGGAACCTGATCCGTATAAACGAAGAGGTCTAATTTTGAGTCTAGAATGCATGAATACATTGAACGAGGGACTCATACTGCGTCACGCAGAAAATGGATGTCCGAAACCAAAGTGGACCAAATACTTGAGCTTTCTGAAGAGCAAAACTTTCATGGAGTTAACAAAGCCTAAACTGCTTGCACCAGGAAGTGTACATATCCTGCCAGACCAACACGAGCCGCCACCCATTAATGAATTCAAAGGAACTTATCCAAAGATTCACACACTGTTTTCTACTGAGTGTACAACTTATTTCGATTGGCAAACAGTCGGCTTCATGCACAGTTTCCGCCAGAGCGGCCAACCTGGAAATATCACTCGGCTTCTCAGTTGCACAGATGAAGCTCTTAAAGACTATAAAGGTCATGACTTGGCCCCGACGCATTATGTTCCTTCGATGAGCAGACATCCTCTAACAGGCGATTGGTAAGATTATTAGTTAAACCTCAGGTTTTGAAGTTATAACTTGTTCTTCCTCTGATTTTGGTATGTTCTTAACTGAATCAGGTACCCGGCAATTAACAAACCAGCAGCGGTTGTCCATTGGCTTCACCACACGAACATTGATGCAGAGTATGTAGTGATTCTTGATGCTGACATGATCCTCCGAGGACCCATCACACCTTGGGAGTTTAAGGCAGCTCGAGGCCGACCAGTTTCAACTCCTTACGAGTAAAATCTTGAGAACACAACAAATTTCTTTTTCTCTCTTTTCCAATTTATAGATGATGCAGAAATCCCTTTTAACCGTCTCTCTTTCTTTTGTTTAGCTATCTTATTGGATGTGATAACGACCTTGCAAGACTTCACACGCGTAATCCCGAGGCTTGTGATAAAGTTGGTGGAGTCATTATAATGCACATAGAGGATCTCCGGAAATTCGCAATGTACTGGTTGCTTAAAACCCAGGAGGTTCGAGCAGACAAAGAACATTATGGGAAGGAGTTCACTGGGGATATATATGAATCCGGTTGGATCAGCGAAATGTACGGTTATTCATTTGGTGCTGCAGAGGTAAAACTTATCACAATTCTTAACTTTCTGCTCAATAATTGGTTTCGACTTTCGACTAGGGTCTAAAATACAACATTTGTGCAGCTAAATTTGCGGCATATCATAAACAAAGAAATTTTAATTTATCCCGGGTATGTTCCTGAACCTGGTGCTGACTATCGAGTTTTCCACTACGGTCTTGAGTTCAAAGTCGGAAATTGGAGCTTTGACAAGGCGAATTGGAGGAACACTGATTTGATCAACAAATGCTGGGCAAAGTTTCCAGACCCCCCTAGTCCTTCGGCAGTGCATCAAACAGACAATGATCTACGGCAAAGAGACCTTCTGAGCATTGAATGTGGACAGAAGCTGAACGAAGCTCTGTTTCTGCATCACAAGAGAAGGAATTGCCCTGAACCTGGATCTGAATCGACTGAGAAGATGTCGGTTTCGAGAAAAGTTGGTAACATTGAAACGAAACAAACCCAAGGAAGCGATGATACAAAAGAGTCAAGTGGTTCGTCCGAGTCTGAAGGGAGATTCAGCACGTTGAAATTATGGGTGATTGCGCTGTGGTTGATATCTGGTGTAGGGTTCTTGGTAGTGATGCTTTTGGTGTTCTCGACTCGTAGAGGCAGAGGAACAACAAGAGGGAAAGGTTACAGAAACAAGAGACGAACTTCGTACTCGAACACAGGTTTCTTGGACACAAAATGATCGACATAGATATGTGGGAAACACAGAAACCTGGGCTCCTTGCATCAAGCGTGGAGGGTATCTGTTAGAATGTGAGCAATGTGTAGATACAACTAAACCAAACCAAAAAAGGTGAGACATTTTGCTTCCCCCAAAGTCATATAGGTTTCTTTGTATTCTTTTTAAGGGTTTTTTTTTTTTTTGTTAAAGAGTTATAAATTCGCATTGTAATTGTCAAAAACACACAAAGGAACCAAAATCTCAATCTCTCTGTTACACACAATAGACGGTTTTTGAAGTTCCTTCTTTGTGCCAACTTATTAGAACTGCTTTTGGCTCCTTTGGTTCTTTTTTTTCTGACATCACTGGTTTTTCACTACAGGTAATCCAACTAAAAAAAAAACACTTTAGAAAAGTAATAGTTTATTATCTCTAGAAAAATTCCATACACAGTAATATTTATATTATATTATATTCTTTTGGCGGACCACTTTCTCTCTCATGTGGTGTGTGAGAGGATACTACTTTAATAATATAGTAAAACAAAAATCTCTCATAAAGCAACGGAAAGGAAGAAAGAGACAGAGAAACCCAGAAACCTGCATTTTCTTTTTTTGAATTCAAATTTTAAACAGTAAAAAGCTTTTTCTATACAACGGATACATCTTACTTCTACTTTCTTTCTTTCTTTCATTTATAAACTAAAAAAATTTAACAAATACATTTTGTAATCTTTGGAATTGAATTCACTTGTCTGTAAAAATAGATCTTGTACCAAAAGAATGGGAGAATCTGCTTGTCTCATGCAGCCTTTCTCATATGCAGCTCCACAGGTTTGTTCCTTAGTTAGCTTTCTCTTCCATTTCAATTACATAAAAATTCATATGTTTTCTTAGAAATTAAGCTCTCTCTGTTGTTTCCTGTGTCTGTCTTTAGGGAGATTCTCTTGGTGCTTTAGGACAGTCTGTGTCCTTCGGGAGATTCATGTCGGAGAAACTTGACTGGGAAAAATGGTCTGCTTTCTCCACACACAACCCTTATGTGGCCGAGGCTGAGAGATACTCAAAGCCCGGATCTGTCGCTCAGAAGAAAGCTTTCTTTGAAGCTCACTACAAGAAACTCGCTGCTGCAAGAAAAGCTGCTGCTGAAGAGGCCCTCTTGCTTCAGCAGCAAATCCCTAAACCCCAACCAGTCCAAGAAGAAGATTTCAATGGAGGAGGAAATAAAGATTGGCTGGTCTCGATACCGGATCTTGAGACTTCAAGAGGATCTTTAGATGATTCTGCTGAAATGAAATTACTAGCAGGAGAAGAAGGCGTATTTAGAGGTAATAGACAATCTGATGAGAAAGAGAACTGTGGGTTGGCTGAGTCAGAGATCAATGCCAAAGTTTCTTCTACAGGTGGAGAACATGTGGATGAGGAGAAGCCTATTCTAATGGTAATTTATTAGTGATGATTAAGAGTTTTCTTTCTCTCTGGCTTCTTTTATTGTTCTTGATCTGTAACAGTCTTTGCAGAAGAAATCCAAAGATTCACAACAATCAAAGAGCAGTACTAAATCAAGAGTCTCTAAGTACAATTCATCGGAGAGGACTCCAAGTCAAAAGTCTAGCAACAAGAGCAGCTCTTACACTTTCACACCTGCAAAAGAGTTCAATAGATTGGTGTCCATCATAAGGAAGATTGATGGGTCAAGAGCTTCTTCTAAACCAACCAAAGACTGCAAAACTCCTCTCCGGACACCATCATCAAACAAGGTGACTGCATTCCTAAACAGTGTTTCACTCAACCAAGTGCTTATACTCTTGTGATTGCAGGTGTCTGCAAAGGGAATTGCTGATGACTCTTTGTCCACACCTTTATCTAGTAACAGAAGGTAAACACTGCTCAATAAACTCTTGAAAAGCTTCTTACTTAGTTCATGTGTTGTTAGACAAGTAATCAGGTGTAACAGTAAGTGCAGAGGGAAGATAGCTCCTGATTCTTCTGCCAAGACAGGTCGAGGAAGATGGAATTTCCTCCCTGCAGAGTAAGAACTGTTCTTAATAAGAGTTTACTCAATTCAAATGTATAATATGTGCCTTTTTAACCAAGTTATTGAAGCAGGACACCGAGCTGTTTTACACCGTTTGGCTTAAGAACAGAGGAGAGGGCAGAGAGAAGAAAAAAGGCAAGAAGAGATTGAACAGATAGAGTAAAATGATGCTTTTGTCTTGTCACTTAACATCATTTTACTGGTTCTTGATGTTTCAGAAGCTAGAGGAGAAATTCAAAGCAATGGAGCCACAGAACCAGAAGGCAGAGGAAAGGAGTGTGGAGAAGGAAGAGAGTAAACTACGGCAAAGGCTATGCTTCAAAGCGAAGCCACTTCCAAATTTCTACAAACAGAGACCAAAATCAACAGACCAAACTAAGAAAGTAAGCTCACTTTCACTAATCGTCAAATGTATGTGAAGTACATGAAAAAAAAAAGATAGTAGCCATAGTTTCTCTGTGTCTGAGAGTTCTCAGTGTGGTCTTTGTAGGCTCTGTTACAGTAGCAGAGAGGTGTTAAAGAAACTCCCCATCATCCATCATCTTTCAGAGAGATATTGCGCGGACTTAGCGCCTGTGGCTGTGGGGAGAACTATCAAAACCTGTTTGCCTCAAAAAAGGATTAGTCTGGAATTGTTGACATATTTGGTTTCATTCAAAGAAGAAATGTTGAATTTTACTAGATTGCATTGTATGAATGAATATTTGTAAACTTGTTATATATGATTTGAAAAAGGTGAGAGAATAGAGGCAAAAAAAAGGGGGCATTCCGAGAATTGAACTCGGGACCTCTCGCACCCTAAGCGAGAATCATACCACTAGACCAAATGCCCTCTTTTGCAAATTTTGTTTTTCATTTAATCTCTAACCAAAAACAAACGTTAAATCACAACCAAAAATGACGACATTGGTACAACAGTGCGTAATAATAATAACTCCATTCAATCTCTTGGTTTTATATAAATCGTATATAGTAATTAGTTAGTTAAAGAGATAAGGCCTCGTCTCATAATGTTAACATAAATAATATGATTCCGTCCCAAGTTTAACAAAAAAAACTTAGAGAGAGAAGATGAAGAATCCGGCGGCGGCGACAGTGCCGGCGATGGAGAGCTTCACATTAGTCGTGGCGCCACTTTTGGGTGACTCGGCGGCGGTGGGTCCATCAGATGAGGGTCCATCGGTTGAGGGACCATCGGCTTCGGGGGTAGGAGCCGGTGGGGAGGAGACGGTGGGTGCCTCGGCGGAGTCACTGGGGGTGGCTGCCGAGTAGTCATCTTCGGGGGTGGGTTCCTCTGCAACAGGGGATGATGCTTTCGGTGCGGCGGCGGAGGATTTGGGTGCAGCTGCAGGAGCCTTGGTTGGGGTGGTGGGGGCTTTGGTCGGAGAGGCGGTGGGGGCAGCTGAAGGTGCATCGGCGGCGAATGCGGTGGCCACGGCCAAAGCCAAGAGGGCAAATACGACAAATTGACGTGCCATTTTTTTTTTTTAATATAGTTATAGAGATTAAAAAGAGGAGGTGTTTTGTTCCAAAGCTTAAGCAGTATATTTTATTTTGTTCTGAATACTGCAGAAGCTTCAGATGGAGGAAACCAAGAGGACAATGAGATTGATTTATATGTTTTGAAAATTGAGAAATTTTAGGAGAATCGATGGATTTGAGAAGAAAATGGACATCCATTAGCCTTATTTTAGAAGTGTCACGTTTGTATATTAATTTTTTTTGTAGCAAGAAAATAGATCCTAAAATTGGATTTCTGTAAGTATGATAAACCAGAGAAGCCTTAATGAAATCCAGTTGTCGTATATGCTAAACCAGAAGATAGTCGAGTTCATTGTCCGGGTCGGATTAAAAACATTGCTAAAAAGTCATTGTAAAAAGGTTGTTGATTTAAAAGGAGATGGAGATAGATCACAAGTTGCATAAAAATTACAAATCGATAATATCAGGGTCGGCATGTGTTTGTTCGGTAAAGAACAGTTATGTACTGTATTATATATATGTGTGTCTCTGTGGATTTTACTCGGAGCGAACTCTATCCAACCTATCCATACTCTTCCTCCCCCTCTCAATCTGGTCAACGCTCTTCCGAGTCTTTTCATGGCAGTCAACACTCTTCCGCGAGCGATCAAGATGATCAAAAGATATCTTGAGCTTGCTGCTACTCTTCTTCGACTGACTCTTTGGTGGCTTCTCTCTCTCTCTACGCTCTGTGCTCTGCCTCGGCTTCACTCTCCTGTCCATACTTTTCCTCGGGGGCGCATCTCTACTCACCCTCTCTGATTGGTCGCTGCTCATCCTCGGACAAGGCAATCTCTCTACTGTTGCTATGAATTTCTTAAGGTGCCTGATATATTCAGGGTAGTGTTCAAGATCACAGTGGTTCCCTCCTTTCACCCAGAGCGGCTCGTACTTGTCTTTGCAGAGTTCCCATAGTTGTTTCCCATGAGAACAATCCACTACTTCATCCGAAGTTCCCTGCACATATTTGAAAATGTTTGAATTCAAAAAGCTCATCACAACTTAAAACGAAAATGTATCCATCTGAAACCCGACTTACATGAATGATGAGAACCGGGCAATCGACATACGGGATTTTGTCGATATTCTGCGGACACAACAATCTTATTACATTACAAATTGGAGAGTGTATACAGAAAGGATTCATAGAAAGTATTGGTCTACCTTGTAGATGTCGAACCAGTAGGTTTTCTTGATTGCGTACATAACTCTTAAACCGGAGAGAATTGGGCTGTGAAGGACCACGGCTCTCAGTTGAGGCAACCGGGAAGCAAGATCTAACGTAGGTCCGCTGCCTACAGATTGGCCGTAGAGAATGACATCTTCCTGCTTAGAGCCAAAGGTTTCTTCAAGACACTTATAAACAGCTTCGATATCAGCATAAGTGTTATGCTCACTCGGCTACAATCATTTAAGAGAAATAAAGATTTTGAGTTAGTCCTAAAACTCAAAATGGATCATCACATCAACCAATCAGATTGATGGGTAAAGGACAAACCTTTCCAGTAGATTGTCCATACCCGGAGTAATCGTATCTGCAACATCACAATTGAATCAAAGACTGATTGATTCCAAGCAGATCTTAGCCCTAGTTTCCTTTTTTATTGGGGTGTTTTGAAAAGACAAGAAAAACATAAACAGAGCAAAATACTACAAACAGAGAAAGAAACATGATAATCAAATGAGGTAAGAAACATCCTATCTATAAATACTCACCAAATCAGCATAGAAAGATAACATTTTTTAAATCAGCATGATAAGAATTTGAAGGGAGAGAAAGAAACAGACCCCATAAGATTAACCTTGAGATGGATGCTAAGCTCGATGAAGAGCTCATACATCTGTCCCAGATCGGCGGCGTTGCCATGGGAGTAGAGGAGCGTGGAGGTAGCCATGGGATGCCTCACGTACATGCCCACGATCTCTGTGCCTCTCCTGGTCGGAAGCTTTACGATTTCTATGTTTTCGCGGTGGGGGAAAGGGCTGAGAAGCAACAGGCCGGTGAGCTCGTCGGTCACCACCTTGTAAGACGGCGGACTCGGCGGGAAGAAGGCGAACTTCGCCGCCACCGATGACGTCACCCCTCCCATCTCCTTCTCCGTTTCTCTCTACACAGCTTGCATTTGGTATGCTTTACTGATGAGAGAGCTGCTAAGTTTTGAGATTGAAGCTTTTCTCCTTGGGAACAGAGAGAGAGAGATTATTAAGACAAAGTGGCTTTTTTCTTTTTTTCTTTTTCTTTAATCTCTTCTTACTCATACGACATTAATCTTTATTGATTTAACTCTTAAATCTACTTTTGACTACATGTCAATGTAGTTTATGTATGGATAACGTATCTATGAGATTTAACGTAAATAATAAAATGTAGTAATAAAATGTAGGAAATTTGATCTCAAATCATAATCTACATTTTTGTACTTTTACATATTTTGAACTTATATATTCAAGTATAGACCCCGGAGTATTTGGAAATTCGGATACCTTGGATATAAAATGTTCTATTCCATGCATTTTCAGCTGGATACTTCGAACTAATTAAGTTGATGGGACATATAAGAGATCTGTACTTGATTATCGATTATTAGATATTTATTTCCACACGGCTAATCGAATAAGTATACAACTTGCTCATTTGAAAACTCTATGCACCTAATTTTCATAGCTGATATCGGAAACTGAACGAATATTATACATGAGTCACCCCTAATTTATGTATTAAAATTAGCTTTTGTCCCCCAATAAGAAAGGTTTAGATAGATTTATTAATTCAAAGAGTACAATAGACTTACAAACAAAGTGTTTTCCTAAAACAGAACAAGGTGGACAATGGCATGTGGGATGATATGGTTGCTATTTAGATAGAAGAACCATGCGTAGGTTACGATTAGACATCTGCCATATCTATTGACATTTACTTAACTTTTTGCCTTTATTTAGACTAATCCATCAAATTACTTTGTGATCAATACTAAAAATTAAAGAAGATGGAGATTATGGATTTTGTTCTAATAATAAAATCTAGCCCAAACGATAAGAGTAGTACTAACAGTTCATTCTTTATTAGGAATTAAGAAAAATTATATGAAGATGGACCACACACGAAGATATGGATCATAACAAGGAAAATAAAACATTAGATTGACGACATGAGGGACACATTGAAATGCTATAATTCACTGGACAAGAAAATGAGATATCAACTACTATGACAAGAAAAACATTTATAAGAAGATAAGCCAATAAATGACAAATGATCAATTAGAAAATGATAAGTAACAGTAAGTAATAATCAATAGTAAACTATTAGAAACTGAAAAGAATAAAAAGGACTATGTTGGTGTCCTTCATGGGGGTCCATTAACTAAAGTGGGATTTAGAAACATTTGATAAGAAGGAGGAAAGCAAATACTGTAGTTATATTTGAATTGGTGGGTCTTCACTCACCCATCTTTGACAGATTCAATTATGTTGTATTTATCTGAGTTAATTTTATTAACCAAAACAATTTTAACATTATTTATATAATTAAGAGAATAAGATATTGTTTATTATTGAAAATTATTAGGAATACTTCAATCGAACATGTCCCACAAAGGCCAAACCACACACATGGACTGACCAATTCTCATACAAAGGCATTGAAATTCAGAAATTATTATGAAAAAGTGATTAAAAAAAAGAAGAAGCGGGAAGAGACGTGTGCTTATTGCATGATTTAGAAGTTGTAGTTCTCGTCTTCGTGGAGCTTTTCATCGTGACAACAAGTAAAGCTCATGTACTTCTCCATGGGACGCTGACACTCGAAGCAATTCATCTTCTCCGGAATCCGACCGCTCCGAGCAGTGATGTGGAAATCAAAGTGGCCGCAAGGTTTTCCGGTTTCACGGAGGACCTCATCGTGGTGGTGGTCGTACATTGCTTTGGTGTAGCCTTTGGTCGGGACGTGGGTTTTCCAGGTCCGATCGTAAGCACTCATAGTCCTCTCTACCGCACCGTGAGCGATCATCACTATCTCTGGCCCTTTGCTCAGTAGTGCCCATCCTCCAAGCTTGTCGTAGCTTAGTATCTTCTTGATTCCTTGCATCACCTAATCAACGTTTTCAAAAACACAGAATAATTCATTAACCAACACCATTGAACCGAACCGAACCGAAAAACTGAAAACCCTAGCTAGATATATAGTCTACTCTTACATCGTCCTGATCATCGGCTTTACCGAGTTGAATCTTAGAGTACAACATGCTCTCGAGCCTAGTCCAGAAGAACCACATCAAGGCAGGCTCGGCCCAGCTATGGCTCAGGTTTTCAGACCTGATTGTTTCACTGATACGCCTGATCTGTTCCCTGTGGCTATGGTTTCGTTTTCCGACGTAAGCCATCTCCAGGTTCACGTTGGAATCTTTGGCCGTTGCTTTGGCCGCCATTGTGAATCTCCTTATCCAGTCCAAGTCATCTCCTCCGTACAGGAAAATGTAATTATCCGGGATTATCTGCAATCAGACCCATCATCAATCACGCCTCGTTCTTGAATGTAATTAGGTCAAACCATGCCTGTTCTGTTTCTAGATTTCCAGGCCAATCATAAAAAGAAGAAGCATGAGAGTTTTGAAATACCCAGTTGAAAATGACAGAGTCGATGCCGTCGACGATGAGGTTAAGCGAAAAGGTCTCTCTCCTCCAGAGCTCTTCCTCACGAGATCTAGTGAAAGGGAAAGCTTCAGTGCCCCAAATCCAGATCATGTGAAGCGCATTGAGGCTAGCCTCGTTGCCTTGTGGATCAATCACCACAAGTATCGGCTTGTTCATGAAATGCCATCTCCCTCTCATGAACTCCACCACATGTCTCTCTATCAGCTTCGGGCTATCCACTGAGTACCTGACCAGTGACCACCAAAAACTTCAATTTCTCCATCTTTCTTTATAACTAGAATGTGTTTTGAATTGTGTTAGATACCATGGCATAGGGTCACGGAGATCCTCAAATTTCTTCTGTAAAATCGGAGATCTTTCAAAATCTTCAATAGGATCCACGACTGGAACCCACACAACCTCGTAAGGCATATGACTCTTACCATCGACCCCAACCAAGTTCCTTCTTGACTCTGTGTAGATTTGCTCGAAAATCGATAGCTCATCTTGTAGTATGTTGAGATCAGAGATGAGCAGCAACACTGTCTTCCTCCTCAACACATCCAAGTGAACCTGCAACATTCATTCATATAACAGAGTATAAATTTCTTCATTAAAATTTGTATATTAATGAACCTTAACAGAAGATAAAAAAACCTAACACGAAAACCTTTCTCTTGGTCAAACCATCTTGCAATGGAGTGATGTGGGGTTTGGGATGTATCAAGGCCGTGAGAATCTTCATGTTATCAATGTGAGTGGTGTCGAATAGAGAATGCAACACCTTTAAGGACTCTGAGCTTCTCTGCTTCTCTGCAAAATGCAGTCTTTGTCAGTAAAGAAACAGAGAGATGAATAGTTGTTGAATGGGACGGAACAAACAAACAAACCTATGTGACGGTAACAAAGCCTCAAGGTCTCAGAGAGATGGTCATGAATGTTCTTCAGCTTGTTAGCTAACATCGATGTTTCCCATAAATCCATTTGAGTGTTCATCATCCTGATAAATAAAGTGTACTCCTTAGCGGGTGATCAATTAAAAGATCGATAAAACAAAGTTAATTATCATACTCGTGTCCCATGGCAGTGATCATGTTGATCTGAGAAATGCAAGCCACCACGCTTCTTATTGTCCAATAGACAGCAATTGGGATTGTAGAGAGGATTCTCGCCAGCTGAGGAACGTCTGGTGTGATGTACCGATCAGGTAACTCGCTGAGTTCCACTACACATGCCGTGACGTTCTTCATCTCTCGGATGAGATCGTTGAGCCCTTGGGACACAGACTCGAGGGTCACTCTGTTCTGCACAGGGACGAGCTTGAGCAGAGCTAGGGACTTAGCAAGCTGGTTCTTTGAGTAGAATTGGACCAGAAGCCAAAACTCTCCATAATTCAACGCGAACGCTGCTAGAGTCAGAACGAGCTTGCCGTCCCAGTGGAAGCTGGAGAGGTGTTCGAACACAGACATTGTGATTTCGTGTGCGTCGGATCCCGTCAGAGACTTGTAGGCTATCTGAAAAGAAAGAAAAAAAACAGAGAGAACCACGTAAACAGTGTATTGCTTAAGTTCCAAGTTAGGTCGAAAATTAGGTTGCTGCTGGTTACGTGTAAAATAAGTCTAAACAGAGAATCAATTGAACAAAAAGTGAAAATGTAGCTATACCTCACAGGCGACGCGATCGATAGCATAGGAGACACTATCAAGAACGCTCATCATGCTTGACTGCATCAGTTTATCCTCGGTGGGCAATGGAAGCATCTGCAAAATCAAAGCAAGTACGTAAAGGAACAAGATCATATGTACGAACTTATAAGAACAAAATTGATTGTGTATAAGAATACTAACGGAGGCGTTGGTGTCTTCAGAGTCAAGAGTGGCACGATCGAGGATATCTTCAACGAGAGAGAGAAGGACCACGCACTTGGACTTCGCGAGCATCTGGGGAGTGAGTCTGTTGGATCAGTTTCAGCATCATGCTTTCGTCCGATGACATCGCCAGTCCCGTCGCCGGTATCATCTCCATTGCATGGAGTTTTACCGGTCGTATTCTTGTGACCCGCCGCCAGTTGCTGAGCGTGCTGGGACTTGATCAGCGACTCCATTCTTGGTTCGGGTTGCTTTGTGAGAGAGTTGAGAAGAAGAGGCTGTTTTTAATGGTTTGTGTTGTTGTGCTATGTGAGGTTAGCCTTAAATACTCGTTTTTTCCCCTTGATTACGGTTGGAAATTGAGAATCGACTTCTTTGCTTCTGCAACAATTAAATTACATCTACAAGAATATGAATTATAAAATCTTGTTTCTTTTTTGCTTTTCTTTTTTGGTGGCTTATTATAGAAGAGTGATTTTAATGAGATATAGTTCCCGTCCACGTGAATGTCGTTAGTACAATAAAGTATAAGCCTAATACTGTGAAATATAAGAGCATTTCCAATGTCAATCTCTATATTTTTCTCTATTATAGAGGAACTCTATTTTAGAGGAGATTTTGCTCTAATGTATCCCATTAAAATAGAGTTTTCTCTAAAATAGAAGAGAGAGACATTGAATTACTCTATATATTTTCTCTCCCCTATTTTAGAGGGATACATTAGAACAAAATCTCCTCTAAAATAGAGAAAAATATAGAGATGGACACTGGAGATGCTCTGAGCCTGCTTTTACATGAATATAGTAAAAAATAAGAACTAGGATTGGGGATAAGCTAACCATAATACATATATTGTGTATAGATCGTTTTTCTTACATTTTATATTATTTGCTTTTCTGAAAAATGTTCACTGAAATGTTGGGAGTTTTACTCGTGCATCTTACACTCTTTCTTTATGGACTTCAAATTCATATAAGACTAAACGTGGATCAAAAACAATTAAACTACACTATTTTAATATTACTACTTATGATTTTAACGTCATTGCCAACTAGAAGTTTAGCCTCACTTTTCTCCATCACAATGATGATCACTGGACTACTATTTAATTCTCGCATTTTTATGTTACTAAAGGACATTAAAAGACAAGACACTACTTTGCTTTGATTCTTATGTTACTTCGCCTCATGCCATAGAATATTAGAATTTATGGCTTATCTCATTTACTTTTAGTTACTTTATATTTATTGTATCTCATGATGCCTCGGAAAATAGCATCAAGAGTGAAGTGAACAAAAGGGTGTGAAGTTAAGATTCTTTGCTCTCTTTTGGGTAAAACTATAGAATATCTTATGCTCAATGATATATCTAGGATAAGGCTAAAAAAAGCAAAACTAGAGTAACCAAGGATATATGTATGATGTAAATGTATCTAAGGCAATCACTTTTCTAAAAATAATATTGTTATGCTTTGGAGTTTATAACGTTTATAGGTAGGATTAAATTTGTTGTTTCCACACGCAACAAATTCTGATATCTCATCATTAGAAAATACGTATAAGAGCTTCTTCTAAATCAAATCCAATGTATGCAATATTCAATAAGTATTTGATGTTTTGGAAGATTTAACTTTTAAATTAACCATAGGCTAGGAACCGCTGATATATCGTTTAAGTTGTATTCCCCCTTTGGTGATACAGCAATCAGTCCATGGTTTTTTTCTTCCCAATAATGTAGACTAACACTTTTAAGTTTTAACTTTCTATTGGATATATGATATGTGATTAGGACTCCTACTTTACATTTCTCATATAATATTATATATTTATTGAAGATATTTGTCTGAATTCGTATAATGTGGCGGAATACTGTACAAATATCTAAATTTATATAGTCCCAAAAGACTCTTCATCTTTTGATTGATTGATTCATCCTTTTTACTTTGCCTATTTACTAGCATTACAATAATTTCATTTCAAAAAGCTAAATGTTTACCTTCTATTAATCAATTTCAAAAAGACCAAACTTTAATGTTACATTAGAAAGTTTATCACAGACAACAACAACAACAAAAAAAAAAAGAGAAGAAGAAAACTCAGTTACTTGTATTGTTGACTAGTGCTGTAGACGCTCAAGGATCAAGAAATCGACAAAGAAGCAATGCTAAATCAGTTCAGTGTTCTAGAAGCTTCCCATACATAAAACTTCATTAATTATTTTCGAAATCTCAAACACACAAATTTTATTACAAAGACTCTGCTTCAGTAGAGCAGAAGCAGCAGCAACAACAACAATATGAAAAAGAGTAGAGAAATTCACAACAAGGAGAAGAAAAAAGACGCAAACTTATTTGTGTTTATTGTTTGATGGCTTCCAAATCAACTACTTGGTTCCCAATATTTTGGGATCTTACTCAAGGCAGCATTGGTACAAGTAATACTTCTCCATGGTCCTACGACACTCGGTGCACTCGACCTCATTGGGTATAATCCCAGCAGTCTCAGGAAGCATGAACCTTGTGCAGTGATGTGGTGGGAGACGCATCAAGAGATGATCATTGAGCGCTGTAAGAAAACCCTTTGTGGGAATGTTGACTTCCCATTCGTTGAACTCAGACAAACCTCTCGAAAACAAGTTCCCTTTGGCTCGAACCATCAAGTCCGATGCTTTACTCACCAGTCCCCATCCATCTCCTTCTCCTCCATAACCCAACATAGCAACCACTTCATGCAGAACAAGGTCCTTTTCCTCTTCTTTAAATCCTTCTTTAAACCCTTCTCTCCCCTTGATTCCGCGGGCTTTCAGCATCCTCTGCTTCGATTCCCACATGCTCTCGATCCTCGTCCAGAAAAACCAGATCTGGAACAAGTCCGGCAACGTATGGCTGAGATTTTCCTCCCGGATTGTGTTGATTATCGGCTGGATTCCATTCTTAGGGTTTCTTTTCCCGACATAAACCATCTCGAGTTGAATGTTTGCGGCCTTTGCTACATTACGCCAGAGACTCGTGAAGTTTTTGATCCATTGCAGATCTTCTCCTCCGTAGAGGACATATGTATTTTCCATCAACAAGCTGATAAAAAAACATACAATTAAAACATTTATCAGGTTACGTGTAACATAAGAAAATTGAATTGTTCTGAAGTACTCTGTTTTTTTCAATAAAGAAACCTGGTTTAAGGAATGAGGATCAGTTCCATCAATCAAGAACTCAAGATTCCAATCCTGTTCGCTCCATAGATCACGTTCCCTTGCGGTCGTGAAAGGGTGCGCAAAGGGTTGCCAGATCCAGACCATAGGAAAAGCGTTGGTTGACATAACTTGACCTTTGGGATCAAGTGCAACGAGTATAGGTCTGTTCTTGAACCCCCACCACTCCCTCACAAACCTAATGGCGGCTCGTCTTAGTTTCCGAGGCTCTCCAAGAACGTACCACCTCATATTCATATGAAGTGCCTCGAACTTGGCATCGTCAGCTTCTGTCCAGAAATCTTGAACTGGAACCCATAGAATCTCGAATGATTGCTGCCATGCTTCTGTGTAGAGCGATTCCAGGATGTAGAGCTCCTTTTCGATGTTTTCTAGGTCTGATACCAGAAGCAGCACGTGCTTTTGGGTGAGCACGTTGATCCCGACCTGGTTAATGTTTGAAAACAGATCATCAGACACTGACAAGAGACATAAACAGAGGCAGAGATTTGAGGATATTTTACGCGTCTCTTGGAAACACCAGCTCCGTGGTAAAGAAAATCAATAGGTCTGAGAAGGCGAAGCAGAGGAGGAACAACGTCAACGTGAATGATAGTAGTGAACGTCTGAATGAGTTCTTGATACTCTTCTTCGATTATACCGTCCTCTGTAACAGAGCAAAAAAACAGAGCTTGAGAACAGAGGAATAAAAAAAAGAGAAGAAAAAAGAAAGAGAGAGCTTAAAACGAGGTCGTAATCACCAATGGTCAATTGACTCTTCTCGAGTTGTTTTATCAAGTAATCATTGATCTTCCTAAGCCTTTCGCTATTCTCATGAATCTCCGAAACTTCCATAAACGACATGATTTGACTGAAAACCCAGATGAGAAGCTTTTGTAAGTTTTTTACTTGTAAATGAAGAAACCCTAGAAATCAGAAAGAAAAACAACTTACTCCTGCTTGAAACCACTGGCGCCACTGATGTGAGAAACACATATCAAAACGCAGCGAACAATCCAGTAAACGGCAGTGGGTACATGGTCGGTAAACGCGGTTGTGATGTGGTTTGGCGGGAGTTGATAGATCTGGATGATGGTAGTGGTGAGATCAACCATGTCTTGCATCAGATTTCGGGTCTTGTCAAGACGCTGGTGCAGAGCGTTTTGCCGGGAGAAGATGCTAGGGAGCTGTTTGATGAGAGCCAGCGATTTAGTGAGCTGATTAGTTGCGTGTGTCTCCGCGAGGAGGAGAAAAACGCCGTATTTCACGGCCAAGGCAGCTAGGACAAGGACTAGCTTAGCATCCCAACGGTATTTGGAGACCAGAGACAGAACAGAGAACGTCGTGGTATTGCGACTATCTAAATGAAGCCCTGATGTCATCATACCGTGAGACTCACCGCCATGGAGACACTTGCAGTCGATCTGGTCAGAGACCAATATACTTAGAAACTGAGTCAAATGTTACTTAATACAAGAGAGCTTCGTATATAATATACCTCGCAAGAGATTTGATCAATGATATCCGCGAAAGTTTCAAAGGAGGTATGATCAGCATAGTCCTTGAACACGAGTGATGGCTGCATAAGTTTTAAATTTAATAAGCTTGTAAAAATCAATGTTTGAAATGGGGATTGATTGTTGCACAAGTAAACTAAACCTTAGGAGCAGAGGAGTCAATGGATGGGACATGAGACTTGAAGATGTCATCAACAACGGAGAGGAGTGATTTGACATCAAAGAAGATCATGTCTGGACTATGAGTCTTCAAGACTCTATCAGCCATGACTCGGTCATCAGAAAGTGAAAACATAGGTCTGCCATTTCTATGGAAAGCTTGTTTCTTGCCCGGACCAAATCTTCCACCGAGCGAATTGTGGCCCAATGATTTCGGAACCATCGAATGTCGGATATTAGCATCAAGTACGTCCTCAGATGGATGAGGGTGATTTGCAGTCTTAGGGACAATGGAACCGAGCTTCTCGGTCTCATGATCCATCACCTTATTATGGTCCGCAGGAGCAGAAACATTGTGATCATCGGTATGACCCCCGAAGGGTTTGTCTTCGTGAGTTCTCGGTGCTAAGGGACGCCTATCGCCTGAGTTATCAGCCAGCTTCTGCTCGGAGGATCTTGGGATAAGGGAGACCCTTTTGAGAGGGTCGGCCGTTGGGAGGGTTTTTGGGTTCAATTGAAAGCGTTGGGCCATATTGGCGAAAAGAAGAGAAATATATGGTGAAGTATCTGATGTGTTGTGGTGAATGATTGGGCTAATATCCATGTGTGTATATATACTGGTGCAAAAGGTTAAATAAAGTGGCAACTTTGAATCAACTTCTTTGCTTCAGCTTTGGTTCAATATTTGTTTTGGTGTCTTTTACACTTCCATAGACAACTTTTCCCTAATCGATATTTCATAATTTTCATTATTGTGATAATAACAAGAATTTCAGATCTTCGATCATAATTTGTGTAAACAACCAAATTTAGTATGTACGTAGTAACTTCATAGCTACTTAAGAAGCCACATGCGTGGAACATGGATAGTGTACATGCAATGTATTTTTGTTTTAATATAATAGACTTCCTTTTAATGTATATATATATACTGTTATATATAAAATCTAAACCATAGAAAAAGCAACTCGTGATACTCGTTGAACAGGGACAAGGCTACCTTGCTTGGATATTGTCCATGAATCTACGAACAAAACGAATCACACACACACAATGAATGCTATTGAAAACTATATATTAATTATATTTTCTAAAGTGTGTAATCTTTCTTTCAATTATTTCTCTTGTAATACAGGTTCTTCCAATTTGATTGGTTGCTCAAATCTGTATTTTCACTTTCACTATTTCTCTAAAATTTGTATTGTAAGTTTCTCCAGCTGGACTTGGTACTACTAGTTCCAATCTTTTTCTTTTACTTATTTCCCTTTCAAACTTCCCATCCAATACGTACAGTATATATACATTTTTTTTTGTGTTACTCATAAATAGGTTTGAAATTCTTATAAGCAATGACAGCATTAAAAGGATCGGGCCTAGAAGCTAAACCAATAAAACCCATAAGCCGAGTCATAACCGATATCTGAGCTCCAGGCTGTTGCCGGATGATCTCCGGCTGAGTAAACCCTTCAACAGACTGAAAGTACTGAACCACCAATTGGATCCGACTGTATTCGGTTCCATCTCGCCAAACCCTAATTGCTTTCTCATAAAACATCCGATTGCTAAAACTCACTATCAACACACCTCCCGGTTTCAACACTCTATACACTTCTGCAAACACCTGCCCATTATATAATAGGGAAAGATCTGGTTAAGGAATCTTGACATAATCCGAAATTGGTTTTGGTTTACGGTAACGTACCTTTTCGGGTTGTTGTAGATACTGTACACCGACAGCACATAAAACAGCGTCGAAATACTTGTCTTCGAACTCGAATTTCTGATCTTCGTTGAGATCCTTGAGGAAGAAGTAATCGAGTCTAGGGTTACGTGCAAGCTCCTGTGCGTTAAGACCATGCCCCACTACTTTCTCGTACTTGACTTCTTCTGGAAGATGGCTAACCCATGAGCTCATCAAGTCTAGTACAATCGAACCGGGTCTCAACCGGTTTCTGTATAGTTCGGTTAAGGAGGATATGAAACCATCGTCTACGTGGTTCACGAACCGTGGGTATGAATAGAACTCACGGTCAGGATCGGCGTTTAGTTTGGTCCGACCTTCGTTGTTAAGTACTAACCTTTGGACCTTACCGGCCGAGGATGATGGTCGAGGATCGGTTTCATCGGTTTGTTTCGATATGTTGTTAGTGATTCTTGGTCGGAGAATTCTGGGTTTCAATTGAATTGGAGATTGCTGGAGGTTGAATCGAAGAGAATCCATAAGGTTCTCTTTTCTTCCAAAAGCAAAATAAGGTTCACTTTATCAAAACTTCGCAGAAGCTAAGAATCGTTAGTCGAATCGTTTGTGAAAGGAATGGATAATTGATGAGTGGTGTTCATTTCTGCTGTTCCCTACTAATTTTATTTGGTGAATTTGCTTTTAGCCCAATGTAAAGCTAATGGGCTTCTATTGGGCAATTTATCCATTTTCTTTCCCATTTTTGCTTTGTTGACAAAAAATCTCAAAAGCTTACAGGGAGAATTAAGTCATGATGATTAGCATAGCAAAAAATCTCAAAAGCTTAATAGCAACGCTTCGATAATTGGCTTTACGGGTTGGAGATAATTTAAAAATTTAGAGTATAAGCAACTTTGGTTCAATCGAATCTTGAAAAATCCAAGAAAGCCCTCCACATATAAATACATAATTCTTACAATCCAATCAAAGAAAATTTATGAACAAGTTTCGGAATTCAATCAAAGAACAAAAGAACACTTTTTTTATTCTACAAAAAGATCTGAAAATCTCTGGGAGAAATGGGATTTGGACTGGTCAAAGCTTATGTCAATGGTGTTGTTAGTAGAGCTTGATTCTGGTCTGGATCGGCGCACGACATATCGGACACACTTTAAGATCTGGTCCGCATTCACAACAAGTCTGATGGCCACAACCAAACGCCATGTTTTTCGGGTTGCTCAGACATATCGGACATAGCTGTTCAAAGGTCAAATAACACGAATTTAATAATAAAGTTTTAAACTCTTTCTTTCACTCAACATTTCAAACAGATTCCAAGTTTCTACTAATTACCTGGTTATCGTCTGCACCACTGCTCATATGCTTGCTCTCAAATGGATAGGTAGGTACACTCGGTTCAAAACTCGGTATCTTGGAACTAGAGAATGATGATCCGCTCTGCACCGGTGGCGGAAGTGGGATTCTCTCTGGGATAGTCCCATTTCTTCCCCTGCAAAAATGTAAAGGGCAAGAGAAAGTTGAGGATTTTGATAACAATATAGCGGTTTCATCTCGGCTAACCTATCAGGGTTTTGATTTGGGTCCTTACCCTAAAAGGTTAAGCTCTATCGTTGCTTTGTACTGTGGAGGAATTTCCATGAGAGCAGAGAGCGCGAATTCTGTCTCCTTCCGAGACTGGTCTTTGTTCTTTGACATGATCTCTGTGAAGTTCACAAACTAGAAACAGAGCAACATGTCAGAAAAATGGTTCGAAACTGAAGAAAAGAAGAAATCTTCAATGTCATGATATGAAAAAAAGAAGCTTACTTGGAAGTTATCGAAAGCTCGGGCAGGTATGTTATCATCAAATTCCTGCATCATGTCCCATGGTCCATCCCCGACCCCGACTAAGACTATTGACAAAGGAAGGGTACTGTAATAGAGAGGATGAAACTGATCACATAACATAACACACAAAGAAAAGAACTTTAAAATGGACGCAACATAGTCAAAAGATTGAAAGAGTCGCACCTTGCTTTCACAATTGCATCGACCGTCTTCTGTTCTTGCGGACTTAGCCGCCCATGTTCGGTATCGACACTTCTTGTGACCTGAAACAACAAAATGAGTCCAATTTGATATCTCTAGACACAAAATCAGAAGATCACACACAGCTTCGGCACTCAAAATATTAATCAGTACCTGGCCATCAGCTATAATCACTAACACATGATATTGGCCACTACTCTGCTCAACCACTGTCATTGCCATTTCAATGATCGGGGCAAAAGATGTTGGTCCTGAAATACAACAATTCACGGAAAAAAACACGGTTCAAGTTTGTAACTTGCGTTTCACAAAGGAATACAGAATGCCAGTGTAGGCCAGAGGAGGAGATAAACCTGCGAGCTTAAGCTGAGGTACAATTTCTCTATAACGAGCCAATACTTCCTCAAATCCATTACAGAATCTACCCTCTGGATAGAAACTAAACACATCTTGATCATGAGTTGTTGCTGCAAAGAGATGAAAGCAAACCTTGATTCATAAACATTCCTCTGGAAATCGAGAGACATAAATAACATTGCTTACCGTCTCCAAAACCATAACAAGGAATTAAGTTATCCTCGTCAAAGGCGGCTAAGGTTCTTCCTATGATAGTTATTGCCTGTTCGTATGGATTCGGGGTATTGCTTAAGTGATGCAAGCTTTTCCTATTGAAGGACTTGGCCCCTGCAGTACCAAAACCAATTAGTTTGTCTTCTCCACATTCAAAACTTAGATTAAGAATAATAATCAACCTGTCCATTCATTGCTCTTGGTGAAATCAATACCAACGATTAGATTTGAAGATTCAAGACCTGCACGGCCTAGAGCCTCCGACACCTGGAATCAATTCAGACACACACTAGATTCAGATTCTAACGAATCTTGAGGAAAAGCCAAGTGTATAGCATGCATTGTCTTAAACTGACCTGCAGTAAAGAAGAGTAGTTATCCGATATTTTGGAATATCTCCGATCAAATTTCTTCCGGTCAGCATCATGACTCTGTGAAGGCGGTGGAGGATAATTAGGCTGTGATGCATAGCCCTCTTGACTATACGGCATCTGATATTGATGGCCATAACTGGAAGCCGGAGATGGAGCAGGAGCAGGAGCATGAGCAGGAGCAGGAGCGGGAGTATAAGTGGGTGGAGGAGGATAGTTGTAGCTATCAGGTCCATATTGAGGATAACTTTGGTGAGAAGCCCATGATGATGAAGATGGAGATGACGACTCTTCTTTGGAATTCCCTCCTCCCATCAAACTTTATTCAAATCAAGAAGAAAAAAAAGACAGAAACTTGAAGGCTTCAAGATCAAATATACCTGCACATAAAGATTCGGATATTTAGAATCTTATCCTCTTTGAACCAGAGAAAAAGGGAATCACAAGAGAAGAAGAAGAACGTAATCGATTCAACATGCACTTACCTAATAGAAAAATTGAAACTTTCTGTGATATCTAATGTGTCCTTCAAAATGGGTACGACTTAAAACCTAAGAGAGAGCAATTAGGACTTTGAAAGACGAAGAAGAATAGTCTGCAGAATGAATATATTGACGATGATTATGGAACAGGTGTAATGAGGCGGCGTCTTAATAATTCTTAAGAAAGAAGATGATGATGAAGAAGATTCAATCACGTTACCTCCAATCTCACCGACTTAAAGCCGTTACGTGTTATATATTTATGTTGGATTTTTTCCCAATTTTGGAAACAAGATAAGAATTGTAGATTTCATTAACCTAAAAAGTAACTAGGGTTTAAAACAAAACAAGTAAAGACAAAATCTGTGGCTTTTTAATTAGAGGAGATTTGTCCTAATTAAAACAAAAGTAGATTAATTCACCCAAAAGAGATTTCACTGATTTTCGATCCATAACTTAAAAGATTATAAACAACAAAAAAATCCCGAACCTTTTTTATGTGTGAGAAGTCGACGAAGAAGAAAGAGCAATTATTTTATGTGTTGAGAAGATGATGAAGTGATCTTCTTCTTCTTCTTTCTTTTTAAAGGTTGTCAAGGTCAAAGGGATCTTCAATGGCGGATTCAATGTATATCCCAAATTGCCCCTCTTTTTTTTTTGTTCAGAAAGCAATCTAACCTTTTTTCTGTTGTTTAATGTTTCACTTTTTTCACGTTTCAATCATGAAATCAGAAAAAGAGGAGTTGCATTTAATCCAAATCACTTCTTTATTTAAACCAGGAAAACTTCTTTATTCTTGGCCCACCAGAGTCCAAGTCCAAGTCCAGACCGATTTTAAATATTTTTATTACTCAATCAAATAACAATTTATTTTCAACAAGATTGTAAAAAACACCTAATAGTAACAGTAGTAGTAGTAATTCGAATTCGTGGTTCTGGAACACACATGTTTTGTTCAGATGTCATCAACTTGGGAGGGTATTAGTATAGATTAGAAATAGTACATGTCTGCCACGATTTCTCTTAACTTTCTGCCAAATGATCTCTGAATTTTAATTTTCTTTTTCTTATTCATCTTCACACTATCTGCCAACTTCTGTATATATATATCACAAAAAGAGAGCACATATATGTGGATTGAAATGGTAAATATCACTACTACTTGTAGTTTCTAAAATTTAGATCACCTGGCTAACAATTTTAATATCAAAATGTTTACTTTCGTATAAAAAGTTGGATTGTAATGTGGAAAAAACTACATGGAAGAAAAAGAAGCAAAACAAACAAATTATAAGCCAAGTGACGTACAAGGAACAACAAACAAGAAAATGTGCAAGAAAAAGAAATAGAACAACCACCGAAACAACTGAGACATTAAAGCTCACATGTTTATTTCTCTTGAAAAATGGGTCAATCGTGTGAAGAAGACTTGATCATGGCTTTCATAAGGTCTCAATGTCAGAATCATTCAAACATGAAGGGGCGATTTTTACCGGCTGAAGCATAAATCCCGATTTCCGGCATTCTTCTTCCAGAAGCTTCACCTGAGATGGACCTTCAGGGCAGAAAACCACCACTGCTCCTCCACTTCCAGTGAACTTTGAAGCTGCACCAACCCTCCTTGCTACTTCCACCATCTCTATGTTCATTGCTCCTAAGCATTCATCCCCAAACATCCGCCTATCGCAAAAAAAGAGACATCACTATATGTGTTTACTCCCATCTATTTAAACATCATGTGAGCAGGCAGTTTGATCTTAATTTGTGTGTAGATTCGAGTTTAGTCTGGAATAAAAGTTACCTCCGAATGTCGAAATTAAGGTTCATGAGTTCCACAAGTTTGGAATGGTCCTTGTTGAGTAATGCAGTTCGACCTTCTTCTGCTAGATTTCCGACTTCTTTCATTGATGAGATTATAAACTCATCACCGTCTAACCATCTTTGCCGAACCATACTATGTACCTGCATTAGAAAGCAATGCTAATATATATAAAAACATCTAACAGAGAGAAAATACTACTGAGTTGTAGTCATTAATGCTGAAGTCAACTAGCTTTTTGAGGGAATTTCACTTGATTAGCTGCAACAACCAGAACCATTAACTAAGTCGGTTAATGGTAGTGTACCTTCCCGGAGTCGCTAGGATTCTCAGCATAGATGAGATGCAAAGGAGGGAGCAGACTGATATCCATAGGAGTATAAATCCCATGTCCCAATTTATCCATGTGCTCCTTACTAAAATCCTGCAAAGTGAAGAAAGCCATAAAATTCATGAACTGATGGAAACTTTGTACCAATGGCTAGGTATAGATAAGATAAGATGGCTACACTGACCATGTGAACAAGACCACCATAGACCTGAGCAACCCTGTCTTGAAGACCAGCAACAATACCAAGTTCTTTCTCTGCACTGAGAACAATGTTAGGGCGGACTTGTACTTTGATCAAATGCCTGACATTGTAGAAGTCTAGAAGGCAGTTAAGGGCAGCGGATACGATGGCACTAGAACCCGAAAGCCCTGTCTGGAAGGAAACATCAAAAGTTCAAAAGATAAGCGAAAGAGAAAGCAAATTAAGCAAAGAAAAACATACAGAGAGAAAGGGGAATTAAAATCAGTACCTGCCTAGGGATATTGGTATCATAAGAAAGAGAGAAGTTGCCTTGGTGAAGTTGAATGTCATTCTCTTTGCAATAGTTACGAAATACTTTACATATCGCCATTAGCAACCTTACACCACCGTAGTATCCTTCATTTTGCAAACGATTCAGCTACGAAAATCAAGAAAACAATGCTTGTTAATTAGTTTGTTTATAACACAATCCTGAGAATAAGCCAAAATTCTCATCTCAGAATTACAACCATGAAGAATGTTTACATGGAAACTAGGTTCACAATTCAGACTAATAAACAAATGAGTCAAGAAGAAGAAGCTGAAATTTACACAAATCATAAATGCATCTAAACGAAGAGAGAGGGATCCAGAAGGAACGAATAACAACAATGTTGGAGCAATTTATAAAAAGATCGAGAGGGGAGAATAATAAACGTACGAGATGGTCGAGAGAGGTGAACTGGACGAGATCATGGAATGGATGAGGCTTGATTACGAGATGCTGGGACGGCTCCAGCTTCACGGAGGCCCAGAAGTTACCGATGGTCAATGATATGGTACGCCCGAAGTATACATCGCTCGGGTTTCCCAAGAATCCGATCCGAGCGAAGGATCGATGCTCTATCGCCGCCAAAGCCTGGCCCTCGCCGGAAAGCGTGGAATTCGGATCCATCTTCTCTTCCCTGACGCGTTTTTTACTTTCTTTATTTAACATATCCATCCCCACACGCACTCACTATTTTAATGTTTTTTTTTTCTTCTAACAGTTTATGGGTCCCGCTAAATTGTTTGGTTTTGGAATTTGCGCTAACAAATGACACGTCAAACCTTCTAACATGTGTAGCCATTGATGAGATTCTAATCATTTATTTCCCGCTAATCATCTCATTTAACCATTTTATTTATTTTTTTATGTAAACTGTAATGGCTAATTTGTCTAATTCACTTGAGATAGGAAATTTAAGAGCAAGTTCTTAAATGACCAGATACTTGTATATGTTAACTCTTATTATGATGCTTTTTTTTCATAGTTATTATGATATGAAGTTGGAACAGAGCTACGGAATCAATGTTTTGTACAACACTTTTGATTTTTTTGTTTGTTAAGTTGGCCTAGTCGTGGAGAGGCAATGGTTGTAATTGATGTGGTCACAAAGTGATTCGCTTTGATTTTGTTTGTTTCTTTCAAATTTCAATGAGATGAAAACAGATCCAAGCATTTTACACTCTTTTCTTGGATCCGACCAGTCTGATAATACTCTCTACACAACTTTACATTCTGTTCAATTCTAACCGGTGATAAACCGCTCTGGTTCTAATAAACAGAAACAAGCTACATACAAACCCCACAACAGACAAACAACCCCAAAACATAAACGTTACGAAATAACACTTACTTCCTATGCAAACAACCGAGTCAGAGACCACAGATTTCCTGCCGAGGCTGGCATTTGTGTCATAGACAGACCCAGCCATGTAGCCGTAAAAGAGCGATCCGATGGGAATGTTTGTGATGAGGATGTTCTGGTTGACACCGACACTGTTGCGCCCAAAGAGGTCTGAAGTTATGGAAACGGCAGCCGCAAACACAAACCCCGAGCTTAACCCGATAAGTGCTGTAGAAACTTCTAATAGCGCTGTCTGGTTGGTCTTGGGTGAATACGCGAGAATGAAGAAGGCCAAAGGTGTTGGAAGTAGCGAAATGGTGAACCAGCCTGTTCTTGTCAAGTAGTCTAGTTTCTTGCGAGTGAAGTCAGGTGCAGAGGAGAGCAATCTTCCGAGAAAGGAGAAGGCAGAGAAAAGTGTGACTAAAGATTTAGCGCTCCGGCTGCTTTGTCCTAGAGACTGAGCGATCTGTCCTAAGTTGTTGCTATAAACAAGACCAATCGTGCCGCCGCAGAAATAAGCTACGTAGTATAACCAAAACTCAAGCCTACGAACCAGCATTCCGAGAGAATGTTCATCTCCGAGTCTCACTGTATTACATTCCTCCTCCGCATTAACCTTTTGACTTTTGAGGATCTTGGGCTCCTCAATGTTAACCACTGCATAGCCAGAGCTGTGATGGTGGAAACAGGACTCGAGAGCGCGGTGAATATAGTCGAGAAACGGGACGCACAATGGGAAAAGGAGAAGGAAAATGGCTCCAAGGAAATGCCAACGAGGTGATGAAGCTAAGTAGGTGCCTGAGGAAGGCAAGAGAAGGTAAAAGCATGTGACTAAGGCTAAGACATTGAAAACTACAAAGACTCGGGTTTCGTCATGTGTACGGCTAGTATCGGATTCAGAGGAATTAGGGTTAGTAAGGACCGGCCAAAGGGCTAAAACAGAGACTATCAGAGGGATGAGAGAGTTAAGAAGAAGGTAAATATCAGAGCTTGCCGATGATTTCCCACTAATGGCTTCATGGCCAAGCGTGTACAACGCAGCACTGATTCCGTTGAAACTCACAACGAGAGACAAGGCCAGCGAGTGGTTTGCTTCGAAATGTCGAATGCAGAGGATGAAGCAGACGGTGTTGAACCAGCAGATGCTTAACCCGGCTAAGGAGCAGCAAACCAAAACCAGAGAGTAAGGCAGATCTATCACATCGGCGATGGCTAACCACTGGACACCGTAACCGACGAGTCCCATTCCGGCGGCAGCGAATAACACGCCGGAGACAGGGAAATAGGCAATGGCGAAACCTGAAGACCAACCCAATGCTTTACCCAAATCTGAAGCAACCGCCATGTAGTTAAGCCGCGACTGAGAAACCCCCATGGACGACTTCATGTCGGAAGAGTAGGCAGAGAAATCGAAGTTAGTGCCGGTGAATGCTTGAATCCAGATAGCCGCCACCAACACCGTCCATCTCCGCCACCAATGGAGCATAGAATTGTCAGGCGGTGGCTGTGGAGGCGAAGGCGGCTGTTTCCGCATGGTGGGTTCGTCCTCCGCCGTCGTCGTCGCCGTTATCGTCTTTGGGGGTTTCATTTCGCCGTCTCATAATTGAGAGTTAGGAGAATTCTTTTTTTAACGTTCGGTTCAAAATTCCTTTTACTATTTTAACTAGAAGTAGGTTAAAAAAAGGGAATTTCTGATTTTGGCAAATAGAGAAATAACAGTGAGATTTGAAGCCGTAAGATCAAACCGCCTCCACGAGATCTGACGGATGAAATTAGTTACTCTATAAAGAAGAGGGTAATTATAATTGTAGAAATATGGAAGCTAAAAAGCACCAAACGGCTATAATTGGCGTTACATTTTCGGTGAGAGGAGAAGGATCGATTTGAAGACAGAAATTCTCGGATTTGATCCTCCTCCGAGACCTAGACCTCCTCTTTCTTGTTTTTCTTTTTTCTTTAGATTTTCTGTTTCTTCATCATATTTTTCCGTTCAAAATTTGACTTTCCTTTGAACTAATCATCACCATCATGTCCGATGGTTATTGTAGTTCTAAGAAGACTGATACTATCTGCGAAGATGTTTGTGGACAGGTTTGTTTCCGGGGCTTTTCTTTTGTATTTGCCTCTATTTTCTCATCTGATCCTCTTCTAATTTTGATTCAAGGGCTTAGAGGTCTATTATTCTTAATCCTACTAAAGTGTGTTTATGATTTCTGCGTTGTGTCATTTGTAGTTGAGTGTCTTTGCGTTCTAAGTACCGGGTTCGAGTGACTTGAGTTCTTCACAAGTATAAATATCAACTCTTTTGCTAATGGAATCTCTTCTTTTGTTATATATATTTCACAGGAAGGTTCTCGAGCAGGCAAGGCCATGTCAAGGCTTAGATGTGTTCTAAGAGGACTCGATTTTAAAACTTTTCTGTTTCTCTTCACTCTCCTCCCAGTCTTCATCTTCGGCATCTATCTACACGGCCAGAAGATTACATATTTCTTGAGACCTCTATGGGAATCACCTCCTAAACCTTTTAACATCCTTCCCCATTACTATCACGCCAACACTTCCATGGAAATGCTCTGCAATCTTCATGGCTGGAAACTCCGTGAATCTCCAAGAAGAGTCTTTGATGCTGTCTTGTTCAGTAACGAGATCGATATGCTCACTCTCCGTTGGAATGAGTTAAATCCTTACATTACTCAGTTTGTGCTTCTCGAATCTAACTCAACTTTCACTGGACTGTCGAAACCGTTGGCTTTCGCAGACAACCGGGAGAAGAAATTCAAATTCGTCGAGTCAAGGCTGACTTATGGGCACGTTGGAGGAAGGTTCAAGAAAGGCGAAAACCCCTTTGTGGAAGAATCATTCCAAAGGCTTGCACTTGACCAATTGATCAAGCTCGCAGGTATAAAAGAAGATGATCTTTTGATAATGTCGGATGTCGATGAGATCCCCAGCGGTCATACCATCAATCTGCTTAGATGGTGTGACGGATTCCCACCGATCCTTCATCTTCAGTTGAGAAACTACCTCTATTCATATGAGTACTATGTCGATAGCAAAAGCTGGAGAGCTTCGGTTCATCTCTACAAGCCTGGGAAAACTCGGTACGCTCATTTCCGGCAAAGCGACAATCTTTTGACAGATTCAGGTTGGCATTGCAGTTTCTGTTTCAGACACATCAATGATTTCGTGTTCAAGATGAAAGCTTATAGCCATACTGACCGGGTTAGATTCTTACATTATCTGAACCCGAGACGAATCCAAGATGTTATCTGCAAAGGAACTGATCTTTTCGATATGCTTCCTGAAGAACACACATTCAGGGAGATTATCGGGAAACTTGGTCCGATTCCACGGTCTTATTCAGCTGTTCATCTCCCTGGATACTTGATTCAGAATGCTGATAGCTACAAGTACTTGTTACCTGGGAACTGCAAACGAGACACTGGCTGATAAATAAAGGACATCTACTTATCACTCCTCTATAGTCTTTTGCTTTTGTTCTCTCTTTCTCTATATCATCTCTGTACATACAATTTTTACAGTCTCAGAATTTTTGTAGCATTACGGATCCGAGAAGAACAGTTGGAAACATAACTTGATTCTATTACGTGTCTGAAGTAGAAAAACAGACGAGTTTTACTAAAGACCGTATCTACTGAAGTAGAAAAACATAACTTGATTCTATTACGTCTCTAAATTTTACTAAAGACCGTATCTACCCTTGGAAAATGGGAGTTTGCAGACATTCTATAAGTAGGAGTGTTTTTACTCGAGGGTAAAAGATGGCCCTATGGTGACTTGTTCAGTGTTCCTTCCAACGCTTTCTTGAAGCTTTTTTGATAGTGCGTCGTAGTGTTTTCTTTGCTGCAAAACCCATCAAAATGAGGTTTAATTTCAAACTAAACAAGAGACGATAGAAATTTCAATTTCTCACAGTGATGCAAACAGAGAGAAGAGAATACCTGTTTGTTCACAGAGGGTGAGACTAAGGACAAGGCTTGCTCGAAATGTTTTGACTTGATTGTACTCTCAGTTATATCTGTAACATCGTCTTCAGACGACTCACTGGAGCCTATCATCTCCTCCACTGCTTGGAATGTAGCTTTTTGCACCTTCCATTTTATAAACTCAAACCAACCATCAGAATCACGTACATTACAGAAACACAGCGACAAGAGCAGTAAAAAAGAAGTTAATGATTGATTACCAAGTGCGCGAGATCAGCTCCGCTGAAACCTTCACAGTTCATCTTTGCAATTCCATCCAGATCAACACTAGGATCTATCGGTTTCTTCCTTGCAATAGCTTTTAGAATTGAAGCACGCTCATCCGCGTTGGGGAGGGGTACATAAAGAAGATTTCCAAACCTACCCGGTCTCAAGAAAGCAGGATCAACTACATCTGGCCTGTTTGTAGCTCCAATTACATAAACATTACGCCTCTCTCCACCATCCAGCTCAACAAGAAACTGGAACATCGAAATGCATTTGATCAATGCCTGACAAAATTGTGCAGCTGCACCATTCAATAAGCATTTATTACCTGGTTCAAAAGCCGTTCAACAACCCAAGCACCTTCTTTGCCACGACTTGTTGTCAAAGCATCCACCTGAAGTTCAAAAACATTACTCATGTAAAAGAATCAGACAGCTCTTAAACTGCTGCATCAACTCAAACATGGATCTACATTGTTTGCTCAATCTCATATCTTATTGTCTGCATATATAGACATCGGTCTATTTTCATCATATAGTTCAAAATGTTAAAAACAAACCTCATCAAAGAAGATTACACATGGTGCACATGTCCGGGCGCGCTGAAACAACGTACGAATAGCAAGCTCACTTTCTCCAACGTATTTATTTAGAAGTTCTGCACCCTGAAAGCCCAACGATAGAAGAGAGAAAATCACATTATTCAGGACCATTCATATACAAAGCAACATCCATAAAATCTGACGTGAAAGTCAAACCTTGATGTGCATGAAATTAGCTCCAGCCTCGTTAGCAGCTGCCTTTGCAATCAATGTCTTGCCGCAACCCGGTGGTCCATAGAGCAAAAATCCTGTCTCTAAGTCTACCCCAAAAGCCTAAAAAGATCAAAAGAGACAGTTCAGACCTCAATAGAACAAGCAAGTAATCTTGACTATATAACGATGCCATGTGATTTTTAGTACCTTATAAATATCAGGCTTTTTGATAGGCCTCACTATATAACGATTGAATTGAAGTCGTAGATGGTCAAGTCCACCAACATCATCCCACTTGACATCAGGCACGATAGAGAATCCTTCTCTTGTTAAAGATGCCTGAACTAGATTCACTGCTTCCTGGTATATAAAAGAGAAGTTAGGAACCAAAGAGAATTTTTTTGTAACGATTGAAGAACAGAAAAGTAGATCCATATCACCCCTGCAATTAACAAACCTCGAAATCAGACATTTTGACAAAGAGTTTTTCCAACTCTTCTTCTGGCCAGGGCATCCTCAGCCAAGATTTATCGTCTTCACCGTCCCCAGACTGTTGAGATTTTCTTGAATCTAAGATTCTCTTTATGGCTTTCCTGCCAGCCAAGTAAGCAACACTCTCCAAATCAGCTCCAACAAAACCCGGTGTTAAACGAGCTATTCTTTTCTTGTCAAAGGGTCCTTCTAATCTAAGTTTTTGGGCTACAACAGAGAGTATCTCAGCCCTTGCGTCTTCATCTGGAGCAGTTAGAGCGATCTCACATTCAAATCGTCCACTTCTCCTCAAAGCAGGATCAAGAGCATCCGGCCTATTTGTAGCTCCAATGACGAGAACAAATCCAGCACTAGAATCAGGAACATTTTTATCGCCTTTGTTACCGGGTCCATCCATACAAGTCAACAATTGTGTTACTATCCGCTTCTCCATCTCCCTTTGCTGATTTTCTCTCTTTGATCCAATCGCATCAATCTCATCGATAAACACTATCGAAGGCGCAGTCCTATATGCTTTAGAGAAGAGCTCTCTAATATTCTCTTCAGAAGCACCTGAGAACAAAATTTGCATATTGAATAAGTACAACGATAATAAGATCAGAGAGGGAGCCACAACAAATTGAACAAATGGATATGCAAATCAATACCAGAAACACCAGAAACCACCTCTGTGGCTGAAATCTTATAAAACGGAACACCAACTTCATTGGCAATGGCATTGGCCAACTTGGTCTTTCCACAGCCAGGTGGTCCATGAAATAGAATCCCGCTTGGTGGCTTCACTCCAATCTTCTTAAACGGCTCAGGATTGAGAATGGGGAATAGAACATTCATCTCCAATTCATCCAACACTTTCTTAATCCCACCAAAATCCTTAAAAGTAGGTCCTTTATTACCCTCAACTTCCAAATCCCCATTACCAGTAGTTCCACTGAGGGAAAGAGAGCCTTTAGCCTCCTTTCTGGCCCCCATTGTAGCCAACTTGCTCCTACCTTTGTTGCTCACAGTCTCAACTTCCACATTCTTTTCCACAGGCGACCCAATTGGTTTCTTCGAGGAGCTGTTTAACTTGGCGTAGTTATCTCGTAGACTGTCATTGATCAAATCAAACCGCGGCGGACTCAGCTTCTCGCCATAAATCGCGTCCTCAGAAGTCGACACATCACCACTGTCTTCCGACGAAGAAGAAGACGGAGAAGAAGACACTGAACGTTCCATATTTCTCCTCCTCAGATGCGACTGCTCCGCCAGCTGCAACTTCTCCTCTTTCTCATCTACCCGCCTCTGTTTCTTCCTCTGAGCAGCAGAACCTTCCTCATCGCCATTGTTGTCATCTTCATCTTCGTCTTTAACCCGCTTGTTGTTTCTGACATTAAGGACTTGCCTGACATTGAGAAGAAGCACCTGCCGAGTCAACCTCGCAAAATTACCGTACCTGGAACGGAGATCATCAACGATGTCCTCCGCCGTAGCTAAATCCTTCCCGCACTTATCCATAACTTCACTCAGATATCTACGAGTGATTCCTCCGCCCATACCACCGCCTCCGCCGCCGCGACCTTTCCTCACCATCGTACTGGATTAAAGCTGAGAGTGAGTTTCAATAGCAAAAGTCTGAATCTTCCAAACTTATTAATACTAAAGGGTAAATTTTGGAGGCGCCCAACACCGACACACAACCGTAGACTGCTGCGGAATAGCTTAAGAAAACCCTAATTCCGTCTGGTGGTGTGTCGTGATGTCAAAGAGGTTAGTCGGAATAATTAATTTGTTTGGGGTGATAATGGGAACTTTTGAGAATATATGGTGAAAATGGTAAAACACCCAAAAATAAATATTTATAACCGTTAGACCTTGAGCCAAACAAAACAGAGTAACCATAACACAGCAAAGAGCACAGAGGTCAAAATATCTTTTTGAAATACAACAATGAAGAGCAGATTCAGAGATTGAAAATGATTATTCCCGGAATATATAAGCAGCTTTCCGGGAATCCGAGAGAAAACTGATCTCCTGAAGTAAAATTATCACAGAGATATGACTTCAGTGGCGGAGACTTATAAAGTTTTCTTATTTATACATCTTCCAGCTTTTTCCTTCTTCAGCTTTTCTCCGAGAAAACGCCGTATTAGAGGAGGTTCTTGGTTTAGCAGCAAGAATCCAATCACAGCCATCCAATCCAATTCAGCAAACTCTCTTGAGAAGCCAACTGCAAAACCTCCATGACAACTAAATCAGAATCTTAAGTTCCAATGATTTTCACAAGTAAACAAGGTTTATCTTTTAGCTAAATCTTACAGTGAGCAAATCAGGGGGAGTCCCTAAATCTGCATTCTCCAGATCTGAAATCGAAAAACCATCGAATTCCCCAACAGTTCCCAGGCTAGTAGGATTGGGGAGAACCTGATTTTCCCAAAGCGGCGAAGCTTCAATGCTTTCGTCGCATGTTAAGTTATCTTCACTAAGGTTTACAACAAATTCCTCATCCATTCGAGCTTTTTTGGACCACATCTTCCCTAAAGCAGCTTCAGGAATGCTGTCAAGTCCCTGGTTAACAAACAACAAAAATTCCGACTTTAGTCTATTGAAACAAAGTTATTCTTCACAATGATTTTGTGGTTTTACCAACCTCAAAAAATGGATCGAACATCTTTGAATCATCAAAAGCTTCTTCATCTCCAGCAACACCATCTACAAGGCTTGGTGGCGTAGGAGTATTCGTCTTTGGTGTTCTTGGGCCACCTCTAACCCCGGAACTCTCACCTTCATCAGGATTATCCCCAAGCTTCTGCTGCTGATATGTGATCTTGGAAACAACATAGTCTCCTATCTCTTTTCCTTCAGTTCCTAGATGGTACTGATGCAGAACCCAGTTTGATTTCTCAGGCTTCGATCCCTTTCTAGCGCTCTTGTAGAGCACCATGATCTTCTTGCAACCCCTTTGGACTCCATTGAGCAGCACAGGTTTGGTCCTGCCTGTCTTGTGCCAACGAACTGGTTCATCGTTCACAAGTGTCGGTGTGATCTTTCTGCGTTTCCTCTGTCCTGTTCCATATGCCTGCACTGTCTTGTGAAAGAAGAAGACACTCACTCCATCTTTGTTTGCACCTGAAATAGAAAAGACTCAGAGATTCAAGATAGATCATTTAGTTTCAATTGAAGAACAAGAATTATCAGCTTAACTTGATTAAGTAAATTACAAATCCAATGGTGGAAGGTTATCATTTACCAGGAAGGTTTTGAGGGTGAGTGTAATTGATTCCAACATCTTCAGTGACAGGACGAATGAACTCTTCGATAAGCACATGGGGTTCAGAGCCCCCAATCCCACATTTAGCTTCCAAAAATTCGATAATGTCCTCATCAGCTGGCTCAAACTTGACACCTTTAGGAAGGCCAGGCCATGGAATCAGTACCTGAAACCAACGAAACACACAAGTGAGTGTGTGTTTAAGACAAGAGAGGGGAGGGAAGTGTGCTTCAACACTCACATTGCTGTTGTCAATGCGGTAAGAGCAGTTGGGGCAATTGATATGAGCTCCACAGTCTTGGATCTGCAAAGCTGAAGAAAGAGAGGCATTTTTAACTTTGGTTGCAATTCCTCGGCCATCGACAATCCAAGCCCTGTATATTTGTGACAAGAACAAAAAAGAGGATAAGATCATCGTTGGTTCATAAGCAGCTACTGCTCAAACAACTGAAGAGTTAGAGACAACTGAGTCATTCTTCTGACACTAGATATTCAAGCGGATACAATAAATGCGACGAAATATATATCTAAAATTTCAATCTTTGTTAGCTCAAACTTGTAAGACAAATTTTACATTTTGCTTCTCAGGAAAAGAAGAATCGTAACCCACTAAAAAAAAAATTAACCCTTTTTCGCGGAACAGTGAACGAAATCGCGTTACGAAAATCGATTCAGGATTAGGGTGACAAAATCAACGAAAATTCTGGGGATTTATATTAGGGTTCAAAGCTTACCTCGCCATGATTCCCAAAACAGAGAGAGGGAGAGAGAGAGAGAGCGTTGTTGAGCTTGTTCGCTAGGCTAAGTAAAAATGGAGTGAACGCGTGAAGACAAAAACAAGACCGAGAAGACTATGTGAGCGGGAAAGTGGAGCTATTCCGTAGGCTCGTACGTTCCGAACCTAAGCTTCGATGAAAGCTTCTCAAGAACACAATTGACGAACCTTAGCTTCGGAGAAGACTCGTGTTGATTGACCTTGACTAGGGAATTGGTTCGGAATACCGAAGCACTTGGGAGCTTGGGAAATCGGGATTAGTGGCAATTTTGGTAAATAAATGGTTTATGTAGGGCCCGGCCACCTTGCTCCCCAAGCTAGATACAGTAAAACATCATTTATTTTACCCGTAATTTCATTGTTCACTAATGATTAAATAACTAAGCCCAAAGTGAGACAGGACAACTTACCGTTGGATAATGGAGACTTCACATTATGGAATCTTTTTTATCAAATTTATCTACGTGATAAAATATCCTTTTTCATTTTTATCTTTTATCCATATAGTTGACAAAAGAAGAAACTCATAATCTCTCTACTAATTGTTATTTTAAATCTGCAGTAACCCAAAAAGGCAAAAACTAGTAAAGAAGAAACTCGTAATCTCTCTACTAATTGTCATTTTATCCATATACTTACAAAGTTGTAGAGGGATCTTGATGATATTCTACTAAATTTCACGAATCAAAGAAACAGATACATTGTTTAACGGTCAAACACAGAGTCAACGTTACAAAATATTACCGTCACCTCTCTGTGTAACAACAATCAGAACCCACTCACAAACACAAGTCAAAGGATAGAATCTCCAAGTTCAAGACAAGACCTGAATCTAGACTCTTTAGAGAGTTGTTTCTGGGTGGTAGTGATAATGAGATCATGGCTTATTATTGTTTTTACTAAGTAAGATAATCCCCAAAAAGTATCAGTTATCTCCGTAAAGAACCTTGCGTGGATCAAGCTGTCCGCTGCAGTAACTTGATGAGACTATGGAGAGTTCTTGTCTGCCTTTCCACTCTTCACGTGGCTTTAACAATACCGGAGGTTCGATTACTCCAGAATCTACACAAAGCATTGTTTTGTAATCTTCATCTCCCATATCAGCTATGGTCTTTGCCTTTTTGTCCCAGGGGTTCCACACAACTGCTCGTTTCCAACTCAATCCATTAGAAACCAACTCTCAAAACGTTTCATTCCAAAAAATGTGAAGAAGAAGAACATATATATGGTATCCTTTACCTGCATTGGGCATGCCTTCCTTTCGCAACTCGATGGTCCTCTTTCGCTCATGATCTATGACCGCAATCTTTGTTGGTGTGTTCAAGTACACTCTATCGACCTGCACAGCACTTACTCTGCATCATTCTGTGGGGTTTTTTCTTCTTTGAAAACTTTACAATGGCTGACATTACTCACCTCCCCGTCAAAGGTAATCGCGTCTGCTTGCTCTGTGAATCTTTCTTTACCAATCAAGTTGTCTAGATAATCCAGAGTCTCCAAACCCTCAACTCGTACTTCACTGCAAGTTCGATACCCACATGAAATATCACTCAGAGAAAGGAAGCAGTATAAGAACAGGAAATCAGGTGGGAAGAAATTTGAAAGGAACACACACCTTATGTCAGATACATATAAGTAGTTTCGCAGTGCAAACATGAAGGAGAATGCCTTTGAGTCAATGTTCCTCACACGAGGGATCAAAGTAAGCTTCCCAGGGCTAATAGAAATGCGAATACGGAGTTCAAAACTGCGCCAATAGCACCGAGGAAGTATAAAAAGTTAGACAAAGAGGTGATAGTAGAAAGCACAGACAAAACATCCATATCACAGATCAGAGTATAAGTTAAAACACACCTATGCGGCCAGGTCTTCAAGTCATCTTCTGTGGACTTCAATATCAGATCAACTGATGATTGTTTGTTAGCAGGAGGTAGAGGCGAAGGATCTTCATCATATGACCAGAATTTGTTCCGGACAAATCCATGTCGCTCAAGTCCACCAAAATTTCCAAACTGCAAATATGACACAGTATGCTTGATGGCAGAACGAAAATACAGGAGAAGGTTATTCAACTATATTAAAGAGATCTGAGATGCCAAACCTGTGGAAAGCAAACAGGTATTCCTCCTCTGATCGCCTTGGGTGGCTTATATTGAGCCTAAATGAGACGCACCAAATAAAATACTAGTTAAAACATCCTGCTTCACTCCTCAATGGACAGTAATTTTGTCTATTTATACATTCAGGATTATAATTAATGCCACAGGATACATATTGCAAAGGAAAGGTCTCCGAGAAGGAACATGGATTCATCTCTATCAACATACCAAAGTTACATATGAGTAGCTATGAGAAGCAATAGTTGGGAACTGAGGCCACAGATCTTAACGCCCATGTGGTTTTGGAATTAATCAAGTGACACCATCAGAGCTACTCAAAAATTAAATCTAAAGACGATATTTGATTAGAGATTACCTTGCTGCTCATATAAAGCAGTTCTTCCCTCCTTTCATTTTTCCAAGAAATGACTTGTCCTCCAAATAGAAGCACCTGAAAGATTTCAAACCGGGAATATGTAACTCTACAACCAATATGACAATATCTTGTATAAACATAAAATAGTAAAAGGCTCAAACCACTAACTACTGAGATGCAATGGTCTGAAGTGAAACCTCTCAAGGATGAAATTCAAGACCCTCAAAGAGTGGGGAATGATGAAACTGATGAAGAGAAGAGATGAAAGAATCAAACCTCAGCAGTAGATCCGCGAGGCTCAGTCAAAATAATCCGGGACGACCCATCGCCATCGTTGCCTAAGTTCAAAGGCATCCCTTTTTGGCCACAAGCTCACACTCCTATTCTCTTCCTTTTCTACAATCTTCACTCTGAACTACACCAACAACCAAAACCCAGATGGAAATCTATCAAAGCATTTATAAGAACACCAACCGTTTACCAAACTAGAATCATGAACGAGGATTAAAAAAATGGGAATATACGGACAAAAATCAATAATAAAAACCGGAATCAATTCCGCAGAAAGGGGAAATCAAGAAATATTAAAGAAATAGAAGAACACGCTTAAATCAGATGCGAACAAAACAAAAGGGAAAGACATTCAAGCTTACGTTTGATCGAAATATTTGGAAAATCGTACGGATTGCGACGTTATCAATACCAAAAAGACTACGCGATCGGCTTCGGATTTCAACAACTTCCACCCAACTCTACGCGTTTCTTGAAAAATCCATCAATCAATCAATCAATCACTCAAATCGCACTACGCAACACACAACGTGACGATAATAACAAGAAAAGTAGCTCAAATGTAGACGAGTGAGAAAGAGATCAACAGGATAAAGAGAGAAATTGAGATCGAGAGAGTAGAATAATGCTGACCTTTGCGTTCTTGAATATGGCTTTGATTCTCTGAAATTTGGGTGACGAGTCAGAAAGAAGAGCTTAAAGAAGAAGACGAAGAAGAAGAAGAGCTTGTGCGTATTTGTAGCTGTTCCAATTCTCAATAACAGGCACTAGCTCCGATACTGCCACGTCCTTCTTTTTAATTTAATTTCCTTAATATATCTTTATTTATTTATTGTTCTTTAATTTGTTATGTTTATCCTGGAGAGATGGTATTTAAATAACATTAAATACACTACAACACATAATAAAGAAAACGTTGACCAGTAGAAAAGGTACAACAAGTAAGAAAGACTAGTGGACCATCAGTAGCCCAACTGATTCAGCCCAGGCCCAAATGTTTTGCTAAACGTCGTTGTATGATACGGTTTTCGCGCTTCATGTTTTTGCTTTGTAGTTGAACCTGCCAGCCTTCCCTCCCTCGCAAAGTTATTGCGAGAAGGAAATTTGGATTTGCTCAAGCAATGTAGAAGCGAGAAAAATCGATTCTCGGAATCAGAAGGTTTGAATCTTGGATAAATTCAATTTCAAGGGAGTTGGATGGGTTTTTATCGAAAGTTTTCTTCTTCCGTGGATGCACGCCAAGTGTTCGGCGAAATGACGAAGAGAAGCTTGTACCAGTGGAATACTCTTCTTAAGAGTTTATCCAGAGATAAACAATGGGAACAAGTCTTGTGTCACTTAAGCCAGATGTTTCGTGATGAAGAAAAGCCTGATAATTTCACGCTTCCAGTTGCTCTCAAGGCCTGCGGGGAGTTGCGTGAAGTTAAGTATGGTGAAATGATTCATGGGTTCGTGAAGAAGGATTTCACTCTTGGGTCTGACCTTTATGTTGGATCTTCTCTGATATATATGTATGTGAAATGTGGGAGGATGACTGAAGCTTTGAGGATGTTCGATGAGTTGGAGAAGCCTGATATAGTGACATGGTCTTCTATGGTTTCTGGGTTTGAGAAAAACGGGTCTCCCTATCAGGCTGTAGAGTTTTTCAGGAGAATGGCGACGGCTTCCGATGTTACTCCTGATCGGGTAACTTTAATCACACTAGTTTCTGCTTGTACAAAGCTATCGAATTCAAGGCTTGGGAGATGTGTGCATGGTTTTGTGATGAGGAGAGGATTTTCAAATGATTTGTCTTTAGTAAATTCTCTATTGAATTGTTATGCAAAGTCGAGAGCTTTCAAGGAAGCGGTTAATTTGTTCAAGATGATGGCAGAGAAAGATGTTATATCTTGGAGCACAGTGATTGCTTGCTACGTTCAAAATGGAGCTGCCGCTGAAGCATTGCGTGTCTTCAATGAAATGGTGGATAATGGAACAGAACCTAATGTCGCTACTGTGCTCTGTGTTTTACAAGCTTGTGCAGCTGCTCATGATTTAGAGCAAGGTAGGAATACTCATGAATTAGCCATTAGGAAAGGTTTAGAGACAGAAGTGAAAGTCTCTACAGCTCTAGTTGATATGTATATGAAGTGTTTCTCCCCCGAAGAAGCTTATGCTGTATTCTCCAGGATACCAAAAAAAGATGCGGTCTCTTGGGTTGCATTGATAAGTGGCTTTACATTAAATGGAATGGCTCACAGATCAATTGAGGAGTTTTCCATCATGCTGCTGGAAAATAATACCAGGCCTGATGCTATTCTTATGGTGAAGGTTCTTGGGTCATGTTCGGAGTTAGGCTTTCTCGAACAAGCTGAATGCTTTCATAGTTATGTAATCAAATATGGATTTGACAGTAACCCATTCATCGGAGCTTCTCTTGTAGAGCTTTACTCGAGGTGTGGGAGTCTAGGTAATGCTTCTAAAGTATTCAATGAGATTGCTTTAAAAGACACTGTGGTTTGGACATCTTTGATCACTGGTTATGGAATCCATGGGAAGGGCACTAAAGCACTCGAAACATTTAATCACATGGTCAGGAGCTCAGAAGTTAAGCCTAACGAAGTGACATTTCTCTCAATCTTATCTGCTTGTAGTCACGCAGGTTTGATACACGAGGGGTTGAGAATATTTGAATTGATGGTGAATGACTATAGACTTGCTCCTAACTTAGAACACTACGCTGTATTGGTTGATCTTCTTGGTCGTGTAGGAGAACTAGATACTGCCATTGAAATCACAAAGCGGGTGCCTTTTTCACCAACACCTCAAATCTTGGGTACTCTTTTAGGCTCCTGTAGGATTCATCAGAATGGTGAGATGGCAGAAACTGTTGCAAAGAAGCTTTTTGAATTGGAATCTAATCATGCTGGTTATTACATGTTAATGTCGAATATGTATGGGGTTAAGGGAGAATGGGAGAATGTGGAAAAGTTGAGAAATTCAGTGAAGCAGAGAGGAATTAAGAAAGGACTGGCAGAGAGTTTGATTGAGATTAGAAGAAAGGTACATAGATTTGTGGCGGATGATGATTTGCATCCTGAGAAAGAGCCGGTTTATGGATTGCTGAAAGAGCTGGATCTGCATATGAAGGAAGCTTTGGAAAATTCTGTGTACTTTGAATATGAGGGAGACAGCTTGTGATTCAGTGTATGCATAAGCTTGAAGCCAAGATCTCTGTCTGAGCCAAGTAACCACTTTCTCATATTAGAAGGGATCAGCAATAAGAATATGGAGATATAAGCCTAAGACGGATCTCTTTTGGGGGAAGAACACAGGATTTGAATTCAATCATAGGCGATCTTAATCAGTCTCTGCATAATACGTTCGACAGTCTCAATCTTTGACTGTTTGCTTTTGGAGCCATGAACAGAGCAATACACCAAGTTTTATCTTTATGGCTGAAAAACTCTTCTTATGGAATCCCATTGAAGCTGTATATCGAATCTGGTGAGTATTCTTGAGTAAAGCTTCATGCTTCTTAAGTCAATTCAGAAGATTTTGATTAGGAGACTCAAAGTGAGTTTGATGATCTTGTTGTTCAATTCTGACTGTAAGGGTAGAACAGACTTTTGATGTATTATGGCTCCACCACCTGACACTAAGGTACTCTTTGTCCATCTCATTGGTATCATCGGATTCGGATGGTAAAAATAAAAAGAGCAAACGAAACTTGTTACTCATGCAAGCTTCTCAGGTGCCACGTCACTCCGTTACGTGTCATATTCACACACCATCTCGCTTCAAACCCATCTCATTTTTCAAACCTTAAAGGCAGAAGCAAACTGATTAAGGTAACCCTCTCTTCTTTCAGAAGCTCTCGAATTAAGCTTGAATTTGGAGGATCAATGGCCGACGTTCGCACACATTCTCACCAGCTTCAAGTGCATCCTCAACGCCAGCATGAAGGAGGCATCAAAGTCGTTTATCCTCAAAGTGGCCCTTCTTCCACTCAGGTCCTTTTTACATTCCTCCTTCGAATATCAGCTATGCATATGTATTTGGTTTTCACGTGAGGCACGTGTATGCAGGTGCTAGCCGTGTTTGTCGGTGTACCGGTAGGAGGGACGCTGCTGACTATAGCCGGTTTGACATTAGCCGGTTCTGTTATTGGACTAATGCTAGCATTCCCGTTGTTCCTCATCTTCAGTCCGGTTATCGTACCAGCAGCCTTTGTGATTGGTCTAGCTATGACCGGATTCCTGGCGTCAGGGGCCATAGGTCTCACCGGACTATCATCCATGTCGTGGGTACTCAACTACATCCGCCGGGCCGGAGAGCATATTCCGGAGGAGCTTGAGGAAGCGAAGCAGCGTTTGGCTGACATGGCTGAGTATGTGGGACAGAGGACTAAAGATGCTGGACAAACCATAGAAGACAAAGCTCACGATGTCCGAGAGACCAAGACTTTTGATGTCAGAGACCGAGACACCACCAAGGGTACTCATAATGTCCGAGATACCAAGACTCACGAGGTCCGAGTGGCATCCACATAAAGCGTGTGTTTTGAGTGAATCATGGTGAATAAAAAAGGATCGACTGTTAGTTCTTGATGTTGGTGTGTTTTGAGTGTTTGTATTTGCTTGTAAGCTTCTTTGAGTTTAGTTTCCTTTTTTTATCTGTAACAATAATGCCGGAGACTTTTTGCTTCTATAGTTCTGTCAGTTCTTTGTTTTATTGATGCGTAATAGATTTGAAATGTCGCTCATTTACAAATGGTCAAATCCAAGAAAAGAACCAAAGAACACCATTTCAAGCTTCAGAAACAGGAGTAACAAACATACTCTACAATTTAATTACGCATCAAACTGAAATCATATAAAGTCACAATGGGTTACGGCTTACAAGCTCTATGAAATCGATATTTGGTCACAAAGGTGATCCTAACTGATATTAAGTACTGTACAGAGTTAGCTAAGCCGATGGCTACCGACCATCAAACCAACCTCCTGGTGGAGCTCCTCCTTCGTTCATCAACTTATCCAGAACCACGTTGAGGTCAACAGCTTGGCCGTTTTCAGTCAGTTTTCTCACTGTTGCTCTGACTTGGTCCCTTGGGAATCCCATGGTTGTCACCCTATCGATTACATCATCGATTGGGGCTCTGCTTTCTGATCTCGGGGAACTAGAGCCACCACCGCTGCTGACGGCTGAAACCATTGGCATAGCGTGTGGCAATGGACGTGAATTTGAGAGCTGTGAATAACCAGTTCCACTGCTATTTATATGTGGCGGTTTCGCTGATGCCATTGGTGAACCACTGTATGGGTAAGGTTCAGACGAGTAGCCGGACAGAAAATCAGAATTAGATCTACCACCTGCTCCATCGTGCATTGATGGTTGTGGTTGAGGAGGGTTGTAGAAGTGCTGAGAAGGGGCAGAACCAGTAGGTGGCTGCTGACGAGGAGGGATTGGCGAGTAAGACTGCATTGGGTATGGTTGTTGTTCCTCGGGGTTGTAGCCTGATGATGGTGGTGGCTGCTGAGGCGGTGACTGGTAAGGTGGTTGATGCGGCGTTTGGGTTTGAGGAGCTTGGTAAGGAGGGTTGTTTGGTGGTGGTGGTTGGGGATGACTAGGGGGAGGGTAATACGGCTCTTGTTGAGGAGAAAACTGGGTAGGTAGCTGAACTGGTAGTTGCGAGGAAGGTGGCTGGGAAGGAGCAGTAGTGGAAGATGGCTGTGGGAAAGAAGTAAGAGGAAACTGCGGCATAGGGATTGGTGCGGGAGATTGAGCAGTGGGATGAACGTGTAAAGAGTGTGTTTTGGTGTGCTGGTCTACTTTGGATACCTGATGCTTTGTTTCGAGAATTTCTTGTTTATCCTTCAATAGTAGCACACCATTCTGCACCTGCACACAATTCGCATCAACAAAATGTATTATAAGCTTGATTCAAGAAAGACAGCTTCATTTTCTGTATAAGAAAGATCAATAGTTGCCAGGAAAAGCTATTAAATTTAGATATGACTATAGGAAAACTCATCCAAATTCAGATGGATATATTCGAAAAGCAATCTGCAAAGTAGTTAGTTACCTCTACAAGGATGTTTTTAAGCTGTCTGATTTTCCCGTCAGTGTTGCCGTGACTGTTGTCAACAGAAACTTTGAGATCATCGACCAGGTTTTCGAGATTGTGGGTTCTGCTCTCCAGCTGTGATAGACGTGCACTAACACCTTCCATTACATGAAGCAAGGTATCGGTATGTTTCTTCATTGTCCTATCAATAATCTCGGACATAATAGTCGCATTCTGACCCTTGTCATGAACCAACTTTGAAGGTTCAATAGAATTGAGAGATCCAAACCCCTACACGGCGTATAAAAACAATTAATAATGCTATTAAAAAAAAAGAGAGGAAGATTCGACAAGTAGCAGTAGTGTAGTACCCAAGTGGAAACGGGTTTAAAATCAGAGGCGGACCAATGAACCCTAGCGGGCGTAGAAGTAGTCGTAGATCCGGCGAGATCTAAAGCCGAGTGAGACAATCGAGTGGCGGTGGTGGGAAGAATGGGATGGAAATCATAGCTAGGAAGGATCTCTTCTTTCTTAGAGTCCAATCCATCATCGCCGATCACCTGGTGATCATCGTCATGATTGTTCATCAGATCGATGAAATCAGTGGAAGGTGGAGATGAAGAAGAGGATAGATCCATTATCTGCTGCTTATCCATATACTGACAATTATTCATCGATCCACCGAAATTTTCTCCGACTCTGGATTTTGTAATTCTTTCTTTCTAAAACCTCTGGATTTGATATTTTTATTTTAATGTATGTGTTGCTTTCGTGTTGTAACACATACATCATACCTTCTAGTTGGCTTGGAAGGTTCTCGACCCTGAGTCTGAGGCTATCATAGTTTAATGGGCCGAAATGTATTTAAAATGTAAAAGCCCAAACTTTTACAGAAATTAATAATGCTGTTTGTACCAACCCATTAACTCCCCAATTGATATGGCCATGTGGGTAATTAAGTAACTGGAAAAATAAATAAATAAATATTATTATGATCTATGGAAACGAATAAAAACCTCTCTTTTTTTCCGAAGCTTTCTTTTTTTTTTTTTTTTTTTTTTTTGGTCATCAATATGCTGAATTGGAACATTGCCGTTGTATTAAGATTGGATGTTTCGATTGTCTATTTCAAGTTCAAAATATAAATGAAGACAAGTATCCATAAATAAATGTTATAACTAGATCATCACCCGTACTACAGTACGGGTTGAATTTCATTTATTACAAAATTTATATATTATATAGTTATAGAATAAAATTGTGATATATTATAATAGTAAGTAAAAAAATATTAATTTTTTATGTCAGTCCATATATATAATATTAGAATGAATATATTTTTATTTTTCTGTAATCCTCAATTATGGATATATTTTTTAAAGATATGAAAACGAAAAATAATATTATTTTCAAAAAAAATAATATTGTTTGAACAATGAGTTAATTTATGTTAACAACTACAAAATGACAGTGCATATAATTTAGTTAGATCAAAAATCAAAATATCACAAATGAATCGCATCTAAAACGTAGATTATTTTGAATTAGTTAAAAAAGTTAGCTATTATTTTGAATTAATTTAGGAAATTATTTTTTCAAATTCTAATTCATTGGTTGTTGAAATAGAGATTTGTTTGAGCTAATTACGGAATTTACCAATTATTCACATAATCGAATATGTTATGAACATATATTTGGTATATAATAATACCAAATTCGATCCGTGTGTGGAGTCTATATTTTCATTTTACAATCCCTATGAAAACATTGTGGCACAATCTATTATTCATTATTTCCAAAATTGCTTGCAGAATTAAATTTTCAAATATTTAGAAGTGTCAAACCTTATTTAACTCATCTCATCATAAAATCTTAAAATGTCGTCTATTATAAGGATCATAACTTTCTATCATATATAATACATTACTTTTAACCCGCCGCCTACTATAAATATATTAAACATATCTTTTTAGAAAATCAAATTAGTATTTATAATTTTTTTATCTTTTTAATCTATTAAATATTTATGATATTCTTTAATATATTAAATTAAACTTTTTTTAAATGTTCCAAATTAAAATCTTTAAAAATTTTATTGTAGTATGTAAAATTATGAATTAAAAAAAATATATATATGAAATTAAATATAAATATTCAAATAGTTATAAGGATCATAACTCATTTCATCATATAATACATTATATTTAACCCGCCACCTATTATAAATATTTGTTTCAAAAAATCAAATTAGAGTATTTATATTTCTTAACTTTTTGATCTATTAAGTATTGATGATATTAAAAAAAGGAATATATTACTCAAATATGAATTTTTGACCCGTTAAATTTGTTCTTTCATACATTGAACAATTTATATTCGTTTTTAAAAATTCAAATCTTTGTATACGCAGAAAAAATTTACTTTTTTATTATTATGTAGATGATATAATAATTTATTTATTTTATAGAAATAGAATAATATAAAGATGAGAGGTGAAGTATAATGATTAATAACAAATTAATGTGATAAATTAGATATCAAATCTTATATGTTCATTTTGATTGGTCATTCTTTTTTAAAAAAATTAATAATATATTTTCGTTTTTATAATTAAATTAAATTAATTAAATTGCATAAAATAGTATTTGACTTGTTTATCCTTAATGAGTTGAATTAATTTACTCTATAAAATTTTATTTCTAATGGCATTCTTAAGTAAATTCTTACAAAAGGGAAGGTTAGTTAGACCATCTGCATTGGGGGATCACCCCCCCTGATCTAAGCATTATTTAAATCCAAAAAAATGGGTTAATGGGCTTAAGATCAGGAACTGGGCTCTTGACCTGGATCTGTTCTTGTGGGTGTTGCGGGGTGACGTGGCATTTGGGCATTGGTTGGAATATTCAACATATTTGGAATAAATTTGGATAATAAACTATGTATTAATTAGATAAAATGTTTTTGTGCTTTTATTAAGTAATATGTTTGTTTGTTTATTGTTATTTATATTTTTAATGTTTTTTTCATAAATATTTAGTATTGTATTTTCACTTTTATTTTCAGTTTTTCATAAATTTGGCATTTGCAATTTATATGTTATTTTTAAATGTTTTAATAATTGTAAAATCTTAATTTAATTTAGATTATTATATTATTAAGTCTTAAGATCTTACACATGTTCTCCCACTAATCAACTTCTAAACAAAAGATCTAAACACATGATCTTACATTATTTTAACATTATATTCTCTATAAGAACACCCTCACATGATCCCCCATTGATGATGCCCTTAAGGGTATCTTATAAAGTGTACTCCCCAAATAATAGTATAGGATGATCCCAAAGCAATGGGACCATGTTGTAACACGGAGAAAAAAAGGGTGGACTCAGAAGCATACTATACAACATCCACATGTTTAAACCCGGCCCCTTTAATATCATCCATACAATTTTCCCCTGACATTTCCAAATTCCACACTAAATATCAATTAGTTGTGGTCAGTAATTTCTCATGTTCGTACGTTACCTTTGAATGAAATAATTATATGTTAGCGACTTAGCGTTACCAAAAAATTTATTTGAAACGAAGAAATCCACGGCAGTTTGTAAATAAATGAATGACAAACATATGTCTAATCATTTCCATAGATACCTGAAAATACCACTGGCTCTTGTGAGGAAAGATAAATAAAATCAAACTAGCCAATGTTTAAATAACATTCTGAGTTTATCCGTCTATTTTGAAAAAATGTCGGCATATGAGTTATTTTGATCATATCAAAAAAACATTCAAACAGTAGAACGAGAGAAAAGTCACAAAATAAGGACAACTCTTCTAAATAATTATTAGTTTGCATTATATCCAAAAACAAAACAAACTTTTTTCTTCTTACATGAAAGTGAGGAGACAGACTCATGTAACTACTCTTACCAATAGAGGAAGAAGAAAAAGTTAGCAAGTGTCGGTTACTTGTGAAATTCCAACAAATGCCAGAGGATTTATGCACAAATTGGAGCATCTGATCACAGAAGAAAAATATGTTTGCTCTTACATTTCTAACTCCAAATCCAAGACTTCCATCTCCATTGTTCGTTGCCAAGTCTATTCCCGAATCAGCGTTGAGCAGAAGAAGCATAGCTTTTTCATCTTCTAACTCTTATCATTGGAGACCGAACCTTAGATTTAATGGCTTCAAGCTCAAGTCAGCTACAGTTCCGGAGAATGTTGAAGGAGGAGAATCGGAATCTGGAAGTTTGGTCAAAGCGTTGAAGTTAGGAGGCATGTTTGGAGTTTGGTACCTTCTCAATATATACTACAACATCTTCAACAAACAGGTTCCTTCTTTGCTTCATTTAACTAAATAATCGGTTTCAATTCGAAAATGGCTCGAACCAATTAGTCTTCATGATAGAAGTATGAAACTTGTTCATGGATCCAGGTACTTAGGGTTTATCCATATCCAGCGACTGTAACAGCATTTCAATTAGGGTGTGGAACGTTGATGATTGCAATAATGTGGCTCTTTAAACTCCATCCACGCCCCAAGTTTGCTCCTTCTCAGGTAAATCAATATTGATTCCGTCAAGCCCTAAAAACAGAGAGATTCATTCAATTGTATTCCTCTGTTTTTGGAAATTTTTGGTCAAATTATCTCCAGTTTACGGTGATCGTACAACTAGCAGCAGCTCACACGTTAGGTAACTTGTTAACAAACGTGAGCTTAGGGAGAGTAAATGTCTCTTTCACCCACACAATCAAAGCAATGGAGCCTTTCTTCACCGTCTTGTTATCTGTTCTCTTGCTCGGTGAGGTAAGCAAAACAGATACACACTCTTCCTAAGACTTAATCTATATCTTTAGATAACACAGGAGAGTTATACTTTCGGACATATTCTTTGAAATTTTGATTGATGTCCAGTGGCCGAATCTGTGGATTGTTTGTTCGTTGTTGCCAATTGTCGCTGGAGTGTCTTTAGCATCATTCACAGAAGCTTCTTTCAATTGGTATGAACAACAAACAAACAAAAAAATAGAAAGTAATCTTTCTTGATGAAGATTTAATTGATTTGATTGATGTTTTTGGGAGGAACCAGGATTGGTTTCTGCAGTGCAATGGCATCTAATGTAACGAACCAATCACGCAATGTTCTCAGTAAAAAATTCATGGTTGGAAAGGTAAAAGAGTCTGAATATAAGTTATACTCTCAAGAAAGAAACTAGTAATCGAAATCTACTAATATGTTTATATTGAAACAGGAAGCTATGGACAACATCAACCTTTTCTCTGTAATAACAATCATCTCCTTTATGTTACTGGTTCCTGTAGCAATCCTCATCGATGGGTTTAAGCTTACTCCTTCGCAGTTACAAATAGCAGTAAGTGGAAAAAAACATAAACCGATATAGCTAGATATAAAGATAATTAAAGAACTTATATAAGTGGGTTGGTTTGTGGTTGCTTGACAGACAAGCCAGGGTTTATCCGTAAAAGAGTTTTGCATCATGTCTCTACTTGCTGGTGTTTGCTTGCATAGCTACCAACAGGTTGGTCCGTATAGTTCCTCCGTTTCAGATAAATTTTGGTTTTGTTAAATCGGTTAGTGTATTATTGGCTTCTAATCAGAAGCATGAAGTGTATCTCACATTGGGGTTGTTGTACTGTAGGTATCGTATATGATATTGGAGATGGTGTCTCCAGTAACACACTCTGTAGGGAACTGCGTGAAACGTGTGGTGGTTATTACATCATCCATTATTTTCTTCAAAACTCCAGTCTCACCTCTTAACTCTATAGGTAAACAACTACTATATAATAGTAGTATAGGATTTGTCACACTTGATCATTTATCGAAGCAACAATAATCACTTGTTAAACAGGTACCGCGACTGCACTAGCTGGAGTTTATTTGTACAGCAGAGCCAAAAGAGTCAAAGTCAAACAAATCCCAAAAACGTCTTGAATTATTATGTACATAGAAGCTCTTAAGTTTAATGGGATCAAAGTTACTGAAAAAATGTTGATATTTTTGTTCATCCATGTATGTGGTTGGTTTCACTTCACACATCATCTTAATTTTTGTTAAATTCAACTAATAATTAAAAAATCTATCTGCAAATGGAAATTATACAATGGGCTTTGTGTTGGCCCAAAAAGGCCCAAAAGAGAAGGGGTGGCTCATTAAGGTGCAGATATTTTTGTTGTGATGGTTTTATAAACCTAACAAACGGGGACGGCATAAAGTTGCGCATCGTCCTCTTTTGGTCTTTCTCTCTCTAACTTTCTCTCTCTTACTGCTCTACGCTTCTTCTTCTTTGTGGCGTAGATTTTATAGAGAGAGAAACTAAGAGAACCAAAAGAAGGAATCTCGAGTTCAGAGGATTTGACCCGAGACTTTAATCTAATCTGCTTTTCGTTTTCCACATTCAGGTACGCGTCTAGTATCTCTTGAGAAATTTCTCAATTCTTCTGATTTTGATTGATTCCTAGAATTTGGTATTTGAGGTCTCTCTTTCAATTTCTAGTTTCTCGCTGAGATTCCGTTGGTTTAATTCTGATTTCTGATCGAATCCCGTAGCTTTTATTACTTGTTAGGTTTTGTTTTCCGATTTGTATCCAGATCTGTGAAATTGTGCTCGATTGCAGTTGTATGCTTATTATTTTCGAATTACTTGAAACAGATTCCAATTGAATATGAATATAAGCCAGTATACCTTGTTAGACCTCTGGTCGTCTTTGGCTTGCTTTTGATGATGATTTCTGTGGATTACCGATTTGTTATACTGAATCTGTAATCTATTTTTGACATTTGCAGAAGTCTTTATTTGCTATGGCTACTACCGCCGCTGCTCCTTCTGTTGTCCGTTATGCACCTGAGGATCATTCTCTTCCCAAGCCCTGGAAAGGCCTTGTCGATGATAGAACTGGTTACTTGTACTTTTGGAATCCTGAGACCAATGTTACTCAGTACGAGAAACCTACCGCCGCTCAGCCTCCCAAGTTTCCTGCCGTTTCTCTTAGCTCTTCCGTTCAGGTTCAACAAACTGATGCCTATGCTCCTGCCAAGGATGACAATAAGTACTCCAGAGGCACTGATCATGGGCCTAAGATTGAGTCTGCCTCGAGGTTTACCGAGGTACTCTCTTGTTCTCAGTTTGCTACTCGTTGCTAATAATGATACATTATTATTCCTTCGCCTGCTTAAATTTTAACTGTTCTCAATTTGCTAAAGGGTGGCAGAAGTGGACCGCCGTATTCAAATGGTGCTGCTAATGGAGTTGGGAATTCTGCTTATGGTCCAGCATCTGCCAGAGGTCCTCCTCCTTCATCAGCTCCAGGAAATGACCTGTCCCCTGAGGCCTATTCCCGCCGTCATGAAATTACTGTCAGTGTAAGTATCTAAGAGCTTCCTTGAACATTCACTGTCGTTTTGATGGTAGACCCCTGTGTTCCTCTCTTATGTTGTTGCTCCCTACCAAGTTGCATAACTTTTTCAGTTGTTGATTTATGTAATAATTTTTTAAATTTAGTTTGTTCTTCTCAAGCAGTATTCACTCTAAAAACAGCCTACTTTTGGTCTAGAATTTTTTTATTTCTTCAAGCGTTTTTGTTTTCCTTAATTACTAAATAGTTTGCTGATATCTCTTTTCCTTTGTTCAGGGGGGCCAAGTACCACCACCTCTAATGTCCTTTGAAGCTACTGGTTTTCCTTCTGAGCTTCTGCGGGAGGTATGAATTTATTGTCAATAGTAAATTGAAATGACTTAGGAACCCGCAAACTTTATGACTGTTCTACCAATAAGTGGAATCTATATTGAGTTTTATGCTAAGGTCTGATTTATGTGAACCTAGCTTGGTTTTCCTAATATTAGACTTTTTTGCTACCAAACTAAAATCGACTTAGGGTTTAACATTTAGAGTCAAAGTTTTATGCCATATGCACCCTTTTCTCTTTTTTCCCAGGTGCGATGTTTGCTCCTGGGAGGAGCCAATGTCGTACACTGTGCCACTTCTTTGAGGTCCTTGCAAATTATTTGGAGTGCCCTATATGGTGGACCAAATTTTTTGGAAAGGGCTTCCCAAATCATCCAAGCTCGTGGCAGGGCCTGTTAATGGTGTGATGATTCATTTCACCACCGGGTCCAGACAGAAGAAGAGGCGTCCTCCTGCTGCAGGTTTCATCAGTAATCTTTTGCCGCCTGCAAATGGGGGATTGTGCTTCTTCTGACATGAGCCACCACTCCATAAGCCCAAAATAACCTTGGTGTTCCTCTTCTCATAGGACAGCCTGGTTTTCTGCTTTCTTAGGTACTCAATGCAGGTTTCTCTGCTCCTACTCCGATTCAAGCTCAGTCATGGCCAATTGCGATGCAAGGGAGGGACATAGTAGCCATTGCTAAAACTGGCTCGGGAAAAACTTTGGGTTACTTGATTCCTGGATTTTTGCATCTTCAACGCATCCGAAATGATTCGCGAATGGGTCCCACAATCTTGGTATTGTCTCCAACGAGGGAGCTGGCCACACAAATCCAAGAAGAAGCTGTTAAATTTGGGAGGTCATCAAGAATTTCGTGCACTGTAAGTAGAAGAAGTCTCTGAACTTGTTAAATTTTAAATGCTACTTGTGTTGTATCTGTCTAACGTATACCAAATTCGTGGTCTTGTTATCTCTGTTTCAGTGTTTGTATGGTGGTGCACCAAAGGGCCCTCAGCTGAGGGATTTAGAAAGAGGAGCAGATATCGTGGTTGCAACTCCTGGGCGATTGAATGATATCCTTGAAATGAGGAGGATTAGTCTGCGTCAAATATCTTATCTTGTGCTAGATGAGGCAGATCGAATGTTGGACATGGGTTTTGAACCACAGATAAGGAAGATTGTGAAAGAAATTCCCACGAAGCGTCAAACCCTTATGTACACAGCTACATGGCCAAAGGGAGTTAGGAAAATTGCAGCTGACTTACTTGTTAACCCTGCTCAAGTCAACATTGGGAATGTTGACGAGCTTGTGGCTAACAAGTCAATAACACAGGTATGGCTTGAACTGATTCTATTGATTCTGCTGACTATTTCAGGAGAATTAATCTGATTGTTGTGCTCTTTTGGACACAGCATATCGAAGTGGTAGCACCAATGGAGAAACAGAGGAGGTTAGAGCAGATCTTGCGGTCTCAGGAACCAGGCTCAAAGGTGATAATATTCTGCTCAACCAAAAGGATGTGTGATCAACTAACACGCAATCTAACCCGCCAATTTGGAGCTGCTGCTATACATGGGGACAAGTCACAGCCTGAGAGAGACAGTGTTCTCAATCAATTCCGCAGTGGCAGGACTCCGGTTCTTGTAGCAACCGATGTTGCTGCTCGTGGGCTGGACGTTAAGGACATCAGGTATTTATATAATCCAATTCCCAATCCTTGAAATCAAATAATTAAATTGTGACTTGATGATTATATTAGCTAACACGATTTGAGATCATAGGGCTGTCGTAAATTATGATTTCCCCAATGGAGTGGAAGACTATGTTCATAGAATCGGAAGAACAGGAAGAGCTGGAGCGACTGGTCAGGCATTCACATTCTTTGGTGATCAAGATTCGAAACATGCTTCGGATCTGATCAAGATTTTGGAAGGAGCAAACCAGCGAGTTCCTCCTCAGATCCGCGAAATGGCTACCCGTGGTGGTGGTGGAATGAACAAATTCAGTCGTTGGGGTCCTCCTTCCGGAGGCCGTGGTCGTGGTGGCGACTCTGGTTATGGTGGCAGAGGTAGCTTTGTTTCGCGTGACAGGTAAAATGAACATCCGACCTCGTTTTCATAAATTTATTTGTGTATGCCATAGAAAATATGATTCTGACTTTTTGTATAAATTTTTGATGGGAAGTAGAAGCAGCAATGGATGGGGAAGAGAGCGTGAAAGAAGCCGTAGCCCCGAGAGATTTAACAGAGCTCCACCTCCGTCTTCCACCGGATCTCCTCCTCGCAGCTTCCACGAGACGATGATGATGAAACACAGATGAACAGAGAGAGACAAAGCTGATAAAGCCAAGTGACGAAGATTGTGTTATGGGGGATAATCCCTTACTACTGTGACATTATATATTTTTTTGGCCGATGAACAATTAAAAAAAAAAACAGGACCAAGAAGACATTCCCTCCCATTGGAAATTCACGTTCAAAACTACAATTGATATCTTACAGTTTGTATTTCATCTATTAGTAAGAATGTTTTATTAGATGACGAACATCTTGTATCTTATACTGTTGGGATTCTCTAGCATTTAAATTACAAATCAAAATGGTGTTATGATTTCTCTTAGTATGGTTTGGTTTGGTTTTGTTCAGTGTAGTTCGATTTGACAAACTGATTTTACTCGGTTTTTAAGTCATATATTAATGTATAGTTTAGATAGATCTATCTATATATCGAATATCTTAATCCAAATACGAACGGGAACAAAATAATAAGCTATCTAAACACTTTTTTTTTGAATATATATGTTTCTTCAATAAATATCGAAACAGTGACAATACGTACAAATTTAACTAAGTTTTACTTTTGATACTATTATTCATAAACCTAAAATCTGAATAACTTAAACACAAATCTGGATTAAACACTCTTAATTAGTGCTTATGTTGTTTCCACATAATATATGACTGTAATATTATCTTAAAAAGGAACTATATATGTGTATTCATTTTCAAAAGTGACATGTAGAATTTTTCCACAAAAAAAAAGAGTTTTAGAAAAAGAAGTTTGGTGAGTCTATGGCTTAGATGAATGTGTGTGTCTTGAGTACTTTGATGATAATATATATGATTGATGACAGCCTATTAATCTCCAAATAGACTCTTGTTTTTGTGGTTACAAATTAATTTTCCTTTTACAACTAAACGAATCATGAACTCCTATAATCTAAAATCAAAGCTCACACTACATGTTCACACATGCTTTATTTTCCACTTATCAATATTAATTTTTCATTGATTACTAGGAGATAACCTTTTTATGAGTTTTTTTTTTGTCCACCAAAATAACAACTTCTTTTCTTTCTTTTGTGTAACTCGCCAAAATAACAACTAATCTTAATAAATCAGGCATAAACCAAGATAACAACTAATCTTATAAAATCAGTATATAAATATATATATAGAATGATAGTTCAATTTTTTAAAGAATTATATTAAAACGACTACTATTACTGAATATTAATCATCCAATTTATATTCTCTTACATCAATTTAATTGAATTTGTAAGATGACACATCATTTAGATTTTCAGCCACAAAACCTCACTTACTAAATTTGGCATATGAATTACACCAAACCTTCTCAATTAATTGCCCAAAAGCAAACGCTATTACAACTTTCATTTTATTTTCTCTATCTACTATTTAGATTTTCTTAGTATAAATTGTAAAATCGTAATCATACACACACACAAATACGTTGAACAAATAAAATACTTTTTTCAGACTGTAATTTAGATGTGGTAAAATATAGTAAGTATAAAAAAAATATCAATATATCCCCCCAAAAAAAAAATATCAATATAAGTTTCAAAATTCAGAGAAGAAAGAACTTCATTGATTATGAGTACTAAATAAATAATGGCTAGTATAAATTAGTGATAGAGGGTTAGGAAGTAGTCGTTATATACATAAACTCAGTGTAATGTTTCTGTCAAGCTTTGCTTCTCTTTAATATTGTACTTTCTTCCTTCCCACTGTTTACAGTTCGTGTGGTCGTGAACTAATCACGCCAAGTTCTCGTTTAATTATTAAATTTATTGTTTAGTTTTTCTTGGCAACTTTAGAAGTTATGATTAAGTCTTGTAATCAAATACTACATATTTTCATTGATTTTGTATATATACATATGATTTCATAAATACATAAATAAAGAGTGTCATGTTATTTATATTTTCTGTTACAATTATTGTTAAGGTTATGTGTGTTATTACCAATTGAAGTATATAGTCACAAGTCAAGTCTCAACCCTATAAAAGAAAACATTCGTTTATCATCTTCCCGCCTCGAGTATCTCTCTCTCTCTCTCTTCTCTGTTCTCTCTATTGATTGCATAGACCAAAAAACACACATACACACAAAAGAAAGAAAGAAGATGGAGACGACGATGAAGAAGAAAGGGCGAGGGAAGGCGACAATAACATCACAGAAAGAAGAAGAAGGAACAGTGAGGAAAGGGCCTTGGACTATGGAAGAAGACTTCATCCTCTTTAATTACATCCTTAATCATGGTGAAGGTCTTTGGAACTCTGTCGCCAAAGCCTCTGGTATTCTTTTTGCACATTCAAATCATACACACTCAACGTGTTATGTTATACATGTATATAATTTTGTTTTCATATAATAAGGTTTAAAACGTACCGGAAAAAGTTGTCGGCTCCGGTGGCTAAACTATCTACGACCAGATGTGAGGCGAGGGAACATAACCGCTGAAGAACAGCTTTTGATCATTCAGCTTCATGCTAAGCTTGGAAACAGGTCTTATATAGTTTCATTAGTACATGCATATACGTTAATTGAATTAGAAAACTAATTTATGTTGTTAAATAATATTATGTATTAGGTGGTCGAAGATTGCAAAGCATCTTCCGGGAAGAACGGACAACGAGATAAAGAACTTCTGGAGGACAAAGATTCAGAGACACATGAAAGTGTCATCAGAACATATGATTTGTTCGGGAAACTCACAGAGCTCGGGGATGACGACGACGGACCAAGGCAGCTCTGGCAAAGCCATAGACATGGCTGAGAGCTTCTCTCAGGCGAAGACGACGTTTAATGTGGTGGAACAGTCAAACGAGAATTACTGGAACGTTGAAGATCTGTGGCCTGTCCACTTGCTTAATGGTGACCACCATGTGATTTAAGATATATAGTCCTATACATTTATATGCCCCAGCTGAATTTTTGTGTTTGGTACGTTATTTGGTGTTCTATTGCTGAAATGTCGTTGCATTTAATTTACATATGATTAAGTGCATGTTATCGTTAAATCTTCAAAACATATGGAGGTGGTGTGTGAATTACTTCTGTTCTTTAAAGCATATATATACTATCTTTTTCAAATTCGAGTGGTTTTTGATGTTTGGAGTTATTCAAAGAAACCATATAGCAGTTGGTTCAGTTTGAAAACCAATTCCAAAAAGAAGCAGACTGCACACACAGATAGATAGATACAAATATATATAGGGGTGTGAATTAGGATTTTGTACACACAAAAGCAATCTCTCTCTGTATAAATCAAACAAGGAAGGGACATCGTTGTTGTTGCTTAGTCATCAGCTGCATCACTGGGAGTTTCATCGGCATTGCGTTTGATGGTCATAACTGGACACTCGGCATGTTTCACACAGAACGCGCTCACAGTCCCCACAAAGACCCTGCAATACAGTAGAATGAAGGGGAACAAACCCATGTTATAACAAAACACATCACGTTTCAAACAACAGAGCTAGTAGTAGTCTGTGATTTCAAGCTATGCCTGGCTCAATGCTTTTATAACTTATAATGACAATTCCCTTGTTTGGCTCTGTTCCTGTCGAGTCTTGAACTAATCTATTCAAACCCAAACTTCTGTCAAAAGCAAAAGTCCTATCTAGCTGTAATCCTTTATAGCAGTCTATTCATCATTCAGTCTAATAACTAGTTGATGATATATAGAGGTAAAGTAATAACTAAAAAGTCATGTAGGAGTTTTAAGTATTTTACGCACTTTTGAAACCGGCCAAGTCCACGACTTCCCACGACCAGATAATCAGGTCGGACTCGTTTCACTTCTTGGCATATGACATCCTTGGGATCACCTATCTTAATCCAGGCCTCACAACCGACCTACAAGTTTTGCACAGCTAGAATTTATCACAAGATTACAGTAGTTGTTTTAAGAGATACAGAAGGAAGAAGTTAATAGAGACAGAGGAGGATAACTTGATAAGCTAAAAAAGAGAGTGTGAATTACCCCAATCTCATGACATTTATTAACGAAAAACTCGAGAAGGTGAAGCCCTTTTGCCTTGTTAGATTCTCTCATGTCTCGGAAATCATCAGGGGAAGCATAAATGCTGTCTACGTCATCAAAACCTGGTTTCCAATTCACAAACAAAGTAAGCTAAAACACAACAAATAAACATAGCAAAAATCACATTCTTTCTCTAAGTCAAGTTGAGAAACAGAACAAAACTAGTAGGATGAAAGAACCATCTCTTCTAACATATCTCTCACCAAAAAAGACAAACAAAAATTGGTCAATTAAGACATGAGACATAGACTACTGCTTCCTAGTTTATCCAGACATCATCTACTTTCTCAGGACACAAACAAGATTGCTCTAATAGACGACTAATACAAGCCAACACATACCCTTAAAACGTAAATACAGCAAAATTGCAACACAGAGCCAAACAAAAAAAGCTTGTCCAAACCCCCCAGAAAGAGGTCATCTCAACCGACCAATCTAAGATCATGATTTCCCACAGAGATACATACATAGGCACGAACATATTCAAGGATAAATATTTTAAGGAGAGAGAAGAACCGTCTTCGTCGACGACTTGAACGTGAAGCAAGAGAATCTTGAAATCAGAAGTGTTGGACCTGACGATCTTCTCCAGAGTCCATTCGAATGCTCTTTTGCAGCTAATCGAAGGGTGAGGATAGTCTTTGATCGTCGAAGCGTTCACCGCCACCATCACTTTAGTCGGCTCGCTCCCCATTCTTTCACCAAATCGTCTCTCTGCTCCACTTATCTGATGATGAAATTGAAAACGCTCTTTGGGAAAAGAATGATCTGCTCAAGATGGGGGAAGACAAGAACTCTTCGCACACGACGTGTACATGCGTAATTTAGCACAATAATCTCATATGCATACTAAACTGCGCAGTTTTTTTTTCTATTACGGGACAGTTACGCGGCCTACAAGTCCTATAGTCAATTTCCTAAACTACCCTTTTATGTGGATCTTGTGCAAGGCCTTCAATAAGGGCCCAAATGTATAGCCCAATTTTATATATTACCAAAGCAAACGTACTTCTTGTTTTCTTAAATTAGTTGTGGAATTTTATTTGCTGCACTAAAGATAAAAGAATTTCACAAAACATATATATTTAGCTTTGGAAAAATTATACGCCTAAATAATTAAAAGTATCTATTATTATCACTGATGAATTCCAGTGAAGGAGACTCGACCAAAGCCAAGATGTCCAATCTGATACAACTCCAACCAGACTCTTTCCGCTTCAACTCTCGCACTTATTCTCGTCTCTTCCTCTCCTTTTAACGACGCCGTTTTCCCTTCCTCTTTTGTCAAACTCCCATCTCTTTCCACCACAAACCGGTGGTCATCGAACTCTCCATCTCCGCCACCGCAACATCCACCGCTCACCATCTCGGCCGACCTCCTGTGGTGGTGGTGGTGATGAAAACGATCCTCGCGGTTGATTTTCTTCCTCCGCTTCTTACTCCGGCCACCACGACCGATACATTTCCGGCCTATCATCCACGGGACCTTCACAAAGGCGAGAGTAAAGAGGTTCACGACGGCGCAGGGACAACAACAGAGCGCCACGCAGTCAGCGATCGCCGCTGCCGCCCAAGACCGGCACCTTTTTCCGGAGCATCTGGCTCTCGGCTCTTCATCGGCTCCTTGACTCCAGTGGGATCCACTCTGGTCTTTACGTGAAACTCGATGCGGCTTTTGGTTTTCCTCCTCCATTTAAATTTATAAACCTGCCAAAGAAAAGAGAAAAAAAAACAAAGCTTACTAACTTATATATATACATCACACTCCTATCTGTGACCATATGCATTCACATATACAGGCTTTTGTCCATATATATGTAACATGTCGATGGTAAAAAGAGAGATATATATAGGAAACAGCAACCAAGATTTTTCCCATGCACTTTAACTTATTGACCAGACAGTTTCAGGTGCATTCAAACCCCACTCATGCTCCCACTTTGGCGCGTGTTAACCACATACGCTGACTCACATTTTTCGAAAATTTTTTGCGTCGACTAGATTTTTGTCCTAGTGCTTTTTTATGTCCAATGTTACGATTTTGTTTATTTCAATTTTCAAATTTAGATTGGTTTGGTCAGGTGGCGAATGAGAAGAGTTGAACGAGCGCGTGGGAGATGAATCTGAATCTTTTTGTTGGCTAGGGGAAATGATTTTTTTTTTTGTGGAGTAAAAAGAGGTGTTGCTCCAGGGATGAGTTTTGCATTTTATTTTATTTTTGGCTCTTTATGGTAAGAATCTTCTGGTACCGTACTTTTTTTTTATTTTGCATGCCTCCCTAAAGCTTTTTTCAAAACTTTGCTCTGGTTTTGAGCCTAAAACTTTAAGGCTAAAAGAGTAAAACGAAAACTTGCAATACACTAAAAAAAGGTCTTTATTGTTAAAATAGTTAGATATCAGTGAGATAACGTGGACTATAGTGCGGGAGATCATATCTCACATGGGTTTGCCGGGTCCTAGCATGGCCCAATTACGTGGCCCATTACAAAGCTACAACTAATTACAAATTTACAATGCAAAACAAAACAAAAATATTTTTAAAAAGATATATCTTTTTATTATTGTTATCAATGTGACAAAAGAACAAGGTCTATAATAATAATCTAGTAGGATCCCCTAGGATTTTTAAACGATTAGATTTGTAAAGAGTTTTGTTCTTTTTATTTGTCAAAACTCAAAACATTGTAATGATTTATCATTATGTGACAGCATTTAACAAGAAAAATAAGTATTTTGAAAATACAAAACGACTTTTCTTTTTTTTAATATACAAAACGATTTATCTTTCGATATGCTACCAAAAAAAAAAATTAAGGGTAAAAGTACGATTGTCCCTTTTTCACTTGTATAAGGTAAATGTACACATTAAAGCCTAGTCAACATTCAAATTTTAATCGGCGTTGCGAATTAATGAGACTGACGTATATAGTACGAAGCCAATACAGTATGTACATATATATATATATATATATATATATATATATATATATAAATTGTCATTTTCTTTCCATCAATTTGTTTTGTCGAAGGAGAACTGGATGCAATAATCAACATTGACCAACAAACAATGGAGAATGATCAAATGGTTACATACCTTTGTTTCTTGTCGAGTAGTTAACCTAGCTACTCAAAAGCCACAGATCCTGTTTGAAACCCTCTCTGCATGAAGAGAACAACAAAAACCCAGATTTGTTATTGTGCTCTATAGTAAAAGTTTCTGTTTAAAATTGTTGTTCTAATGAGTTTGAGAAGAGAAAGAGAAGAAGAAGAATAAGAAGCTCGTAATAACCAAAAAGATCAACTAAGAAGAAGAAGAAGAAAGATGTGATCTGATCTAGAAATACACATTATATTATTAATTAGAGCTTCTCTTTTTCTATGTTTTATCTTTTGAAAATCATTTCTCTCTCTCTTCTGGTCTCATGAGTATACACTATACAGACTCATATGTATAATGGTCTGACATGAATATTTTAATCCAGTTAGAGCAGCTACAAATTAAAACCTCTCTTAAAGCATCAATATTCTACACATATGAACGTATATCTATATATCATGTGAATTTAGTAGATAATATCCTCCGAATGATAAAATATAATCATTTCTTAGCTAAATTATTATTTGTAAAAGCTAATTGTATTTATAACTATAATTAATAAGTAGTAATTTTATGAAATTTATAGTTACAATTTCTTAGACAAATCGGATAAAATTCCTCAAGTGGGTACCGGTTAGGGTATATAAAACAGTACAATTACATAATAATTAGTTGGAAACGGGTTTACAGGAAATATCGGAACTTTGTGTTTGATGAGTCCCGAAGACAGAGAGAATCAACTTATGGGAACTCGGCCCCTGATCATGTGCATTCCTATGCAATTCGTTCTTTATTCTTTTTTTTTTTTTTTCTACTAAACAATTGATAAACGAACTAAAATACCCTCTTTAGAACAATTTACAATTTATATTAACATGACACTACAAAATTTTGTATAAATATACATTCCTTTTAAATCCGTGGTTCCATATCTTATATGTTTTTTTTTTATATATATCTTATATGTTTACCTTTAATACGTTGTTTCGATGATGAAATACTCTCTTTAGATTAGGGCCATTAGGCTAATAGTAATTGAACTTTGTGAGCCACTTGGATGTTTTTATATGTAGAATGATCATATATGTCAACGAAATTAGCAGGAGTATTTAGGAGTTCTAAAGATTTAATATGGATTTTTAGTACTTGCCCATAACTTTACGTAGACTAAGTAAAAGTTTGGAAAATTAATTGTGTATTACTATATTTGTCGTGGTTTTCAAAATCTATAATAAGCAGCGGCGTTGACGCCTTTTTCTCTCTTATGTTTGCTGCCTTTAGAAGCACTTTGCTTGAGCCCATGCACGTGCGATGCTGCGAAGAATCACGTGCGCCGGACTCAAAGGCCGCCACGTCGACAACTGAGATGCTCCTCTTTAATTCTTTAGGCAACAAAGTTTTCACCGTCCAACTGCCAGTATGTCAGTGACACGTACGCACACACCCAACCCCAACGGTCTTCTTACAACAAGAGTCGCGATCTGCTGCGTTTGCGTCACTGACCGCAGTAACATACATATATCTTCTTCCTTTGGACACAGAGTATGTAACGATATATACGTTCTCCTTTTGTGGTTGACTTTGAGAAGTCAACGGCGTTAGCTGTACGTGTGTTGTGGACCGCATTTGGAAAACCCGTAGCAAAAGTAATTTTATTAATCACAGACAATACTTATAGTGCAACTAGCTAGTCGATCTTTGTCAAATTACTGGCTTGATATGTGTGACACTAATATGTTCATAAATCATAACTTCGTACGCATTCCACGGACTCCATAATGAATATTTTTCTTATATTTAAACTTATATGCATTGGGTTGACTAATCAGAAGATGTTGACAAAAGAAAATGATCAGAAAGCATAGAAAAAAAACAAATAATTTGGTTTAGTCGAATACTTCTTCAATTCATGTAAAAAAACAAAAAAAAAAAACGTAACCTACTTTACTATATAATTCCTGTAAATAGTTCGATTTTTTTTTTTTTTTCTTTTTGCCTCAATACAGTCACTCACTTAATCTAATAATTTATTCGAGGAATAGGTATGTGGTAATTTGGTGAACCTTTTACCATAAAATATAATAATTGTCATGATTAATCACATACACGAGAAAATTGATATTTGATAGCACCAATTTCACCAAACATCCCCATTTCTGCACTCCTGGTTTTTGTTGGTTCTTCTGTTAAACTCCATATGCTTGAAGCAATTATGGAAAGTTTGATCTGAATTAACTAGTAGTAAACCGAAACTGCTAAGAATTAGCTCTGGAAAAGCCCGGCCCTTAGTTTGGGCAAATTTGGGCTTGATGAGGCTACAAATAGTATGTTCAAAATCGAATTGAAAACATTAATTAAACTCTATTAAAAAATGACTATGGTTTAAGCTGCCAACTCATTTCTCCACATGAAATTGAGAAATGTAACATGGAGAACGATCTTTATATAATATTTTTTGATAATTAAAAGAAGCAATCTTTGGATTATTCTTCGAAGAATATGACAGATTACAATTCCAACAGCAATGTATAATTTATATTGCAGAACATGCCAATATGGACTTCAATGTTGCTATTCGTTTGGGAAATGGATATTGGCATGTGGTGCAATTATTTTAGTCATGCTTGTTTTTATGCCTAATTTTATCTAATAAGAATGTTTGGCCTTGAGTCATTGTCATGGAGATTTTAGTGCCGACGGTCCATAAAAGAATATGTATATTGCTAACTTGTTATGGTCGGGTTCGGAAAAGTCATTTATAAATTCGCTAGAAGTTCAGTTTGTTACGTTTGATCCAATTACGCTTTTGTTTTTCTTTTTTAAAATCTTAGAGGATAACAACTATTGGACTCCTAGTGAAACTGAAACATATTATAATTATTTCTTGTAGCTATTTGACTAATCATTTGCTGCAGTTTAGAACTTGTTAGCAACTGCTAAACTTGGAAATTATTAAGCATAAAGCAGTGAAAATATTTGTAAAAAGTCGCAGAATATGATCAATATGTTTTATTTGAAAATATGAATAAATCACGAGTTCACACAATTATTTAAAGAACTACAGAATCGCAAAATGATTGTCTAATATTTGGTATGTTGATAACAATGGAACCATAATTTAGGTTACCCCCAAATCGTCAGCATTGACGTCTATAATTTCAATATTCTCATAAACAAATACCACGAAAGCGACCACGTTTTATCGCCTAGTATTGACGAACAAGGTAAACCAAACCACTCTCACATGTTACATGTATAGATACACCCACACAATGACACAAATGTATGAACATATATATACACACACAGAGAGACACGATTTGTTAAAACAGACGTAGAAACAAGGCAAAATTGGTGGAGAGAGAGAGACGACAAAATGCAGGATATGTCCTCAACGGTATCTTATAGCCCAAGCTTCAGTTACTACGCTTCCGGTGAATTCGCCGCCGCTGCAGTTAAAGTTTCCCGCGAAAACCAAAGTTTCAATATCACAGATCATCAATCCGTTGAAGTTGACTCTTTCAATGACGAAGACGCTGACTTCGAGTTTGAAACGTCGCCGTTACATGAAGAAACCTTCGTCCACTTCCCGACGTTCAAAACCGACGTCGTTTCTATCACCAACAAGAAAGACAAAGAAGCTGCCCCTGAAAATATATCGGAGCGTTTCTCCGGAATTTGTCTATGGAGTCCACTCAGATCTCCGGCTGCGTCAAAACACTCGGAATCGTCCACGAGCACACCGAAACGGTGCCGTTTGAAGAAATTTCTAACGAGAAGTCATAGCGACGGTGGCGTTTTGGCCCCAAGCGCATCGAAACGGTGCTATATTTTTAAGGATCTTATGCGGAGGAGCCACAGCGACGGCGGCAGCGACGTAAGCAAGACGAGCTCGCCGGCCGTGAAAGTAAAGGACAAAACGGTGTCGTATAAGGTCGGGGAAGGAGATAAGAGAAGAAAATCTTATTTGCCTTACCGGCAAGATTTGATCGGAGTTTTCGCCGTGGTTCGAGGATTACGTCGTTAATCGAAATTTAATTAATTTTTATAGTTTTACACAACTTGAAGTATACTATTATAGCAATAAGGTACTTCTTTAATTCTTGTATTTATAAATATTTCCATGTAACTTTTGTTTAGTGATATTGAAGTCCAATTCAATTAGATATTTTCCATTTTTTGTTTTCGCACTGAAAGGCAATGACACGTGTCACGTATTGAGAAAAAGGAAACTAGATACTTCCACGGGAAAGCGGGACCCACGTGAAGACACGTGGACCACTAGTTTCTTTCTTACCTTCCTCTGCCGCCTCGTTTTCTGCTCACAGTTCCAACTTCTTCCATACACACACATTCACATTCTCAGAATAATCTCTATTGGATCGTTTTATGGCGTTTCTTCAACAAATCTCCGGTTTAGGAGCTCTCGAACGATCTTCTCCGTCAATTTTGATCGGATCTTCATTCCGGAGCGGTAATGGCCGTCTATTCGACGGAAGAGGAATTGCGTACTTGGGTTCCAGGGAAAAGGTCGCATTCAACAGACGAAGACTCGTTCTCAGAGTTGTTGCGATGTCGTCGTCTTCTTCTCCTCCGTTCAAAATGAATTTGAATGAGTATATGGTCACTCTTGAGAAACCTCTCGGGATTCGCTTCGCACTTTCAGCAGATGGCAAGATCTTCGTCCACGCCATCAAAAAAGGGGTATTCTCCGATCCTTTTTGTGCCTGAGAATGTCATGTGGAAGTAGTAATCTCAGGATTTTCTTAAAAATGAAAACTTTTTTTGTAGAGCAATGCGGAGAAGGCGAGAATCATCATGGTTGGAGATACACTCAAGAAGGCTAGTGATTCTTCTGGTGGTAGTCTTGTGGAAATCAAGGATTTTGGTGATACCGAGTAAGAAATTTTAAGGCCTGTGGTTTAAGGTTTACGAAATTGTACAGTAGTAGGCTTTTATGTACCTTGTTGGTGTTGTTAACTAGTTAACATGGGAAGATTTAGCATGGAAACACTTTGCATATTAGTGTTTTCAATAGAATATATGTGTGCAGTGGTGTGAGTTGAATGCTGACTCTATTGTTATGTTTTTGAATTTTTCTTTTTTATTTCTTCCAGTTTTTGATTTATTCAGGAAGATGCGGGTAGAGAAAACAGGATCCTTTAGCCTTGTTCTTGAAAGACCTTTCTCTCCCTTTCCAATTCAGTATCTGCTTCATTTGAGCGACCTTGATATGCTCTATAACAGAGGGCGTGTCTCCTTTGTTACTTGGAACAAAAATCTCTTATCATCGAATCTCAGAGCATCTCAAGGCAGTGGGAACTCTGGCTATGCTGCATTTTCCTCCAAATTCTTTACTTCTCAGGGATGGAAACTTTTGACTAGACACAGCAATTCCTTTCAGTCAGGGACACAGAAGAACATTCTTTCTCCACCTATCAGTCCACTGGTCTCTGTCTTTTCTGAAGAAGTTCCTGGAGATGGTGAATGGGGTTATGGGAATTTCCCTTTAGAGGAATACATCAAAGCCCTTGACCGATCAAAAGGAGAGCTTTCCTATAACCATGCTCTTGGAATGCGCTACAGTAAGGTCTGAAATTAGTTTTTCTTTTCCCGATTAGTCTCTCTTTCTGTTCATTCTCTCAACACTATTCTTCTCTTGGTGGCCTTTTTTCAGATTACAGAGCAAATATATGTTGGCTCTTGCATACAAACAGAAGAGGATATGGAAAATTTGTCAGAGGCAGTGAGTCTTTTATATGACCTATAGTTGAGATATTTATTATCTATGGTATGCAATGATGGATTTGAAAGTATGTTTTTAACTGGCCATACTTTTTTACTACAGGGAATTACTGCCATACTGAATTTCCAAGGTGGAACTGAAGCTCAAAACTGGGGAATCGATTCACAAAAAATCAATGATGCATGCCAGAAATCTGAAGTCTTAATGATCAACTACCCTATAAAGTATGCAAAGTCATATCGCCTTGAGGCACATCATGTGCTTTCATGCTTTCATTTCCTACCGCTCTAATCAGTTTTGATATTTTGGTGCCAGGGATGCAGATTCCTTTGATCTTAGGAAGAAACTACCACTTTGTGTCGGGCTCTTACTACGATTACTAAAAAAGAACCATCGTGTCTTTGTAACTTGTACCACTGGTTTTGACCGGTCATCGGCTTGTGTAATTGCTTATCTGCACTGGATGACTGATACCTCTCTTCATGCTGCTTATAGTTTCGTTACTGGATTGCACGCGTGCAAACCTGACAGGTTTTTATTTATCTCATCTCTGTCTTGACCATTAACCTGCAGACCATAAATAGCTTTTTCTGTTTAAATGGAAATATCAGTCAACTTATATTTATTTTTTCACAGACCTGCAATTGCTTGGGCAACATGGGATCTTATTGCAATGGTGGACGACGGCAAACATGATGAGACTCCAACACACTCTGTAACCTTTGTGTGGAATGGACATGAGGTGACTCTTGCTTCACATGCGTTTATTACTTTGCTGCAATTCTTTATGGAACTCGTGATCTGTAGGGTTGAGCAACCAACAGGACTAGCCTCTGTGTTTTAAGTTATACCTTGGTTTGCTCTGTTACAGGGGGAGGATGTATTGTTGGTTGGGGATTTCACATGGAAACTGGAAAGAACCCATAAAAGCTACGCACAAGGGCGGTCCACGATTTGAAACTGAAGTTAGACTTTCACAGGGAAAGTAAGTCATGCTTCTTTTACCTTTCCCGTTGATGCTTAGTCTTAATTAAACATAAACGGATAGAATCGGAATTGTGACTTTTGAGGGATTGCAAACTGCAAAGGTGTTTAGTTCAGAAACTTATGAAAATGCATTTGTGTCATATAACTTGGTGATAACTGATCATTTAAAACGTGGCAGATACTACTACAAGTACATAATCAACGGTGATTGGAGGCATTCAACAACTTCACCAACGGAAAGGGATGACCGAGGAAACACGAACAATATAATTGTAGTTGGTGATGTTGCTAACGTCAGGCCTACTATCCAACAACCAAGAAAGGTTACTCCTACTATGCAGTAGTCTCTTCTTCATACAATAGGAGAGCTTGGATAAGTGTTCCACGTTATTTTGCCTGATTGGTTAAGACATTTACCTGAAGCAACTTTTACAATGTTTTTCAGGATGCAAATATCATAAAGGTGATCGAGAGAGTGTTAACAGAGAGCGAAAGATTTAGGCTGGCGAAAGCAGCTCGGTGTATCGCATTCTCAGTTTGTCCAATACGACTATGCCCAAAGTCGTAGAAGTTTTTTATTGGTATAAGTTAAAATCTTACATCCACTCTTCTGTCTCTATCCATTCCTCAAGGTACTACTCCTAATATCGTTGTGAAAACATTGCCTATGTTCATTTTTTACCCCAAATGAATAAATAAAAGCCACATTCGATGCACTCTATGACAAGAGAATGTTGACATTATGTTGTGTGCTTGTATGAAAATGTCGACATAGTTTCGCCATTACATTACATATAAGTCCCAAAACCAACCCTAATTCATTGCTTCATTGCTTCATTTATTGTCTTTGTGTTTCTTCTTCAATTTCTCTCTCTCCTAACATGTTGAAGGAAATAGATATTCTGTTATCCAATTTGCCTATATGATGATTTATGGTCATGGAAGGTTTGAGAGAAGAGAAGCGTGGGGAGAGAGAACCCTGCTTCTCAATTTTTTAGTTCCTCTTCGTTCATGCTAAGAGTTTTCACTGAGTCTGTTGCTTCGTAGAGTAGAAGAGTCCATGATCCATGTAAATCCTTTGCATCTTCTAGATTGTGTATACAATAGCAATCTCTGGTCTATGGAAGGCTTTGAGAAGTATGGCTCTTTCATATGCACCACAAACAAAGGCCTAACATCTAAAGTGGGTGGTGCTTATTTAAGATGAGAGCCTGAGAGGGTAAGTGAAAGAGGCTGATCCTTGTTTTAATGATAAGGGACCTTATCCTCTTAACCTTTTGAGACCTTTTATTTTCTAAAAATGAAAATAAAATATATTAAGAAGAGCACGTAAAAGTTTTCAAATCTTGAGCTAATATTCCTCATCCACAAGAAAAGAAGAAAGTTTCTTATTCACCGCAGCTATCGCTTTCGTTATCCTCGTTCCCACAACCTCACCATGACCATGAGACTCCATTCTTTTAAACTCTCAAATCTTTCAACCAATCCCATTATTCACTTAAGTATATAGTAGCTTCCACAAGAGTCTTAGTTATAAACTATAAATACACTTATCTCACTCTCACTGATCTCCACTTCTCTTCACAAGCAAATGTCGACCGCTCCTCTCTCCGGCTTCTTCCTCACTTCCCTTTCTCCCTCTCAATCTTCTCTCCAGAAACTCTCTCTTCGTACTTCTTCCACCGTCGCTTGCCTCCCCTCCTCCTCTTCCTCTTCCTCATCCTCCTCCTCGTCTTCCCGTTCCGTTCCAACCCTTATCCGTAACGAGCCCGTTTTTGCCGCTCCTGCTCCTATCATTGCCCCTTATTGGGTATACATTTTTACATTCATCTCTGTTTCTTAACCTACATTATTTCCTACATAGTTACATTGTTGTTTACGAATAGGGGTACATTACATAGATAGTAAACTTAAGTTCACTTTCCTTTTGACGATTTACTTTATAACTTCTTTTCGCATCAATTAGTAACCCGCTGAATTACAGAATATTTAGAATTTTAAATTATGTCACGATTTTACGAAATTATTATTTAGATTCTGCAATTACTATTTTAGTGATAGGAAAACAAATTCTGCTATATAAACTAGCTTACGAAACTTCCACAAATCTTGGAAACAGTCACGTGTGTTTCACATTTCAGTTTTTTTTTTTTTCCTTGGCATTTCCTTATCCTTACTATTATTATCCGTGTTTACCTTTTGGTCTTTAGCTGCTTGGTATGAAAGAATTACCCAAAGTAACAAGACTCAAATTAAAGTAGCTTAATTAGTGAATCACAAGGGAAGAGTTCATTTTCAGCTTCCGAATGCTATTAGCGATTCGAACTTAACACAATTATCCTTCTACTGTAATATATGAAGTGGATAATTTTTTCCTCAAAACTACTTGCTTCGATATTTAATGATGTTAAAAACAAATCACCTCCAAATATTAAAAGCGTTGTTGCATCTCTACTCAAAATCCGACATTTTAAAAATTTGGGAGTTAGAACGTACGTAGGATCCACGTGATAAAAGAAAAGGATTTGCTAGTAGATTCATGAAACTGAGACGTGCATATACGATATGAGAGCGTGTGGAGCATAATGGTGACTAAGTCGCCATCTATATTTATTCATTCAACCTACCGATTTGGCTCCTAACCACATCACCGATCTTCCACCCCAAAATAAAATCATAATATAGAAGACAATAAAATTGTACTTTATCGTATAATGAAGTTCTGAACAGGTTGATTGTAGTTTCGACATTTAAATCACGTCATGACCCGCTCTCTACTTAATTACGTTCCCGACAATAAAATATACTACTACTGAATTTTCTTCTAATTTTATTTGGTCAACCAACTTGTAGAGTGAAGAGATGGGAAGCGACGCATACGAAGAGGCTATTGAAGCTCTCAAGAAGCTTCTCATGTAAGTATACACATCTTTTCTATTCGCATACAGTAATATATGATTAGGTTAAAAAAAAGCTAAAACATTATTATAAATTAGTAACAGGGTTTTTCAATACTACTTAATTCATGATTTTGCGATTAACTATGAAATGTGTATAAACATGGCAGCGAGAAGGAAGAGCTAAAGACGGTTGCAGCAGCAAAGGTGGAGCAGATCACGGCGGCGCTTCAGACAGGTACTTCGTCCGACAAGAAAGCTTTCGACCCCGTTGAAAACATTAAGCAGGGCTTCATCAAATTCAAGAAGGAGAAATACGAGTAATATTTCTATTTTTATTTGTTTGTTCTTAATTACGTCACCATCTAAATTGGTCTAGATTAATTAACTAGTTCATATTAATACTTTTATTTGCAGAACCAACCCTGCTTTGTACGGTGAGCTCGCAAAGGGTCAAAGTCCTAAGGTAAATTAAATAGAAAAAATTAAACTAATAGTATGCATATATCATGGTTACTTATAAATTAAACAGCATTAAACATTAAGATCAGTAATTAATAAAGGTGTGTGATTGGTGGTGCAGTACATGGTGTTTGCTTGTTCCGACTCACGTGTGTGTCCATCACACGTTCTGGACTTTCAGCCAGGAGATGCCTTCGTGGTCCGTAACATAGCCAACATGGTTCCTCCTTTCGACAAGGTTAATAAAATTAACACTTACTTCTGTCTCTATGAATATAATAAACTCTTCTATCTTAAACCTTATGGCTCTTGACTTTTGCTTAATTTGCAGGTCAAATACGGTGGCGTTGGAGCAGCCATTGAATACGCGGTCTTGCACCTTAAGGTGAAGTGGTGAACCATTCTTTTGCTTCTTTACGGCGACTTTAAAAGGGTCTCTGGCCGAAAAGGCTGTACTATATAGGCCCAATTGGGTCTACCATCGTTAGAATATAAGATTAAGTATTAACACCTTAACCAAAAAAAAAGAAAAAAAAACTTGAATTTGTTAAATTTTTGTGCCAAAAAATAAACATAGTCCTGAGAAAATAGAGAGAAAGTTGAAAATACTAAATTGTAAATTAACAAGTGTTTATTTGATAAGTGATATTATTAAAGTACATGTTTATTAATGTAGGTGGAGAACATTGTGGTGATAGGACACAGTGCATGTGGTGGGATCAAAGGGCTTATGTCTTTCCCCTTAGATGGAAACAACTCCACGTATAATATCTCTATACCCATTATATTTAAATTTAACATCAATTTTAATAACATAATTTATCAAATGAGATTCTTTTAAAAATATTGTGTTAATTGCAGTGACTTCATAGAGGACTGGGTCAAAATCTGTTTACCAGCCAAGTCAAAGGTTATATCAGAACTCGGAGATTCAGCCTTTGAAGATCAATGTGGCCGATGTGAAAGGGTACACAAAGACATGTTCATTCATATCTTCAATCTATAGTTAGATAAATGAGCTGATATATAACAATATAAATGTATTAATTAATGCAGGAGGCAGTGAATGTTTCACTAGCAAACCTATTGACATATCCATTTGTGAGAGAAGGACTTGTGAAGGGAACACTTGCTTTGAAGGGAGGCTACTATGACTTCATTAAGGGTGCTTTTGAGCTTTGGGGACTTGAATTTGGCCTCTCCGAAACTAGCTCTGTATGAACCAATCCATCATCATCATCATCATCATGACCATCCATCATCATCATTATTATCATCGTATATATATATATCTACTCCATATGTAATTTGTAATGTGCCTTTGATTGTGATGACTTATCTCTCCCTCTTCCTCTCTACCAACTTTCTTCATATATATATAAAAATAAAAAGTAAAAAAGGAAACGCAGAGGATATAGATCTTTCGTGGTTTAATTATGAACAATAGTGTTTATTATGTGTATCAAATCGGTTGTATTTATGGTTTGATTTTATTTTCTATGTTGTTTGGTAGGTTAAAGATGTGGCTACCATACTACATTGGAAGCTGTAGGAACTCTTTGAAGCCTTACCCGATTTCACATTTTCAATTCAATAACACCAAGTTATTATTTTCATGTAGATCTTGATGAAAGTGGTTTTTGATTTTACAGAATTAAAATCTTGGGGGACAAAAATTAGAATGAAAACTAGTAAAAAAAAAATTAAAAAATCATTGAATCGTAAAAAAGGTCATCTTCAAAAAGTCTCTTGATAGACAGATTTCTGACAATTTTACTGCCACGTGGTGAATGGTTGAGAAGTTATGGGATCACTCAAAGCCGAACATCAACTTCAAAAGGTGAAGGTGTGAGAAACGGTGTCTGTTTGGACTAGCGTGGGTTTACACCTCGAGGACTTTGGTGTGTCTCTCAGAGTCAGAGGGCGGTATTGATAAGATCGGAGTTGGGCCTAGGATGGGCCAAAGCTATTAACTAACGTTTAAGCCTTTAATGTTTATAAGCTAAAATCATCGTTGTAAAGGATTATGAAAGAAATCAACAATTATCAATCTCTCTTTCTCCTCTCTAATATTCTCTTCCCTTTCCTCAATTCTACATCTCCAATCTCTATTTCTTCTACTTGTCTCCTCATTTCTATTTCTTCCTTTATAGACCAAATCTGGGTCTGTATTAGTTATATTATCCGACTACACCTTTCGGGCCTAAGCCCAATTATTTTATTCAATCTATGTTACGAAAATATTATTAACTGAATTTTCTTATTGCGGTATTCATATTTGGCAATTGGCATGGAAAATGATGTTAGTACACTTTGGTTTCTGGTCCAATAATTTGATTTTGACCATTATATAACTTAAACTAGCATAGCTAGATAATTTAATTTGAGGTTCTTACATATATGCAAATATAGTAAACTGATATTTGAAGAATATGTCCATATTTATATAACGAACTAGTATAGAACTAATCCAAAATAATTTAACTAGAATGAAGAAAAAAATTATGCTGAAAATGACACATTAAACCCACAAAACGAAAAGGCTAAAGCTTGACGAAAAGGTAGCAAAGTGACCAGGAGTCCCATGATTTCATGAAGACATGAACTATATATATCCACTGATTGATTTAATAAATACATTATATTTGATGTTACATATTTTTATATGGGAATTCTAATATATATTTTGAGAATGATAAAATTTTTTTTATATTTATCTTGAACTGTTTTTTTTGTCCATATATTTTTGTCAATAGTGCACACGATAATAACATTTAACCTTCATGATAACAAATCAAAATTTATAATTTCTATTTTGAAAAGTGGTGGATAATAATAGACTCTAATAATATTAATATACCACTTTTATTTTTTATGCGAAAAATACAGCAAAAGAAAGAAAGAGAAGAGTTCTTAAACTTTTTCATAACAAATCTTAAATAAATTGAATCGGAAAACACTATTTGATAACAATATATCAGAACATTGTTTTGGACTTTTGGGTCCGGATACAAATTATTATCCAAAAGAGAGTTGTGAGAAGTGGAGCCGACACACGTCGACCCCTAGCACCTTAAGGACACCCCATGTGGTCACGTGTAAACGTTTGTTTGTCATAAAAGAAAGCTTTTTTTGAGTATGAAGTATTCCGAGAAGTCTAATCACAGAGAAGAGAGAAGAGAGAGTTAGCCTCTTCTTTAGTTGTTTGTTGCAATAAACACAAACACAACTTCCCCATTTTCTGCTTCTTTTTGTTCAACTCCTACACACTCCAATCACACAATTCACAACCCATAGAGGAAACAATAAAATAATCTCATCAATCAAACCAAAAGAAAAAAAAAAGAAGAAGATGATGAAAACCCCAATTTAGTATAAAGGAAGAAAAAAAAAACCATTTCGAATAACTTGAAACGGTTTTGGTTTTGCAGAAGAAAATGAAGGAGAAGTCGGAGAGTGGCGGCGGAGGAGTAGGATACGTGAGAGCAGATCAGATAGATTTAAAGAGTCTGGACGAGCAACTGCAGAGACACTTAAGCAAAGCATGGACGATGGAGAAGAGGAAGAGTTTGAGTGATGGTGAAGACAACGTCAGTAACACCCGACATAACCAGAACAACTTTGGACATCGACAGCTTGTGTTTCAGAGGCCGCTTCTTGGTGGTGGATATAGCAACAACAACAACAGCAAGAACGACATAATTAGGTCGACCGAGGTTGGGAGGTCGAGAAGAGAGTGGGAAATTGATCCTTCTAAGCTTATAATCAAAAGTGTGATTGCTAGAGGTACTTTTGGTACGGTTCACCGTGGAATCTACGATGGTCAAGATGTCGCCGGTACAATATCTCTTTCTCTCTCTCATCATTCATAACTTTTTGTTCTTATTGTAAGAAATATAGTGTTTTAGATAAATATACGTACCCTTTTTTGGTGAGAATATATACGTACCCTTTTGGAAAATTACTTAGAGAAGAATTGAAACTTTCTTCCCGGAAAAATAAATAAATAATGGAATTACAGGAAAATATTATTCTTTAGGTTTCTTAATCAGTGGTTTCTTAATCAGTGATCAAGTATAAACAAACATGCATTAGTAGTGTAATGAAAAATTTGTCATTTACTTTAGTTTTGGTAATCTGTTTAACATGTACACATTAATGCTAACCCGCGAGATGCCGGCTGATTGATATTCCGTACGTAATCAAGTGATATAGATAGAGAAACTAACAAAACATCTCTTTTTAAAACAGTTTTTAGTGTAATTAACCAAAATTTTAGGTTAGTAAGTTCTGTCAAGCTATTTCATGTAAACAATATATTGGGAAATCCTTATGCATGTAAAGTATCCGAGAGACTTATTACGTAATTTTTTCCTTCCAAAATTTGGATCTTCAATTGAACCTTTCTCTTTGGTAACTCATGATTTATGTGTGCAAATATTCTTTAAAAAAAAAAAAAAAACAGTGAAGCTACTAGACTGGGGAGAAGAGGGGCACAGGTCAGACGCCGAGATAGCTTCGCTTAGAGCTGCTTTCACTCAAGAAGTTGCTGTTTGGCATAAGCTTGACCATCCCAATGTCACCAAGGTACACTACACTCACTCGTTAAAACCGGTGAACACTTAAACCGAAATCGAATTAAAACTAACCGATTAATCGAAACATAATCAAGTTGTTATAACCAAAATATTCACCCCTAGGCACATGTATAGATAGAGTAGGTATACGTAGATGTCTGTTTTTAATACAAATGTTACGTCTTTTCTGAGCATTAAATAAAAGATGTCATGTGTTTTTGGTGTATAGTATATTAATTTTGTTTGGTGGTGAAAATAAAAAAAGTTCATAGGAGCGGCGATGGGGACATCGGAGATGAGCATACAAACGGAAAACGGGCAAATGGGAATGCCGAGTAACGTTTGCTGCGTCGTGGTTGAGTATTGCCCCGGCGGCGCTCTCAAGTCTTTCCTCATCAAAACTCGCCGCCGCAAACTCGCTTTCAAAGTTGTTATCCAACTCTCCCTTGATCTTGCTCGCGGGTACATTACACATATATTCGGTTCATCAATTGCTTCCGGTTTACCGTTTTATTAATCTTGATTAACTTATATATGTGTTAGGTTAAGTTACTTGCACTCTCAGAAGATTGTGCATAGAGACGTGAAAACGGAGAACATGCTTTTAGACAAGTCACGCACCTTAAAGATTGCAGATTTTGGTGTGGCTCGTCTCGAGGCTTCAAACCCTAACGACATGACCGGTGAGACTGGAACCTTGGGCTACATGGCTCCCGAGGTGTTAAACGGGAGTCCGTACAACAGAAAGTGCGATGTGTATAGCTTTGGGATATGCCTGTGGGAAATTTACTGTTGCGACATGCCTTATCCTGACCTCAGCTTCTCCGAAGTCACCTCTGCCGTCGTCCGCCAGGTCTTTCAAAATTACCTTTTTACCCTTTTCGTAATTGATTTATGATTACCGGCTACCTAAAAAGACTTAATCTCTATCTATTCTTTTGAATATATAGAATTTGAGACCGGAGATACCTAGATGTTGTCCAAGCTCCCTGGCGAACGTGATGAAGAGGTGTTGGGATGCGAATCCGGAGAAGCGGCCGGAGATGGATGAAGTGGTGGCGATGTTGGAGGCTATTGATACTTCTAAAGGCGGAGGGATGATTCCTCCTGACCAACAACAAGGCTGTTTCTGTTTCCGCCGACACCGAGGCCCATGAAGTACACACTACGTTTCCATTATTATTATTATTAACTCATATAACTATTTTGGAAGTAGAGAGAATATTTTAAGAAGTTAAATGTGGGGTAATTAAAATGTTTTAATTAGTTTGGTGTTTGATTTATAGGATGAATGTCGTACCTATTTCAAACGATCATCTCATACGTTATACATATACACACAAAACCTAATTCTTGCTCTTTGCTTGTTTTATAGTCTTCCAATGTTTTATTTGTTTAAGATGCATTAAACATGTCTAACTTTCCAATAAAAATTTTATAAAGTATCCGATCAAAAATATTAAATGATTTTTTTAAACCGACATAAATTCAAACATTTCATAATTATACAGTATTTTCAATTTTTCATAGGAAAAAAGTGATGCACCTTTAAATTACTCTCACAAAATTAAAATAAACAGAGTATTACTTACTATGAAGTATGAACCAAGAAAAGGGAAAAGATAAGTGAAGTTAACCGGCGATTTTGTAACTCGGGTTAGCGAGGTTCTCTAAACCGGAGACAACTTGAATGGATTCAATAACATCACCAACTTTAAGATCAGCTAGAAAATCTTCGTTATCAGTAACGTAACCAAAGACAGCGTAACGACCATCCAAGATGTTGGAATTGCTTGGAGTCAGCTCACTCTCTTTTAGAAGCCAAAACACTTGGCTTGATCCTGAATCATTCTCAAACTCCTGTATTTATATGTACAATACACTAAATAAGTAAATGTTTCATAAGACATAATAGTATAAACTATGGAAAAAAAAAGAAGAAGAAGAAAGGACTCACTTCTCTTGCCATTGCCATTGTCCCAAATGCGTTGAAAGGAAGCATAACCTGAGCCTTGTAAAGACCCAGTTCCTGTTCACCAACATCCAAAAACCAAACAAAGCTTAAAAGGATGTTATCAACTATAATACAAGTCTCTGACAAGGAGAGATTTTGAGAGATTTACTTCAAGAGTTGAACCGTAAAAAGGCGTTTTCTTTCCAGTCACCATAATCTCTAGAGGAACTGTCCGCGTTTTCTCTGTGCTTGGATCGATAAATCCTTCCGCAGGACCCTCTGGATCTCCTGTTTGTACCACAAATCCATCAGCTGAAACAAACAAAAAAACACACATTATTCAACATTTTTTTAAATCGCATATCTTAAACCAAAACTGAATTTTACTGTCTTACATCTCTGGATCTCCATGCCATCATAGAAATGCCGCTCTACCAAGTCCACAAAGTTCCCCGCGGTAACAGGGGCGTTATAACCATCAAGAACAATGCGGAACACACAGTCCTCAATGTTGGGATTGTCCTTGATCTTGACCTTCATGTCCACACTGGCTCTTCCCTTGAGAAGAGGCATGTTCCTATACTCTTCCGGCACTTCATATGGGAAGCCATCAACCATATCCTCTTCTATTCTGCGAATGCCCCACACGAAGATCTCAGCTGCAGTCATCAATCACAAAGGGTCTAAATGAGCATAACCCATCTCGTTTCTTTATCTCTCGTTCCTCATTCATACCCCTTATGTTAAAAACTTACCCGCCAACATATTTGAGAATTTCTTTCTGTTTTGAAGCAACCGCATCTCTTTTCCGATCTTCCACAATCTTTAGCATATCTTGCATACCAGCTTCCAACTTTTCGATCATTTCATTACCATGATCCTTCTTCGATTCAGCAAAACCTGCCACAATCATACTTTTCCCTTGCTGCAATGATCTATTTGCCTGCCTCACATTCTACAATAGCCAAACACAACAACAATAAATGCTCAGATTCCTTGAAAAAACAGAACATAAACCTGCAACTCCACTGATCAGTTGAAGTATAAGAACTTATGTGATCACCACAAGTCTTTACCCGTTCAACAGAATCGAGAGCCTTAACGCCAGCAATCTTGAGGCTATCAGTGATATCCTCAAGAGGCTTCTGTACTTCTCTGATGGCTTTATTGTCAATAGGCAATGCATATCTTAGTAAAGCTTCTGGATCTTTAATCGGAGGACCAGAGATCAACACCGAAACCTCTGGAATGGCTGGATTCGCCACTGCGTAAGCATTGGGAGGCAAAGCAATCGAAGGTACTGAAGCTATTAAACCAACCGATAAAGCTAATGAAATGGCACATTCTTTCAATGATGCAAATGTCCCTCTCTGCATTCAAAAACAGAGAAATCAATCAGTTTTAGATGCCGTGAGCCATAAGTTTTGCAGTTATAGACAACAATCTCACATTGCAATGACAAAGGATTGATTTTGATCACTTTATCCATCAAATTAACAAAATTAAAGGTTGACTCTTTAGTAAAAATCCAACTGATTCAAAGTCTCAAACAGTCAAATCGAATTTTACAAACTCTAACCACATTGTGCATTGACGAATGACGCGTGTAGGGTTTCAATCCAATTCACACGATTAAAAGGAAGAAACAGAGAATGGAATCAGTTAGACCGGAACCTGCTTATTTTCACGAGTGTTGCCGGAACAAGAACGGACGGGGTTTTTGGAGCAAGAAAAATCGATTCTTCTTCTGGGAAATCTGGAGGAATTGACGACACTAAATGTGGGAAGAGAGGCAAACGACGCCGCCATTGGAGATCGAAAGTTAAAATTGACAAAAGGGTTTAAAGAGAGATGATTTTTCAGAGAGAGACCAAAGGAATTGACATTGGATTAGGAGTTTTTGTTCTGTCCGAAAATTACATGAGAAAAGAAAGTAGCTTTGTCTATAATGTCTGCGTCAGATTTTTGAATTGATGATGAAGAAGAGGATAAGGGGTTTTTGTGACTCCGCTTCTTTCTCTCTCACACTCTGGAATCTGGATAAGATTACAATTTCCTTCCGGATTTTTTTTTTGTTCTTTGTAATTTAGTAAGATGGGCCGATAGTTGGGCTTACTTTGCATGATCTGTTTAGTAATCAGCTTTTTTTCTGTGATTTAGTATGATGGGCCGTTTGTTGGCCTTTGTTTGCATGATCTGTTTAGTTATATGGGCCTGTACATTTACATATTCATAGAATCATAGTGAGCATATTCGTTCTGTAATTTTGGTTTCGATTTTTCTGAATTGAAATAACATTCATTTAATTACTTATTAAAAAAAAAACTAACACAAGAGCTACATGAAACATATTTTGTTTTTCTTTGTGATGAAAAATGTTAATTTCATTTTCTTCATTTGTTTGGAAGTTCAGGATTAGACTTTGTTTGACCTATTAGAGTCTTGCATTATCACCTTACGTCCAATATTAGTGAAATCTTTAAATGGAGTCAACCCAAACGTAATTAGTATAGTTTGTTGTTCTTACTTAAAGATGTATGCAGTACATATCAGGTTAAACGCGAAAAGAAACGCAAGTTCATGATTAAACGCTTCACGATTTATAGAATTATCACTCTCCAAAAGCAATTGCTAAAAACAAAATTGTTTTTCTTTAAATGATAAACTAATAGTATATGTAAATCGTTACGTGACGAATGTACATACGCGCAACAAGAACTGTTGTACAATTGTATAAATGTAAGTATCTGTAAAGATAAATGTGTATACGTGTGTGGCTTGAGATGAAGAAGTTGAATATCACTGTTCGCACACAGTGAGAATGGAAAACCCCATACCATAATGAATGGACCTTCTCAAACGAAAAGTACTTTTACTTCATTATAAATTTAATAATTATATCCTTTTCATCTTTCTGAAAATGACATGGTGGCCCTGAAAATAAAAAAGATAAAAAGAAGCTAATATGAATATCATGACAGATATATAGTAACGATTCCAGTGAAAGTTTCCCTTTATTTAACTACTATGTATTTTTAATTTTCATTTAGTATTTTCGTATTAATTAGAAATACATAGTCGAAGAAGAAGAAAATAATCTATATATATATATGTATATAGTGGAGGAAACTATTAAACTAAGAATGGTGCTCACACCTTTATAGATTGATCTTCTTTTCAGAGAACCACACACATGGCGACACAATCCACTACCAACACGTCCTAAAGTCATTGTTCCTCTCAGGTGTTCTGCTTCTTTTCTTTTCGTTTCTTTCCTTTCTTTCTTAAACACCATTTTTCCAAATCAAAGAAAAATTTATCGACGCTTCAGTTTTTGCCGAAATGAACAAAAATAAATCATCCATAGACGAAGATCCACAACTGCAAAATAATGTATTCTCTTTTCTCACTACAAAAAAAAGTGTAGTTTGCATCAATTCATTTGATTTAAACTTGAGTTACTTTTTAATAATTGATACAAAAAATATATAAAATGTCAAGAACTGGTGTTTCTTAATTTAATCAATATTTGTGTTTTGTAATGCTTTAATGTCAAGAACTATTTGTGCCAATCATCTTTTTCAGTAAAGCAAATAATAGAGGTATAAAGAAAAAAAGTCCCCTATTTTTGGAAAAATAAAAAGGAAAACCTCAGAAGACACTATCCAATGAAAAAGATGCCACCATTTTCAAGGCCTCATATCTTAGTTGTGAAGAAAAAATATTACAAAAGGAAAACACTGATTCTTTTTTGTGTTGCTTTCTTAATGAGATGAAGATAATTTTAAAGAACACACAAAATAATCATGGTTTTCATTTATAATAAATTAGCGCTAATTTGAGAAATTAATGAAAACATAATCAAATATACATTCCATTATAAGCGAAGTGTACCTTTCAGGGATTATTTTCTAAAAACATGTCGATATCATAGAATATGAGGAGTCAACTTACTAGTTAATTATTTAATAACAATTTGAGATCGATATTATATATGTAGAATTAGAGCTTGTGATGATAAAAAATTGTAAATTCTGAACTGGGTTACATATCAATCACTATAATGATTATGATTTTTATTTTCCTTTTCTTTTTTTGCGTGTGTGTATGATTGTTATCTCTTGGGGAGAAGTGAAAAAAAAAAAAAACCCATTCCTTTATCTTTTAAATTTTTTCTTTAGTACTACTATTTTTATTTTATTTTTAAAATCCAAGCTTTTCTCCTTTTTTATTCTTATTTGGGTGCTGAAAGATATTCCTTTATTGGAAATGTCCATAGATATCCAACTGGCTAACACATGGAATGGAAGAAGACAAATTAAAATCGTAATTAAGCATATTTTCCCATCTACTATATATCTTATATACAAATATAATTTTTATCAATATATTTACTGTTGAGGTAAAAAAAAAAAAACAGAAAAATACAAATACGAGGATTTTAAATAATAGCAGCGGGAGAAATACGGTGGAATGAGCAAATGTTATGCACAAAAATGTTATATTATAGTGGTTAAAGAAATGAGGAAATTCTAATAACTAGGGTGTAATCAGTTAATATTTTTATACAGAGGCCAAAATCATATTCATATGTATATCATGATCATATATAGTTTCTTACCGATCTCATATTGTATTAATCTATTTATATAATTGGAATGCCTTTTCTTGATCAACAGGATGTATCCATATAATATGTATGCAAAGCATATATTGATGAAGTCGTATAAACATGCATACACATGTATGCATAATATATAAAGAGTATTTGCAGTTTGGGTAGCTGAAGAGTCATGAAGAAATGAAAACGAACGAGGAATATTATATTTTTATAAAATAAATTTAAATATATTATGAATGTCAATTCTACTTATATCACTGAAAACAAGATCATGAAATAGTAGTATCAAATACTGTAGAAAATAACTCAGAAAAAAAAAAAGACAGGACGAAGCTACGTGGGGACTTGTGTTAACATGATAAGTTAATATAACTAAAATGAATTTTATATAGAAAACTAGTACACTCTTTAGAAATTCCATGCACCTGGTCTATTTTTTTTTTCTCCGTAAGGTGACATGAAATCGATATTCACCAAATTTTGGTTGTAGAGTATATAAGTTTTTTCATAAACTGATCATTTTTTTAAATGTAGTTTTGAAGAATTACAAGATAATACACAAAAGTTACTAACCATGTAAATGTGATTTAATAGTAATTTTCTTGTAAAAAAGTCACACAATTCTATCATTTAGAAATAATTTTGTGTGAAAGACGACGTCAAGGTGCATTAAAATAAGAAACAAATAAAAGATAGGAATGACGTGAATTTGATTATAATGAATTTTTAAATGAAATAATGATACTGTGACGGGGCTGTGCAAAATGGAAAGTGACAAGATGAAGAGGACCGTTAGATGAATACTAATCAAGCGTAGATCCGACACTGTCCCGACCGTCGAGCATGTAACCCTATTTAACACACTCTGGCCGAACCACCACAGCTCAATAAAACTATTTTTTAATAATAAATAACTTTTAGAAAAAGGTATAATTCAAATCCAACGGATGAGATCTGTTGCCGAGTCCACTCGATAAAGAAAGTGGACCCCAGATAGCTTCAGAAAAGTCCACTTCCGATTGTAAAAAAGCCAATCACATTCGATCTACCACAATTGCCCTCATTGGCCAGCAGTGAAATTATTAATCATGTGATGTATACTATCCATCATCACATAGAAATTCTTCAGATTTCGTTAAAAAAACTTTTGTTAGGATTTAAGTAGTGTTATAGAAGAAAACAAGTAAATTCAAAGAACATGTCATTTTTAATTTAAACAAGTATGATTTTCTTTGTTACATAGTTGTTAGTTGATATAAATTTGTAGCATAGTTATTCTCATTAGTATCTGTTCTTGTGTGACACAACACAAATATTAATCCAGGTGATTGCAAAGTGTGAGATGTAGAAAAAGAAAAGAAAAACATAAGGAAATATGATATTATTGCCGTTTGGATTTGATGATACCAAAAAAAGAAACTTGAAGTGTTACCGTTTGATATAAAAGAGAGGGCATAAGAGTCATTTAACAAGGAGAGCTGGTGGTATAAAAGACGGCGCTTGTTGAAGCAAATGAGTTTAGCTGAAACGCTCACATTGCAAAAACAAAACCAACAAGGAACTTCTCTCTCTCTCTCAAGTCTCAACTCTCTGCGATTTGAATTTCTTTTTAAGAATCAATCGGAAAACCTAAAGATAATGATCTGATTGATTGGCGGGTTTTCCAAAATTGTAAAATAGATAAGGTTTCTTCTTGGATCTTGATCCCTCTTGTAACGGAGGGGAATTGCAGTTGATGATGGGATTTTGTATCTGCCCGTTGGAGTCACCGGCGAGATTACTATGGAGTACAAGCTTCTTCCGTCATAAGATCATGATCTTCTAATCCTTGTCTCTTTCCATCTTCTTAATCCTCTCTCGCTCTCTGCTTTCTCTGTTTCTTTCTCAGAAGAAGTTGTTGTTTTTATTTCTGTTAATCAATGGAATCCAATTCGTTTTTCTTCGGTCCATCTGCTTCGCATGGCAACAACATGTTCTTCCTTGGGAATCTCAATCCCGTCGTCCAAGGTTCCTTTCTCACTCAATCTCTTATGAAGCTTTTGAGTCCAAGATTAGTTTTACGTGAATTTCCCTTGAATATGTGAAGGAGGAGCAAGATCGATGATGAACATGGAGGAAACATCAAAGCGAAGGCCCTTCTTTAGCTCCCCTGAGGATCTCTACGACGATGACTATTACGACGACCAGTTGCCCGAAAAGAAGCGTCGCCTCACTACCGAACAAGTATATATATATAGATTCTCTCAGTATCCACGATATAGTAATGAACCATTATTCAAAAACAAGTCGTAGATTCTCATAATTATATGTGTGGTTTTAGGTGCATCTGCTGGAGAAAAGCTTCGAGACAGAGAACAAGCTTGAGCCAGAACGCAAGACTCAGCTTGCCAAGAAGCTTGGTCTACAGCCAAGGCAAGTGGCTGTCTGGTTTCAGAATCGCAGAGCTCGTTGGAAAACAAAACAGCTCGAGAGAGACTACGATCTTCTCAAGTCCACTTACGATCAACTTCTCTCTAACTACGACTCCATCGTCAAGGACAACGATAAGCTCAGATCCGAGGTATATCTCTTATTTATACTATATGGGACTATATGTTAATCTAAACAAGATTATTATAAATTGAATGATTTTTACCTTATTGGTCCAAAGGAGAAACAAAAGCATCAAGTGAAAAGAGAATATGCTTTTCCTTTTTTCAAGACAAAGCTGATAGAGGAGAGACTAGAAAAAAGATAGAAAATTAGGGAATCAAATCAATCAAACGAATTTAATTATCTTTTTTATGGGAGAGGTTGCTTGTGTTGACCGTTGTGATTAAAGTTTAGAATCTTTTCCAAACAGGTTACTTCCCTGACCGAAAAGCTCCAGGGCAAAGAAGAGACAGCTAATGAACCACCGGGTCTAGTGCCCGAACCAAACCAACTCGATACGGTATACATAAACCCGGCAGCAATCAAAACCGAGGACCGGTTAAGTTCAGGGAGTGTTGGGAGCGCGGTACTAGACGAAGACGCACCTCAACTACTAGACAGTTGTGACTCTTACTTCCCAAGCATCGTACCCATCCAAGACACCAACGCCAGTGATAATGACAATGACCGGAGCTGTTTCGCCGACGTCTTTGTGCCCACCACTTCACCGTCGCACGATCACGGTGAATCATTGGCTTTCTGGGGATGGCCTTAAAAAACCAGTCGATAATAAATATATTTCATGTGTGTTTTATTAAGTACAACAGTCGTCTTGTTGTTTCCATGTTGACGATAATCGTGGACTCGTGGAATAATTCCGCAGTTCAACAGTATTTTTATCTGTTTATGAAAGCACGTCCTAGTTCAATGCAATGTTCAGTTTTAAAGTTGAAAGATTGATCTTCTTCTCAATGATCCATTCACTGTATCTAGCGAGAGAGAGATTTATAAAGAATAATTGAAGTTTCCGTTCTAACATCAGTTAATGTCTAAAAAGCGACTTTGATACTAATTAATTCCACATTAGTTAGTCTTCTACATATATGTCTACACATACTTTCCTCGGCTCATCCACCTGTTGAACCGCCATCAACCGTCACTTCCATTCCAAGAAAGATCTAAACCGGACTTAGGCCTCTCCACCAAAACAGATCTCAACATCCGGAACTTACAGGTCTGGTTCCAGATAGATAGAAACATTGCCTATATCTACACATACACATTGGCTCCACTTTGACTAAACCGGAAAAGATAAAATCCACATTTCCGGTTCACATTCCCGCTGGCTGGGCTGATGAGGTTTTTCCAGTGGTTTTTAATAAATAACTATGATCCCTCGGGTTCTTTCCTCTTCTTACCAGATCTTCTGTTTACTCTGCTGCTTTTTTCTTGTGAATCTGAAACCGGCTGTGACTTCTGGTCTGGTAAGCTGATGATCGGCTTAGTTTCATCGTTATGATCTGATGGGGTTATGGGTTTATCATAAATGATAGCTGCATCGAGGGAGAAGATACGAACGGATAACGCTGAGAGAGTCGAGATTTTAGCAGCCGCTGAAAGAGAAGACCAGTACCACCATTCATTTTTCAAGTACTCTGTCTTAATCATATCTTCTACCACAAATGTTGCCTGAACCAACTGAAATATACATGAAAGGCTTATTAGACATTAGAAAAACGATCTTGTTCTGTGTTTCAATAAATAGAGGGGAGAAAGGGTTAAGGATTAAACCAAACCTCGTATATGCTTTGCGCGGATTTCACAAATACACGCCAAGCTCTTCTACGGTCTGGATGAGATTTCGATGGTCTTAAAGCTTCTTCAGGCAGTGCCACATCCATATCAAGTAAGTTGGTTTTAAGGAACCTGAAAACCGGCAAAGCTTTGCCAGTTATTCTTTTCAAAGCAGCCTGTGGAACCACACAGCAGCTTTTCAGCCCACTACCTGAAGATTTCTTATTCTTTTGCTCTGAGAAGCCAAAACCCAGTCCGGTCAGTTTATTCAGTGGACCGCCATGATTGTCTGTGACAGATCCATCGAATGACAAGTTAGATTCAGAATTTAAGCCTTCAACATTGGTTTCAGGACCAGCAAAAATGACCTGGTCCCCTGAATCACCACCATCTAGCTTATTGGGATTGGCATTGATGAGCACTGAGTCGTTATGGTGAGTAGATGACGCTGGAAGAAATGTTGGAATGCCATTTGAACCGATCAGACCAATTTCTTTAACCAAATCTCTGTTAGAATCCTTTGTCACAAACTTGGAGCAGATCTCCTCAAAATGGTATGGGGAAATAGATTCTTCTTCTTGATATCTTATCAACCCAGAATCAAGTTCAGACACATTGGATATTTCACCTACAGCTTTGCCGGCGCTAGACTTTACATTAAGATAATCAGATTTCAGACTTTCTTTTGCTTTTGAAGAATCAGAGATTTCCTTGCTTTCTTCAGTTGCTAATGAATAAGGAATACACTTACTCTCAGTGTGCTCCTCAAACTCATCATCACTTGCGAATGTTTTATGGCATATGAGGCAGTGAATCATGGATGGCAAAATGGATTCCAAGCACTCGCATCTACACAATTTCTCTCGCTCTGAAACCTTTGTCTTCTTCCCCCGTTTTTTTAAGGTTTCCGTCTCTAGTTTGATGCATGGACCATATTTCTTCTCCATTGACATGGCAGCCTTGGTCTCAAGACCCCTAGCCAATATCGGAGCAGATAAATTCTGAGCTTGTTTCTTTTCCTTTTGGACGTCCCCAAATCGTAACCTTTTCCAGCACAAAATAGACTCTCTCAGGTCTCTTTCTTTCAGATCATCATCATGAAGCCATTGGACAAGCTCGCTGATCTCGGTTTCGGTTTCATAATAAGTCCAGGGTGAAAGCCTTAGTCTTCCATGGTCAACGGCATGGAGAAACGGAGAGGGGACTTTTGAACCCATCAAATCGGCTTGAACAGGTTTCTGCAAAGATATGCTTCCATCAACCAATATACGAGGATTTTCGTCTGGGAAGCAGCAACCCCAATATAAACGACCACTAGCATCGTTTCCCAGAAAGTCTCTCCGTATAGATTGCTTTAGAAGCTGTGATTCTATGCTTCTAATTGATTGCTGCAGATTGTGAATTTCATGACTAGTGGCATTCAAATCTTGTAGACAAGCCTGCAACTCTTGGGAAGCTTGAGAAGATGCATCATGAGCTGTCGGGATTTCTACTGCATTGGAATTTAGTGAATGTGTTTCATGATTCCTTCCAACGGACTTGTGCAAGGTCTCTGAGGTATCTTTTTCAAAAGACGGATTATCCGTAACATGAGGAGAGGTATCTGCTATAGGTTTCTCATGCCTTCCAGGGGATGTAATTGTTTCTGGGGAGGAAATTTTGCTCTCGAAATTAACATGCGACTCTCCAGGTTGAGAATCTTGAAACTCTCCAGGTTGAGAATCGGTTTCAAGCGGAGCTTTACCTTGATTCTTGTTAAGATATGCAGTAGAGGAATCATCATGAGTAACTCCGTCTCCAACGCCCTCCTGTGGTCGTTGATCACATCCCATTTGGTCTGCAAAGTGACCTGAATTATGTGGTTCACCCACTTCCTTCAGAATACTCGGTTCAACCTTTGCGAGTTTAGCCGTCAGGAATTCTTGGCGCATTTTTGCATTTTTCCATTCTGAGGAAAGAGAGCGTAACTTCTGCTGCATTTCAATTATTGCTTCGGCACACTGCTCAAGGTGTTGATGGACAAGAGATGAACTAAGCAGTTCATCGCATAGAAGCTTGAGCAGCAAGATTCTCTGCATCAGAATAGGGAAAAATTCAACCACAATAACATTAGAAACAGCACCAAAAGATTGTAAGAATTTATAGGTAAAGAAATCACTGGCACAATTAATCACAAAAATACAATCATGGTGGCAATACATAAGCTAAAGATTACATAGGAAATATTATTATGGTCTTCATCTCCAAGATGCGAATGAAAAGTTGACATATTTTATGTGAATGAGCAAAAAATGGGAGACAAGTTTCAAAACTGACCTCCTCAGCACTGAACTCCCAGTAGTCCTTTTCTTCCATCACATCTGCCAGGTGAGCAGTCATTTCCATAGAAGTTCGGGTGAGTTGCCCCTGATACTTTCTACCTTTCCGCCGCCTGACTAGTTTGTAAGATTCCAAAGCCTCTTGAGCCATGCGTTTGGCAATGACACAAGATGGACAATACCAATTTCCATCAGGAATTCTAATAAGAGGTGGATTTAAACAATATGTGTGATACTCAGCATCGCATGTATCACACAAGAGAACACTGTCATCATCTTTGTCAACACCACATACTTTACATACCCCCTCATCCCACGGGGCCTTGGGAAGCTTATTTACTGAAACAACTATGTCCTTAATTTCTTTCTTCATCTCTGCACTTAGGCATTCCAATTTCCTGTACTCCATAAGTTTCTGAACGAGTGGTAGAACCTATACCAGCAAACAAATAAAGGCTTGAAACTTGAGAAAATAATTGCACCCCGATACAGCAACTTTCTCATAGAAATTAGGAGAACATGCATACAATTTCTGAAAGGCGAACACAACGAAAATTATACATGCACACAAAAGGAAGAACCCATCTAAAGCATATAGCATTAATGGGCATCTTCAGATGCTTCTTTGATCTTAAAGGCCTATAACTTTCACAAATGATAAATCTTAACACATTTGTTCCACAAAAGTGCCAAGATATAAATGACTGTTTCCACATCAAGATGCTACTAAGTAATGCATATATCTTATTGTGCAGAGCATAGCAGAAAAAGGAGAGAGAAGACAAACCTCAGCTTCATATAACGACTTGAATTTTTCAGACAATGTTGCAACCAGTTCCACATAATCGGGCTGATCTGCATACATAACACGTATACTACTCCACAGCTGCAAATTAAAAAGTTAAAGTTAGCATGTCTACCATAAAATATCAAGTTGCATGCATAAAAAAGAACTGCGTCCAGGAATACTATCACAATGAAAATTTAAAAATAAGTCATATACTGTCAGACTCAGTTGCTTCGACTTCCAATCATAGCTAAAATGTTATCCAATGAGCCAGCAAAAATTCTGGCTTTCAACCTAAAGTTTAACCTGATTCTGCTGAGGCAAAAGTATTCCAAATATAAAGCTGGCTCTTGCGATACTTTTACGCATCTAAACTAGCAGTGTGAAACAAACAGCACAAACAGGCAATGCCCAAATTGAATATATAGCACTTTTACTATAAGCATTCAGAAACTAATTGTTAAATCGCACAAAAAGCATCATGCCATCAATTGCAGAAAAAAATCAGACATAAGAGGGAAATTCCCACCTCAAGAACATCCTCAAGAAAAGCTTCAGTTGATCCGTCATATGCACCAGCAGCCAACCTCAAATCAATAGTTCTGAAGTCTAAGGGACGCGAAACCATTGCAGGTGTTCCCAGGAGCCCGTCATCATCATTATCACTGGAATTCAGCAACTTTCGCCCCAGCAAAGTGCAAAAGACTTTATCTTCGTCTGCGGCTGCAACACCACGCAATACAGCACGGCATTTCTTCATAATGACATCGGATACACCTATAGATGTTCGCTTTTTGGTTCCTTTAACAGACCGCTGCACCAAATCTCCACCTCGAACATCCGCTAGCAATGAGAGGACAGCTTTCTGTATACAGTAAAAGGGAAATAACTAATCTTAGAATTAATGAGTCTAAGAAATTAGCATGCATCATCAGACTGAGATTACATCACCGCAAGAACAAGAGACAGAAAAACTGAAGTGAATTTGAGAAAACAATAAATACTTAGTTTATGCAATTTAAATTTGCAAGTACAGTACTTCAGGAGGGAAGAGAATTGGTTTCAGAGATTTTGAACCTTTGTTGGTCCTGATGCATTGCCTTTATATACTTCTTTACTGATGGAATGCTCCAATATCTTCTTTGCCCACTCTGGTGGATTTCTCTCTAAAGCTTCATAGACACACTTTCTGATTCTAGTCCCAACATTTGTTGGAAGCTTTTTCACAGGTTCTAGAACCTGTGCCCACTCTGGAATATCACCATTGCAAGTGTTTGTCTCAGTAGCATCAAGGCCGTCGGAATCATCATCTTCCACAGAAAGGACATCATTTTCGATTGTCAAAGAACCAGATATTTTCTTAATAGCCTCTGCAAGTAACTGAAGATAAAGATTTAATATCCACACGTAAATCCAACGATCACTCCCTTTCAGTGAGGGTGGTTCATGAACTCATTTGAAACACAAAGTAACCCTTTCCAGTCAGTATAAATAAAAGAGGACCTTCAGGATATTTAAGATTAACAGTATCAAAATGTCAGAAACTAAAACGATTCAAGAAGAGAAAGGAAGCTCAATTACTATATAGTGACCTTCAAATGGAACATAGCTTCAAATAAGCTTGAGAAAGTTTAATCTGACTAATTCCTTGAAAGGTAAATGATAGAACATTTGAAGGACTAACAAAAACATACCATTGAATCTGCTTCCATCCCAGCCACTCCTGTAAGCGAGCCGCAAAGCAAACCACCATCCCCTTGTAAGCAACGGAATACCTTACCACTTTCACGCGCAGAAATCTCTGCTGATTCGAGGTTCCCATCCATTGATAAAAGAGACAAGATGTACCTACGGGCCAATTCAGGCCAAGTGAACTCATTAACAGGAAGCATATGCAGCTTGTTTCTTTTAGCAGAAAGTGTACTGTCATCCTTTTTCCGTCCTCGTCTGGATCTCGACTCTCCAGAATCAAAGTTTGGATCAACAAATGCAGCTACCTTGGATTGCAGCTCACATATTAGCACTTGCAGAAGCGAAATGTGAGTCCTTGTTAGAAGTGCACCCACACACGGCCCATGAGAGGAATATGAAATCGCAAAATCAGAAGAATCCTCTGCCTTTGTCTCCTTTAGTACAGAAGCAGAGGTATTTTTAGCAGGAAAAGGTTGGCGAGATTCATCGAACAAAGAAAAAAATTCAGTAGCTGTACAATCCTTATTAGTAAAGTTCATCTCCCTTCTCTTATCATCTTTCCCAGGTTTATCAAGAAACAAACCATCAAACACTGGATTGATAAGCTCCTGTTCAAGCTTCTCAGATGAGAAAGCCTCTTCAAAACCCAAAATTTCATGGAAACGCCAGAACACTTCAGATACCTAATTAGGCAAGCATACAAAAATGACGATCATATATGTGTGGCAGGACTTAGTGAATGGAGGGGTACGTTGTAGATTACCATATAAGGAAAACACATGCCGTACCTGAAGGAAGTCACCAACAAGCCCAGGAGGAAGCCTCAAACACATTGGCCTCCCAGGAGGAGGGTGTAGATTTCTGACACCAAAATCTCCATTTAGTTTAGGCTTCTTGGATTTCCGAGAAATCTCACCGAAAAATTCTTCCTTGACATTTTCCCCACCTTTTGGTTTGACAACTAGCGCTCCTTCCGCTACAGTTACAGGAACAAAAGAAGAACTTCTACTCTTCAGAGTCCTATAATTTGTACATGATTCGGCACCAGGCATATGTTCAATCATTTCCTGTACAAAATCTGCATCAAGTCCAAATCTGTTTTGATCCAGCCACCTTGACAAAGCATCAACTAGAGTTGCAATCTCACTTTTATCCTTTTCACCACACGTAACACTGTGAGGAGCCAAAGAACAGCAAAATCTAGACAACGATAAAAATACATTGTCTTTCTCATTCATGGTATCCCAGTTGATTTCCCTTGTTTCTCTGTCAACATGCTTGCAAAGGAAATTCATGGTACCCTTCTGCTTCATTACAATGGAGCATGCATCAACAAGTTTTTGAGACACCTTATTCCATGCAGCAGATAATGAATCTTCTTCCACAACAATTTCACCAATTTCAACCCCATGGTCCTGATTATAGGATAAAATTTTATCAGATTCTACATGAGAAGAACCAACCTCTGAGCGCAGGCAATTGAATGTCTTGGAGAAATTCTTCTCACGTAAACAAGACAATATATCATCTCCAAGAGGTGGGCTGTGATCCGAAAGAAGGGTCTCAATATTAGCGTCATCATCATGCTCTTGAGTACTGTCTCTACGATCACTTTGTTTGTCAATGTTCTGTTCCACCATTTCATCAATCTTTGGGCAGGAGAAGACAGTTGATCCAACTGGAATAAATGATTTAGAACATGGTGACCGTGTAACCTTGAAAACGGGACCAGAAGTGCCATCAGATACTTCACATGTAAATAGAGACCCCGTGATCTTATCATGCCAGCAGGACTTATATCCTATTGGATAAATTACGTTGACATTATGGTAAGACTGTCTTATGTCAATTCGTCCAAGCGACAGAACAAAGAAATCTTCATACTGCATCGGAAGTCCATTCTGAAAATTAAATACACAAACATGAGGATAAAAAGTACAAAAAGATTGGAAAAAAAGTCAAAAGCAATCAATCAGGAGATATTTCAAGTTTACACTTACATTAGCTTCCTCACAACCGCATCCATTATTTCCAGAGTTAAGAGAATCACCAGCCTGGAGATGAGTACCAGATTTAACGGCAAAAGGAAACATTGTCTGACCATTGAATGGAAAACGCCTGAGTTGGGCACTGACTGAACTACCCTTTTGCTCAGGGAAACCATTGTTTGGCCATCTTGATGTCTTTCTTCTCTTGGGCATATGCAATCTTTCTTGAAGAAGAGAACTCTCATTCCTGATTTCAGCATCCATACAGCTGTAGTTACCATTAACTACCAAGCCCAGATAACAAGCAACATCTTGTATTGAACTAAATGTTTTTCCATTCGGAGCACAATACACTGCACATAACTGATAACCATTTAAAGGTTGTTTAAATTCGACACGCCAACCATCTTCCAATACTCCATGCCTTTCAGATATGAAATGCCTGAGATTTTGCAGAAACAACTCACTTGGATCCAAGGATGGAAATCTCATGGGCAAACTACTATTGTTCAGGCTTAATGGGAATCCAAAACCTAGATTATGTGAACCCAATGCATCCATACTCATTTTGGTATTACGAGCTATTAACCCTGAAGCTTCGAGACTAGCAAGTCCTCTACCAGGACTTGAGAAGCTTGAATGCATCATTGCATGATCAAAAGAGTTTCCCATGCAAGAGCTGCTGGCGAGCATATGCTTTCTGGAGAAGAAGAAACAAGCAACCACATGATCCATCAGTGCTTTACAATTTCGGCTAGGTATTTTCTCAGACATATTCACTAATAGGAGGCCAGACAAAGTCCTATCAAAGAAAGTCTAAACAACTGATTGAAATGAGAAAACGAAATCTCCTATAAGGTATAGCCGTAAAAATGATCAAATAAAGCTATTCAATAGTTTCTCGCTATCCGGTTGAACCCATTAGTCCCTATGCATGTAAAGACAGCTTAACCAAGTATTGCATCTAAGTTCTCGATCTCAACCAAAATTCAATTCCTAAAAACCCTAACGCATCGTCGGAAAACAGAATCAGGGCAACGTACCTCGAATCAGACGTCTCCTCGCCTCCGTATCCCTCTGCATCACTGGGCGGCGAGGCGTTCATATCCAGAATGAGCTTGGACTTCACCCCCAGCGGCCACAGTTTGCTCCTCTCGCCGCCAGTAACACAGTCGCTGCACATCCAATCGGCGGAAGGAGCCGCCTCCACTCCATCGTTAACACAAGACAGATGAAAACCTCGCTCACAAGCATCGCAGACTACAACGAGCTCCATAGACTCTGGTCTTCCACACGCGGCGCACGAAGCATCCCGATCCGGTTCAGGAACCTCCGCAGGGGCTCCAGGCGCTGGGTCCGGGTTATCGTGAATTGACCTAACAACTTCAACAGGTTCATATTCGCCGTCGTCGTCCTGACCGCCGGTGCAACCACCGCCGAGAGTAGGGCCGGTAGGGATTTCGTTGAGATCGATACCGAGAAAGGAGCGATTCTCTTCTTTGAGAGCGGCGCTCCTAGTGTCTCCGAGTTGCTCGGTTGTAGAATCAGTGAGTTCCATTATTCGATTAGGTTATTGGAATCGAGCATTGTTTGCATTGAAGAAGAAGAAGAAGATTGAAAACGAAAAAAAAAGAATTGCGAGAAAGTGAAAAAGAAAGAGGTTTTCTTATTAAAAAAAAAAATCCACTTTTCCCGAAGTTCTGTTTGGAGAGAGAAACAAAAAAACGTGAATTATCTTTACCTTTTTTTTAGTGTGTTCCTTTTCCTTAGTCCTTACTAGTACTAAACTTATTTTCGAAGATGCTGCTACTCACGTAACGCACCAACATTTTTAACCAAAATAAAATAAAGTGTTAACTATTGTATGATGCTAAATTAGTGTTAATTTATCAAATTTTAAAAGAGAAACTGTAATGTTCTTTTACAAAAATCAAATTTACGGAAATTTATAAAGTAAAAAATGTTGCTTGGTACAACGCGATAAAGATAAGTAGGAAGCAATGGATCTCCGTAGTCAAATATGTGACTGTCTGTGTCAGAAGAAAGAAGGTAAAGAATTAAAAAACAACCATTGGCATCACGAGGAAAGTAACTCGAGGAAGGTGTAATAAACACGTTAATGGTACTACTAATCTTTATTTGATTTTTATATATTAATTAATCAAAGCAGTATTCTTCTTCTTCTTCTGCAGTCTTGAAAACTAATTGTAAGTAAATTTTTACTAACTAGTATAATCAACCGATACAAAGAGTCGACCAACTCCTGAATAGTGTAACTCACAAAATCAAAGTAGAGGAGTACAGCGACAATTAACAGCATCGCAAAGATATTTATCTAAACGAAGGGGTATTATCGTCATTGAGCATTTAATAACTACCTACTGTTCCAAAATAAAATCGAAAGAATAAGAAGAATTCGTGCCGTCGTCCTTTTTTTTTTTGGTAGGCACCGGGAGGCATTGCCTCCCGTTATTTATTAAAGTAAAATAAAAAATTACACAGGAACTCGTCTTGGTCGTCCGGACCCAAGATTATCCTCTCTCCAAATCGAGTCTACAACACTCGGAACAGAAATAAAAGAATGAAAACCAAGCTGTAAAGAGAAAGCATAGTGAGCTAATCCATCCGCAAGACAATTAGCTTCCCTATACACATGCGAAATTCGGACTTCCCAGTCCTTCGAAATAAAGCCATGGCACAAGCGTACCAGGAATGACAAGGGATGGTGATCACTTATCCCCGTCGTGAGAAACCCAACCACTGTCTCCGAATCAATCTCCACCTCCACCCGAGGAGCTCGTTGTTCCCAAGCCAGATACAACCCATAATATACTCCCCATAGTTCAGCCAACGGTGCCGAACATCTCCCAACATTGAGCGCAAATCCTCCACACCATGCTCCTGTACTGTCCCGAATCACACCACCAGCTGCGGCCAGTCCCGGGTTACCGCGAGAAGCCCCATCAGTGTTGATCTTAAGCCAGCCAGCGCTCGGTGGAACCCATTTGATCATCTTCTCCACTCGCATACCCCTCTGACCCGGTATCCCAGCGAGCTGATTGGCCGAGTTTACTTCCATAGCCCAGTCTTTAATAAACCGGACTCTGTCCCTACACTTGCCATTTTCCCCAAACACATTACCACATCTCCACTTCCAGCCCCACCATATTGCCACTGCAAACATCGTTGACCAAGGACCACCGTCCACCAAACTGCCATTACCCAGATTCTCATATAGCCATTCAAACAACGACTTTGTAAAAAAGTCTTGCTGTTTCCCTCGCGGTACTATCCTAGACCAGATCCCAGACATGGCCGGACAGTCTCTGAGAATATGAAGGATAGTCTCAACTCCTCCCTTACATACTTGGCATATATCCGAATCACTTAAATGACGTCTCTTCCTCTCCACATTTGTCATTATCACCTGATTACCAACAAGCCACAAAAAAACTCTTACTCTTTCTGGTACTTGAATCTTCCAAATGCGCCCAAAAAAGCTTCCCATATTCTGCCTTGGTACCTCATCATTTGTCAACATTGCATATGCAGATGAAACCGTGAAGTTGCCGTCGTCCTTATTAGGTTACAAATATTCCTCTTTTCTTCTTCGTCCTTTTTTTCTTTCACCGATCAGTGTTGCCGAGTGCCGACTCTCCATAGTCTTATCTCCGTCGCCGATCTGCATCTCGTCGTCGAATTCGCCACGTTCCACTGCTGATTCCGAATTTTCCGTGTTCTCTCGTCGTCTCTGCCACCGTCCCTGTCTCCCGTCGCCGTGTTCCATTTAGGTACTCCATTGCTCCGATTTCCTTATTCAGTGTATGTGTATGAATGTGGATTTGACGTTATTTTAAGCTATTTCATTTTCTTGTTCTGTACTCTCGTCCTCCTTATTGTGGAGAGTCCAAATGGATCCGCAGACGCAGAACACTTCTTTGCCGCGAGTCCAAAATGTCGAGAAGGTGAATTATTCGGAACACTGACTATTTCCTTAGAGATTAGATGGAGTTATTTGATGTGAATCTGTATGCGTTTAGGGAGTTAACGATTTGGAACTAGGTGAAGGAGTGATGGAAAAACTCGTGAGCCCTTCAGGGGAAGACATGAACTCGCGAGCTCAGCTAAATGTCAAGGAAAATCGGAAGAATGTAACTACTGGAGTGACCAGTTTTTACTCTCGGATCTCCTTTTACTCAGTCGCTACCTTAGTTGTCATCACCATTCTCGTTGGGTCCATCTTTGTTCTATGGTTTGACACCCGCAACATTGGCACCTTGCACAAGTTACTGTAAGGAAATTTTCGTTTTTATCGATTTAGTCTCATTGATTTTAATGATTGTTTATAGATATATATTGATAATTGATAATGTGTGTGTGTTCATGACTATAGGTATGTCTTCTTGTCTGCTGCAACCATTCCATACATTGGTTTGCTATTCATTTGCTTGTGCAATGATGTTCCAGTCCCGAGTTATCGGCTAGGAGCTGAGGGGCGGTTTGGGATCTACCTAGCTACAATGGTTGTCATTTATTGCATATCCTACAGCATCGAGGACTTTGATGTGATGATGGAAGTGTCATTTCTGGCGATTATGTCTATAACAGGAGCGGTTGCAATCGTTCAACTTCATTCTCCTGCCGAGGATTTAAATTCCAGCCGAACCACATTCATACTATTTCTAGGGACGATGTCTGCTATTCTGGGTTGTGTAGCGAAGGATTCTTGGATGTCCCTTTCTGGTAGCCTCTGTTTCTTCATGGTTGTCATGTGTCTCATCAAAATCAACTGCTTGGCTGCTGATCATTTTGAAGAACAACAACGAGAACGCCGTCGCCGTCGCCATCCCCATTGTAGCAAAGATGTCGGAGAGTGACGCAGTGGTGACTGCCGGCAAACGTGGAGAAAGAAGTTCATGGCTTTGTGAGAAGGAGAAGATAAGAAATGAAATGGGTACATATGTAATTACCATTGAAGAGAAATTAAAGAATGTTACAGTAACTCATAGACTCATAGTTATTTTGTTAATTCTTTTTCAATCTTTAGTCATTTAGTGCATATACTCTTATTCTTTATCTTTGGTTGAAAAATCAAAATCCAATTCGTTATAACCTTGAACCATATTTTGTTCTATATTACATTTTTTTTTATATTACTAGATTTTCAACATTTTTTCGCTAGCATATGCTATTACAATTTATGACCATGGAGTTTCAACCATGAATGATCTTCAATAGCAAGTAAACCAGTGAAAACCAAACTGGGTTCATGCCATTCTGGTCATTACCTCTTGAAGAAGAATCTTTGTATCTTTATAACATGATTCTGTCTCGGCTAAGTTCTTCGTCTTAGCTGCATCTTCAAGCTGTGTCGAAACACCATAGTATCAACCACAAATAAACCATGAAGGATGTCAGAAAAGAAAAGAAAGAAACAGTACTCTCTTGGGTTTGAATAAACCAGGACTTGAGTATACTGGAGTAAGACTGGTATTAGTACTGTTACCTTTTCAAAATTGTCGAACAACCTGTTGGCTAAATCAGTGAGGGGTTGCTTGTCTTCAGAGGCAGCAGCAGAGATGAGATTGTCAAAATCGTAGAACAAAAAGGTGGATTTAAGCCTCAAGTACTTTTTAACATAGTTTAAAGTATCTGGTCCGATCAAATCCTCCATTGCCAACAGATCAAAAGCATTCTTTTTAACTCTATACATTCTTCCTTTCGTCCCAATATCCGCTACATACACTCCTTTCTTTATGAATGTTCTCGTTCCCGTCTTCTCATTCACGATATCTGTACAATCAGATCGAGAAAGAACAAATCCGGAAGTTGAATGAGTAGTTTCCGATATTGAATTCTCAGTTAAGAATCAAGAGTGTAGTATGAAAAGGTGCTTACTGTTGTAAATAGGAGGAATTGGAAGAGGGCCATCGATCCAAAACCCGTTGTCTTGTGCCAAGGAAACATTACTTTCGCCGAGAATTCCGGTAAGACCTATCGAGACAGCAAATCCCAATGTCATCCGTCTTGTGAAATGAAGTGAATCCGGTTCTTGAAATTCTTCACTTCTCCTGCAAACAAACCCGCCAGATTTCCCGGTTTTACGATTCTCGGATAGTTTCGTAATCAACGGTGAAGTGTTGGTGAGACTGTTGAGGTCTAAGAAGTGAGCCATTGTAGTTAGAGAGTAAGCTTTAGGTACCAGCCTCTGTTCTTGTGTGTTGTTTACGGTTTTTATCCGTTATTAAAGAGAAAAGCGGCCATCACAAATATTTTATCTGAACGAAGGGGTGTTTTCGCAATTTCAACATTTTAACTACGCGCTGTTCCAGAATCCGTAAAGTAGAATTCGTGCCGTTTTACGTGACTAAAAACCTTCTCTCTTTTGTACTTTTTCTTTTCACCGATCTTTTCTCCTGAAACCCCAGAATCTTCCTTCCGTCGCAGCCTCTCCGTTGCTGATCTTCATCTCGCCGTTTCTGATCGAAATTATCCGTGTTCTGTCTTCGTCTCTGCTATCTTCACTGTATCGCGTCGCCGTGTTCGATTGAGGTACTTCCACTGCTCCGATTTGAGTAATTAGGGTATGTGTATGAGTGGATTTGACGTTATTGTGATATATCTCAGTTTGGAGTTGTGTATCTGCTCTTAAAGAAATCGTGGAGAGTCCAATGGACCCGCAGACGCAGAACACTTCGTTGCAGCGACTCCAGAATGTCGAGAATGTGAAATTTTCGGAACACTCACTCTTTCCTTAGAGATTTAATGGACGATTTTGGAGTTATTTGATATGTGAATGTGTTTGCGTTTCTCTTGTTTTCCGCGCAGAGAGTTGTTAAGGTTTTGGAACTAGCTGGAGGAGTTATGGAAGAACTCGCGAGTCCTTCTGGTCCCAAGAAAGAGTTCGTCAACAGCCATTGCCGAGAGTTTATGCAATCTATGAAGGTTGCTTAGTCTATCTCTTCTTGAGCTTATGGTTTTTGAATGCTGGATTTCTGATTTCATTTGGATTCTAGTGTTTTGATAAACTAGTTTAGTATTCTTGCTGACTCAATCTCTCTCTTTCACTACATTTGTCTTCCTTTTTTGGGGATTTGGTATCTTTTCTCGAGTGTTGATCTTTTGGGCGAGTCTTGTGTAGTGTTCATTACCTTTCCTGATCAAAGTTAAAGGCTTTGTTTAGAATTTTGATCTGGTTTTAGTCATCAAGATAGCCGCTGCATTTCATGTCTCACAATCTCTACAATTGTCTTCCTTTTCTGTTTCTTAGGATTTGACATTGATCCTTCAGTCTTAGGCTTAAGGTTTATGAGTGATGGATACTGATAATTTCATACTTCATGGAGCCTCACTGTTCAAAGAACATTTGGGCTCTCATTTGACACAAGTTAGATTAGGAATCATTACATTCCGTAAACAAGTAGAAGGCTTTGTTTGGAGTTTTGATTCTGGTATTTTCCTAGAGATAATTATAAAGTTTGAAGATTTCAGCTTCATTGTCTGATTCATGAACTTGTTGATCTTGGGCTGTACATATATATATATATATATATATATATGCTATAATGTTATCGCCAATCCATATTATAACATGAAGTTCTTGTGAAACTTGCAGGATATTCAAGTGACACTAAGGGAAGAGATCAAAAGCGCTTGCGAGTACCGTCCCTTTGAGAAATGCGATTACAACGCTAGAATAGCTAATGAGATCTGCTTCCAGAAGCTTGAATATGTTCTCACGCAGCTTGATGATCTGAAACAAACTGCTGACCAGTATCCTTCTTCTGATTGAGCTCGCTACAACCAAAAAAAAAAAATTAAGCAGATTTTCTCATGTTTGTAGATTTTACAAGTTGTCTCGTCTTCATCGGTTGTAGGTTATCCCATTAAAGTACGTCCGATTTTTACGTATGAGTCTCTTGTTGCACAAGTAAAATGGAGATTAGGTGAAATTGGTTAGAACATTCACCTGCAATGATCTGTTCAAGAATATTAGATACATCCATTGAGAGTTATCAACGTCAGGTTATGGAGAAACCGAACCAATTTTCTGCCAGAGAGAACCGGACCAATTTAATTGCGGTTACACCTATCATTAGAAATTTAGAACAAGAAAACGAGGAAATTTATGCTGTAACGATCAAAACTTGGAACCAGATGTGCTAACAACTCAATTATATGAACCATTCATAGCATCAACAGCTGAAATTCCCGGTTAGATGTGATAAAACCAAAGCGGTTAAAAAGGGTTAATGAGATTGAGAACCAATATTTCCGGGTTGGCGGTTACGCCGTTTTGTGCTGTGTTTTAGTTCCAGCTCAAGAGACGCGTTGATTGGAGAAGGTGAGAGAAATCTCTTGGTTAAGGGAGAAAATTAGGGTTTAGAGTTGGGGAATGAGAAGAGGAACGAAGTTCTAAGGAGACAAAAGAGAATAGCTACATCCATTTTCTTCGTTTCTCTATCTCTCTGAGAATGAGTCACCAATCGCCGCCGATCTCTGAAGTTGATGCCACCGACGATATGCACGAAGCGTTGTTCGCGAAGCGAGGCTGTTGTTTCCTTATGCCATGCCTTGCCTCATCTCAGCCGTCCACTCGCGACGGATCTGTGTGGTGGCAACGGATCACGACCGTCGACAAACTCGAACCCGACGAACGATGGTGGATCCGAGGGTGGCGGAGGATGAGGGAGTGGTCGGAGCTCGTCGCTGGTCCTAGATGGAAGACTTTTATCCGCCGATTCGGACGCAACCACTGCTGCGGAGGAGGAGGGAGAGTCGGAAACAGCAGCGGAGGATGCGGTGCAATGCCTAACCGGTCCGATCACGGTAAATTCCGGTACGATCCGTTGAGCTACTCATTAAATTTCGATGACGGAAAGCAAACCGGACATTTTGATGACGAGTTCCCGTACCGGGATTACTCGATGAGATTCGCTGCGCCATCGTTACCGGTTTCCACTAAATGCTCAATCGATTTCGATAGCGACATGATGGATAAGTGAATGTCACGCGCTCGACTTTCTTGTCTTTCTTTCACTAAATCGAGCAACACGTGTGTCGTGTGTGAGAGAAAAAATGAGAGGCCACTTTGTTCGTTTCTTCTTCGAATCTCCCATATTATTAAAACCTATCTTACACATTTTTGAATTTTACAGTAATAAATTATTAATTTGTCATTATTAGCAATGTATTTAAAAAGAAAATCATCTTTCTCATTAATATTAGAACAATTACCAAGAAAACATATTGAGAAATAATTAGAAGAAAATCTATTTTTCTTGTTTTTGTTCTTGATGGCTGATTTTAACCAACCACATGACCTTGTTTGGGCCGATTTAAATTAAAGAAATAGCACATGGAATATAGATATGAGCTACACATTCACAAGTCTAGTCTATAGTGGACAAGTACATATTTTATTGACGTTTGTATCGCGCGGTTTAACATCTTGTTAACTTTTCAAACCACCAAGATTTAGGTTCAGAGGATTTGGATTAGGGTATAAGCGTGTCAGAGTTAGTGGTCGACCATATGATTATTAGGTTAATAAGATTTGGATTAGAGCAAATTAAATCGTGTAAGAATTAGTATACCACAGCTACAAGGATTACCATGTCTCGTCTCGTTTTGCTTTTTATAGGATCGCTTGTTTAGCCTCCTCCTTCCCCTTTTATGGAATTCTTGACATATATCTATAGGACGTCATATAGACTTGTCAATAAAATATTAATTATGAACCTGGTTGAAGAAACAAGAAGAACCCTAATCGAAGAGTTTACTTGTATGACTTTAATTATGATGAAAACAAGAAATCAAAAACTTCTAAATTTAGAATTCTCAACCTGCTAAGTCGTGCAAATTCAGCAACCGAAATAGTAAAAAAACTATTGAATTTTTTTGGTCAATTAATCTTCGTGGTGTTGAAATGTATATAGTTTAAATTTTATACTATTAATTTTGAGTAACATGCACGGAAATTAACAGAAATAGTATTATTTTAACATTTCATTCAAGACATTTTGACATTTGGTTTGTCTAAATATATTATAAAAACAAACGTGCACATACATATCTTTAAGAGCTCAAGATTCGGACGTTTTCTGATATTCGTAAAATTATCAAATACAAATAGGAATGAGGACTAAACTAATCTATTTCCTCTACGGAAAAATAAAAAATAATAAGTCCTAACACGTAGCTGCTTGATGGCTGTATTTATACTTTTTTAATGGATCATTATTTTGAATCTCTGTCTTTTAATTTTTTGTGTGTTTGGTGAGAACCGACACAGTATACAATTTTCAGAATTCAAATTAACTTAAGAGTGAGCTGAAATTTTTAACGAGTTTATTCGAGTTAGCTCATATTGATATACTGATGTGGATCACGAACGGACTAGTAGTGATTATTTTTTGTTTATGCTTTATTTAATATATTTTGAGCAAACTAATAAAAAAAAATCATAGTAATTCGAGTTGCAGTTAACTTATATATTGTCTAATCTTGAGACAACTCAATAATTACGGAGTCACATATATATTAAATCACAAAGATACAAAGTTAATGAGTCCCATTTTCAAAATTATAATAACAAGAAAAGAATGATAATGACACAAATAATACATAGAATTTGGAAAAGAAAACTCAATCCAATTTTAAGTAGTGTACATATTTGAATGGTGTTCTCTTTTTCATGGTTTATGCTTATAAATAGACATCTAATACAAGGTTTTCTTACAACACTCACAACTTTATTCAAACATTTATCTTGTACGTGACATTTCACATAATTTAACAGGATGAAAGCAATTACTTCTCTAATCTCTTCTGTTTTGCTTAAATTTATCCACGAAGACTTCCATGAGATTTACTCAAGAATGTCCCTCCTCGATCGTTTTCTACTTCTCGTAAGTAATTGAACTTTCATATATATGCACGTAGAAACACATCCACGAATTTTTTTTTATTTGGAAATGAATGAATTGAAGTTGCTATGGATGTGTTTTCGTTTCTTTCCACAAAACACTTTGTTATTAGTAATAAATTTCAAAAGACTCAAACGCAAAATTCTTATTTTTCCTTAGGGGAATTCGAGATTTTATTTTAAGTAACATATTTTCACGAGTCCTGGTGACACATTAATTTTGGATGATCTATAATGTTTATTTGATATATTGAAAAAATATTTATGATCCGATGTAAATGCATGGTGCAGATCGTGCATGCAGTGGATAAGATGGTTCCATGGCATAAGCTTCCAGTTTTCTTGGGTTTAGCCTATCTTGAAGTACGTAGACATCTTCACCAAGAATACAATCTTCTCAACGTCGGTCAAAGTCCGGTTGGGACCCGGTTTGATCCTGCTAATTATCCATACCGGACTGCTGACGGAAAATTCAATGATCCGTTTAATGAAGGCGTTGGCAGTCAAAATAGCTTCTTCGGAAGAAATTGTGCCCCGGTCGATCAGAAAACGAAGGTAAATTCACATACATATATGTGTATAAAAGTTTCGAATTTGATTTGATTTGATTTTTTATTTTAATTCAGATATTTAAAATTAAGCCCTTTTAAATGATTTTTTTTGAAGTTATTGAGGCCAGACCCCATGGTGGTGGCGACAAAACTATTAGGAAGGAGAAAGTTTATTGACACAGGAAAACAATTCAATATGATTGCAGCTTCTTGGATTCAATTCATGATCCATGATTGGATTGATCATCTTGAAGATACTCGCCAAGTAAATTTCAATTCACACACTTATAATTAATATGCTAAATAACGAAACAATTAAGTTTGGTTTATTCCGGTTAAATATTGGTAACTTAGATCGAGCTTGTGGCTCCGAAAGAAGTAGCGAACAAGTGTCCCTTAAGCTCCTTTAGGTTCTTCAAGACAAAGGAAGTCCCTACCGGTTTCTTCGAAATCAAGACTGGTTCGCTAAATATCCGTACACCTTGGTGGTAATTATTTTATTCTAGACCTATCATATAAAATCATTAAAATGTGTTACATATACTATACACGTTTTTTTCTGGCTTAAACGTTTTTGTGGGATCGGTTAAGATCATTTTTTTTTTCTTTTCTTGTGGGGATATATGGACGACATAATTTAACACACATATCCATGCATACAAAATCATACATTTAATTATATATGATGACTATAAATAATTCGTAGAATAATTAATAAATTAGGGATTCGAGCGTCATCTATGGAAGCAACTCGAAAACATTGGATAGAGTAAGAACTTACAAAGATGGAAAACTGAAGATATCGGAGGAGACGGGTCTCCTTCTCCATGACGACGGCGGTTTAGCTATCTCCGGCGATATTCGTAACAGTTGGGTTGGCGTCTCCGCTTTGCAAGCTCTCTTCATCAAAGAGCACAACGCCGTATGCGACGCCATCAAGGTTCAATATTTGTTTCTCTTTTTTTAATAAATGTAAATTACGAAATTTGAATAATTTTTGTGCCAGTTTTGAAACTTTTATTTAATATAGGATGAGAATAAGGATTTGGAAGACGAAGATTTGTACCGGTACGCGAGGCTAGTGACTTCAGCGGTGATAGCCAAGATTCACACCATAGATTGGACAGTCCAGCTTCTCAAAACCGACACTTTACTTGCTGGGATGCGAGCAAATTGGTCAATACCACATTTTTGTTCTTTTCCATCTATGATTTTACGTTACGTATCACATATGTTGCAATATCTAACACTTTTAATATTTTGTGATTTTAGGTACGGACTACTAGGAAAGAAGTTTAAAGATTCTTTCGGACATGCAGGAAGTTCGATCTTGGGAGGTGTCGTGGGAATGAAGAAACCGCAAAATCATGGGGTCTCTTACTCTCTAACCGAAGATTTCACTAGCGTCTATCGAATGCACTCTCTTTTACCTGATCATCTCCAGATGCGTGACATTGATGATGTACCGGGAACTAATAAGTCACTACCGTTGATTAAAGAGTATAACTCTATAATTTATACATCTCTCTCCTATATATTTTGAAGTTTTCAATTTTATAAAAGTTTTAGGGTTTTATTATTTCTTTGGATTTAGGATTTCTATGGAAAATTTGATTGGTCGCAAGGGAGAAGAAACCCTGTCTCAGATTGGATTCACTAAGCTAATGGTCTCAATGGGTCACCAAGCAAGTGGTGCCCTTGAACTCATGAATTATCCAATGTGGTTAAGAGACATTGTTCCCCAGGACCCTAACGGCCAAGATCGTCCGGACCACGTCGACTTAGCTGATTTAGAGAGTAAGTCAATCTGATCTCAGCCGTTCATTGTGGTTTGACTTGATTCTCACGTGAATTCGGTTTGTCGACTATTTTAGTCTATAGGGACAGGGAGAGGAACGTCCCACGGTACAACGATTTCAGGAGATCTATGTTTATGATTCCGATAACCAAGTGGGAAGATCTAACAGATGATGAGGAAGCTATTGAAGTGTTGGATGACGTGTACGATGGTGATGTGGAGGAGCTTGATCTTCTCGTGGGACTTATGGCAGAGAAGAAGATCAAAGGTTTCGCTATCAGTGAGACTGCTTTTTACATTTTCCTCATCATGGCCACAAGGTATATATTTGCTTCTTATAAATAAATCAAAGATTTAATATATAAACCAATTAAGTTTTCTTGAAGATATTACATTAAACTAGAAAAGCTTAATTAATCTAATACTAATTTAAACATTTCAGGCGATTAGAAGCGGATAGATTTTTCACGAGTGATTTCAATGAAACGATTTATACGAAGAAGGGACTTAAATGGGTGAATACTACAGAGAGTCTCAAAGATGTGTTTGATCGTCATTATCCTGAAATGACCGATAAATGGATGAACTCTGAAAGTGCATTTTCAGTATGGGATTCACCTCCAGTTACCAAAAATCCAATCCCTCTCTATCTCCGAATTCCCTCTTAATTAGATCATTTTAATGTGATCTATGCACTTTGAATGATTTTTTATATATTTATTATTATTGGCATTTGTTGGTTGTGAACTGTGTGTCATTCATTGTAAGTTATTTGACATCAATCATGTGATTCAAATAAGTTGTTTTTAATCTTGTATTGTTATAATTAAAATAATGTAATATGATATAATTTCCATACCATTTTAAGTACTTGTTTCATTATTAAAACTGAAAATTGATTCTCATGACATCGAGAGACTGCCTAAATGTGCAAAGCGTATGACTGTTAGCATATTATAGAAGAAAAATAAAGAGAAGAATTATATTTTTTCTATTTTCTTCTAAAAATTAACCAATCAAGTAAAACTTAGAATTCGTTTTCTTCCCAATTCATCTCAAAAGTAACATAAAAGAGTTAAAACTTCCTACTACAAATATATGGTATAAATAATTCTTCTATATTTTGCTTTTTCTTTTCTTTTATTTTCCTCTAATTTTTTTTTTTCTCTTTTCTTCTATATTCTTACCAGTCACAACCTATATAATATGTATGTTTTTTTATGTTAAATCATTAATTTTTATTGTTTAATGATTTAATAATGTCTACTATGGGTCTGACTGTTAGTATATTATAGAAGAAAAATAAAGAGAAGAATTATAATTTTTTTATTTTCTTCTAAAAATTAACCAATAAAGTAAAACTTGGAAGAATTCCTTTTTTTCCCAATTCATCTCAAAAGTAACATAAAAGAGTTAAAACTTCTCACTACAAATATATGGTAAAAATAATTCTTCTACATTTTGCTTTTTCTTTTCTTTTATTTTCCTTTAATTTTTTTCTTCTCTTTTCTTCTATATTCTTACCAGTCACAACCTATATATATATATATATATATATATATATATGTTTTTGATGTTAAATCATTAATTTTTATTTTATCAATTTTGTTAAATAGTGAGTTGGATAGTAATTAAATAATTATGTAAAAAAATTATCAAATTTTGATGGGATGCAGATTTGATCAAATCACCTTTGATTTGGTATAAAAAGACCCATATGCATTCATCATACAGACATACAGTAAAACCTCTATAAATTAATAATATTGGGACCATGAAATTTTATTAATTTAGAGAGGTATTAATTTATCGATAAACTAATAATTATTAATTTATAGAGAGATTTTACTAATTTTATAATTTTTTAAAAAAATTCTATCTAAAAATAAATTTTTTCTTTATAAGCAATATCTTTTTTAAATCAATTGCAAGTAGAGAAATAATTATTAAGTTTAAAAAACAATACAAACTTTTTTTGAATAATAGAATCATATTTCATTAAATTATTACATATAATATTTTAAATATATATCATAGTATTTCATATATGACATATATATATATTAAGTTAAATATACATATATATATTGATAAGTTTATACAATTATTAATTTATAATATAAATAGGACCATATGTTTACATGGAATTTTCAAAAAATTATTATCTTATTAATTTATCGATTTATGTCATATTTTACACTGGTCCCAACTCAGGACCGGAAGAATTTATTAATTTAGAGAGGTTATTAATTTATAGAGTATTAATTTATAGAGGTTTGACTGTATATAACATTTCTCGCTTGTTTTTTTCATTCTTTGTAGTCTTGTGCGTCTCGTTCTAATTAATCACAGAAAATGAAAAGTAAAATGAGAGTCAAAGAAGTGACTTGTCTTTACAGTCGTCTGTTATATTATTTCTTTGCCTTGGGAGTATAATTACAGATCCTCTTAGAAACTATACGTACAACTGATGACAAGATTCATAATAGCCATAGTTGAGTTAATGGATCTTATTTGCACGAAGCTTAATGAGCTTTACAAAAGAAAGCCCGTTTTTCTTCAAAACAGCTAACCATGAGAAAGATGACTGCGGCCATATAGAAACTCATCCCTACATAAACAATTAATGTAAATTTTCCATTGAACTTTTTTATATACAAACACATTCACTAAGAAGATTACAACAATTACTCTTAAAAGAGAATTACACTAAACGGCAAGTAGTTTTGTTTGTATGAAACGGAACGGCAAGTAGTTTTGTTCGTGTTGAACCCGTAATATTATATTGGGCTTATTCCCGCGGAAGCCCATCTACATTTTTTTTGTCGTGATCCGTTGCATCGCAGCAGGCAGCAGCACTCATAAGCATATGCGTACGATTATGAGCTGAGTTTGAAATTCGAAAACCATATAATCTCTCTCGCTCGATGCCCGTTGCCTGTTCGGATTCTGGGTCTCTGTTGAATTGCTTTCTGGGAACTTGTTTTAGTTTGTTCTTTGTTCGATTGACTAGGTTTTAGGGTTCTTCTGTGATTTCGCTAACTCGGGGTTTTGTTGATTCCTGAAGATTTGGGATTTTAGGGTTTGTGATCGGAATTTAGAGATATTAGAGTGTTAATTGGTTTATGGGTTCCACAATGGAGGATGAAAAAGATGCGTTTTACATTGTCCGTAAGGGAGACATCATTGGTGTTTATCGAAGCTTGAGCGAATGCCAAGAACAAGCTGGTTCATCTGTAATTTCTCCGTTTCTTCTATCTGTTGAATCTGTATTCACTGTTGACATCTGCATTGTTAGGACTTACATAGATTTGTTTGTTTTGGTTTCAGGTATCACATCCTGCAATGAGTGTGTACAAAGGATATGGTTGGCCAAAAGGAGCAGAGGACTTGTTATCTTCCTTTGGGATTAAGAACGCTCTTTTTTCTATCAATGCAAGTCATGTCAAAGATGATGCTTTTGGGAAACTCATTCCTTGTCCTGTTCAGGTTTGACACAGAATCTTTATCTAAGTAACATTCTCTTATAAGAGAGAGTGATCTTAGTGCAGATATCGTATTTTACAGGAACTTTTCAGTTGCTTGTCTAATCTGTGATATTATTCTAGTTGAAGTTCAAAATTATGTTCTGACTTTTGATTTTTGCATTTCAGCAACCGTCTTCTTCCCAAGGAGAGTCTGTCAACAAATCTTCCCCGTCTAAGAGATTGCAAGATATGGTAAAAACTGTAAATCTTGTCTGTTATAGACACAAAATTCATTGCCTTTGATGCGGGTAATATGTATTAGTAACTGTATCTTTTGCAATCTCTTGAAGATGTTGATGAAAATTCTTGTGCCTCTGATCTTCAGGGAAGTGGTGAATCGGGTTCAGTTTCCCCTAGTCCTCCGCAGAAGCATCTTAAGATAGAAAATGACATGGTTCGTCGGATTCCTTCCAGTTTCTTAACTCGGACACCTATACTTCAAAATGTAATAACATCCAACAAAATTATTCAGTCATATGCTTGTCTTTTTTTCTCTTGCATCATTATAACTTGTTATCTATCGTTCTCCCTCAGGACACATGTACCATTGAGTTTGATGGTGCTTCTAAAGGAAACCCAGGGAAGGCTGGTGCAGGAGCTGTTCTCCGTGCTTCAGATACAAGTGTCCTCTTCTATTTACGGGAAGGTGTGGGCATTGCCACAAACAACGTTGCAGAGTATCGAGCTCTGATTCTTGGTTTGAGGTCTGCTCTTGACAAAGGGTTTAAAAATGTGCACGTCCAAGGAGACTCAATGCTTGTGGTTATGCAGGTCCAAATATAAAAATTCGCTCTATCTTTTTGTTTTGTTTGAATTTTTCAATGTTAGTGCCTTTATTGTTTTGATTACTTGGATTCGTCAATGGAACAGGTTCAAGATGCATGGAAAACCAAACACCCGAAAATGGCTGAGCTGTGCAAACAGGCTAAGGAGCTCAAGAGCAAGTTTAAAACATTCCATATCGAACATGTTGACAGGGTAAGCCACCAAACCCGCTTGGTCTAGTGCTGAGTTGTGATCAACTCTGTAGTTTGTCTGCGTAACAATCATTAGATATCCAATCATGTTTCGTTTTGAGAGTTTTAGTGTGAACTAGAACTGAATATCTTTGAGTTCATTGCCATTAATTGTAAGCTGTCCGGTGTGCAGGAATTGAATTCTGAAGCTGATAAACAAGCTAACTGTGCGATTGGTCTGGCAGGTGAGTTAGTTTAAGATCTACATGAACTCTATCTAATTTTTGTTTGTTTTAAACTGGGTATTGGAAGAAATCCATACGCATCAAGCTTACCAGGTTCTTAATCTTTATTCTTTTGTCAATGCGTATCCAGAGGGTCAAACGGTGGTGATCCCAGGCAGCTAGAAGATAGAATTAGTTATTCCTGTTTTCTTGTTCCTAGGATCGTGTCTTTAACATGCTGTGTAGGCATAAACATGAACATGAAGCTGAACGAACATGTTCTCTTCTCTCTTCTATTCTGTCCCCGGCATGTTGAAACTTCAGTCACTTGTTCTCTAAGTTTAAATTTCTCTAAGAAAACGTTTATTACTGTTTCTCTTTTTTCCTTACATGTTCTGACTACTCTTTTGCTCTGTCCCCAGTATGTTTAAACTTCAGTCACTTGTTCTCTAAGTTAAAAATTCGCAACATGTCTATGTTTCTCTCCTTTTTTTATTACATTCTAGTTCAATAATTTCCAAATAAGAATGTCTCCCTAATGTTATTCAAAGCCCTACTTATCGATCATTATACACATGGGAGGGTAAATTGGTAAAGATTTGAAAAATGTTAAACAACCAAACCGAAATTTATGAAATTGGATCACAAAAAAAAAAGCCAAACTCGAGATAAATTACAACAAACCCACTAATTTTCTACACAAACTATTTACAGTTTTTTCCCCCCTTTTTTCTGGTTGTTTGTATACACCCTCGCATTAACAGTAAAAAGAAAGAAAAGAGTGTGGTAAAAAAAAAAGATAAAAGAAAAGCTCACATCAGAGTTGGGACGATGATCTCGCACCACCATTACTAATGGATCTTGGTTGCCTTAGAAGCTCAATCAAAGCCTCAGCCTTTTGCTTAGCTCGACTCGTTCCTGCCTGCGACAGAGCCACTAGCGGAGGTATCGCTCCTTCTCTAGCCACCATTGTTCGATACACAACACTCTCTTCACAAAGCTGTAGCAATATCGACACAGCCATTTCTTTCTGTCTCTGTGTTCCCACCTCAACTATCTCCACCAGCACCGGAACTCCTCCTTCCTCCACAATCGCCGGTTTCGATTCCGGCACCGACATTAACAGACTCATAACAAACGCCGATTTATCCACCATGTTTGATCCGAAATCCGCCATCAATTCAACAAGCGGTTTCATAATTCCAGATTGCACGGCTCTGATTTTGTTCTCTTTAGCTGAGCACAACGAGTACAGAGCCGTCGACGCGTCCTTCTTCGCTCTGAATCCACCTGTTTCTAAAAGATTCACCAAGAGAGGAATCGCTCCGGATCTTCCGATGGCGACTTTGTTCTCCTCGATCTGCGATAGCCGGAGCAGAGCACAAGCGGCGTTCTCTTTAGCAGTCGGTGTTCCCATCTTCAACGCCCTGACAAGCGGCTTAATCGCACCGGAAGAAGCAATCAACTCCTTGTTCTCGTCGCAAAGAGAGAGATTCAAGATTGCAGTGACTCCATACTCCTGAAGCTGAAGATCCGAAGAAGAGATCAGAGAAATCAACGGCTTAATCGCACCAGCCTTGGCGATTTTGATCCGATTCTCAGGTTTGTTCTTGGATAAGAGCCTGATCTCCATAGCAGCTTGCTTCTGCTCATCGATCGAATAGGAGGAATCAAGATGCGCAACGAGATGATTGATGAGATCATCGGAATTCTCAGAGGCGCAAGAGAGGAGGAGACGACGGCTCTCGGAGGAAGCAGTAGGGAATTCGCCGGATCTGTCGCTGTTACAATCGCTGAAAGCAGAGGAGTCATCGTTGAGACTTAAATCGCTGAATTTGCGGCCCATGTAGGTGAAACTGGGGCGGTGATTCTCCATCTCCATGGATATGATGAGATCAAACCATCAAAAAAAAAAACGTGGATGCTTTTAGTTAGGGTTTGGTCTGTCTTACGAGTGGTCTGGTCTGTCAGGAATATTTGTTTGGAGGTAGCCAAAGCAAGAATGAGCTAGAGATAGAGAGAGAGAGAGAGTGCAATAACAATAATACCTTATTATAAAATTAATTAATGGTTTTCATGTCTAAAATAAATATTTTATGTTCCCATTATTATTACGAGGCGTTGTTTCTCTCCGCGTGTGTTACGGTTATTTTGGGCTTTGTAGATAAGACCCATTATATATAAGTGGGCTTTAATTTCTTCTATTCAAAGTGGGCCCACTGCTGATGTTAATCATACAAGTACGGAGAGCAGATTAGATAGACGTGTTAATAGATCCTCGATCTTCTCTCTTCTCTCTTCTCTCCTCTCATCTCTCGTCCTTGGAATCAGCAAAGGTAATGTGTCTTCTCCTCTTCAATGCGATCGGTTTCAATTTTCTATCGGAAGTCAAACTGTTTCGCCGTGTTTTGACTTACTTCCGGAAATTCCGGTGATTCAACGTGGTAGGATCGTTGTTAGGATGGTGTTAAGAGTTGGATTTCTTTTGTATGAAGATCAACTAATTTATACATCGATTTCACTAACTTGGTGATCTTCAATTCTCATTAATCCTATTTCGGGATCTTAGATCTATCTGATTTTCATCCCAATTTGATTTTCCACTAGTTTTGATTCCGACTTATGGATTGCTAGAGTAACAGATCTGCTTCGAATGAATGGGTAAATTAATTATGTTTCTCCAATCCTGTTGACTGTGTCCTTAAGTTAGTAGTTAGTCAGTCTCAATAATTCATATGATTGACCGAATTAGTGATCTGTGAGATTTTATGTGTAGGTTTATGAGCAAATTTATAGATAGGTGTAATATGTTTTGACTTTATGCAAGTTCAAATTTTTGTTATTATTTGACCTTAGATTTTAACAGATTTTGTTTTTGTAGTCTTCTGTGTAATAAAGCATGGAATCCAACAGAGGTCAAGGTTCTATCCAACAGTTGCTTGCTGCTGAGGTAGAAGCTCAACACATTGTCAATGCTGCAAGGACCGGTAATTATTAGCTTATTTTCCTTTGCCAATTTAGTTTACATATCTGAAACTCTACAACATAAAAAGTGTTGTTTGTTGTTCACTTATTATACTTGTTAACTTTAGAATTGAAAGTTTGCCCAACATTAATATCTAAATCCAAGTACATTCTTGGGAGCCTGCATATTTATAGAAATGAAAATGTAGTTATGTGTAGCACTTGGAGCATATTGTATAGAGCTTGATTTTATATGTTTTGAATTTGATTTATTACCTTTCTATTGGTTGCAGCAAAAATGGCAAGACTGAAGCAAGCCAAGGAAGAAGCTGAGAAAGAGATTGCCGAATACAAAGCTAAAACAGAGCAAGACTTCCAGAGGAAACTTGAGGAGGTAAATTATTGAAAAAAAAATGTTCTTTGGAAATAAAAAAAAGTAGTGTAGTTTGCTTTTTCTGTCTTCTAATTATCATATTGTGAAAACAGACAAGTGGAGACTCTGGTGCAAATGTGAAGAGGTTGGAGCAAGAGACTGATGCCAAAATCGAGCAGTTGAAGAACGAAGCAACGAGGATTTCCAAAGATGTTGTGGAAATGCTTCTGAAGCATGTGACCACAGTGAAGAACTGAGATATTTTTATAAGGAAGTAAAAAAAAGAAGGTTTGTGTAAGATGATGAAAAAAGTGGGAGTCATTTTTGAGTGATCTGCTCTCTTTCTCTCGTGTGGTGTTTCTGGATTTCTGAGATTCATCTTATATTATTGTTCCTATTTATTCTCTCTGCTTCTTTGTAATTTATCTCTCTACTCTTTGTATTCATATCTTTGGAACAACGTTGTAATAATTCGAGAGCAGAGGAACTCGTTGGATTATTTTTATTTTTCTATTTTGTTACAATAAATAAGGCTTGGGCTTATTATATCAGAGCTTTGTTATCAAAATAAGGCTTGGGCTTTAGTTAACAGTGTCTCACGGACACAAGATAGTGGAACAGTGGAGATTTAAGAAAATCTAAGGAGAAAAGTTTTTGGTCGGAGAATTGGGAAGATCTATGAGGAGCGACGGGATCTTGGGAGTTGGAAGTTCGGATCAGAGTCGATCATCAACCGCCGTCGTCGCGAGTAGACGAAGATGGCTAAAGAGGCGAGAAACGTGGCTGGTGGTTCTCGGAGTTGCTCTCCACGCTGTGTACATGTTAAGCATCTTCGACATTTACTTCAAAACGCCGATAGTCCACGGGATGGATCCTGTGCCTCCCAGATTCTCTGAGCCGCCAGCGAAGCGACTTGTTCTTCTCATCTGTACGTAGTCCTGACACTGAAATGTGTTTCTTACTTCAAGCTCAGGATTCTTTCAGTTATAGCTTAGAGTAGCTTTTAGAGTATATGATTCTGGTTCTGCTCGAGACATTTCTGATTTGCTGATGGACATTATTATCAGCGGATGGTTTACGTGCTGACAAATTCTTTGAGCCGGACGAGGAAGGCAAATACAGAGCACCCTTCTTGAGGAATGTCATAAAGAATCAGGGGCGTTGGGGTGTGTCTCATGCTCGTCCTCCTACAGAATCTAGACCTGGACATGTTGCTATTATTGCTGGTTTCTATGAAGATCCTAGTGCTGTCACTAAAGGTTCTCTTCTTCTTCTGCATATATGCTTGAAGTTACTTACCTGGTCTTGTCAAGTTCGTAGCGGCTTTTGAAATGAAATTGTGTTGCTCTTGTGTTTTGCAGGATGGAAAGCTAATCCTGTTGAATTTGATTCTGTTTTTAACCAGAGCCGGCATACGTTTGCTTATGGGAGCCCCGATATTATTCCTATATTCTGCAGTGCCTTACCTCACAGCACTTGGAATTCTTACCCGCACGAGTATGAAGACTTTGCTACAGGTTAGTTTAGTTGTTTGAAAAACTATGTATCAGTATCTGGAATTAAATTTGACTCTGCGGTCAATTTGCTTATTGCTTGTGAAATGCAACATTTTTGTTACTAGAGAACTGAGATGATGTATCTTGGTGTAGATGCCTCCTTTTTGGATGAGTGGTCTTTCGATCAATTTGAGAGCCTTCTCAATAGGTCTCACGAAGATCCAAAGTTGAAAGAGCTCCTCCACCAGGACAAACTCGTTGTCTTTCTTCACCTTCTTGGTTGTGATTCCAATGGTCATGCACATCGGCCTTACTCATCAATCTATCTCAACAATGTCAAAGTTGTTGATAAGATTGCTGAAAGGGTCTACCATCTCTTGGAGGATTACTACAGAGACAATCGCACTTCTTATATCTTTACTGCTGATCATGGGATGAGCGACAAAGGTCTGCTTTTGTTTTGTGTCATTCCTTTTGTTTCAAACCTTCTCATTAATTAACACTTTAGAGCATATTGGGTGGTTAGGCTACCTACGATTTGGGAGCCGATTTGAGTAGAGTATACTGCGATGGAGTAAGATATTTGCTCTATCATTTGTTTGGATTGTTTTGAGATAGGATAGTTTATAATACTAAGATGACATGTTTTGGGGTTTATATTTCAATTCAGCTACAGTTGTTTTCTCAAGTGGCCATTTATTCCTGCCTTGCATTTGCAACTCAAACTTCGTGTCATATATGGAATGATCATTAATCTGCTCTTAGCTATCTGGTTAGGTTTCATCTGCACCTTCCATCTAATTTTCTTTGCTTCGTCTTGAGCTTATGATGGTAATGATACTATATGAACCTGTTGTTACTTATAGGAAGTCATGGAGATGGGCATCCTACAAACACTGATACTCCATTAGTTGCTTGGGGAGCTGGGATTAAATATCCCAAACCAGCATCCGGAAATAGCCACTCTGATTCTGTTACTACATTTGTTGACAAGCATGCACATGATATGCCCACACCTTATGACTGGGGTCTTCGTCGTGTTGAGAGAGTAGATGTCAACCAAGCTGACATAGCACCACTTATGGTTGGACTTTACCTTCATATCTTATCCTCTCAGTCAAACAACTAAAAATGTGAATCTGTTTCCCAAGTTCTTTGGTCTCACTTTTTGTTAATATCTGTAGTCAACGCTCTTGGGTTTGCCATGCCCAGTGAACTCCGTTGGAAACCTACCACTTGGTTATATGAAGTTGAATGAGGTATGTTATACTTGATATGAACCCTCCACATGTAGTCTTCTGAAAGAGATTTGGTATTTGTTAATGCTACATTTCTTTCTGAAAATCCCAGTTCCCTATTGAGTGTTCATGGGTGAGAGGTCGAAACTCAATTGGGAACTGGTTTTAAAATATGAATAGGAATAGAAATATGGCTGGGAGGTCAAGACTTATGGTGCTTTATTGTTTTTATGTATTTTTAGGCAGAAGAAGTTGAAGCTGTGCTAGCCAATACCAAACAAATTCTTAATCAGCTCCTTCGTAAATCATGTATCCTTTGCTCACACTCTAATGTTAGCTTAACTTCTGCACTGAAGATTATAATTTGTACTGTAGCATCACTTCTCATTCTGATATTGTTCCCTGCTTTCAAGCCCTGGACATTGTTCATGCTATAGTACAGTAGTCTTACTCTTATAGTGATTGAAAAAGATCTTTGTTCCGATTCATAGTCTGTTGTTTAGAGTTGTTTCTTAGCATTGCTTATATTCTGCTCTTTTTAGTTTTTATCCTGGTTGTGGTCTCCTTGACAAAATTAGATATAAAAAGCTCAAACTCCTTATTTTTCAAGCCATTTAAGCCGTTGGTCCACCATTCCTCATCGCTGAGTCAGATTGATGAGTTAATATCCGCCAAAAGTTATGAAGATGCAATGAAATTGGCTGTGGACCTCAGAAACTTGTCACTAGAGGGCCTTCATTATTTTCAAACGTATGACTGGCTAATGCTGATGACTGTAATTACTCTTGGATACACTGGATGGATGATCGTACTTGCCCTGCATGTCCTGCAATGTTATAGTTCACTATCAGGAGATTTGTCCAAAAAAGAGCATTTATCTGTGCAGAAAA